AACTTGCTCATGAATATCAAGTATTTAAGAAGTTTGGTGGAACCTGGGGAAGCTGTTGGTTTGTTGGCGTCTCAGGGGTAAGTTTCCGACCCCGTGCATATTTAATTCTTACTTTTTTTTAGCGTCGGAGAACCGTCAACTCAGATGACGCTTAATACGTTCCATTTTGCAGGTCAGCTTTTGTCATAAAATTTCCAACATGCTGAAATTTCATACTTCTGATGTAGGTCACGGAGCTGCCAATGTAACACTGGGTATTCCTCGGTTGCGGGAGATTGTGATGACAGCTTCACAAAAGCCCAAGACACCTTCAATGACTATGGAAGTTGCGCCCGGCGTGTCCCAGTTGGACGTTGACATTTTTTGCAAACGGGCTAGCAAATTGACGTTGTCTCAGCTGGTTGACAATGTGACGGTTAAAGAGCGTTTGACTGTGCAAAGCGATGCACGTCGGACCGAATTCATTATAGACATCGTCTTCTTCCCCGCGGAAGAATACACCGAGGAGTATGACGTTCTGCCCGAGGAAGTTCTTGCCGTGTTTGCAGCGAAGTTTCCGTTAATACTCAAGAAGGAGATTCAGATGGAAATGAAGAAGCTCGACACAGATCTGAAGGGCCAGATAGCGCAGCTTGGGAAAGGGAAGGCACCAAAAGAACCTGTCGCTGGCGAGGCGGAGGCTGAAGATGGCGAGGGTGAGGGTGAGGGCCCAAGCCGTGGTAAGGATGATGATGGCCAGAGCGAGCAAGGGGATGGTGATACTGTTGACGCAAAGCGAGCCCGTCAGCAGAAGGAGCAGACATCCTACGAGTCTGACAACGACAGTGAAAAGGATTACTTGGACGATGCCGTTATCGAGGCTGCTTACGCCTCAGAGGCAGATGATGGCGAAGGCGACGACGACAAAATTGGTCGTCCGACGGCCATTCACGCACAAGTTGAAGTCGTAGCGGATGCCTTCATGGATGTCTTTCATCAAGCAACTTCGTTCACGTTTACGAAGTCAAAATGCTCTATTCGGCTCGAGGTCCGTGTCATTTGTGCCTTACATTTTTTTTGTCACCTCATAAATTTTCAGTTTCCTGCAGACTTTCCAAAAATTTTGTTGGTGGGCATAGTTGAGCGTACTTGCCTGAAGACTGTTGTCCGAGAGATCCCTGGCATCACGGATTGCTTTAGTGCGGTTGTAAAGGAACGCGGAGTGGAGAGAATACGAGTACGCTATTTTATGGTTCAACCTGAGCTGGGAGCTGAACACCATGGATCTAGCTGACTACCAATGGATCCAACTTGCGGGGTATCTGGCAATTTACAGGCGCAACAGATGACAACATCATTAACCTGGATACTATCTACTCCAATGACATCTACTCCATTCTCAAAACTTTCGGCGTGGAGATGGCGCGTGCTGCGATATTACGCGAGATCAGTGGAGTATTTGACGCCTACAAGATTGATGTTGATGGGAGGCATCTGGAACTCATTGCAGATTACATGGTCAGACCCTTTACCGGCTAAGCACACAACTCACTTACTCACGATCCTATCAACGGCCAGACATTCGAAGGCGCCTACAAACCATTCAACCGCAAGGGTCTCTCAAGTAACCCTTCGCCCCTTCTAAAGGCGTCGTATGAAACAACTGCCGCCTTCCTTTCAGACGCGACGTTGTATGGTGACTTTGACGACTTGTCCACGCCATCGGGTAATCTGGTCATGGGACGCCCCAACCAAACGGGTACTGGTGTTTTCGATGTGGTGATGCTTGCGGAAGTTCCTGCTTGATACATAGAGTGATCGAATTAACTACCTTTGCGAGTATGATTATGTCACGTGCTGTTGTGAAATCCGGCTCTTCGCGAGGGCTAAGCGCTAGGCGCCTTTGACACCAACCACGCTATCAATCAAGTATCTCACTTCAACATTCCCTGTTTTCTTATTGAACGCTCTCTACAATGCCCATGATGGCTCGTACTGGTCCTCTTCAAGACCTCCCGCTTGCGCATTTTCTAGCTAGCGGCGCCAATTCAGTTCCCACCAATGCTAAACCAGCCAAACGCCCTCTTTCGCCTTCAAAATCCACCATTTTTAGTCCGGCTAAGCGCCGCATCTTGCACTCAGAAGGCATTCTCCTACCTGGTGAAGCCTCCATGTCGCTATTGCAACATCACATTCCATATTTTGGAAATGATGTCGGAGCCTTGCACGATTCGTCAATAGCATTGACACCACCCGCACAACGTGCTGATGCCATCCAGGGAAGCTCAAGGGATAGACGAACACCGAGGAGACCTTCGCCAAAGTTGATACGTTCAACCAATGCCCCGGGAGACGACTCAGCATCTGCACTTAGCCTCCGTCGCTCGTCTCGCCTGCAGTCATCCCAGCGCGGCGCTGAACCTGGTGCCACCTCAATGGCAATTCTTCGTGAGATGCCATCACCTCACGATCGTCAGTCAGTGCATTATCCTGGCTTTGACACGTATCAAGATTCGCACATATTTCTTACACCATCGCGACGAACAAGCCCGTCTTCTGATAATGAAGAGTCGTGGCCTAGTAGTTCTGAAGAAGTCCTTTCCGAAAGGAAGATCACTAAAGAGAATATCCCTCCTCGAAAGAAAGCCAAGAAGACCTCTTTGACACGGTCCCCTCTTCTGATAGACAAATCGTTCCGCTCAGATCGATCTACTACTCGAGGGGAATCCCGCCAGCTGTCTGGCATCACAGCTAGCAATCGCTACACGGATGGGGTTACTACTCCTCGGGCGTCTTGAATATAACCCGCGATAGCCACTTTCTCAACATAGGGACATATGGGTGGACATTTTGGGAGGAACTCTTACGGGGCAGTCTATTTGATTTACGCAACTTATCTTCTCCTATCTTCCATCCGTCTTCTCTTTTCGATACTTGGTTGGCCCGGTTCTATCATTCACATGGTATTTATGAAATCTCCGATGACTATCTGCACATTGTCAGTTACATATATTTGATACTGTAAATGCCGGTTGCTAGAACAACATGTGGTCCAATTCATGACCTTTGATTTGTCGGTAATTCAAGTTTAATTTGTTATGTTTCTTCTGGCTTGAGCGTTCTGTAACTTAGTCGGTGGATAAACTTTTCGCCGTAGCTTAAAGCGTACTACAACTAGGTGTACCGTGTCGTGCACGTGGCAATCGACACGTCTAACCTCTGGACAGCGAGACTGCGAATCATCAATTCAATGACTATGCAACTGCGCAGCCTGATCTTGCTTCTAGCAGCTTCTCTCCCGCTGGCGAGCGCACAATTCAATTTCTTTGATCAGATGTTTGGGCATTCCCAGCAGCAGCAACAAAGAGAATCTGGACCTTCTGGTAATTCCCAATGGATGGCACATTCAGAAGCTCGTCAGTATCCAGACCCACAATATACTACCTCTAGGAATCACTAACTCTTGATATTTTTAGTTCCATGTTCCCAATACCTGTGCCCAAGTACCCTGACGTGTGTTAACAGACCGGCTGATTGTCCATGTCCCAATGCAGAGGACATCAAGTGCACCATCCCAGACGCAGTAGATACAGAAGCTGCAACGGTTGTTTGCGTGAGGGGGGTGGAGGAGTGTACATCGGTCGAACGGCTGATGAGTTCATATTTCACATGATGCATCTTCCGTCTGTCCGAGTCGGTGACTCGCTTAAATATATGGCGAGTAGATGTCGAATCCTATCTGCCGTCTCGAAGACAGAACCGCTTACCTCACGATTCAGTATGCCCGTGTTTCCGTACCGTTCTTTCCTGATCGGTTGCCAAGCTTGTTCGCCTAGAAGCATCATGTGCGTTCTCGCCGTAGGATCTCAATCGTCATACAAGAGCTATTTCCCCCCTACTCTACTTCCTATCTAGGGCGTAAGAATTACACCTGTTTTGATCTCTGAGAAACCATCACAGTTGCGTGCGATCTTCATAATGAAGATTATCTCCCCCCGGGTAGTCGAGGTCAGATATACACTCTATTTTTTACTACTGAATGGAGTCATCGAGATTGAATATCGTTCTTTACTTTACGACGGAGGGCGTGCTCTCTCGGACATCCGTGTCAGGTAGCAAATCAACTACCCCAACGCTCTCATATTGGCTGATTATGCTACTAGTGTAATACAGGCACTACATACAGTAAGTACCTCGTCAGCTCATTGAGCAGGCAGAAGACATGCACAAGAATCATGAGCGTGAATAGAGATGTGAATGCGTAGGTAAATCAAAGCACGCTGAGATTTTCCGACCCATGGATTGGCGATACACCTTTAAGTTCCCCAGATTTGCCCTGCCAAACGAAGACTCGTAATATCCCACATGTGCGCAATTTTCGTCGCCAATACGGGTGAAATTTGTTCTGACGGGGTTGATTGCAGGTACAGTCTCAAGGTAATATCGGGATGCGTGCATGGACCAGACTGGAGCATCGTCAACGAGCAAGCGCCGTGCAGATCCCAAACAAACCTCTGTTGTTTGAGTAGTTGTTTTTGCCTCTCGAAGAAGCACGGAAGTTGAAATATCACCTCCTGCGAGGACATTCGACGAACAGATGGTGCGACGTTTCCAAGCACCTGCACCCGAATCGGCACCACGGAGATGTATTTTCCATACGAGCGAAACACTCAGTGTCCAATTGTCGTGACTTTGTGCAGAGCTGTACCAACGCTGGATAGGCATAGGGCGTGCGCACATAGGAATGTTCTGGTGGAGTATGCAAGTCGTAGAGAGGCGGTGCGAGTGTATGACCAGGCTTAAAGCTTGAAGGTCGGAGCTGTAGCATGACGCGAGAGCATGTAAGTAAGTAACGAAGGTATCGGGGACTCAATAAATTTCAACGTGGAAGAATAAAGCGTAAACGTGGCAGGTGGATTGCAACCAATGATACAGTGAGCGCGCAGGCAATTAATGTAGACCATAAGTGAGGGTTGAGTGAGGGATACGAGACCAGAAGTAGCGATCACTGAATTGTGGAGCGCGCGAAACATTGGATATTACGTAACTGTCAAGTTCGGTCGACACAACCACCATGGCTGCCCCAAGACCGACTGTGAGCACTCGCAAAGTTACATCTATCAATATAGCTGAACTTTCCGCAGTCAAAATTGCCTCCAGGTGCTAATCGTATACTCTTCGTCAAAAACCTTAACTACCAGATTACCGGGGAAGACTTGTACGACCTCTTTGGGCGATATGGCAGCATCAGGCAGATACGCATAGGGGATGAGCAAAAGACGAAAGGAACAGCCTTTGTTGTATTCGATGATGTTATGGATGTATGTTTTCCCTTGTCCCGATGGGTTCGTTCTATCTAATTCCCGCTAATGTAGGCAAAAAACGCACTTGAACATTTGAATGGTTTCCATTTGCAAGAGCGATATATTGTTGTTCTGTATCATATGCCAGCGAAACAAGATGCTGCCGCCGCCAAAGCCGATCTAGCCCGAAGAGAGGAAGAACTAGCACAGTTGAAGAAGAAGCATAACATTGTGGATGATTGAGCCACTCCATCTCGAGCTTATTATTGCATATTCTCGCTCATTCATGTGTACAGCTCATATGTTTTTGATCGCAATACAATACATCTGTCAGGTGGTGTCGGTCTGTATCACAGATGATGTCCATAAAAAATGCTCAGCCGCGTGTACTACATTTTGGGCACTTCTTGTCAATCTGCGGTGCTGAACGCAGCGGATTTCAGCATAGAGTCAGCGCAGTTGACTTGTTGACATACCATACTGCTGGGGGTATTGGCGGCTATATCGTCGCAAGTTAGCGGTATTTGGAATTCAGCGGTATGAAGACTCACTACTGCCAGCACATCTTCGTGCACTGTGGCGGTATACATGTCGGTGAATGCTTGGGGCTGAATTTGCAGTTTCTAAGGTCACACTTGATCTAGACACTTGATGAGATAGCAAACAAAAAAAGTTACTGGCTTCTGACCTCCTCGTCTGGCTGCACAAGGTGATGTGTTAGCTAAATTAAACACTTGCGGAGCTAACAAAAATCGTACCAGATTTATTGAATGCCCACAGCTACGAAGGAAGATAGTGTCAGTTATTCTGGCCACTGAATATGATCATACCCTTTGTAATAGTTGTGCACCCTGAATAGCAGCGAATCAATGACGGTGGCTGCAGCCGAACAAGCAGCTACCCACCTTCTCCAATAACACATAATGATCAGGATGTGGTTTTGGAGCTTTTCAATATGTATGTCTTTTATACCTGAAATCAGGGCCATTCTAATGAGATAGTTCTTTCACCATTTACACGACAAGTAAAATGAGGCCGACATGGGGAAGACTAAGAATCCATTCTCGGCATCCGTCTAGCGGTGAAGACAGACAGCTATGGAAATGGCAATCCCGCAGTGGTCGCACGATTGATGAGTAAGGGACCAAAGCTCAAAACAAATGTGCACCCTGACCCTTGTCGATATCTTACGAGCGGCATCATATCGTCATTGTCACGCACATTATAGGACGACGGAGTTTGATAATTCCATCAAGAAGTGCGGATGATTGCGCGCGGAGGAGCCGGGACAGCATACCTTTTTCTTCTTCTGCAGGCGTGGGGTGAACTCAAAACGGCGTTCTTTCCCAGATAATGTCCCACAATTCTTGCTGAAAACTTTTAGTACTGAAACGTTGCTATAGCCTAAGTTACCCCTTTCGCCTCGGAGGCGACTGAATGAGTTGCTTTACGGATTGACGTACGTCGGTGAACGTGGCTTTGAGCTGTCATGTTATCACCGATAGCGCCATATCAACAGTCTCAAAATTGGTTATTGCGGATGCAATTCGCGCTCCCACCAACTCTATTATCCTCATCTTCGTTCCGAAGTGATGATACAGCTCAGATCAACTTCTCCAAGATAAGGTTGATCAAAATTGCTCATGGCACTGCAATGTGTTTGTGCTGTGACTGCGGGGCTCTGGCCTTTTCGCAAATGCTGTGGGCTTCCCTGCCGGGCGCTGGAACATGGCTTTCATATCGGTTTGAGAAGCGTTATCGTCACTCACAGAAACAGCATGGTCCTTGCGGACTATCCAAAAACGAGCGCTGAATGAGCTGGTCAGCGTAGTCACGTAGTCATTGTCAAGTATCTTCATGATCCGAAATTATTTTCCAAGGGACGGTCTGGGAATTCTATTTCAAGTACTTTGGATGTCTCCACTCTGTTTGTTTGTATGTGTACCTAATGTACGCCCGCCTTCTATGGCGTTGTGGTGACTGGTCAAAAGGTGTAGCATTTATGGATACATCCAACCAATACTCGACACATGGTATCCTGTGGTGAATATTTGTGGCTATAATGATTTACTCAAATATTTGCTAGCAGCGACGTGGTAATTTTGGTGCCCGCGGGCCTGAAGGTCTAAGATCTTCTCGGCCGCACAATTCTCCAGGATATTCAAGTTTGCCAATTAGCACGGCCGCACTAAAACCAGTAAAATCCACGATCTTTGGAAGTGTTTGGCTGGATTTTTTTTTCACCGGCGGCTCACATTTTATTTTAGATAATGCGTGCCAACAGCACGAGAACCATATGGTGGATTGTCCCTGCTGAAGCTCAAGCATAAGTTGTGTTAAAGTATATATCCCGTGGAGATTCATATTATCGCGTCGCGGCTAGCCTGAGCTGTTGAAGTAAGTATAGGCAATCTACCATGCTTGAACCAATGATTGGTCGACCTGTGCCATTGACCTCATAACCTCCTGCTTTATCCATTAACTGATGCTGTTTCGAGTGTGCATGGTAAGTCAGTACTTGGAATTTGATTATGTTTAGCTCTCGGTGTCTGTAATAATTCTCCCATCGGGCCAACGCCCGTTTGCTCTCAAGATGCTCAGGCTGATCTTGGCCTCCAAAAGATTCCCATAATTTTGAACCATTTCTTGCTGTAGCAGGTTAAACGTCATACACCGTGAGATTGTTGCATCGCATCCCTGCAATCTCATGCGCGCTCAAAAATGTTTGCTCACAATTTTAGCTCAGAAACGCGTTGATCCAACGGTTGGCGGTACAGATGACATACGGCTAACTGTTCCCTCTCAGGCAACTACAAGGTCACCATGACTAGCATTCTATGTCGTCGGGGCCGACGCTTTGTCCCAAACAGTGGTCCGGTGGCTTTGCGTCGGCATGACATTGTCTTCGTGTCCATATTTCTTGGCTACTTCACTCGTCAACTAACGCACATTGCTTAGTATGGCAGTACTTGGACAGTGCAGGTCAATTACGCCGCCGCAAGATTAACTCCCCGATGCCTCCGACAGGTTCTATAAACGCGCGTTGAAAAGGAGCGGAATCTTGGTATCTCAACGAATCTGATCTTCGGTTGTCCTATAATGTCTTGTGTTGGAACTTCAGAACGTCAAAGCATGCGATCGTCGCATCGTCTCCCGTCGGGCTCGTCCTGTCTCCCTTCTGTCCACAAATAACTTAAAGAGGGACCAGGCACCATGATAGAACTCGAATATAGTGTACCGCGTTGCATGGTACCCGTATAATTTACCGTTTCATTACATAAACCCTCACGCCCTCACTAGTCAGCCAATGAACATCATGTATTGTTTATCGTGCACAAAGGCCGCATGAAATAGACTAGAGTCATGCTATATGCTATCGAAGTCTCCGCTGTTTTCAAATAATTCGCCAAGACCACTTATTGGCACCGTCACCCCTAGGCCCTGGTTCTATCTCGAGTTCGTCTATGGTACGTATCACACCACCTTTGGCACCCCCCTACATTGTGCCTTCTTGACTTCATGACTTCACGTGACAACAGACGAACAATTTCGCCTGGCTACACATACTCTGGCCCTGGCGAGTAGCACGCGGGAATTGAGCCGCTTTAGAACAATCACCCGTCACAAGGGCCCTAGGGGCCTGTAAGTACCAGTACCAGGTACCTTTTCTAGATCTCATGATAGGTACATACAGTTCAAGGCCACAAGTGGAGGTATGATGCGTTGGAGCCAGCAGTCATTGATCTCAGGTTCATCATATTTGTCCAAACGAGTCCGTGAAATAAGTCATGCTGTTCATCTATTCACACCACACCAGTCGGATCACGAGGAAAGCAGCATCTTCCACTTCGCATGCACGATCAGGCTTGTACTGACGTGCGCACCGAACAGCAGCATCTTCAGCCGAGTCCTCTCAATATGATTTCAAAACATAGTTTGCTGGGAAGGACCTCATTAGCAAACAAATTTTGTCGCAGAAGCTGCAACTGTTGGAAGATGATGAGCTGATCTCTGCCCTGGCTCAGCAGTAGAACTATGCACGCGCAACATATTACTCACACAGTGGGCCCGGGAACGCATGCACCAACATGAAATATATGCACCCTTGTCACCTGCTCGAGTCGAAAAAAATTCAATCATGTGGCGCAAGCTCAGCGCAGATACCACCAAAAATATTCCAGTGGATGCTGTCATTGGCAAGCGGCAGGGTACCACGCTTCTAGATGATATTCAAGAAGACTACTCAAAGTACTCTGTCATCAGCTTTATATCTGACATGACCAATACTGGGGAAAACAAGGTAGCAGAAGATCAAGTCCAATTTGAAACCGCCGGGCTACTGGTTAAACAAAGGGCCGCACAGGGAAGAATGACAGCAAAGAATAAGACCGATCCAACCAAGATTGAAAAGGGGCGAAAATAAATTAGAGTAAATATTACGTGCTCTAAACGTGCTCAGCGCTCAGGTACTGCACAGATAAACTAGGGCCTTCCATCCATGCGATGCGGACGAGCGCTGTTCCTGCCATCTGCTGCAACGGCGAAGTGCGCAAGCGATGGGAATGCCATGCATACAATGATCATTATTCACATGAATTTGTACCCAGAATCAATGACAACACGGCCTTTTAGTGACGACCATACAAAATTGCGGGATACCAGTCAGTCAATGAGAAGGGATACAACCACAACTAAGGATGAATGCAAAAAAATAAAACCTCATAAAGTACAAATATGCAGACCATTGAATATCATCCATGCTCAATGCAAGTAATAACTTGGCTGCGGTCTGCCGTATCACTCCTAAATAAGCTCCGCAGCATTGACTGGCATTTCGTCCTTGTGAATTGAATCATCAGCGATGAAGACAGAATAAAGCAACGACTGAGGGGGGCAACGTACAATTTGTGTGCTGTAAAATTGTTCTGGGATGGAGTGAGTGATGATGGCAACCAGTCAAAAAATGACATACCGATGTCGCGCAGGATACGCACGTCGTCGACAGTCACGAACTAACGAATGAAACATGAGAATATCAAGCGGGCGTGATGAAGAACATAACGTACATTGATGGCAACACCTTTCCGGCCAAAACGACCTGAGCGCCCAATGCGATGTATGTAATTCTCACGATTGCTGAGTGGAGCGGCTCAGTCAGTAAATTTAAAAAAACTCGAGGCAAAATTAATTACGCGGGCAGATCATAGTTGATGACAAGGGAGACTTGTTGGACATCAATCCCTCGGGCCCAAACATCTGTCGTGATGAGCACGCGACTGCAGTAGAGATCAAAACTTTTCCAGATTCAAGCAAGCCAAAAAAAAAATGACGCACGATGTGCCACCACGGAATTCCGCCATGATAGCATCTCTTTCCTTCTGAACCATTTCACCGTGCATCGATGACACAGTGAAGTTTGCCGCACGCATCTTTTCAGTCAGCCAATCAACCTATTTCAACCAGTAAGCTACACTGAAGAGGGATTTGTTCGGAGGCATACCTTGCGCCGGGTGTTGCAAAAGATGACAGCTTGTGTGATGGTAAGTGTGTCATACAGATCACACAACGTGTCGAACTTCCAGTCCTCTTTTTCTACAGCAACAAAAAATTGTTTGATCCCTTCTAGCGTCAACTCATCACGCTTGACGAGGATACGAATGGGATCGGTCATGAATTTTGTCGTCATCTCCAACACGTCGTAAGGCAGTGTCGCACTCAGTAGGACTACCTGAGTAGCTGGAGGGAGGTAACGGTACACGTCATATATTTGGTCCTTGAATCCCTTGTTGAGCAGTTCGTCTGCTTCATCGAGAACCAGCATTTTAATGTTGCGCGTCCGCAAAGCACGGCGCCGAATCATATCGAAAACACGACCAGGGGTTCCTGACACCACGTGTTGACCATATTCCAACTTTCGAATGTCCTCGCCAATGGATGTACCTCCAATGCAAGCATGACACTGGACATTCATATAGTCACCGAGAGCGAGAACCACTGACTGAATCTGGGTCGCCAGTTCACGCGTAGGCGATAGCACCAGAGCCTGTGTTTCGCGAACAGAGACGTCGATAGACTGCAAAATAGATATCGAGAAGGTGGCGGTTTTACCGGTTCCGGACTGTGCTTGTGCAATGACATCGCGACCCTGTGTTATTGGGAGAATAGCACGTTGCTGTATAGCAGACGGTTTCTCGAAGTCTGTACACAAACTTCGGCACTTACAACACTGCAAGGAGAAAATAAACTTACTGTACGCATATATGCCGCGAAGAAGGTCCTCTTTCAAGTTGAGGTCATCAAAAGTCGACACAACCGAGACTGCCTCGGAGGACTCAAATACAAGTTTCTGTGAAATCAATTAGACCATGCACGACCACGCAGTTTATTTTGCCCTTCTCTGGGCTGTTTGACAAACTTGCCTCGTCTCCAGGGTTGATGCCAGACATGTTGACCTATAGGGAAGATGGGTGAGGTGGTGAAAAGATCGGAGATTGAAAATACAACCTAACCAGCTCAATATTTGGACTTGGTAAGTATAGTCTTGGGCAACATGGACTCCATCATCGAAACACAGCGTCAGACACACGAGGAGATAGAAAGATACGAAACTGCTCTCTACTCCCTACTCTCAAGAAATCAACCAACTCATGAAATCAGGATTCAGACAGAACACAAGGCAGCTCAGGTCTTGGATCGCATTTTGTCGCGTGTGACAGCCTTGCACAACTCTTACCTTGATGAGGATGCGCGGAAAGCTGAAATAGGCGCACTTAGCGCTCCAGCAGCAGCGCAGAATGACCTTTCTGAGTTCTATGCGCGGTTGGTGAAGGTTCAGGACCACTACAACAAGTATCCTGATGCTGTAGCAGGAGGCTTCGACATGGAGCTTGCCTCCATACTGGAGGAGGGTAATCAAGATGGGCTGGATGATGATTACGAGGAGGAAGATCGTGCGTTTACAGCAGTCTTAATTTCGCATTGTTTCACCTTCGTTCTTCAGCCATATCTTTGCTTTTCTCTGGCGAAGAAGCATACGGAAAGTACCTTGATTTGTACACGAATCACACCGCGTATAACAACTTGAAGAACATTTCAAAACGACTGCCTTACCTTCAGTATCTTGATATCTTGCTTGCCGCTCAAAACGGTTTACTGCACAGCGAGCTTGCGAAGGAGGCTAGAGCAACAAAAGATTACGAGGTGTAAGCTGGTGCATATTCTGGCGTGGGCTGCCCTCAATCCTTATCCAGGTACATTCAACACTTGCATGATTATCTCCTGTCCTTTGTCAAACGGACACAGCCGCTTGTAGATATTCAAACAAAACACCAGGAAGCCGAAGTCGAATTTTACCAAAAGTGGGACAATGGCGAGTTTGTCGATTGGGATGAAAATAAAACCGCCAAGCCATCAGTGAATGCGGATGGCACAGGAGAGGGAATGTGGTGCTCTGCTTGTCAGTCAAGTCGTTTATCTCAACGAATCGCGTGTGTTCACGTTAGCATCGTCCAGGCCAGAAAAGCTACTCAAAGAAGACCGTTTATGACGCCCACTTGACCTCCAAGAAACATATGAAAGCAATTGCCAAACAGGCCGTTTCTGAAACACCTCCGCAAAATCCAAACGGCACACAAAACATTACCGCACAACCCGCGAGTAATGTTCAACTTGTAAAATCAAGACTCCGGAGCTCCGCGTTGCTAACGTATCTTTCCACATCCCTTCTTGTGGTGCTGGCCCCCACTATCAGCGAGACGAAATCCAATGTGGAACGTCGCTTCTCCCTCACAGCGCGCGAACGTGAACAAGAACTGCTTGAGCAATCGAAACCTCCTCCGGCTCCCACCAATACATCTGGTGATGCCGCGGCCGAAGAAGAGGAAGAGGAGAGGATCTACAATCCCCTGAAACTTCCGCTCGGCTGGGATGGCAAGCCAATTCCATACTGGCTTTACAAGCTTCACGGCCTTGGAGTAGAATATCGCTGCGAAATATGCTCTGACCACGTGTACATGGGAAGGTAGTAATTTATAATTTTCGAGATAGCCGTATGAAAGCTTACAACCATGCGACAGGAAAAATTTTGACCGACACTTCCAAGTATGCAGCTCTGCTTTGATTTGATAGTGGTAGGCTAATCACTGATCACGAAGGAATCACGGCACGCGTTTGGCATGCGAGCTTTGGGCTTACCAAACACAAAGCATTTCCACGAAATTACTCGCATTGAAGATGCCCTCTCACGTAAGTGCTGTCATTTTCAAAGAGAATGTCCGTTGAAATTTTATTTAGTGGCAGAAAAGTTGAAGCAAGAGGGACGACATGAGATTTTCGAGCAGGAAACAATGGAAGAACTTGAGGACGACGAGGGCAATGTTTACAATAGGAAAACTTACGAGGACCTGAAAAAGCAAGGTCTGATTTGATATGTCCGTGCTGCAGTCCTGTACTTCTTCCATTCAGTACTTTATTGTTGACCTCTATGACCATGCCAACCATAGAATTAATGTAAGCTTCGTATCACACATCGGTATGCCGCGAGCGCGGGGGAGGTGGAGGAGGTTTACGAACAGGTGTGATCGGAGATTGCAACCCCATTGCATGTGAATATAATTCTTCATCGGAGGACGATGGCGAGGATGAAAAGGGAGATTCCTCTGGCGAGTCAAAAGGGTTGGCTGCATTTGATTCCAAGAGATGAGCTATCGAGATGGGAAAGATGCCATTTGGATGTTCTGAAAACGTGTCAGAGCATGTGTGCTGGTGTCGTTACATGCTTACCAGGTTTGTTCCACCATGCATCATCATCTGTGCTAGGCGGGGGCACTAATAAGACATGAGCTTCGCGCGTGACTAAGAGAATATAACACAGACATTCAGAGTAGGACTCATCGGGAAGTACTAAAGACGCAAGTTTTTCATCAAGTTTCTCGCCTGGAGTAGCTGACAGTGTGTTTTCCAGGAGCAGCCGAGATAACGCGGCTCTCTTTACGACATCTATAATCCGCACCTCGCTTCTAAAAAGCGCAAAAACTTGGTGCCAGTAATCAGTTGCGCATAGTGATTACAACCGGAAAAGAGCTTACCTGGACGGTGGTCCGAGCCTTTCAGCTCAGCCCGGGAGTATACCGCGAGATCGAATCGGCCTTTGAACAAAATTCTGTCTGTGAGATGTGTCATTCACGTGAGTGCACCCCCTGAACGTCGGAACTGCTTACCAGTCCAAGCCGGAATGCGCATCTTCTCACTGGTATCATAGTTGTCGGTACCCAGGTCGTACTTGTAAGTGGGACGGAACAGCATGGGTCCTTCTTCATATCCAGCAAATGCGTCCCCATTGTCGATTGCCTGTCTCAACTGTCGTAGGATTAATCTAGGACAAGCCCTTGTCTATTAGTCGTCGAACATACCTGATCTGCTGCTACCAAAGAATCGAAATCATCGGCTTCCGACCGGGCTCGGACGCTTTCGTTGTCAAGGTCTATCCTGTAGTTCGTGTCTGCGAGCCATATGATATTTCTGTTGGGGGCCTATACGTGTCAAGCTCTACATTCCCGAGAACCAAGCTTACTCATGGCTGGACAACGTCTTTCCTTTTTGAAAGTGTAAACCTTTCACAATTGTGTGGAAGTCCGCATTCCGCTCTTCGACGTTGCTATGCCCAGCAGCAAGGTGCGCAGTCAGGAAACAGAAGCTAGTGTCGTAATAGTCTAGTCGGACACCAACGCCGCCTTTGTTTCCGGACATGCCCCGCAGACCGGTCTAATATAATGTTCAAGCCAGGACCTCCAATTATGTAGTCAAGGCCCACCTTTCGGGCTGCTCCTTCGACATTCCGTATGACAGCCGTTAGATCTGAGCGAACTATGACAAGAATTGCAGTCCCGACAAGCTGCAATGATGGCGTCAGTATCACTTCACCTGAACGTGAACGTGTATCACTTGTTCACTGCGGAGGAGCACATAATCATACGTTCTTTGAGGTCGACGTTCAAGGGTTTCCATAACCTTCTGTTCCCATATACGCCTAATGATGTCAGGACGCATGCTCCTCGTACAGCAGAATGCCACCTACTTCTTTTCCGGATCTGGTTGCACAATCTGCTGGGCGGTAAGTTGAACAATTTCCTGGAAGCCGAGAACAAAAATGTCGGGTCTACAAACTTGTCAGTTACGCCATTGAATGCAACTAAGTTTATACTCTAGAAAATCTGTATAAATGACAATGCTATTAAACTGCGACTTAGAGTGAAGAACTAGACTTACTGTCCCGCGGGAAGAGCCACGGTAGTAGGCTTTCCGATGACGGCAGCTGCGCGGAGGGGAATTGGTGAACAGTGGCAAGAATACGCATAATCCGCCTTACCCGGCCGTTGACATTCCATGTTCCTACGAATATACTGCACGACTGGGTAGTCGAGTACTCGGACAAGCTTATGACAGCATTGGCAGTGAGATTATTGCGTGCCGATTCCACTCACCGCTGCTGCAGCGCCTTTCCGACTGAGTCGTGTATTGCGTCGAATATATTTACCTGACGTTGGTTACTCATATTGCCCTAATTAAAAGTATTCGTAACTTAGAAGGAAGATCAAAAGAAATTACTCACAAGAAACATGTCAATGGCAATTTGCTTTCCTTTATCTTGAAAATTATTGATATATGCTCTCGACACACTCTTTGTCGCATCGGACAAAACACCTTCAAGGTACATTAGAATGTCACAATATTTTAATACCATGTATCTGACCTGCCAATGTTCTCTTCCCAGTCCGAGTGACGCTCGTGTTCAGTGCGCCAGTACCAGCATAGATACGGGAGAGAGCATCTCCGTTTTCTGCCCATAACTCGCGATGGTTCATCCAGATCGCACCAACTTGTAACCATTCGCGATGCACGAGACTGAGGTATTGTTCCAAGGCTTTACGAGAGAAGATATCTTGCACAAAGTTTGTTCGGTCCAAGCTATGGTTCATTTAACACAAAGACTCGGATATGAGCTGTTCGACTCACCAATCAAGGCAGTTCGTCCTGAATACGCCTTTTTGTTCCGTGATCAAACTGTCGGTGCTGATGTCATACATGGTGAATCCGTAACGTTCCATATTGTTGTTGACGCCTTCCAAACGACTGCGTCTCATTATGATGAACTGACCGTTTATTGAGAGACCACGACGTACCAGAGATCCCTCATTACACTATCATGACCACCTATCCTCACAGCATTGTGGAAGTCGTAGTGGGTAATACCGAGCTCGTCGCCCCATATACTTCTTGCATCTTGCAAGTGCTTTGCATATGCAGAAGTCAAGATGGCCTCATTCTCTTTGGAACCCAAAAGGTTGATGGCATGAGTAGCACCATACTCCTCCATCAAATGTGCGAAGTGGCGCTCAAATGCAGGTTGGGAGGCGTTCGGCCGTGTAATCTGGATGCGCTGGCCGAAGGTCTGGAGCCCTTGTTGTTCCCAAAACACTGTGATTCAAAGTGTTTTAACAGCTAGCGTGTGAACCCCCCGCTGTGAAAACGCACATGGAACACTTCCCCGGACTTGGGTATAACTCACACGATGTTGATCTGTAGTGAGGATAGTCTCAGTCTGTCGAATGCAAATCAGGCATTGACCTTATATTCAGTGTTCATCACCTACCTCAACAAAATTAGCAGTGTTCCCGTCATCATCTACACCCCGAGTATTGAAACGCGTGCCAGCTCGTCTCCACCCAAGACGAGAAATTAACGACAATGTCGCAATAACGGGTGTTCCATTGACCGGCGGCGCGGGCAAATGCATGGTAAAGACGCCCACATAACCTTGTATGGCTAATATCTATTCGCCATGTTACATATAGTCTTCAAGAGGAAAAAGCGAGCACAAGCGCACGATAAATTGACACTTGTCGAGTTCCATCCTTTCAATGGAATCTAGCCTCTCTCGGAAATTAAGCAAACTGCGGACGATGTATTCATTCCAGACGAAGCGCTCATCAAATATACCGATATCATGTGCAATGGATTGATCTCTCGCCAGACGAACGGGAAGCCGAGACGAGAGATCCCATGCAGGATCGAGAGCATAATAGAATGAACCAGATGAAAGAATTTTGGTGAGTGGCATGCACGGATGCTCAAACACAGGAGGAGTTGTGGACTGAGAATAGTGCTGCTGCTCTCTTGTCATGAGTGCATCGGTGTTTTCTGGATTAAGAAGCGTATCTTGTGCAGCAGAAAAATCATCCCATGAGTGGGAAGTGAGACAGTAGAATAAGACTTCGTGAATCTTCGCCACGGATTCAGGCTGAGAGTCGGAGGGACGAGTCTTTCCGACTTCCGTCGCAGAGGAAATCACCGCGAGAAAGGTATCTATAAGTGATAACGATCAAATTGGACGAGTTAGACATGCAAATCAGCATACCATCTTCGATCGAGATGAGGCCAAGACAGCCTTTAATGACGCGGCTGGTCAACCTCATGGCGCTGGTGAGATTGACCTCATCCTTCGGCAGAAACTCGACGATCACCTGTGCTGGATTGGCTTCTGCAGCACGAAATACGAGAGCCCTTTGCGGTCGTCCTTTCCGCTCGTCGTGTGATCCAGTTACCAGGTAGAGTGTACGAGGGTTGTGACTTAAGTAGAGATGCATAGCATCAGCAGTGGGCTGGGAAGGAACTTCAAGGTAATGAGCCGAGACAGTCGTGCTGCAGTGCCCGTATTGCTGCTTTGTCGGTCTGTTGTATTAACACTAAGACACAATCCTGGCCTTCTGGTGTCTGTATGGACCTGGTTGGTTGGACCTGGCATATGGAGTCCAGACTCCAAATAGGTGATCCGACTTTCGAGCCCGACTCAGACGTATTTGTTTGGTAAAAGCCTTCGATCCAAACAACCGTTAGCGGCCTAGTAGTACCTAGTAGTGCAGAACTCAGAAGTGCAGAAATGCAAGTCAATTGATCTGTGCAGTGAACAAAGTTTGCTTAAGAATAAGAGTAATGAATATGATGTATAATATGTACTACGATACACAGAAATCCACGGAACTGAACACCCCTACTACCTACCTGCAAGGAATAAATTAGATCATTATGCTGCCGGTCTCAGAGCTCTCAGTCTTTCTGCTAGTTTATCGTCTTCCTCGCCAATGTTCTCTTTCACAGCTAGAGATGGAACACCAGACAGGTCTTTCGACGCGAGATCGTGCTGCAATTCTATGTTGGCTTCTTCCGCCATCTGTCGCATGAGAGATTCTACTTGATCTTGCGGAGTTGATACAGCAGTTGAGCTTGATATTGCATCCTCCATGTAAGACGTTTGGACGTCTAGGTCGGAGAATTGTGATTCGAACTTGTCCATCACAAGCGAAATCTATGACATCATTCGAAAGAGGTCATGATATCGTGTAGCGAAGGACGTATCCTTTACTCACCCGTTCAAGATTCATGCTATCCATTGCTTTGTCCATGCCCTTGACCACGGAGGTCATGTTTCCAGTAACCTGTCTCATTGTGACGGCAGTCTCCACTCGACTGGCAACAGCGTCTAACCGGCTAGATAGTCGCAACAAGTTCAGAGCCTCGGACTTCTTGCGAATAGCATTCGAGGCATAGATTCGCGCGCCATCAGTATTCCTCTGCTGCAACGCCTGAAGTCACTCATTAGATCACTGTGCGTTTAATGCAAAACGACAGTGTGAATTGACCTTCTTGAGACGAGCCTTTTCCGTATTCTCATCCTTTTGCGCTTTCTTTGCTTGACGATTGAGGGTCTTGGCGGTAAACTGAGGGAGAGGATATAAAGAAGATTCTTGCTGGACATGATGATAAGTACCTTCAGCTGAAATAGCGTCTCTGCAAAGTGTCAACGGGTTTCTTGTAACCTAGCTCTTACACGGGCTGCTCACTTTCCATGTTGCTCATGTTCGATCAGTCAAAGGACGCAGCGTTGATAACAGGGAAGATAGCTCAGAATAGATGCTACAAGTCAAAGTGGAAGATGTGGGCTATGTGTGGCTGCGGTGTAAGCGTTTGGATCTGGCCACGTGCACAAGTTAGGCTTTGGCGGAACCCTTTCTCGGGCGATCAACGTTTCAACCGTTGACTTTATACAAGCCTGATAGACTGTCACCTGGTCCCTCCCAGAGCTAAGCCTCGTAGCATGTCATTGTTGCATTATCTCAGGTGTGGTTCGTTTCGAAATACTGAATAGCTTAAATTGAATGGTCACTTTCATACAGTTATGCTGCTATGGTTGCTGCTTTGGCATTCATGACACTTTCACTTGGTTCGTAATACTTTCCGCCACCTTCGTGTCTGCCCATTTCTTACCTAGAGCTCCAGCTAGTGGTCTGCTGTATGTCTCCGAGCTAATAGAGGAGCATTCACGCCTTGCCAAGATCATTGGACAGCGGGGGACATATGTTCGTGAATTCATTTTCTAAACCAAAGCAACTATCTTACATGGAGAGAAGGCAATAATAGTGCTGCACATTGCACTCTACATTTCCGACTCCCTCCCCTTAGCACAGACACTTTTTTCTGTAGTCTGCCACGTCGTCTACTTGCAGAACTTCTCCAGCACTTGGCCGCTTATTTCGCTCTCGTCCTTGTCCTTTATTGCGTCCTGCATTTTTGCAATCTCGGATCACTTCATTTGGTTCTTCTACTTCTCCCACCTCACACGGGAGGCAAGGCAGGTGTCACATCTATATCGTACTCCGACACATTCTACAGTACCTGGATTCTCGGATATTGCAACCTTTTTCGGGGTCTGCGTTTGGCTCGTCCCGCTCTTCCTCTTCTTGAGTTTGAGTGCGAACGACCATGCCCTGCCTACATCATCTGGTAAGCATCCTCTTATGCTTCGTCAATGCCATATACTCAGATCTGGTTGTAAACTTAGGCATACCCAGCACGCCGACCGCTACCTTGCGAACGTTGGGGCCTCATTCAAACTCGTCTCTATTCAAGGCGATGTTTGGTCTCATTCCGTTTCTTCCCAAGGCATTCAGGCGTGAAGCGACGGATGGGCTGATAGCTCCGCATACCCCCAATCCTACACGTCAGGAAAGCTTGCCTGTGCCTCCATCACCAACAGTTTACCACGTACCTCTTCACACATCTGGAGGAGTTCACGCTGTTAGCGGGACTGGTGTATTGCCTCCCAATCGATTTAGCCTTGGTTCGCCACCACGGCGGGCGTCCAAAGTTCACACAAGAGTCACCATTGACAGTGGAAACGCGACATTAGCAGCAAGAAATAAGCTAGACTGACACCATGTACGTTGCATTGTCATCTTCTCGTATGATCAGTGCGCTGTTCAGTGACGCCTCACGTCCATCGGGCTCTAGGCTAGTTAGTATGCCATCGCCTTGCGCTGATCTCCACCACTTTGATCTCGCAGCAACAGTAAATAGTCCTAATAAATCCTCTCTTGAAGTGCACCTCGCAGGGTTGATAGGATGCAGGCTTCGACATTCACGATGCGGGATTTAATATATTAAGATAAGATACCAAACAAATCAGAGGTCAAATAAATATACACACCAGTTTCCTGCAACCGAAGCCAGGTGCTACTCAGCAGAAGGCTCTCTGACAAGCTGTGTTAGTATTCCCATGGCTTGTATAAAGAAAGGTCGAATCTCGTTGATTTCCATAGAACACAGGTTCGGCAACTGCATAACAATGAGGAGTACGTGATGTGACAACCAAGTGGAACGTACGCTAAGCTCGCTGTGATCTAATTTTTGCAAACCATCGCGACTTTTAGCTTGTCGAGCTTCGCGAAGATCTTTCAGTAATGATTTGATTTTGTCCGCATTCTGCACGTCATCTGAGGCACTTGGTGAAAGTCAGATATTGCCACCAAATAAACAAAAGTGTTACTAACACATCAAGAATGACCTTGGCTATCTCTGCAAAACGGAAAGGCAGCTTGCTGAATTCCGGCCGACTTGTTTCTCTTGTTAGTCGTTCCTGCAAAAAATCTAGAAGATGGTACATCAGTGAGCGTGTAATTAGCAAAGAAACGCTGTACACAAACCTACACTGAGCCATTCCGGGGGTACGATGTGACATTTCTTCTTCAGCTTCAGATTAGTGGCCATCCACAGGGGTACGCGACATTTTGCTGGCGGTCGTAGTGGACCATATGCGCCCTATGTGAGTACGACCATTTATGGGTACTGCTACGGAAATCCACCTCGATGCGTACCGAAATGAAAGCTGTTTTTTCCATTGTGATCAAGGGGACAATCTCGACAAGGTGCTCAGAGGCAATGAGTTCAAGCTCTAGTGGAGTCACAGATGTTCTTAAAGATTGTGGTAATGCCATCAGAAACACACAAAAGACGTGGATGAGGTTAGGCGGTCACAACCGATTAGCGCACTTAGCGTTGCTTTCTTGACGCGTTTGCGCACGTGACCAAGACGCGTCTGAACCGAAAAGTCGAACACGCTCATCCGGTACTTGCATTACACCTCGGACCTCTTCAGATCTCACATCATCTACCATCCTGTCGACCATATTTCTCAGCTTCATCGTTTGTCTCGTTATTCTCATGCTTAGTGCAAGAACTAAGCAAGTCTTTGCCTATGGGCGTCGTGGTCACCGGATTGTGAATGTCGTTGAGAGGAATGAGTCGGATGCCTTTGATTCACCTGTTAAGACAGTGCGCAATCCGGCAGCTCCTAGGCAAGTTAAGAGAGAAAATGCTATCTACTTATCCCCTTCTCCTCGCCATCGGGTACACGGGAAATCCAAGCGCGCACATGTCTCACCTACCAAATCCCCGCTTGGCCCACCCAAGAAGAAGTCTCACGTCAAGCCAGCAGTCAAACCAAAAAAGAAGACTGCGCTTTCAAAATTTGAAGCGCAGACGCCTGTGCGTCAGCCGCTTACCCCTTTGCGCACGAACGGTGTGTCGCCTACGGCTCTACCGCCTTCAGCACTCGCGAGGAGGAAGGGCAAAGCGCCAGCCAAGTCATCGCCACGGGCTGCGCTGAAACCCACATCTCCAATCGTGACTCTTGACATCATAGTACTTGATGACGATGGCAAGAGGCTCAGTCAGGAACGGCGGGTATCACGAACTGATGTTCAGATAAACCCTGTGACTGTTGCAGCTCCGAGGCTTGGGGGCAATGGAGCACCCAAGACGCCCACAATTATCGCCATCAGTGACAGCGACTCTGATGCGGAGGAAGTAACTGTGGTAGCGAAGAAACGCATTGGCCGCATGCGATCGGTGATTGTCATATCCTCTGATGACGATGAACCTCCACCCAAATGCGAAATAGAGCTGACGGCTACTTTTTCCAAACGACAGTCTTCATTTCTCGAGGTCGTGGTACCCGCTGCGCCCTATAAGCTACCCTCACCCTACAAGCCACCTACAGTCCTCCAGAAACCGTCACCACTTCTACCATTGCTTCCACGTTTACCTCAACAACAACTACCAGTGTTTGTGCCTCTCGCCCCACCGACAACGAAAGTACGACAACTGACACCTATACGCCGGGGACAAAATCGAGCACCGTTCCAGCGCTTCTTCCCCGCACCTTCCACTCCTACTGACGCAGATCTTTCTCTTGAACTGGAGCAACTTAACATCTCGGACGTAACCGAATTCGAGGACTTGCTATCCCCACAACCGGACCATCTAATCCCGCTCCTGTCAGAGTGCTCTCAGACATGTCCGCACGAATTCTCTGCTTTCATAGAGACATTCCCATTCGATCCGATCGTGCAGCCTGCAGAAGGAGATGACTTGGACATCAAATTTCGAAAAATTGGCGAGGCCTCGTTTTCCGAGGTTTTTGGCATCGGTGACGTAGTTCTTAAGATCATCCCCTTGCGAGATGAGGAACAACGTATCACAAACGACTTGGAGAGTCCCGCACCGAGCGACGCGAGTGATGTTTTGAAGGAAGTTATTGTCACTCGAGCGATGGGAGAGATGAGCAGTGGCTTTATCAAGCTTCTCAGGACATACGTCGTCCGTGGGCGCTATCCTTCGCTGCTTCTTGATCTTTGGGATGAATATAACGAACGCAAGGGTTCTGAGAGTATAAGACCAGGTAGGAAGCATATGGACATGGATAATCACAATCGTTATAACTGTTAGTTAGACTCTTTTGGCCTTGCACAGGTCTACGCAATCATTGTTCTGCCAAATGGTGGCCCAGATCTTGAAGCCTTCACATTCAAAAATGCCGCAAGGTCGGGCTGGCATCAAGCATGCAGTATTTTCTGGCAGATAGCCACGGCTCTAGATCAAGCGGAAGACCTTATGGCGTTCGAAGTGAGATTCTTTCCCATAAATGATGTCATGGCTGACGTGAAAAAATAGCATCGTGATTTACACTGGGGCCAAATCTTGGTGAAGAGTGTACCTGTTCGAACTTCATCGTCGAAAAAAGCAGGGAGAAAGCTCCACATGGATGATGATCGATTCGGCGTCAAGGCGACCGTCATAGATCTTGGGCTTTCGAGGATGGAAACCACAGATGCTCAAGGTTCCAAGACGTACTGGACACCGTTTGATGATGAAATTTTCGAAGGGGAGGGTCAGTGTCTTACATACTCCTGACACATGCGCTTTATTGATCGTACGTGCAGGAGATTACCAATTTGATGTCTACAGGATGATGAAAGTGTATAATGGCAACTCTTGGAAAGGCTATCAGCCTTTTACAAATGTCATGGTAAGAGTTGTATCCTCATTGCTTGTATATAAGGCTCACCCAAAACCAGTGGCTTCATTACCTTACACAGAAGCTCTTGCACTCAAAGCGACTGAAGCCTCCTGCCACGAGGAAAAAAAGCACGGCTGAGCCTACACAAGTGGCATCGCTGACAGGGTACGACGAACAAGAATGTTACGATTCACTAGTGGAGATCGATAAACTATTAGGTGACTGTATTACTGCGGCAAAGAAGTGTCGGAAGGGGAAGCGGAAAATGTGTGTGCCACCCTCTGGACCAAGGACGGCAGGGGAAGTTGTGTTGTATGGAGTCCAGAAAGGTTGGATGAAGCCATGAGCTGTATAATCGATTTTATTTTCTGTAGCAGTATACCCCAGTTGTACACTCGAATTTTAAATGCTATGGACGAGTATGTCAGCTGTACTCAGTCCAGACTCCATCGAACCACAGGACCTTCCTTTCTGAGCGATTATGCAGACGTCATAGCCCATATCTGAGTTGTTGCCACCTAGATTGGCGTTGAACGGAGAGAAGGAAGATGGGACTCGTCTGTTCCTGTCTGTTCCTTGTTACTTTCTCCCATCTCCCGCAAAAAATTTCTGTCCGCGAGCCCACCAGAAAATGTCGGCAACACCTAGCTTTGATCCCCAATCTGTGTTGAAGCTCGATGGGTACCTTGAGCCGTTCATCCCTGCTATCGCTCACCGCCACGAGCGCTTTCAGAAGTGGAAAGATACCATCGATCAATATGAGGGCGGGTATGAGGAGTTCACTAGAGGGTTTGACAAAATGGGTTTCAACGTCAAGGAGAGTGGTGAGGTAGTCTACAGAGAGTGGGCACCAAGTGTAACAGAGGCACATCTCATTGGTGACTTCAGTGAGTCTCATCCTTCTTGCTGCCTTGCGTTATTGAAGCATCGATTTTATATTCAGACCAGTGGAACAGGCTGTCCCACCCATTAAAAAAGAATGAATTCGGTGTTTGGGAAATCACACTCCCTCCCAAGGCTCCTGGAGTATGCGCGATACCTCATGACTCCAAGGTCAAAGTGAGTGTATATGATCTGCAGTGACATTTTTTTGGTTCTAAATTCATCAGATTTCCATGATCACATCCTCTGGTGCTCGTATTGAGCGTATCCCTGCTTGGATCCAACGTGTCACCCAAGATTTGGCCTTCTCTCCTGCCTATGAAGGACGTTTCTGGAATCCCTCTACTTCGGAAAGATATCAGTTCAAAAACTCTCGTCCACCGCAACCGAGAGCGATAAGAATATACGAGGCCCATGTTGGAATTTCAACTAGCGAACGCCGCGTAGGCACATACAAAGAGTTCACGAAAGATACGCTTCCGAGGATTCACGCTCTGGGTTACAACACCATCCAGCTAATGGCAATTATGGAGCATCCTTATTATGCATGTGCGTGATGAGCAACCGTTCCGCGTCTCAACCTGAGCTTCCTCATACTAGCTTTCGGCTATCAAGTAACCAGCTTCTTCGCTGCAAGCTCTCGGTATGGCACTCCTGAGGAGCTTAGAGAGCTTGTCGACACCGCCCATGGCATGGGTATAACTGTCCTTCTGGACGTTGTACACTCGCATGCCTGCAAAAACGTCCTTGACGGCCTCAACGCATTTGATGGGTCGGATCACCAATACTTCCACGAAGGCAGCAAAGGACGTCATGAGCTGTGGGACAGCAGACTTTTCAACTATGGGAGCCACGAAGTTCTGAGGTTTTTACTGAGCAATCTTCGCTTCTATATGGAGGAATACAAGTTCGATGGCTTCCGGTTTGACGGTGTCACGAGTATGATGTATGTCCATCATGGTATCGGAACGGGTTTCTCGGGTGGCTACCCTGATTACTTTGGTCCGGGAGCCGATGAGGAGGCCATTGTGTACCTCATGCTGGTGAATATTGCATTGGCGTGTCACTGTTTTCAGTGCTAACAGCAATCTGAAGGCGAATGATGCGATGCATACTCTTTATCCATCTGTTATCACGATCGCAGAAGACGTTTCAGGCATGCCTTTGCTCTGCATCCCCGTGTCTCAAGGAGGTATTGGATTCGACTACCGCTTGTCAATGGCTATCCCGGACATGTGGATCAAACTGCTGAAGCATAAGACTGATGACGAATGGGATATGGGAAATATCGTGCACACCCTTACAGACCGACGATACGGCGAGAAGAGCGTTGCGTACGCTGAAAGTCACGACCAGGCCCTGGTGGGAGATAAGACTCTGGCTTTCTGGTTAATGGACAAGGAAATGTGTAGGTTTGCTCCATCGTGTGTATTATAGGTACCCGAATGCCCCCACAGATACGCACATGTCGGATTTGACACCGATGACGCCTATCATCGCGCGAGGTCTTTCTCTGCACAAAATGATTCGGTGGGTCTTGTCGTCTGTAGCTGCACACGAATACTCACGACCGCAGTCTCCTGGTTCACTCGCTCGGCGGAGAAGGTTACCTGAATTTTGAAGGCAACGAATTTGGACACCCAGAAGTAAGGAATGCCAAAATCTTACACTCACCGTCCTCTCATATCTACTTGTCAAGTGGCTTGACTTTCCTCGAGAGGGAAACAACAACTCCTTCCAGCATGCTAGGAGACAGTGGAACATTGTAGATGACCAAATCCTTCGGTATCGATACCTAAATAACTTCGACGCTGCGATAAACCATTTGGAAGAAGAGCACAAATGGCTTTCAGCTCCTCAGGTTAGGGTCTGATATGATATGGTAGATTATTGAGCTGACTTGTATCAATAAAAGGCATACGTCTCTCTCAAACACGGGGGTGACAAGATGATCGCCTATGAACGATCTGGCCTTCTTTTTGTCTTTAATTTCCACCCCACCAAGTCCTTCACGGATTATCGCGTTGGCGTTGACGAAGCAGGGGAATATCATATCATCCTTACCAGCGACGAAAAGAAATTTGGCGGATTCGAGAATATTTCAAGTGGCGGCAAGTTTACTACAACGCCAACGGAGTGGAATGGGAGGAAAAATTGGTTGCAGGTACGACGTCATCCCAACGCATTGTGATATGACTTGAATCGATCATCACAGATCTACATACCCTCCAGAACTTGTGTGGTACTGGGGAAATGAAACAGCTGGCTCATTCAGTCACGTCTGAAGTTTGAACGCTCCAGCTGGAATTTAAATGATGACTCAATTATGATCTATGGAAATCACTCATGTATATAATTCAAGTTGTTTGTGTCTACTACTATGGCATGTCTATAAATAGACCAGTTACGTCTAGTACGGCCGGCGGTCTCCAACAGTAAAGTAGATGAAGTCGTTCTCACCGCCTCTTATCGTGAACGTTCTTGAACCCTCGTAAAAGCAAGGGCTTCACTAGTCTGTCATGGACGAGAAGTCATTCCACGTCGATGATAAGTCAGCGCAATGGGCCATTCCAGTTCCCATTACACAGCGACCAGCTGTCACCTCTCCCCGTAAGAAATGGGGGCGCCGTCTTGCTCTCTTACTCGCTCTTCTGTGTACAGTCCATTTTTTGAGTGATATTAAACGTCCTCGCCATAATGGACACGAGGGACAAGATCATGGGATGCTGAATGCATTGATGCGCCACGCTCCAAAGAAGGGTAGTACAGTTCTCAGAGGCAAGAAAGCGGAGCAACTGTTCTTGTAAGTTACCGCGACCGCTTTCCCAACTTCATATGGAAGAATCTCACTTTGCCCAGGTCTGTACCAGATACAGATAGTGCCATCGCTGCGTCCCGAGTCTATGCGGGCAAGCCCCATATGGCCGGGAGCGAAGGAGATTTTGACACTGCAAAATACTTCCTTGCGCACCTACAGGAAGAGCTCCAGATTGATCACTCATTTTCCGACATCCCACTGTACTCAGCCGGTTCCACCGAATCTCGCGAGGCAACGTTATCAATTTCATCCCTTGACGAACCAAAGGCTTGGATTGACGTTTATTACCCTATCCTGAACAACCCTTTGGATCGTAGCCTGGAGATTCTCGGAGAGGACGGGAACCCTGTTTGGTCTGCTGAGCTTGAAGAGGTCGCCGATGAAACTGATCCTTACGCCTTCAAGTCCGCGAATGCCGTCCCGACGTGGCATGGCATTAGCAGAGGGGGGCAGGCCGAAGGGAAGTTGATTTATGCACACTATGGAAGGCAAAGGGATTTCGATGCGCTCGTAGAAGCTGGTCCGTAATTATCTGCCTCGTGGAGAGTTTGCTTTTGATGTCCTATACCCAAAGGTGTTGATTTCAGTGGAAAGATTGTCCTCACTCGCTACGGTGGTATTTTCAGGGGTTTAAAGGTCCGCCTTCATGAGTTCTATTGATCATGTGTTTATTGTGACTAAAATGACTTCAATAGATCAAACGAGCTCAGGAGCTTGGTGCTGCCGCAGTTCTTGTTTACTCAGACCCTCGTGATGATGGCACAGTGACAGTTGAAAATGGATATGTCCCGTGCGTCTGGTTTCGTACTTCAAAGCTATGTCTCTAAGTTGTTGCACAGCTACCCACACGGACCTGCACGCAACCCAACTTCTGTGCAACGTGGTTCCGTGCAGTTTTTGTCGCTGTATCCCGGAGATCCCTCAACCCCTGGGTACCCCTCGTATGAAAATAGCACGAGAGTTGAGGGAGGAAGCAAACCGACTATCCCGAGTTTGCCAATCTCTTGGGCCAATGCCGAAGTCCTTCTGAAACACTTGGAGGACGGCCACGAAGGCCCTACAGTTCGTCTTGTAAATAACGGTAAGACTGCATTCAGTTTTCCATTACTAGACCCTCACTCTTTCACAGTGGACGAAAAGGTTACCCCCATCTGGAACGTAATGGGTGTTATTCCTGGCCACGTCAAGAGCGAGGTAGTTGTGATAGGTGCCCACCGAGATGGTGAGTACTTACGGCCAGTTGTGATTCTCGCGCAAATATTGATATTTTTTAGCTTGGGTAACAGGAGCGAGTGATCCATCCTCAGGCACTGTGTCCCTTTCAGAGGTAATTCGTGGCTTTGGGGCCCTCTCCAAGGAAGGATGGACTCCCTTGAGGACAATTCTCATTACAAGCTGGGATGGTGAAGAGGTGGGACTGTTTTTCATTCTGCTGATTTTCATCATGCTCAAATAAGCATTCTGCGTAGTTCGGATTGGTTGGCAGCACAGAATGGGGCGAAGATTTCTCGGAGTGGATTAAAGATCATGTTGTGGCTTATGTTAACATGGGTATGAAGGACTGGTTTGCAACGTTCATTGTGCACTTAACCTCGACATTCATGTCCAGATACTTCTGTATCAGGATCCCGTCTCAAGGCCGCAGGATCTCCTTTGCTTGCGCATCTCCTCCGTGAAACGGCGGAGCAGATTCCCCACCCTACCTCTGAGGGACGAAGCCTTTGGGACGCTCACGGAGACTCTGGAACGCTTTTCGGCGAGTATATGAATGCGGAAATTGCTGCGATGCACGAAGATGAACTTTTGGCAGTCGATAGTATCGGAGTGAGTCCCTTGGGATCCGGGAGTGATTATACCATCTTCTTGCAATACCATGGTGTAAGTAAATGGATAGCGAAGTGTGTTTTCCGCAACTTACACCTGACCAATGATACCAGGTGCCAAGCACTGACGGTGGATTCACCTCGACGCTACACGATCCCGTATATCACTATCACTCGATTTTTGACTCTCAGTATTGGCAAGAGCTATACGGTGATCCTGGCTTCTCTCGTCATGTGAGTGCTACTTGGCTTTCTACCGGCTCACATGAGCTTCATATTCGTAGATTGCTATTGCCAAACATACCGGCCTACAAGTGCTTCGTCTGTCCGGCGACATTATTTTACCGTTCAATACTACCCATTACTCCATTGAGTTGGAATCATATCTCGACAAGTATGCACATTTGGCTTCCCTGCAGGTGATTTATGGTTAACTGGAGACCTTCAGTGTTGGTTCTATTGCAGCTGCTGGCTCCTATGACGTCGACCTGTCTCCTCTCCGAGGGTCCCTTCACGCTTTACAGAGTGTCAGTTTGGAGCTGGACTCTGCGAAGACCAAGGCAGAGCACAAACTCCGTAAGATCCTCAAGCAATTGAAGAAGAAGCATGCTATTTGCCACAAGATCCGTCGCAGGATTCACAAGGCTAGCTGCAAACTCAAGAAGGTATTTGGAAAGCACAAGTGTGAATCGAAAGACAAGCACGAAGACGTGGAGAGGGAACGCTCCCATAAGTGAGTCTCTTCGCATTCTCGGTTGATAACAGCTCATAGACAATTCCTTCAGACAACCCAGTAAACGCCTTCTCAAAGCTATTCAACGCGTGCAAGCTGTGAACAAGCGTTTGATCGCCTTTGAACGTGGTTTCATATCGAAAGACGGCATTAAGGATCGTGAGTGGTACAAGCATCTGGGTGTAGCCCCTGGCAAATGGTCAGGTGAGTGTCATCCCCTTCTTCATCTGTAACAAAAATTTAGCACCACTCGAAGGTTATGGCGCCACCACTTTTCCAGGTGTCACTGAGGCACTTACTATGGACAAAAATGCGACCGCTGCTGCCTATGAAGCGGGGAGATTGAAAGTGCTGATCGATGACCTTGTTGAGACTATTCGCCTGTGAATTTAGATCATCATCAGAAACCATGTGCACATCATGATCAGGCCTAGGATCTTGATATTCTTTGAATTCACTCGGTCTTTTCTTCATTGGAGCATATTCACAACTGTTTGAAATAGCACTTGAAGTTACTACTCTGAGAATCAGAGATTTGTGGATCTATTTGCTGGCAATCGCATCATGTTGTGAGTCACTTGTGACCCACAACTGCCACATGAACCAGGGCTAGCGCCTGCCAATAATACACTTGAACAAGACTTATCAGACATACCTATTACTTATGCTTTGCGGCAGACGCCTTGACTTGGCGTGCCGGGAGCCTATAGATCATACACATAGATCATGGAAATACAGTAGGACAACGTCAGCCGCCAGTAATAAGTAATGGGGGATGCTTCTGACCTAATGGTGAGTCGATCATGGTGTGTTGCTTTCAGTAAGAACGGCGGGAAAGCTTTTAGCCTCCATTAATCAACTTGCGAAGGTTGATTTCATTTGGTCAGATGAGATTGTGAGTGCATGAAAAAATTGGGAGCAATGGAGGAATAACTTATAGTGTGTAAATAGCAAATAGTCTTGATGGAATCAACACTTACAGCGTATTAATAGTGTCTAAGTTCTCGGCATCGCATTCTTGTCGAATCATCTCGGATGCTCATAAGTTATGGATGATAACTGGAAAACTTTCCAAGGAAAAGCTGAAGTCATCGCGGGGCATAAAAGTGAATTCTTTCTCATGGACAGACTATCACATAAAGAAGTTTCGGCGCAATGGCTGCGCCTAGTTAAGATGGACATTCGAGGATCTATACACCGCAAAAATGTTATCAGCAGGTTTCAAACCAACTTCACTCGGCTTACAAACCAGTTAGATGGACCTCTGAGGACACCATCCACGAGTCAATGTAAAGGTGTGTTCCGATAGAAAAAGACCTGTCATTCAGCAGGTTTCGAACCTGCACAGTCGAAGAGAAACAGATTTTGATTCTGTTGCAGTAACCACTTGTTTAAGACCAGTCAAGGTGAATATCCTACGAAACAATCTATGAGTGAATGTCGAAGTGTGTTCCGATAGGGGAAAAAACCTTGTTGTCGGCAGGCTTGACCAATTTTGATTCTGTTGTGAAAACCACCTAGCAATTAAGATGAACCTTCAAGGAAACAGTCCATGAGTGAATCTTCAAGGTATGTTCCAATAGTAAAAAAACCTTCTTGCATCAGCAGGTTCCGAACCTACACTGGCACAGTCCAAGAGATAGATTTAGATTCTGTCGTAGTAGCCACTTTGGCCAGGACGTCCAAGTTGAAATGAACGTCCGAAGAAACCATTCATGAGCGAATCTTCAAGGCGTGTTCGGATAGAAAGCAAACCTGTCGGTCGACAAGTTTCGAACCTGCGCAGTCCAAGAGAAACACATTTCAATTCTGTTGTGGTGAGCACCTAGTACTTAGCTAAGACCAGTTAGATGAACCTCTGACGAAACCATCCATGAGAGAATGTCAAGGTGTTCTTCGGGAGAGAGAAAAAGCTTGTTGTCGGCAGGTTTCGAACCTGCCCAGTCCAAGAGAAACAGATTTCAATTCTGTTGTGCACGTAATCACTTTGGCCAGGACACATTGAAATGACTCACCGTTGCGAGAACTGTCCATCGAGGTGTGATAAGACATGATTAATTGTTTTGTCAGCAGGTTTTGAATCCGCACCACCCAATATTTCTAATCTGTTCTGGTGCCAGTTGGCTGTGACTACTGCTTAAAATAGACCTTGAAAGATCCATCCATGATGAGCATGAATGTTCAAGGCGTGATAAAAGTAAAAAGCTTGCTGAGCAGATTTCGAACCTGCAACAGATTTCTGTCCTATGCAGCTGTCACGTTTACCACTTGGCTAAGACTGGTTGGCAAGATGGACGTCTGTAGTACGAGTTGAAGAACATCATGCATGGACATTAGATCAATCACCTAGTAGGATTACAACGTAAAATGAAACAAAAAGACTAAGTTCGATGGGCATTGGGGAATAAGCGACTCGGCCCAGTGACTCGGATCTTTCCGGTTCCTTCATGGATTGGCTTGGCTTGTATCATCATCCCACGCGCGCTGATCCATGAATTCATCAAGTACTGGTTCTAATCCAACTTTGTTCTTCTTATGAGGTCGTAGGTGCCACACGTTGTGACCATATTCATCACCTTCATTCGACACCCTGACCCCTTCTCCGGCTACGAGCGGGCATCTTAATGAATGTCTTCCTTCTTAAGCTTCATTCTTCAACTTCAATTCCTCGCATTCGCCGCTCTGGTTTCCCACTAGACACTTGAAGGCGCGCTTCCCCACTGCTCGGGGATCTTCGCATTTTGCCCTCGTCCCCAACATGCTGTTCGTGAGTACACCCAGCGCAAAACTCAGGGAGGGTTATTCGCTGTTCGATGATTCCATCAACATCGAACATCTCAGGAAGAATCCGGTACCGTCTCTCCGGTGTGGAAGCGGCCGTAAGCACTGACGAGTCGCCGTTCGGACTTTGTTCCACGGCTCAGCCGCTCAGGGTGGTATCGTGAATTCGGCGATAAGGCTCTGTTCTGGTATCAGATTTCAAAATACTGAACGGCATGAAAATTACATTCGATGATAGAATGGTATCTAACTTTAGCGATTGGGAAAGGCTCATTTTGTACTTATACTTCTCGCTTCTAGAGTTGCCCAGTCATTGATTCTGACCCACAATGTTGACAAACTTATCATTGTTTACTGCCAGTGCCTTAGGCAGCGCTAGCGCTCTTATTTTGGCCCTTGTTATTGTGAGATGTAGAGCATCTTACAGTGGCTTACTGCCTTACCCTCCCGGCCCAAAGCCCCTCCCTGTGATAGGCAATCTCACGCATATAAGTCTCACTGAACCCTGGTTGACGTACACAGCATGGAAAAAGATATATGGTGAGTTGGCATACAGTCACGGTGGTCAGAGATTTCACCCAACATCTTGAATTTCAGGTGATCTGATTCGTGTTCGATTGATGGGACAGGAAATTGTTGTCATCAACTCAGAGAAAACTGCACGCGCACTGTTGGATCAACGATCTGCTGTTTACTCAGACAGACCTAGTATCCTTCCGGCCAGGAAATTGTGTGTTCCTTCAATTTTATGCGATCTGTAGCTAATGTCCTGTCATAGCTTTGGTGTCGAGTGGCTAACGACTCTTTTGCCCTATGGTGCAGAACTAAGATCTCATAGAAAGCTGTTCCATCATGCATTACATGCAGAATCATCACTTCGCCAGCGTGAGAATTACTTGCATAGAGCCAGGTTCCTTCTTGCTAGCTTGCTGCACGACCCTGAGGGTTTTAAGGCACATCTTCACAGGTTAGTGGTCATGCATAGCATCTTATCAGTAGGTTGATGCTTGAGCAGCTTTGCTGCAGCAATCGCCATGAGGATTACGTATGGATACGAAGTGCAGTCAGAGAACGACCCATATGTTTATGCGGTCTCGGAATTAAACACAATGATTGCGAAGGGGCTCACTCCCGAGAAAACAGCCATTCTCTTAGCATTTCCTTTTCGTAAGTTGATATCGATTCCATCAGGTGTAGCTGAGGTTTCCCCAGTTGTACATGTCCCTGTATGGTTTCCGGGTGCGAAGTTGCAGCGCGAGGCGTTGTATTCAAGGCAGTTGGCCCAAAAGGTGCTTAATGCGCCTTTCGAGTTTACGAAATTGCAGATTGTGACTAGTCTCACAAGTCATTGGAGTGTTGCAGCTTGACAGTGACATTTAGGCAGCCGGAACTGCTTCACAATCTTTGGTGTTCGATTGCTTGACGCAAATAGACGAGGACAACCATGAAGCACAGGAGTCCGTGATCAAGGCAACCGCAGCGACAGTCTTCATAGGTGCGACCCGTCAAATTCTTTCTTCAACCGGCTTCAATATCTCAGTGTTGCCACGCATCCAGGTGGATCCGAAACGGTATACTTGGTGCACCTGCTTTTATTGGATTCTAAGGAATATAAAATGTAGACTTCTTCGACGTTGCAAGGATTTATTCTCGCCATGATTCTCTACCCAGAAGTCCAGGCCAAAGCGCAAGCCGAAATCGACGCTGTCGTGGATTCGACAAGGCTGCCAGGTTTCGAAGATAGGCCTTCATTGCCCTACGTCGAAGCTATCGTCAGAGAAACGTTTAGATGGATGCCTTCATCACCGCTAGGTATGCATGACCACAGTAACAGTTTTTTTTTGTTTACTCTGGTCCTTTAGGGATCCCGCATGCTACGTCAAGCGATGATATATTTGAGGGATACTTAATACCAAAGGGTATGCATTCATAATTCATTTACATTCAGCGACAGATTTCACTGATGCTGGCAGGGGCATGCGTATCCCTCAATATCTGGTACACAATGTTTTTTCCTTCTCGTTTTGAATCTGACTGCGCCCACATGCAGGGCGATCAATCTAGATGAGGAGAAATATCCCGAACCAGACGAATTTAGACCTGAGAGGCACTTTGCCACGGACGGGTCACTGCTGTCGGAATCGTTCTCGAACAACATTGTCTTTGGTCTAGGTCGACGAATTTGTGAGGCATCTTGCGACGGAAGACAAGGAATAAATGTGTTGACTTAGGACAGGTCCGGGACGGTTTGCTGCGGAGTCGACTGTGTGGGCTGCCATTGTTTCTATTCTCGCAACTTTTCGTATAGAGAAGGCGAAGGACGTCGACGGCCGTGATGTTGATGTGGAGAAACGCTTTACAACCGGGCTGGCAATGTTCGTTAATGATGTTCACTTTTCCCTTTTGCTCATCCATATTACAGACACCCTGTCCCTTTCCGTTGCGCATTTATATGTCGTTCTGCGCAAAAGGAGATGATCAGAGAATATTTAGACTCCTGACCTACGCTTGACTGAGAAATGTTTCCAGCATAACGTTTTATGTAACAGTATATGATAATGAAGAATGGATGGAAACTCGCCAAACATCCTTTAAGCCACTCCGCCGACGATGGATCCTCTTTGTACCGCTTCGATGAGTCACTCGCTTACTACATACAAGCAAACCATTCACCTTCGGACGTTGACAATGAATTACAATAAGAGATATTTGTACACTGCGTTCGCTGTCGTGTTGTCGTTTAAAAATAGCGCTCGAATGTCCTGCTGACATCGCAAGACAGACAGAGCGGTGTATAGCTGTCCGCCGTGAGCGAACGAATGGATGGCGGAATGAAGGTCTGTGCTGTTTTCAGTCACTGTCACGGTGCACGGGAATTCTAAACATATAATGTGCTGTGCGAACGCGTTTATATATTGTTGTACACAGGGCACTCTGATATGAGAGATATCATTAGGAGGTTGAGTAGGTGAGTGGTGCCCAGTAAGCGCGTGACAGACACGGAATCCAGACACCATCATAAGTATTAGACTGAGGTGTTCAACTTAGTGAAGCGTGGGAGTCAGACCAGTTGCGTCCGCACGGCCGCACGTACGTAGCCTGCGTTAGACCGTTAGGTATGTCTACCAACCCTGAGTCGGCGACTTGGACGAGCGTGAGGAGTTCTCTTTCTATATTCGCCGTGAGCGTCGCGCTTTCGTTGTTTACGACTGCCTATGAAAATTCGGTCATCCCGCTGTTTGCTAGTGTCCCGGCTCTAAAACACCTTGGCCACGTCGTGCACACGAGCACAGCGCTCGCTGTTGTTACCCCAAATCTTTCGAGTTCGAAAATCTTGTTGATTCTCGGCTGTCTGCTTCTTCTAGCACCCCATACCTCTTATTGGATTAGTGTTCATGCTGCTAGATTCCAGAATCCTATTTACAGTCCTCTCGTCACCCATGCCTTTGTATTGGCTCCTGTTGTGTATTTCTCAATGTCTTTGGCAATGAGCGTTGATGTGAGTTTGACCTGGCCTGTCCCGGGAAGAACTGTTGCGCATGTACCTTACGCTAACATCCAGTTCACTACCTTTTTAGCCTACTTTGGCCCTCATAGTACTCGCCGCCAATGCGCTACAGCTTCGTCCACTATTAATGTTGGTATTCAGTGCGTTATCGTTAGACGTCTCGAACAATGTTATTGTGCGTGGTAGCCGCAATTATAGTTATAGCATCTTCCGATTAACAGATACATTCATCCAGTTCACTGCATTGGGATGTGCATGCCTTGCTGTGTACGGTGGGGGTAAAGCCTATGTGGGCAGACATAGCACGCATCCGAATGCCCGAAACACTCGATCCACAGTGGCCTTGAGTGTGATTCCCCTAGTCTTCACTGCTCTTTTGAGTCTCAATCCAGCCCTTCGATCCCCAACGCTCGTAGATTCCATTGTTACACCATACAACAGCCCAACATATCCGCTCCGCGTCCTGAATTCAACCCAGTCCAAGACTGGTGTGGTGGTGGTTGGCGAGATATTATCTCCGGCCGACAAGAGCTCGATTCCTCTTCACTCTATCCGTTATCTTCGAGTATCTCACTCGTTACTGGGAGGTGTATGGATCGGGGACCGGGTGGCCACACTCGACAGTTTTCCTCCGTTGACCGACCAAGATGGTACTCCTTTAGGAGACTCCATCTATAGCGCATTCGTCCTTCAGGAGGCAGTGCGACTTGTCAATAGTACTCCCCGAGGAAGGAAGGGAGGGTGCGATCATGCGCTCATAATGTAGGTGATGACCCTGGTCAATGCCCTAGCAAGAGTGACGGCTTTGACGTACAGCGGTCTTGGCACCGGTATCTCTGCAAATGCGTTTGCCCAACATGGCATAGCAACGACTATTGTTGAAATCGATCCTGCTGTGTATGATGCTGCACGCCAATATTTTGGCCTATTGGATCCCGGTATCAATAATGTATTTCTGCAGGATGCGAGAGGGTGGGTCAGAAGCAGGAGAGCTATAGTGGAAGCTGGAGACCCCTCCGCAATCAAGTATGATGTTGTCGTCCATGATTGCTTCTCTGGAGGGGGAGTGCCTGAGCATCTCTTCTCCATTGAGTTTTGGAATGATCTCAAGACCATCCTAAGTCCAGAAGGTGTCGTTGCAGTGGTGAGCAGTTTCAGGCATTACGTTCTCCCGTATTACTTGTCTCATGTCATTCGGACAGAACTTTGCTGGAAAACTTGCATCCGACTCCTCGCAAGCAATACTGATTACTTTGCTGCGAGCCTTTAGGCAGTGCAGAGCCTTCCATGACCGTGTTGAACCCATCTCTCAGGAACAGCTTCACTCCCATTTTGTCAATATTGTGAGTTCCCTTTTCAGGACTCTAAGTCCAAACACATTATTGGAGCTTTGACAAAGTCTGACGATCACGCGATAGGTCTTCTTTTGTTCTTCATCTTCAACGCCACTCACGTTCCGACCTGCAGTCGAAGAGGACTATCTTCACTCATATCTTCGCCGTCACATTCTATCTAGTCTTGACAAACGAGAAATTGATCACGCCCAAATTAGAGACAGCTCTATCTGGTCCGCGACCATGGAAAAAAAGTTCGTTCTGACCGATGCGCATAACACGCTGAACACGTGGCAGGAAGGAGAAGCGTTTGAACATTGGAAACGTGAGTTGCGTTCGTTTTCGATAGTGTAGCTCTGATGTTTTGCGCAGTTATGAGGGAGATGGTACCAGACGTAGTATGGGAAACTTATTGAGGGTGGTGACATAATGTTATTGCTGTATCCTATACGAAAATCACAGGCGCTGGATCAGGTCGCCCTATCTTTTGATGCTTTGGAACAGCTTCAAGTTCGACTTGACAACAGGCGGAGAACTGTCACGAGTGTCAGGATCAAGGATGTTTCACGGCTTATCGTGCAACCCTATCCAGACTCCGAGGATCCAAAATAAAGCGGGTTAATCACTTGATTGATTCGCCTGGGAGTGCACGGCGTAGATCTACTTGAAAGATCGGAAGGCTGGTGTGGACATAAATGGTGTGCACGTATGCGGCAGCCGCAATCCAGTACAAGCAGCACATGTGAGTCTTTGCATGCAATCATTATGTTGCCTATTTTGGCTAATTGATACCAAGATTAGTATGCGACCTTGAGCTATGGTAGGCTACGAGAAACTCAGTCCGCAAAACATGCACATCATTGGTAGTATCTAGCGCTTGTGTGTGTTGAAATTAGATTGCTGTTTGATCATGCCTCAGATTCTTATACTTTCATCCGACGTGTTTCTGACAACAGACGGTCAAGGCATAGCCTCCCCTAGGCAAACTTCAATGGAAGAAAGATGTATGTATGCCTCTGTTTTGGTTAAGGCAACGACTCCATGGGGTTCGGCAGTTCTCTGTCATATAATGCCAAGAATGCCTGACCATCGTCATGGCCTCACTTGAACACTGATAATTTCCAATTGAAAGGTTTCTCCGCTGCCATCAAGCTGCCCCACTATACTGCGGTACTTGGGTCTCCCAGGTTATAAGGACTGGACTTTTGCCTCCAGAAGCATCAAACAAGCATCTAGGTATTTCTCTTCCCTAGGTCAAGAGGGCGTGTATCACGATGTCAGTTACCCCTCCCCCTGGTCTCAACTATCTTGCGGCAATCCAACCTGCACTAATCGACATCATGATCGGGCATACTTTTACGGTCATCCTCGTACCCCTCCTTATTGCAATGTTCTACTTCTCGAACGAGCATTCGCGGAGACAGCCCATATTTATTCTCAACGTTTTGAATGTGTGCCTCGCATTTTCTGTCGGCATAATGGGAGACAGTAGAGCTGTAAGTATCTTTAAAGTCCCCTTGCCATGTTGGAAATTAACATCTCCGCACAGGTTAATACCATGTTATCACCGACACATCCATACCCTGCTTCCTATGACATAATTATGGGCACCCTTGGGGCGGTCCAAACCATATTTGTTGACACCATCCTACTCTTTCGCATTTGTTCCGTTTATCCGCCGAGATACCTCGCATGGCAACGCTTTGTGGCGTTGGTCTCACTTCCTGTACTACTCAAAGTTGCCCGCGTCATCAATCTATCTCTATTTATAGCAGCTCTAACAAGAGCGGCCAAAGGACCCAATGCGGAAGCAGCTTTGGCAGCCTTGTGGGTGACAGCTCCGTACCTCAAGATTGAGTGGTTCGCGCAGCTGGTGGATAATATGTGAAGTAGATGTCTCTCATCTTTTTATTGGAACTCATGTATAAAAACTTTTAGATATGCATCCTCTGTATTCCTCTGGACGCTCTGGTCAAAACGGAAAAACAAGCATGGTTCCGTCACGGGCAATGTCAAGCGTAAATTTTACTTTCATCTTCATAGATCTCGACTTATTTCGCTCTAGTTTCGTTCAGAATGAGACTCCAGACGCTATTTTGGATCGCACTTTCAAACTTCACCATTCCAGCGCTCTTTTCGGTCGCTCAGATCATTGTCATTTACCGCGAAGTAGACCCAGTGGTCATCAATCAAATAATTCTGGCGAATACGTCAATTGCAGTTATCGGCGTCGTTTTCGCAACAGTCTGGGCGGGCTCGGTCAACAGACAGATCGCCCAATCGGATGATCAACCAGTTGCAGATGTCGAAAAATCTGGCGTGATGCGTTTTGCCACTCGTGGTACCTATCCGACGCACGACGAATTACATATAACCTATCAACTTCCGGCAATATCTGGTCTTCAAGATTACATTTATGATGAATTCGGACAAAGTGACTCGAGAGAAATGGTTTGTCTGAATCTCCTCTAGCTTTGGGTCTCTACTAATGTTATGTCAACAGACCCTTCGTTGAAGTGAAAGCAGGCTCGACTCCGAGCTTTAGGTCCTTGTGGTGTGCTTATCTCCATCGACGTCCTTCCGATGAATGATTGCGTCAGCCAGTTAGCTGGATTGTATGCCAGAGTAGCGAGAATCTTGCTATATAATTTCATGAAGCAATCTGGACATGCGCTGCAGTCAGTCTGAATGATCGATTACCATTCCCATCCGTGGCGATTGCATGGAGGTCATGGAGTTTTCGTTTTCCTTGTGTCACAACCCTGCCATGCTGCTGCTACTATATAATAATGACAGGTTTCCAATCCGTTCCGTACGAAATCATCTTCTAGTGAGCTTCACTATCCCTTCTCGGCAGCCTGTCTCTAAGCTGTCTGCCCTTACTCGTGAGTTTGTCATCTTTATGCCGAAGACTGACTCAGATGCCAATGGCACATATGCTCAGCTGTATTCTTTAGCTGAACGCAGCTGAAGAGCGCAGCTGAGGAGAGGCAGTATAAACCGTCACTTTGTAAGAATCAGATGATATCTCGTCAGCTGCGTTTGCATACATCGAATCCATTAGGATCTAGCAAGAAATGATGACAACGTCGGCTCACCGTGTTGTCGATGTAATGAAATATTGCTGTCGCCGATATGGTTGTCTCGTGCATAGAAGCGACTATTCCAGATTCCAGGCCTCAGTTTACTCGGTTGGGAGGAGTGTACAGTTGGCAGCTCGGACAAAAACCTCACAAATAGTGATTGACACTGAAGAACAAATCTTGCGTTGCCTCGAAAGTTGGAGTCGATCCCCAGTGGTCAAGCGACAACGCTAGAGCGGCGGCGAATGCCGAGCGGGTCAGCACAAAGTCTCAGCAAGTACTAGAGGTTAACACGTCGATCACAACTACGAGGGTCGCAACAACTCTACGTAGCCAAATTGAGATTGCATCCCTGCCTTCGCGCCAATATCTGCCAATCAAATGCTCTTCCTAAGACCATTTATACGTCAAGTCGTGTTCCGTGCAGCTCGCCCGCATTTCATGACTGCATCCAGATACAGTAGTACACTTGCTGAGGTTGGTTGCATTTCGCCTGCGTTTTAGTGTAATGCTCAACCTAGTACTCGCAGGATGTTCGCTCGGATTCCACTTTCAGGATACCCCTCATTGACTTCGCAGCTTATAAGCGGGCTACCTCTTTGGCTGAGAAGCGTTGCATCGCGGATGACATTGTAAACGGATTTAAAGAAGTTGGCTTTGTGTATCTAACAGGCCATGTGATTGAACCCGGGACGGTCGACCGCGTATTCCAGAAGGCTAGTATTCGCATTTATAACCGGTGAGTAGGATGGACTTCATAACTAATCGTGTATTCAGAGTGCAGAATTCTTTCAATTACCCGAAGAGACTAAGGCAAAGCTGGCATGGGACGACCCTAAGGCTAACCGTGGCTATGTTCAAGTTGGCCGTGAGCGTGTTTCCACTTCAGTGGATGCTGCCGAGATCGCTTCACTACGTGCAAAGGCTCCAGACACCAAGGAATCTATGGAAATTGGACGTGAAAATCATCCGATGTTCAGTAATAAGTGGCCTCAGGAAACTGAAGTACCTGAGTTTAAGCAGACGATGCTCCACTTTTTCCAGGTGCGTGCACGCTGAAACGTGTCACGTATAGTGATACAGTGATTTGACCGTGGGTCTCTGTTACTGTAGACTTGCCACGAAGTGCATACTATGGTCATGAAATCAATTGCGTTAGGTCTTGACCTTCCTGAGGATTTCTTCGACAATAAGATTGATCGTCAGGACCACAACTTACGGCTTTTGTCCTATCCTCCTATTCAAACCTCTCTACTTTTAGGCGATGGTCAAGCCAGGGCTGGTTCTCACACGGGCGAGTTCGTTCCGTTTTAGTGATACTCGTCGAATTTGACTTGCTTTGTCTCTTAGATTATGGAACTTTGACGCTCTTGTTCCAGGATTCTATTGGTGGTTTAGAGGTCCAGAACCCTCATACTGAGCATTATCAATCTGCTTCACCTATTGTTCGTTTTCTTCCACTGAGCTTGCTCTTCGAGTCTTTAACCCCTATCCCGATAGCCCGGGACAATTGTCGTCAACGCTGGGGATCTTTTGGCGCGCTGGAGCAACAATGTCCTCCGTTCAACCCTCCATCGTGTAGTCGCCCCGCCTGCAATAAAGATCAATGCTACCGAAGGCATGACCCCCGCACGGCAGTCAGTTGCATTCTTTTGCAACCCGAATTTCGATGCCATCATCGAGAGTTTGCCCAGTTGCACAAGTACAGCCAATCCAAGCAAATATCCTCCAATCACTACAGAGCAATACATTGTAGGACGTCTGGCAGCTACTTATGAAATACGCCCAGATATGAAATTCTGACGAACATTGTATATTATCTATAGTGCAGCACTGCAGGCAACGACATACATTACGACTCGTATGCAGGGTGGTGTCTAGATGGCCTAGTATGTATGCAAGAAGGCATTGTTTGGTCCACAGTTCATGAATAAGAGCATGTGTACACAACGAAGTGGGTAAAATGCAACAAGGTGCAATCGATAGTTAATATCTGGATGACAGCCAAATCATGCTAGGTCTTCTTTCTGAACATCCCAAGAGTGTGCTGGCCACCGCAGGCAACGCTCACTGCCCTCCATGCGCCACCATCCTTGCGCACCACCACCGTTGGGGTCTTAGCTTCCTTTTCGTTAACACCCAATTCTCCTTGAGACTCCTCTCCCCATGCGTACAGCGCGCCTGCACGAGAGATAGCCATGTTATTGTGTGTGCCAGCCGAAATGAACACGATAGGATCGTCCGGGTCTGGGAACGGGACCAACATAGGTTCCGGGACGAATTCAGTGTTCTTGCGTGAAGCATATTCCTCGACCTCGTCGCTGATACCAAGCTGACCACCGTCACACCGACCGCACGCATACACGTTCCCAGTCGAAGTCAGGAAAAGAGTGTGATGTTCGCCGCCTGTGATCTGCACGATTGAATCACCGAGGGTCCTCTGGCACAGCGACCTGATGATTCTTGGTGATCGCACTTCGTCGGACATCGATTTTGGTTCCGCGACCCCGGTGCCTGTCTGACCCATCGTATTCAAGCCCCAACCCCAGACGTCGCCCTCTTCGTCGATGGCAAATGAGTGATAGTTTCCTGCGCCAACCAATATTGCACGGTTGTGGCGGGTACCAAGAATGATTTTTTCGGGGACTGTGCCATGGATCTTACGACGTTCGAGAATTTTGCGACCGAGCTGGCCTTGCTCTCCAGCACCCCACGCGTAGACGTTGCCATGTGTAGTCAGCACGAGAAGATGGTTGTTGCCTGACACAACTGAAACAGCCTTCTCAGCATCGCCAGCTTTTGTGGGCAAATCTAAAATCGCTTTGGGAAGGAATTCTAGTCGCACGTCGCCAGAGAAGCCAAGGGAGCCTTCTGCAGCCTGAGAAACAATCTCAACTTAGAAAATGTGTGAGCAGATGAGAATGGGCACCTACACGGAAAGAACCCCAAACTCGAAGTTCGCCGTCATCGCTGATGGCGGCAGAAATACTATCACCAGCAGCAATCCTTACTGCGCGGAATCCCTCATCAACAAGCGACTGAAGAGGATACGGGATAGCGGTAAGCTCATCAATGTGGATAAATTTTCCAGGATTATCTGGATCTGGAACGTCCTTGGTGACACGTCCTAGTGCTGCGTCATCATTCACACCGCATGACCACACCTAATCAAAAATCATGTTAACGGAAGTAGACCAGGGCACGGAAATTGAACTCACAGTTCCTTTCTCATCAATGAATAGGGTATGGAGACCACCTGCAGCAATGGCCTCGAGGCCGGCGCCTTCCCCGCCGAAGCCACCTTCTTCCATCTTTTTCTCGAACCACGTATTGCGTTTGGGAACAGCGAATTCCCCGAGTTGGTCGGCACCCCATCCAAACTGGCCAAAGTTGCCTGCACCCCAGACAAAGAGCTGATTAGCAGGCCGAGGGTGGTCATTAGCCATAGGCAAAGGGTTGAAATGGGGTTTCGGCTCGTGAACCGGTGTGAGACCATTTGCGGTTGGCTGCTTGGTAAGTTTTTTGGGCCCAATCGTGACTGGGGGTTTCTTGGAAGGGGCCTTTTTAGCATCCTCTGCATCGGATACGCCAGCCTTGGGCCGAGAGCGCTTGGGGGGCGGCGGAGACGCTTCTGGAGAGGCAGCACGCCTCTTGGTACGACTGGGTGTGCGCGCGACAGGTCGGGTTGGTTTTTCGGCTTTAGGTGCTGTTGTCTTTGCAACAGCAGCCTTAATAGCTGCTGCTTTGGGTTCCTCAGGTTTTTGTGAGGCTGCGCGAGCCGATCTGCGGAGAGGTGGGTTGGACATTGGGATTATAGATAACTAAGGATGTGTAAGTCGTAGAAGTATATGCGAGATTAAATATCTGGTCTTGTGGCGATAAAAGTGCCACAGATGGACAATGGAAGTGATGGTTAAGGTGGAAGGGAGTGGACAAGTCCGTCCACAACGACTCCGTGGATGGTATGTAATGGGCTCTGCTTTTCAACAGTAATGCATCACGTGAATTTGACGCGTTAGTGGCGCTCGAATATTTCGCTGCTCGTCTTAGTAAGTACCATGCGTGTAGTAGCGGCAGATGGTATCAAAGTATCCAAGGGTCTCCTCTTTCGGGATCACTACCGACGACCGTCCTTTGTTCAATGGAAAGATCCATCTTCTTCAGCAATCAGGGATCCAGAGAGAATTACCGTGACCAACCCCGCTAACGGGAAACGGTTGTGCACGTATGTTGTTCCTAAGTAATTAATGACATTGTGTGCTCAAGCATCAAATTGAGCGTAGTGTCGATGCAGCATCGTCCGACGAGGTTGAATGGGCCGTGTCTCATGCCCAGACCACGTTTGACTCTGGGATATGGTCAAAGTCTTCGTCAATACATCGCTCGTCTGTCCTGTTGCGACTAGCGGACTCTCTTCAGCGGCGCATCCCTGACATGGCACGAATAGATACTCTGCAAACAGGGAGGCCTATTAGGGAAATGAATGCACAAATGACTCGTCTTCCTGAGTGGCTGTCAGTAGTTATTTCGCGAATTATGACGATGGTCTGACACACTGAGTAGGAGCTATTATGCAGCACTCCTACGCACAAGCCAAGGATTCGTTGCCCCTACTCAAGGGAAGTTGCTTAATTACATTCAACGTGTTCCTCTGGGAGTCGTGGCACAGATCACTGTATGTTTCGTACCATCTCTGACTTGCCACCTCACCGAGGTTTGCTTTAGCCATTTAATCATCCTCTTTTTATTGCCATCAAAAAGATTGCACCAGCTCTTGCCGCTGGCAATAGTGTCATTGTCAAGCCATCTGAGGTTTATAAATTGTGCAGCCCTCTCTTGATATAGCACTCACCCCAAACCAGCTTACTCCCATATCCCTACTGGAGTTTGCAAACCTAACTCAGGAAGCTGGTCGTAAGTACAACCACTCATGGATTGCTTATAGGCTGTTGTGCTTGTACATGTGCTAAAATCATAACGAAGTTCCTGACGGAGTTTTGACTATCCTCCCTGGCTATGGCCACACCACGGGGAAGCAACTCGCAACTCATCCACTCATTCGGAAGGTCGACATCACAGTGCGTCCTTACTCTCATGCACTATCTTCGGCTCACCGTGGATCTAGGCTGGTACCCGGACTGGTCGAGCGCTGGGAGCCATCGTTGGCTCGAACCTCGTGGCCTTTACAGCCGAGCTGGGAGGAAAGGTCAGTACTACATAGTCTATTTTCGAACTGGAGAATTCGCTCACCTCTTAAAGGCCCCGATACTTATCTTTGATGATGCAGATGTTGTTTCTGCTGTCAATGGGGTCGCATTTGCGGCATTCGTTGCATCCGGCCAAACATGTGTCTCGGGAACCCGTATCATCATTCAAGAAAATATCTATGAATCTTTCATGACGGAATTCTTGAAGAAAGTCGAAAGTATCATACAGAGGATGGGTGACCGTGAGTCATGCAACATCCCTTCAGTACACAGGAATGATGTCTCTCGAAGCTATGGACGAAAGATGCTCTATGGGCTCTATTATATCTTCCCACCACCTCAATAGAATCGATGACATGGTAGCACGACGGCAATCAGGAACAATCTTAACGGGTGGTAAGCGAATGCTGGGGAAGTCCCTCCTCGACCATTTCGATTTCTCCTACGGGAGCTTCTACCCGCCTACCGTGATCTCTGATGTTGATGTCAGTCATGAATTATGGCAGGAGGAACTTTTCGGCCCTGTGGTGGTTGTGAAAAAGTTCTCTGTGAGTTATACCATGATGCGAACGAGGTTCTTCGACGCTGAGTTCACCCTCAGACTGAATCCGAGGGAGTTAGACTTGCTAATGCTTCCAAGTACGGACTGGGAGCGGGAGTCTGGACTCAGGATCTGTCAAGAGCACATCGAGTTGCTGCTGATATTGACGCTGGTCTTGTTTGGGTGAACACGCATCACCGCAATGACCCAAGCTCGCCATGGTAAGTGACCCAGCCGATGATTATCATTTCATGATCTCACGGTGGCATGTAAGGGGCGGTATGAAGGAGAGTGGTATAGGTCGGGAAAATGGTATCGAGGCATTGGAAGCTTGTGAGTCTCGCTAGCTCAAAAAATAAATGTTTGGCTCAACATGTTATACAGACTCTCAGAGCAAATCGACCATCGTTAATGTGGCGTCAGCTGATGAGTCTCGAGCAGACGACTGGTTTGGCGGAGAACAGAAGAGATATGGCTAATATGATGTTCGTGACGTAGCAGATTATCTTGACATTCTCTATGAAATGGTGGTATGCGTAGGATCTACTAGTGTACATTATTACCGCAGGATACATGTTTACTCGTCTTTAAGGAGACATGCACAATACAAACTTCGAAAGCCCATCAAGTTGTCTTAACGGCCTCCTTTGTGGTTGGCTATCCAACCAAGTTGAGTTAAACATGTCAATGGGTTGATTGTTGGACATACCTCGCTTATCTCTACAGGAGTCTCATCAACGAAGTCCGGGACCTTATTGAGGTCTGAAAGATACGAGGGACCTTCTTCCTCTTCCTCAAGCTGTAAGGCATCCAATTCTGTGATAATTATGACGTTTCGAAATAACCGAGATGAAAAGCCATGTGTGTACGTACCAGCCTCAAGATCTGCCTCGTCAATCTCATCTGGAACGGCATATGACCGGCCCAGTGATTCTTGTATCTCGTTCGCCTGTTCCAGAAGCTCTTCCATATCATAATGCATATTCTGAAAGTAATGAATGAGCTCCTTGATGGCAGCATAGAACATGAGACACACCTCAATCTTGTCGATATCAATCTTTCCGTACTGTTTACGTATCTCCTTGTTCGCCAGTTTCATGGCATCCACAGTGGCCATCGTATTCCGTAGGTTATCAGTGGTGAGGGCAGCGGACTCCATATTGAATGTTTGCTGCTGGAGCTGGTTCAGTTGCCCTTCATAGAGCTTCTTCTGCTGCAGTACTCTCAAAGCTCGCTGTTGGATCGCATTCTGTGTCGTGCACACATATGACACAATTGATTAGCAAGCGCAGCACCAGGCGAGGTGTTCACGCACTTTACCAGGTCCACTGCGCAATTTGCTCATTTGCTCCTTATAGCGAAAGAGCTCTCCATCTAACTTCTTGATCTTTACTTCTACGGAGGCAACGCGCGCATCTGTCTGATGTCAGTGAGTTAGCCTGAGCTCCATTTTGACGACAGCCTACTCACTGCATTGATGGCATCCTGGAGCGTCGATTTTGGCTTCTTGCTTGAAGAAGAGCCAAATATGCGATTCATGGTCAACTATGTACAGGTGGTAAAAGTAAAATTGAAGGAGATTTAGCACTACGTAGTGGTTTGGTACTTCGACCTGAAGGTATAGTAATATCCAAAAGTGGTATGTGGAAATTCCTCGTACAGAGTTCCCGGGGTCTGCATGCGACCTGCCAAGCGTCTCGGTAGTGACAAGGCCCCAGACTTTCAATGTATTAAACTTCTTCTATCTCTAACTGTACAATGGCACCGGTATTTGCTCGCATGCGTGCAAAATAATCTTCACTGAAGTGCATAAAATATTCTGTGAGATATCCGACGTAGTACAACCCATTAATGACCTTCGTACACAATCTAATTTAACAGGAGACATTCCAATGCCAGCTTCGAAGCCACATGCGTTTCAAGATCTACCCATTCCAAGCAAATTTCCAAGAGGGCTCGCAGAAAGGAGGGCAATAACCAGTTCTCCAGTAACAGGTGCGGTGATGGGTTCGTCTGCTGACCCATAGGATAGAACCTGCCGTTGCCGAGTGTACTCCACTCCCACCTCGAACGGGAACTGGATGTCTGGACGCCAAAATTCCCAAAACTTCTTGAGGTCCACCAAATTCGCTTCAATGTTCCGACCGTACATCCAATGCGCACTGACGCATCCCTCGAACCACCGCTCGGCACGTCCGTATACGTACGAAATGATCCACTCCCGGGCACTCTCGATTCTACTGGACTCATTCATCATGTCGTAGATGGCATTGCGCAATTGTCTTTGGCGATCCCAGGAAATGGGCTCGTTCAAGATCGGCCGGTTGATGAGCCAGAGTGGCATGCGCGCACATGACCAAAGTGGAGCGCGGAATGAGTGCTCCCACCCGTGCAAAGCACGAGCTCGATATCCGAACCGGGAGTACGAAGTTCCCCATCTTTATTTGGCAGGAACCGAACGAGGAAACGATACATCTGCATGTCACCATGACAGATGCCAAATTTCCTGTTTTGCAGAATCGAATAGGCCTCCTCCCTCGCTGCGCGAGAGAGCGTTCCTGGGATATAGAATCCTCCGATATGATGTGGGATTATACTGGTCAGCCGTCTGAAGGTTTCTCTAGCTTGCACCATGTCTTCTATTGTTAGTAGCGGATTATCTGCAAATCCTGTGTCGCGGGCTCGAGCGATGATATCCTCATTGCCACCACAAAGGCGTTTAACGCGCCAGCACAGTGCTGTTAGATAATCAGCGTTAGTGGATAGTGCATATTGTGGGATCATTGTATCCAACGGTGGCTCGTTAAACGGGCGCGATAAAATCAACGGCGAAAACCCGTCAGGGTTTTGGTGTTGCTCTCCTTCCTGTAGGAGGGCACTGTATACGGAGGTGTCGATGCCTGTACCAAGAAGGTCGGTGCAAATCAAGCTTCCACGGGTGTTGAACAACTTCAACAGCAGGTCGGCCAGCTTGCTACAGACTTTGAGCTCCTCGTCGGGCCCAAGGGTGGGCCACACATCCTGAAGATTCTCCCCGGGTACCTGTGCGCAAAGAAGTACAATGTAGCAGAGCTACTGTCGAGCAGTCGGCACACGATACCTTTTCCATGAGGACTACCTCAGCTCCGATGTCATTGGGTAGGAGGTCCTGGTACCCATAGATTTTGGGCACCTCGATCTTCAAGGACGAATTTCTGACAGCGGCCATCATGCCTAACTGTTGGGAGTGGGTAAGTACGTGCGGCCCATTAGTGGGCACTTTTGTGTGGCGCACCACAGCCTGCGTTGTTAGCCTCTCGCGTCCGCGAGGAAAATATGCCATCATGGTGTATGGTCCAAGAGGTAAGGAGGTGCGTTCAAACGTAATCTGAATCATCTGTGCACCATCCGGAGCAATGGTGAGGTTCGGATGGTTATTTGGAAACAATCAACCTGACCTTTTCTCCAGCCCATTTGACGTCTTCGACGTTCGCTACTACTGGGGTTGGCACCTTCGGGGGCCGTCTACCTGTCACTTTGACAGGATGCTGCTTCACTGCAGCGGCGGCGGCGAATTTCTTCAGCGCGGGGACGTTGACTTGGGGAAAAAAGGTGGACATTGCGGTGAGGGAAGCCAACCTCGGACAAGTATTTTATACCGCTGGATAACACGAGGTGGTCAGTCAGTTAATTAATTTTTTCTGCCAACATGCTGGTACGTCGTAAAGGGAATCAAATAACGCGTTTTGTCGAGAAAGGCTGACGCCCAGTGTTTTGTTGTCGGAGGCCGCGTAATGCTGGAAGTATATGTGGCAAGGCGTGGCTTTTCTCCTGTGCTAACTTGGTTAATTTCATATGGTAAAACAAATTGCTTCAAACTTCGCAACCTTGAACCCTTTGCTGGTCGTCCAATGGCTTGTCAGCTATTCCACCCAGAAAATTGTTGCTCCAAAATGTACCTTATTTTAAACTCCATGGACCCCCCGGTATTCCGACAAAACCCTGGGTTATTACAAGGCGGGCGGTGCTGTGCCGTCTGAATAATAAGTCCCTTACCTCTCGTTCCACTAGTGTGCGCCGCACCCCGAATCCAATTTTTGCCTAAGACCAAGGGGGCCCAGAGAGAAGAGGAAATTTGCGGCGCCATCCAACGCCCCACCTCTTATCTTCTCCATAATCATATAATTCATCAACAGACGTAAACCGAAATGCTTCCGCTTTCGCTTAGTGTCTGCATGTTTCCGGGCCTTGCCTCCTCACGGACGAGCTCACCGTGATTTTTATCACTATTTTATGGCACTCAACTGATGCGCTACACAAACTTAACTTTGTTTCCTCCTCAAAAAGTTCATATCTGATTTGCTTGTATTTTGATGCTCCGAAAATTAGGCAGAACCCTCGGTCACCATGCTCTGATTAACTTCATAACGTGTGTGGGCAGTGCAGACAAGCCAACGCTGCCGGGGGGTTATTATTCTAGTCCCAAACATTACAGCCGTTTGCAGAATTGCTAATTCCAAAAAAGAAAACATAAGTTGGCAAGATGTCAGACCAACGAACTTCAACGTCCGATAATCAATCGTGTTCCTACCATGAGACGTTACACACCCAAAAAATTCATAGTATCTGGTCGGACATTGTAATTCAAACAACGTTGTCCTACTTTATTTTGGACGATTGGCCTAGTATTCTGCAAATGGCTAATTATTTTACAATTCCCTCCGTGCGCCCACAGTCGCCACCTTCAAAGTTAAACTTTATTCCCAAGATCGACGAGGAGCAAGCCCGACCAATAGCTCCACTAATCTAACTCGGATTGGCATGCAGTATGTAGCACTGTGGCACTTGCGTTTGGGCATATTGAATCATTGAGGACCCGCGTGCGATCAGCGCCACGGCATGCCAACATGCCACACTGGTACTTAGCTCCATAGCCAACACAAAATTTAAGTTAGCGTGTGGGGCCGTGAGTATTAGAAGTTGAAGAAGTCAATGCCACATTGATCATGACCCGAATATTAAGACAGTTAGTAGGACTGACATAAGTACTCCCTGAGGACTCTAGAACTGCTTAGAAGTACCCTCATAGCTCACGAACGTTGCACCGATCAAATGGCACGATACGAAAACATCGGACGAGGTCAGGATAGGAACCCCCTGACCGCCCCTCCAACGTTCAATACATCAAGTCTGTGGGTAAAAAAACGGAATGCGGGCGGTCAGTAAACCAATCTAACAGAAACGCGACGTTTGGAAAATAAAACAATAGGCGACGCAATCTGCAATAACAGTGCAATTGGCCCCGCAAAGCGGTGCACGAAGGAAGCACCACGAAGGTTGGAACTCTGATTGGGGAGGCTATGCAAGACCGGGCCACCGCACAGCCACCCAATGAAAAGTGAAGGACTGCCACTCACAAAAAGGTATCATGTCCCCAGACCCCACCGAGCTCAAAGTAGCTGACTTGCGTACTGCCAGCCATACGAAGTGCATCGACGAGCTCACGCTGCTGCTCGACTGGGAAAAGGATATCGCTCTGGACCCCAAGTACCAGAATGGGTATCGATTTAAGCGGCTCAAGGCCAGCAGCAAGCTCGGGAAAGTGAGGTGCGTAGTGCAATGGTGGCGGATGAGATTTAGACGGCACTAGAGATTGCCGAGAAGATGACGTTGAGGGTGATGGCGGAGCATGTGTTGCAGGGGTCATTGCGAGTTCTTGAAGAGCAGGGAGGGTAAGGTCAAAGAGATCCATTGCCTTTGAGATGTAAAGGAGAGAATTGGCATCATATTTCAGGCAGAATTGCTCTCCCTACATGATAATTTTCGGTGAGTTTAACCGGAAGGTGACCGAGGTGGGTAGGCACTGACCTGATGGTCTAAATAGGTTTCGATGAGGAAGTCAGGACATAGTGTCGGCGACCGCAACGGAGGCAGACTCTGTCCATCTTTCAGTTCCCGAAGTTTCCTTCCAAATCGTTGGTCCCATTCAGGACCTGAGCGATATGTTATGGTCGCTATTTCTGCACGACCAACAATTGTAGCTTTATGATATGAACCGTGGAACTAAACGGAAACTTACGACGAGCTAATTTCATCCCTGTGTGTGGTGGTAGACCATCGTAATAAGAGCCATTGTTCCAATTTGGATCGGCCATGAGAACTAATGTGACATTCAGCAAGGAAATATATTGCAAGATGCCCGAACAACAGACCGCTTCGTTGAGCATGACGCATTGCAATGCTGCCTGGACTGCTCCTTGCGGTACCACTAATGCTCACTATCTTGCCCACACGATCTGGGAAGAGCCATCCTGCAGCAAGACTTTGCATCCCGCCCATGGATGAACCAACACTGGCATACAACTTCTGCACGCCCAGATGGTCCAGCAGCTTAAATTGGGCCTGCACCATGTCAAAGATAGATAGGATGGGGAATCGAGTTGCGTATCGTTGACCTTCTGGATCGAGCGAGGAAGGACCTGTGGAACCATAGCATCCTCCCAGCACGTTTGTGCATATTACGAAAAACTGATTGGTGTCGAGTGCACGACCTGGGCCAATGAATTTTTCCCACCAGCCCTCTGTTGGGTTAAGCTCCGTAGAGGCGGCATGCGAAGATGCAGAGAGACCAGTATGGAGTAAAATCACGTTATCCCGCGATGGAGAGAGAGCGCCCCATGTTTCATAGGCGATGTCAAACGACGGTAATGTGGACCCATACGTCAGTTCAAGCGGATACTGATGGTGGTACGTATTATATGAGAGTGGATTAGGGCGAGCATAGGGAGGTTCCGGACCACTGTCGCTTGATGATGCTCGTGTGCCTGTCTGTGAATAACGGTAGAACGAGGAAGCTAATATCTTAGATTCACGAGCTGCATGAGCATCGACGCAAGGAAAAGATGGTATTGCTGTGGTTGCGCATGTTGCCTGATGTCGCAGAGAAGTTACGGTAAGACTGCTCAGACGGTGCGGAAGTGCTCTGAGTCTGAATGAATTTCTGGCTATCAAATTCATGGTAGTCAGATGTGCGAAGTAGACATGAAAGTGCTATACGATGCTCATGGACTGCTCGAGGAGTTGTCAGCTGAACGCTGAGCGCTGAGCCACGAGTTCCATAAGATGACATCGATGAGAAACAATCACGCAACAATCACATGCACGTGCACCTAACCCTAGACTAGGGTCTGTCCTAATTTGGTTGTTTGCAAAACTGCAACATCGCATTGAAACCCTTCAAGTCCGGGACCGTGACCTGTCTTGAATTTTCGTGGTGGTCCGACGGTGTGTGTGTGTCGTGTGCAAGCAAGTAGAGGACTGGTCGAGACAACGTGTAGCTGTCTTCTTTTCCGAGTTACGGTAAGTAATAGTTTCGTTCCGTTTCAATCCGTTCTCGCACATGCCTTGCTCACAACACGTGCTTGACTTGTCTTTAGCTCGTCCGTCCTCACTCCGCGACTGACTTACCAGTCCAAAATTTCCAGAGACGGTCACTCTCCAACTTAGGTCAAAGTCAAAAAGCATCTTGTATGTTATCCCCTAATTTAATATTCTTGTTTCAGAATTGATACTTGCACAGCTTAGCCCAAAACGAGGCCCGACTTCCGTTTTCTGGAGTTGCAGTAGCTGATGGTGGTTCCACCATCAAACGCACAAAGAAAAGTTTGCGCATTTTTGCACCATGACCGCTCTTGCCCTTGCCTCATCGTCTCTTGAGCCTGGAATCGGTCGTCCTGCACGAAAGGAAAACAGGGTGCGCTCGCCTATTTCAGTCTTCCACACATGAGCTTATACATGGAGTCATCAGATCGTTGCTTTCTTTCGCTCTCGCTCTCGTTCTCGCTCCAGACCCCACGCCAAATCGACTGTCAGTTCAAGTGCTGCGCAATCCACGACGGATGTACCAACCCTGCCTATGGTGCCTGCCTCTAAGCTTCGCATCAGTCATGTGCGTTCCACCAGTCTGGCGTACGAACCAGGACATGCAGCCCACGCAAGTCCGTCCGCTTCAGCAAGTCAGTCAAATTTTAAGCCAGGCACGCATACTTCGACACGCCCGATATCATCCACGACCACTGCCACACACTCCACAATCACCCCTCTTCCTTCCGACTCTATCAGACGAAGACAAAGATTATCGCATCGTGTTTACTCGCACGATTACACCCAAGGAGAAGATCTCGATCAACAGGCCAACGAAGATCAGCTCGCATCTCAAGAGGATCACGGTCGTGCAACTCGTTCAAGCACCCCCTCTTCTCTCAATCAGCGCGGGAAGTTAGAGCTGCGCTCCATTTTTGGCATTGCCCTGTCACGGAAGTCATCGCTGGCCAACCCGTCCCGAAAACCGTCACCAGGATCTTCTGACCGCAAAGTATCATCTTCATCCCTCTCTCAAAAGGAAGCTGAGAACATACCCTCTCGCAAACGATCATTCAGGCTCAACTCTAGACCAAACACTCCAAAGTCTACTGATGAATCGCGCGTTACGAAAACATCCACTGGCACCATACCCACTCCCTCCAATCCTCTCCCATTGTCCGCCTCTCCCCGCAGACTTTCATTTGGATTGGCCTCAAGTTCTCGTACACATACGCATACGCCAATGACATCATCGGGCCACCTTCCCCTAGCTCTCCCGTCACGTCACAAACGACACTCTGTCGGATCTCATGACACTGCTCATGACAGTGCCGTTGCGTTACCCGATGACCGTTCGGACAGCGCTCTTACTTTGTCAAGTCATACAAACACTAGATCCAATTCAAAGACCAGTGCCTCTACCCTTAGCCGCTTCGGAAAATCCCGCAAAGGCAAGGAACATGAACGTGATACCAGCAGTTCGAAACTGCGGTCACAAGCGCGAAAGACACCTCGCTTGGATGACTCGCGCCCTAGTATTTTTGGCTCGCTTTCGGAGGAGACATCCCCCATCATCAACTTATCCCCGCCGCCACCGCAAATCGACTCGCGCGACCAGTATGACCTCGGTGGTCTCGTGGTGTCGCTATTGCCCACGGTAGAGTCTATGTCTGAAGAAGATGCAGTGGAACAGCCTCTGATTTGTGCACCGCAAGCAAGACCAGCCATACCGCAAATCATTCATACCCCGCCGACTCCACAAAGAACAGCAGAATTAGATTCTCCAGTGCGACCTGCTACCACACCACCAACGGTGAGCGGAGGACAGGGGAAAGCGCGTGAAGTTCTGCTCAGCAAGGATCCGATCACTGTTCACAGCGAGCTTCCAAAGTTGCATGCACGGGCAGCTCTGAGCCCCGGTTCCGACGGAGATCCTGCATACAACCGCATGCGTAGCAGATTCCCACCCCGGTTGTTCGGGGGCAAAGATTTATCCAGAGAAAGCAAGAAGCAGAAACCCGGTGGTCGGCATGATCCCCCTGGAGCCGTCGGTCTTCCGCGAAATATGACCAACCGTCGCATCAAACATGGAAGCTTTGACTTTGAGAGACCCGTCTCTGGTCTCAACAGGAGTAGCTCAACAGTCGATGCATCGCTAGTGAAAGGCGAGGGGTTAACACAATCTGGCAAAACTGGCGCTACCGCTCATCGATCGACAGCCTTAGAACGAACGGCATCATCATCATCTGATCGTACAGGGAAGTCGCAAAAATTCGCGTACCATCCCACCCGAGCCGACTCCCCCATTCTTGCCCAGCTCTCTGCTAGCCATACGGGCGAAACCTCGGTGGTTTCCTTCTCATCCGCATCCGCCTCTGCACAGTCGAAGTCGACGGGAAAGTCTGCCCCTGGTCCCGGACAATCATCCAGTTGGGGACGCGCATCAGGTAGACGAACTCAACGCACGTCGCACGGACCGTTCCCCTTCGAGCCGGCTTCATCAGTTTCAAGTTCTCCTTTACCGAGCTCCTCTACACTGCCCCCCCATCCGTCATCCCCTCATCAACAAGAGTTTGACATACCAGAAGGACCTGCCTCATTGCCCCCCAGCTCTCCTCTGCGGTGTGAGTTGGGGATTGGGGGAGGTTTTATACGCGACAAGAGTCAAAGTGCTCGTGGCCGCGTGCAACAAATATACGAGCCAGGCGGCGAGAAGAAGGGCAAAGGCCGCTCACTCGATCTTAAACTTGGTTTATCTTGGGCACCTAATCGCGTCCGTCAAGAAGCCGTTATACATGGATCTCTCCTTTCGCAAAAGCAAGAGGAGGAGCGTAATCGGGGGAAGGATGTCACAAAAGTCTTTGAGAACGTACTCTCTGAATCCGGATTCGAAGCGTTCAAGAAGTGTTAGTACTACTTTACGCCTCTATATGTTATCTTGTTACTTTTGATCATTTTGTCTGACCATGATGTTATCTCCTTATGCAGATGTTCACCGATTTGACGCGCACGTGATACCCCTAAAAGGGCCTCGGGGACTCCTAGCGCGTGTTGAAAAATTACTCACTGCCTCGTCGGTATCACAGACAGAAAAGGTGGAACTGCTGGACCAGTTCGCTCGATTCGTGGAGGGGCATAGCGAAGTCTAATGGATAATATCACGTCATGTCATGGGGATTTATGGGTTTTGAGATGAGTGACCCTTTTCATAATACACTTTTCGTTATGGCTTCACGCTTCGTATACGACGCATTACCCTTATTATTCCACATCCTGTGCAACGCCCTTTTTATCATTTTATATTTCACGCATTCAACTCACGCAGGTGTTTATGTCTTTCGTCACGTTCTACACGCATTTTCCGTATTGATTCGTTGTCATATGTTTTTATGCTATGATTCTATTTGCAGTGATTTACGAGTTACATCCTACCAGCTCAGTTTAATGGAAGTTTTCAAGTTATCGTACCCCTACTACGGGTCCTTTGTGCGTTTTTGCTGTGGGCCACTAGCAAGTTCAAGTTCAAGTTCAAGTTCAGAGATACGGCGAGACGGATGATTATCAAATTCAAGCTATGTACACCAAAGAATACATATTCATATTCTTTGTAAATGGAAGATGTCACCCCACAGCTTGCACGTAGAGGAGCATGTCCAGCCTAATACCACAGCGAGGGAGAAACGATGCTGACAGTCTGAACTCTATATGTCCTTGATCTGCGGTTGCTTCGAGGCTTTGATACTCGAGTGGAGCCTTGTTACAAGCACCGTGGGAAGGGGGCAGCTGTGCTGAAATTTGAATCTCTTGCATTGTTTCCCCCCTATAGCTGCCCCGTAATGTGGCAGCTCATCTTCCAATTTGTTATGAGCTGCAACTACAACAAGCTTGTCACTCGCACTCTCTTTGTGCTGTGCAAGTCAAGCTTGAATATCTGCAAGTTTTAATTGTGACCAGAATACTCACCCATCTAGATCCAGGGGATCCAGCCATCAGGGTCCTCTCTGAAGATATGGGTTTCTTTGTCGAACTCTATAAGCACCAGTGAGTTCAGAGAGTCAATATGAGAATGAGAACATGCCTGCAAATATCTCTGAGCAAAAATCTGGTTCAAGATGATTTCCTAGAGGTCTTTCAAAGAGTTTGAAATGTGTTGCCATAAAGTCTGAGGCTGTTCAAAAAACAACAGTCCACTGCCATATCCGCAGTACTACTAGCCCGGATCCTATCCTGAAATATCACAGGTCATATGAAGAATTTCCTTTCAGAAATGTGTCATCAGAAGGCAGGGGAAGGCTGTGACAACATATGGCCAAGATATGCTGCAAATTCTGCAGCAGTATCTCCAGTAAATGATCTTTAAGTACAAATTCATCAGTAAGATCAATAATGCAATCATACAAGATGCCACTGCAAAAGGTATGGTCAAATCTATGAGGGAGTACCTTGAGAGTCTAGGCAGTTTTTGTTGGTTGATGTTGAGTCTGTGCCCTGCACTTTGTATACAGAACCACAGAAGTTCTCACTTCTGGCTCTAAGTGCAGATAAATCAATTGAACTTGCCTGCAAGTAGATTCCTGGGGTAAATTGGTGGAGACTAAATCCCGTCCAGAGCTGTACTTTGGTGAGGACTCCTGACAACAACGCGTTGGATCACATAAAAAGCATCCAGGCTGTGGGCACCCTGGATACGCCAACGCATTATACCCACGTTCAGTAAGACATGTAGTCAAGGTAGTGTTCCTGTAGAGTCGCGCGAACTGGGACCGCGAAAAAAATACGCCGTTCCTGAAAAGCTACAGAAAGGATACTGGTTTAGTGCTGGGAAATAAGTTCTTCTACATTGATGCCATGACTCATCCTTTCCGATAATCCAGTGCGCGCGTCCGCATCCTTCACAGCGCTCGGCAAAGTACGCTGTAGGACTTGATTGATTATCTTCGCACGGATCCAAATGATTTGCGTTACACCGTAATTTTTACAGTGTAAAACTGATACGATCGATGCACAACATTCAGTATTTCCACCAACACAAGAAGAAAAAACAAGGGCCGACGAGTTAACTCCAGTCCATCACAGATCATCCACCTGTAATATCCACGTCCGAGGGCGAGTAATGTGTTGGTATAAAGTCTAGGTGTGTAAGCGGTCCACTTTCGTCGTCAACACCTCCAACCTTGCCCGGATTTCTTTAATCTCCTTAATGATCGTAGCTTCCATCGACTATAGAGACGTTAATGGACAACAGAAAAAGCAGGAAAAGACTTACTTGTTCCGTATTGGGGAACCTCTTAACAAGCTCATCAAAGGGGATCTTGCTGATCTCCGAGCCTTGGTCTGCGTCTGGCCCCTCGACTACAGGATCCAGAACATCAGGGTTTTCAGTATCCACCTCATCATCTGAGTTGACCATCCACGACTTTGTCATATTTGATGTCTCAAAGAGCGCAATGATAGTCAAGGGAACGAAGAAAATTATGCCCATAATGACCCGATTGAGCTGCAAAGAGGTCAGGGGTACAGATTGCAAATTGAAAAGTCATGCCGCACTTTTGCATATAGCCGGGATTGCAGTCCAAATATTCTCAAAAAGAAGTTAATAACTGCAAAGGGCCACAAGAATAGAAAACCTACTCAAAAGGCGCTACGAAGAAAAATTCTACGAGGTTGAATGGCGCAGGATAGATATACGAATCAGGAGCGCGGATCATGGCAACAGTTTTTGCTGCATAGAATGTCATATACTCTGCCTCAGCGTCATTGACGACCTGATCATCCGTTGAGCCCATGAAAACTCATAAAAAGATGAAATACCGACATCAGCATAGGCTGAGGAGAACAAAGAGATGAGGACATTGAGCAGGATAATCGCTGTTGCAACATTCCAGCTGAAATAGAGCTTGTCAATCAGCAAGCACGCAGAATCATCAAACGAGCACTAACAGATAGTATAACGCAAGTCCAACGGGGCTGCAAACATTGTTCAGAGACTTCCAAAATATAGATATTAGACTTTACCTGGCCGAGAACCTGTCGTAGTTGGGAGACCTAAGAAAATTCAGCAGGTGCTCAAATTAAGAAAACAAATAGCTAATCTGACTGAAGTAAGCCTTGAACAAGAACATTGACGATCTGACTGAAATCAGACAGGGTTAAGGAGAGGCAAAATCGGACATACAATTAATGGATCTTCGCTTAAACCGTCGGCAGCATCTAGAGCATATAGACCCTGCAAGAATCCAATCCCGAGCACCGACAACAGCTGTACAGAGATGAAGGAATGGGGAGACCATATACTACAAGGGGACAAACCGCGAAGAAGATGCCCGACTCTTGTAGCATGCGAGCGACGCATATTTGCATTGTTCCAACATACCTGCAAAATCATCAACATCTTCTATACGAGTACGACACAATATGTGCTTACTGGTAACCATCAAAGATTGTAATGAGCTCTGAAGCGAAAAGTCATGAGTCGATAGAACACCAACAGATATGTGGAGCTCAACTAATCCTGAAACCATAAACAGCTGGTTAGATATTTTGCCTCATGATCATTCGAGGATTGGCTAACCATATGAATGGGGCAACGAAACTCAAGACTTGAAAGCTCCTTAAGCGTAGAGTGCTGGAGTGATCTCCAGTGGCGTAAAGACCAGCGATGCGAAGCAGAAACGCAGCCAATAATATGGAATCTGTTATGAATGCGACGGCATTCCAAAATCCAAAGGCGCGGTAGGTTGCATATTTGAATAGCTTGTAAAACTGGGATGACCTGTAAGATGTTACAGCGGATTGAGGCGCAAGAAAGTTACCCTGAGTATGTCTGGAACATAATTCAACACACTGTTCAAACAACAGCGGGATACCCTCACCTTCAAGTGAGAATGCCAGTGCCATGACATAAAGTACAACTTCCCAGATATCAACCATCGTATGGTTGGGGTCAAGTCGCTCCAGCGGTTCGCGGACTTCAAATTAGTTAGGGAATGACTAGCGCTCCGTAATGAGATTAGTCTCTTACCGGCTTGAGAGTACACAGCGAGAAAGAAAAACCAAATCTGTGTAATCATATCAAGCTAGTGGTTGTTCACCCAATATATGACGCACCACGATGCGGAGGAAGTTCTGATACCTGTACCCAAGTAAGAATAGGTTACAATGCAGCTGAAGTAACCCATACCGGGGAACGGAAATGCGTGAAGGATCCATGTGACCCCAAACCCCAGCTTGCCGTGATTCGTGGTAGGATACGTCTGTCAATGCTTGAGCATGGAGAATAAACAACCATCCATTGTCTCACACTGAATATCGTCCTGATCTGTCAGCGTCTGGACAAGCTCTCCGTCCCACAATGCCCTGACAACTGGGGCAACAATCAGCTCACCCGACTCATAGGTTACCTCGGGGCCAACTCACCACTCTGCGCTTCGGTAGAAGACAAAAATATAGTGCTACATAACAACATGTAAGAGAATTGCATATATCCCTAAGAAAAACCGACCAATGGGTGTCAATGGCAATTTCGAGAGCACTCGAGGCCTCGCTGATATCGCCGTTAGGCTCACGATGCCTATGCCGAGTAGACATGAGAGATGTAACTTTCTCAGATGGGCTCTGATGAATAATGCGACGAGCCAGCACTTCACATGCCACAGCTGCCAAAGTAAGTGTTTATGAGGGCTCGTCTTCAACCAAGTAACGATAGCACAAGCAGTTCTACTTACCTCTTCCGCTGTTCTCGCCAAAATCTGCAGGGTCGAGATATGCCTCTCGCATGAACTCAGCGTGAGCACGAAGTAAACAGTATGGGAGCTTTTGGAACAATGAGCACGTCGAGCACCTCAGTACGATTGTAAGTCGCTCACCGCTTCGACAAAATCACCTGCTGCGTCCGAGAATGCAGATATGACTTTGGGAGTGATAATCCTACTTGTTGGATCATCGATGCTCTTCGCGTCAACTTCCACTGGAAGCAGCTTCGTTGCTAGTGCCTTGAGACGCTTCACAAGTTCTATATAACAATTAGGGAACGAAATGAATACAAGAGTAAGTATAACATACTCGTCAATGTATCCGGAGAGGGTTTCATAGACTGCGGTGATATAAGAGAGGTTTGTTCATCATAAATTTCATCATATTGGTTCATGGTTTCCGAAGTCGTTGATTTTCAAGGTCGAACAACGTTGAACGTTGCACGCAAAATCCTCCTGTTGTACTGAGACTGAAAAGGAAACACAACCTAATTGGTGGCTGTGTACCCTCAACTTCTCACCGCTGCGCCATGCCTGTGAGCGAGTCCTCTGGAGAGTTTCGAAGAGCAATGCTAATGGCGAACATCAAAACTTTATAGGCATACCACTCTGCTTTCAACGAGTTCCCTGATGCAATGCAAGCTGGCAACATGTCCATCTTGCCGATCAGAACCAAAATCCGTGGTCCTGCTCCCCTTTGTATGTCTCCTGGAATATGCAGTAGCCACTACCATCATGCTGACTGTCGTGTATATAGCCGATCCAGAGCAAGGAGATATCATAGACGAGACCCTTGACCTTTTTCGCGCCAATTCGCTCTTCCGCAACTTTGAGATCAAAGGGCCTGCGGACCGACTGTTAATCATCCTCATTCTCTATATCTCTGATTGCTTGGCGAAGATCGGTTCTGCTCGCACAGTGCCAACGCAGATTGAAGCATCAAAGATGTTGAATACTTTATCTGTAGACAATTTCGCTATCCCAGGTGATGCTGGATTCCCTCTTAATGCCCATTATGCCCCGCCTCAGAGCAGAGCAGATGCAGGTACGTTCGGTTCGATTGTTTCCCCCGAGTGAATAATAGATATATCGTGACAGAGTATCTGCGGACATACTTGACGCAGGTCCGCCAGGAACTGGCGTCTCGTCTGGTGGAACGCCTGTATGCTGACGGGACGGGCAAGCCAAGCAAGTGGTGGATGGCATTCCAGAAAAGAAGGTTCATGAACCGCAGCCTAGGCTCGTAAATCAGAGGAGCAGTTGTATAATCCCGTCCCAATTAACTGGGTAATGTACTTTTCAGCAATGAACGTCTATATCACTTCCATTTCTTCCTTTCGTTGGGGTTCTTCCTCCCATACCCTATTTGCGGCATGTCTCCACCAGCATGCGATGATCGCCCTTGTCCTCCGGTCCCAGCACTCAACATTCCTGGCATCCAATCAGGATCTGACCAGCCACCGACACTAACGCCACCCTCGCCACCCTTATCAACCAGGCCCTTGATCATTCGCCGCTCCTCCCGGTCTCGTTTACCGTCCGCACGCTTTTTAGCGCGCATGTATTCTAGTTGGTCCTCGCGTAATACTAGACCTTCTCCGGGGCCTGTCTTGGCCGACCCAGGCTTGGGTGCAGGGATTGAATATTTCGTTCCTCTTACTTTATACTGGAAGTTTTTCTTCAGGTGAACTTGCATTGCAGGAGCATCTGGCGATGCATCAGGGGACGCGACAGTGACCGATGCCCGCATTAGTGTAGGGTTACCGCAAGATGGGCAAAACTGTTTTGAGTTGTCTTTGCAGATCCTAGTTGTGGTGTAAGAACAGGATACCAATCAGTGGGACTGGTACTCACTTAAAGCAAGCGTGACACCGAAGAACCCAGCTCTTCACTTTCTGTATCCGCTTGCCTTCAGTCCCGACCAATGTCAGACCCATCTGCAGCAAGATGTTCTGAACCGCAAAATCTCCAGTCATGCAACCTGTTGGTACAAATTCATCCTCCTCCTGTCGTCCGCGCCCTTTCTTACTGCCACTACCACTACTGCCAGAAGGTAATAGCTGCAACGCTTGGGATTTGTGTAGTGCGACGTTTTTGGGTGTAATCCATTCGCCCTCGCTATCATCCTCATCAGAGGGGTCGTCATATAGTGGCTGATCCGATGGTCGAGCTTCGTCACTTGAGGGATGATGCGTTTCTTCCGCTATATCTCCGCCCCCTTCTCGGATAATTTCGATATTTAGCGGCTCCCTCTCTTCACCTTCGTCATTCTCACTATGAATATCCTCTGATGGATCCGAAGTGGAAACTGGGGGACTTCGGACGTTATCGTCAAATTCGTTGGTAATACTCTACTAGCTAGATATTAGATCGGGGCTGTGATACTAGACTCATCAAACCTTGCCTTTTGGGGGTCATTCTCTGACGATGCCTGCTCGCGCACACGAAGCGAATGGGTTAACGCCAAGACGCAGATATCTGCATGGGACAAGACAGCGTAATCTCCCGTCTTCTTCGCAAATTGTACCACTGGAGAGCAGAAGGTGTGTAAGTAACCAACAAAATAGAGACCTGTGCTGACCGTGAGCAAGCGACAGCAGCATCAGGGTTGCGTACGTCCACTTGGACACCCGCAGATAGCCCCAATCGTTCAAAGTGTTCCCGGGCACGTTTGTCCTTGAGTTCATCCAGAACTTGAGGTACCGTAAGGTAGATCTCTGCCAGGCCCCTCAGTGGTGAAAGCGAAAGCAATGGACCAGCATCTAAAACCAAGTTTTTACAGCGAGGTTTTGATTCTGCCATATCGATGTGAAGTTTTAGAAGAAGTTCTTAGACTTGAGCGCTACCAGTAACTGCTAATAGCCTGCTAACATGATGATAAACGTGGGAAGATCTACCTTATGCAGGCAATACATGATCACACTATCTCCTCGGCCGATAGCGCGGACAGCCGAACACTCCAGGTTATAACTTATAACGATGTTAAAAAGAGCTTGAACGCAATTAATATCGACCTTCATCTTCCGCTTCTCCATCATTCAAATGTCTCCCAAGTCGTCAGTCTGTCGATCTCCATATATGATTACCACTGACTTCCATATCCAGGTACCGCATCGTTGTTCTGCCAGGGGATGGCATTGGTTTGTCATTCCTTTGATCTAATCAACCAAGCTTGGAGCTTAAACGGTCTTACAGGACCAGATGTTGTTGCACAAGCAACGCGAGTGCTAGATCTCGTCAGCGAGACATCTACATCGGTCAAGCTCATCCTCGAGTCTCATGACTTTGGTGGATGTGCCATTGACAAATATGGCGAACCCCTGCCCGCATCCACCCTGACAGCATGCCAGCAGGCGGATGCCATTCTCCTAGGTGAGCAAAATCCTGGTCAACTTTGCGACCATGTAACTGATTGGAATCCAGGCTCTGTGGGTGGCCCCAAGTGGGGTCCCGAGGCAAAAGTCCGTCCTGAGCAAGGTCTTCTGGGCATCCGCAAAGCTCTGGGTTTATACGCAAACGTTCGCCCAGCGAACTTTGCGTCCGACTCCTTGCTTTCATACACCCCTCTGAAGCCAGAGATCGCCAGGGGTGTCGACATGATTGTCATCCGTGAGCTGATCGGTGGTCTATACTTTGGTCCTCGTCAGGAACAAGGCGATGGCGACACCGCATATGATACCATGGTTTACAGCGTTGCTGAGGTCGAAAGAATTACCAGGGTTGCAGCACAAATTGCTCTTGCTGCCAACCCACCCCTCGCCATCCACTCTATCGACAAGGCAAACTGTGCTTGCAAGTTCGAGGTTGTGGAGAAGGGTTGTCACCGAAACGCTGGCAAAGGAATACCCTCAGCTGACCGTTGACCACTATCTCGTTGACTCCGCTGCAATGATAATCGTGGCTAACCCCAAAAAGTTGAACGGTGTAGTACTGACTGAGAACATGTTCGGTGACATGTAAGTCTCATTCAGTTGGTTACCTGTGGTGATATTCATTAATTTGATTTCAGCTTGTCAGATGAGACGAGTGTTATCCCTGGTTCTCTTGGATTGCTGCCATCGGCATCCCTTGCTGGTGCACCTGCACTGGTTTCAGACCCCTCTTTTAAGCCTACTTCAGGCATATACGAGCCTATTCACGGCTCTGCTCCCGACATTGCCGGCAAGGGCATTGCCAACCCAATCGGCACCATTCTCAGCGCAGCCATGCTCCTGCGGTACTCCCTCGGTCTCGAGAAAGAGGCTCAGGCTGTTGAAGCTGCTGTCCGCAAGGTATTGGATGAGCCAAGTGTTGGTGGATATGGCATCAGAACAGCTGATTTGCAAGGGAAAGCAACGACTGTCGAGGTCGGCGACAAGGTTGTCGAGGTCCTCAAGTCCCTGCTGTAGATGGATGTGATGACGACTGAGGGAAATATACAACTATGGCAGAATTGATGGAAGTGTACATGTATCCCATTACTCAAATTTAAAACTGATCTGGTCGAGTATCTGCGTTGTCGAAGGTTGAGGACCAGCATTTCAGTTTGACAGACGAACAACAATACATTGAGCATTATCAGTCGATACATATGTGAAAGCATGGTCCATCCTCTATCAGAACGACTAGAACATATTAGCAAGCTTGCTCGCTGCAACCCGCGCATCCAAGCGTGGTCGCGATGGGTGTACCCGCACTGATTGTGACATGTTCGTCGGGGCGAACATTCCCAGAGGGTCTACTGCCTGTTGTGTGCTTGCGGGGCGAACAGGAGCGTTAGAGGCCAATGGGGATTGCGCGAAACCTGCAAGAGGATGTGTGGCAGAGGATGGAACAGGAGAATGAATAGTTCCCCCAAGAGGGCCTTGGGGTAAAAGCGAAGAGGCGGAAGCAGCTACCGGAGGGCCCAACGGTGATGGTGATGAGGGGTTAACAAACATCGACTGGGTCCCGTCTACAAAGCGGCCGCCCAGAGGCGGGCCAGTTTCCCGTGGCTGCGGGGGTGCATGCGGGTGTGTGAAGGAGTTCCGCTGAGGTATCGAGGGACCCGCACCAGGTGATTGAGGAGGAAGTAGGGTTATGTCTGAATGAGGACTGAGTGGGTGAAGGAGCGGCTGGCGGCATCCGATTTGAAGGCTTTGCGACAGGAGGTGTGGCCCTGGTATGCGTGGGTAGCGTATCGTCTTCTAGAGGTAAGATAACAGATGGCTTTGGGATGCCATTCGGGTTTGGAGGTGCTACCTTCTGGTTGGCGTTATTGACATCTGTGCGAAGCGCCTCCAATTCTCGGAGTAGCTGCCTCTCGTACATGATTGACGAGCGAGCGTGCTCAATCAAAGCAGCGGTGATATCATCTGCAACAGTACGCTTGTGTGTATCCATTGCACGATGAAGATTTTGGGATATGTTGTTAGCTCGTTGAGCAAGCACTTGCTCGTATTTATTGGCCTATTACAAAAATGCAGATATCAGCGCTCTCACGCCGAGAAAATACCAAGCGAATTACACTTACCTCCTCTATGTCCTCCAGAGCTTCATCCACTCGCTCAGGCCTAATGTTCGAACTTGCCTTCAACCGCTCTATATTCCTTCGCTTAGATATCGTCGACTTTACAGCAGCCTGATACTCCTCCAGTACACCAGCTCGTTGTAACAATGCTTCCTTTGCGGAACGGGCGTTTAGACCTTGATATCCAAGGGTATCCCCGATGACGACACATTCACTAATCGCCTGCGCTTGATCCAGATCCGTAAGAGTATGCCATGCTCTTCCAAGCTTCTGTAACGCATGTCCAAGAGGGGGATGCGACTCCGTAGTAGCAACATTAATGAGTTTGTTGCCCATCTCCGCATGCGCAGCAGCCAAAGCTACAACCCAGATCAACAAATGGACAAGCCTGATAATCAACTTCAAGCCACTTACATTTGCGTGTGATCGCAAGTTTGTCGATAGCTTTAGCAGCATCGAAAAATTGCGTTTCAAGCTTCGTTAATTCGAATCGTGCACGTTGCAGTACCTCGTCTTCGTCAGGTACGCCCCGGCGTATCAACCCAAACCCTGAACCCGTTTTACGCCGAGGACGTGGCGTTGGTTGATAACCAAAGTCACTCTCGATAAATGAGCGCAGTTCCTCGTCGTGAATAACAATTGGGTCTTCGCATATCCGCGTCAACCACCTCTGCAGCATTATTCGCACAAGACGATCATCTTCCTCGTCTGTAGGCGCCGAGGTTTGGGCAAGGGGTAGTGCAGGGATGATGGTATGAGGACAATTGTTGATCAGCGCTTCGTAAAACTGCTGAAACTCGAGGTATGAACGGGACACATTGCGGTATGTAGTTCCCGTAAAATTAGACAGTGTGGTCTGCCAGTGCAAGTCTGATTACAATATGGATGATAAAATATAGCTAGCTTACCTGGGCATCAAGCTTGAAGAGTATATCCCGCCTATTCCTGTCCATTCCAGTGATTCGCACACGTAGATACGGCTCCATCTTCTCGTATTTTGTGCCATTTGAGCCTACTGTCGTCTGCGGAGAGACAAGGCCAGGTTCAGGCTGACCGTAAATTTTGGGTTCTCTACCGTATAGCCCGTCTGTCTCTGCTTTCTGGACACTCACTGGTGACGGTGAAGACGGGGAAGCGCGACGCAAGTGGGGTATTGGAGAATTTGGCTCGTGCGGTGTTGTTGGCCATGGCGGTGACGTGTCGGTACTTCCATTGGCAAAAATGGAGCTAGTAGAGCTAAGAGGGTCAAACATGACAGCACTGTATAGTGAAGGGACACCTGATAGAGAAAGTGTACGATAAGTATGCACGATGGCCGCAATTTCGCCAACACCCCAATTTGATATGATAATAGATCACATAAGCAAATATGAAGCACTTCGAAGTTTCAAGTCCTCGAATTCATCTACCGGTACAATTAAGGAGTACACTCTATCTAAGGACAGCCAAGAAACACAGGGTAAATAGATGATAATGATAGTCGCGTCAAATCCCCTGCATATTATCTTCATATTATCTGTGCGGAAGGAGCGACGTGGAGTTGCATCATGACGCGGGTTGCTCGCCTGCCAAATAGAGCGGCAACATATGCCCCATGCGGAGAATCTTGGTCCGGAGGTACTTGTCCAAGTCCTCCCCTCTGACCGCATCTCCACCAATCATAGTCACACCCGCAGGTTTTACCCAGTTGAGCGTCTCCCGCAGTCCGCTTGTGAGTGAGAGCGATGCCTCCAGCTTCTAGGCACCATCGGCACCCGCTCTACAACCCTCAGGCCCTCCTTCTCAAGAGCTTGAACTTTGTCAGGGTTGTTCGTCAATAGCCGAACACCCTCGCCAAGCTCTGAACCAAGCCCAAGGTCACGCAGAATGGCGATCGCAATTTCGTACCCACGTTCATCGGCCTGATGCCCGAGCATCAAATTGGCTGTGACTGTATCGTGGCCCAAATCCTGCAAATTATAGGCGCGTATTTTGGACAGAAGGCCAATTCCACGACCTTCCTGCTTCAAATAAATTACAGCACCCCGGCCGGGCATCGTCCTTGAATTAGGTGATACGTTATCAGGAAGAGATATTGGTTGAGAAATGAGATGAATGGCTTCGTCTAGCTGTTCGCCACAGTCGCACCGCATGCTGCCCACCTGTTTCACCAGTGAAACACTCAGAATGAATACGAACAAGGGGAGACGGAATGGAGGTTGTGGGAGATGGTTGATGCAGGGATGGACGAGATGGGTGTTGGGATGTAGCAGATAGTTTTCCTACGTATGCCCCGCGTATGATGCGGTCCATGTCTGTTTCGTCATCACTCCAAACAGCGTCTAAAGAACGGCTGCGAATTGGCGGTGCTAGAACAGAGCTATCGTCGGAGTATTGTGCCGGGTCTACGACAATGGCAAGATGCTCCTTGTTGTCACGATTATTGTGGTAGAGGTGTAAGAAAGCTGGACCATGTGGCGTGGGTATACGGGTACGAGCCATGCATTTAACTTCTATAGAGGATATGGGTGATGGTCCAGTCAACGAAATGACTTGAGAGGCTATAGCTGGTTGGGGAGAAATGGTAGGCTGCAAGCGCAGCCTTCGAGGGCCTTGCTTGCTCACATATGACATACGCTTGCGCTCCTGAGGCTTGTTTGTATCCTCTGCAGCCCGCTTGCCACGCGCGGCGCCATCGGGATGGGCACCGGGAAAGAAGTCATGATGATAATGGTTTCGGGTGGTGCGGGTGCCTGCAGACGCTGCTACTGCAAGCAGTAATGGGTCTAAAGCGGCATCCCTTCTAGAGAATTTCTGCACGCCTTGCCATCGAGGGCTGGTGAGAACGTCCAGGAGAGCTGTGTCAGATTCTGTTAACAATGGTGAAGAGATGTTCGGATAAAACGATTCTGTTAAGGCCATTTGAATGGAGTTAGAAGTACAGGCTCTGGTTAGGGACGAGTGGGAGCGGACGCCGGATTATGTGCATCTGATTCTGAATGTCTTGCTTATAAGTTTGATGCAAGTGTGATAAATAATAGGTGACGTGACTGATCTATGTGACTGCATCACTCATATGAGGACCATAAAGGTCGAAGAAACGCAACATTTAATTTGGGTAACGTACTCTCCCAGATGGACCACTCGGGTTGCTTGGTTCTGTGACACCTCAGTGCCAAAACCTGTAGAAGGCAGGTAAACATTTACGCTATTGTCGTCTTTGGGTTAATTCTTTCACGGTCGTGGGCAGTTGCTTACTATGATAGATCCGAATTTTCATCCGGATTTGTCATTGTCGATTAAATATGCTTCACTTGCTAGTCCCAGACTCCGCGTCAAGGCGGTGATATTGAGTAGTAAGCCTACTCCTTGACCAGGGAGATTTCAAGGCATTCGCCGACTCGCGTCTTATTGACATCTTTCAATCCGGTCATCGTCGGTCGATGTTCAGCACTTATTCCGATTTTCCGAATAGGTTGGTCATGGGTATTTGAAAATTCCTCGTATGCACTGGATCATCTTATCGGATTTTCTCAAGATGTATCAGAGTGCAAGGTGCCTTGATCTTCAGCGATCTCCCACCCACGCGCCCATAGGCGACCTCTATTTCCCAGAGTGAACAGGCTCGAATATAATTCCAATAATAATTTTCAAGGATAACAATTATTCTTCGGCCGTTGTGACAGCTTAAAAAGCCAAGACATTCGCACTATGATGTTTGGCCCATTTTCTCGAGGATATTGGCTATGCCGACGCCCCTTCCTCCGATTCAGCACCTTACTTACTAGTGAGTTCATAACGTTGGGATCGGACGGTACATGACGAAGTCCGAGCGCAGGTAGTTTTGATAATATTTAGTAATGGACCATGACAAAGAAATGCATAACGTACATATGGACCGGTTACTCAAGTTGATCATTAACCTGCATTACTCAACTTACTCAATTCCTTGACTCCTCCGTTGAAATACGGCTGTGAGAGTGTTATTCTTCACGACAATCATATTTCAATGCAAGGAGCCAAGGTCATTACGAACTCGAGGTAACCGCTGTTGCTGAGCCCTGTCTTAGGTGATTGCGAGTGCGTAGGCGTCGCAGCACCATGATGCTTTCCACTTTTCGTTTGATACAATTCTTGAACTACTGATACGCTTATGGCAGACATTCGTTCGTCTTGGACGAATTCAACCAACTTCGAATTACCAACCGCGAATGGTGGGTCACTCCTTGACACTTGAAACGACTGTAGTCCTCTTGTGAAGGTTCGTCGTATTCAGGCCTGCAGTATGCTTAGGAAGCCCAAAAGTGTCTCGCGCAAGCAATCAGTGATACTTGTCGGGTCGTGAAGATATCGACACGTACGACCGGGAGATGGTATCTGTGGCATGTCATCATTGCAATCGGTTGTGTTCACTCGTCGGAACTAGTTGCCTTCTATCTGCGTTTTCTGATGCATACGATAGTTTCTTCTTTTGTCGGGATTGGATTCACCATACGATAGCGTGTTCGATGATGATAAGATAGAAGTTGGGCCGGTTGAAGTAGTTGCTAAGTCGTCTTAACGTTATCAAACGCGTTGCAGCCTCGCTGCTTTTCCAATATGACTCCGACAACTGTACAAAGAACCTGCTGCTATACAAAAAGGCTGAAGCTGCAACTTGCCACTTGCAACACTCACATCTATTCGCGTTCGCGACAAGCTCACCGGATCATCATAAGCTAATAACGCTAGAGCGGGTCCACGGATCAAACAAACGTTAAACCGTGACCCAAGTCAATTTCGACTGAAAATCTCTGTCTACAAATTGAGAAGTTTTCCCGGCCCCCTCAATATTTTCTCTTTCCCTCTATCCAATCGATCACACGAGCGATTTATATATTGCATATCGGCTGTTGGATGTCATCGCCTGAAGCACATGTCGGGGTTTATCCCGATACAGTTCAACCAGACAGAGGGCAAGCCTTTATTAGCTCTCCTCCTATTTGCTTCTAACGCGCTCGACAGCGGTACAAACCAAGATGGCAGACTACATTCCAAGATCGTCGAAATACTTGCATCCACCACTAATGGCTGCATCGAAGAGCTGGGTCTCCACCCAACCATGATAGAGAAGCTACAACGAGCCACACAACTCATTCACTCACTCCAAGAGGACAATGGGAGGCTCTATCAAGACAACTGCCAACTCACCGCTACCATTCAGACACTCAAAGAACACGCCGCACGTCTCTCGGCCAATCCGAACACTCAGCTGCAACAATTCACTCACATGCAAGAGAGGATACGTACTCTTGAGAGTGAATACGTCGCTCTCACTCGGAAAAACCAGGAGATCCTTCTCAGTGTCAATAAAGGCACATCACACCAACATCTCATCGAAGAACTCGACTACATGAAGGCATATACTAATCGCGTTTGCAGAGACATGCAAATTCTCCAGGACAAATACACTATGGCTAAAGAACGCAGCCAGTCTTCTCCAGGTGTATTATCTCCCTCAAGTTGGACTTTTCCTGTTCACTGCACCCTACCTTTTCTGATTGTGCACTACAGACTCTGTCTCTCAAGTCGTCCAGCCCAGAATCCCTACTCCTAGCGATGTTGGTACTTTCTATCTAATCTCACAAAGCACGAATAACAGTATCTTTTAGGTCCATCAGCGACGAGTGTCTGCCGAAGGTGCTCCCCGACTCCAGCCTTCTCGTTTACCGCAGCAACAATTTCAGCAGCAAGCACAATATTCACGACAAATACGACCACAGGTCCAACACTCCCTACCACCTCATCACGCTCATCAAGCATACACTCAAAGGAGGGTCTCTGATGGTGTTCAAAATGTACGTCCAGTCCTAGTGCCTTCATACTTTGAAGTAATCCTCGTATCAGCCTTACCCACCTCAGCCACCCATTCCCATGTCGCAGAGATGGAAGCTCTCACCACCGGCATCCGCACCCCCAATGTTTGGAGCCAGGTCGCCCACAGAATTTGCACACATGCCTCCTATCTCAGCCCCGGTTAATCTCAATCGCCCTCAACAACCCCCTTTCACTCATTCGCATATGCACACATCACAAGCTGTCTATCGAAATGTATCAGCGCCACTTGTAGCTTTCGATCTACACCCCAAGTTGCATACTGCGACGTCACGTCCTACTCTATCTGTAGATCTGACCGGGGAAGACGAAAAGATGACGGAGCAAGCTAGAGGCGGGTGGGTTGATCGGTCTAGCGGTCTAAAACGCACGAATTCTGTCGTGGATGGCTCAATGGCGCAGGATATCGAGTTGATGAAGAGACAAAGGACCGCGGAGCCCACCACCCACTCGCCTCAGGACGCGATCGTCAACGTGAATCCTGAGCCCAACCCAGCCTCTCCAGACACTGTAGTCGGTTCAAAACCAACCTCGCCAGTCTTACCCTCACTTTCTGCGCCACTTCCTAAAGAAAATATGGACGCGGCCTCAGAAGGCCAAGTTGGCGTTACGAACGACGAGGTTGCGGTTGCAGTCACGCCTTCAGATACTGCAGTCGGCTCCAACCCAACTTCGCCAAGCTCCGTCACACCGTCGCCTGCTCAAGAGACACCAGGTGCACCACCGAGTGGGGATAATTTGCGGCCTGTCGAAGCCTGTGTCTACTTGATCTACGAGCAGGATGCTGAAGTAGTCGATGGATTTTTCTGTGGCAGATGCCTGTAAGTCAACCTTCGTTCTACATGTCCACAGTCCTCATCGTCTTTCCCAGTGATCGCTTTCAAATGAAGATGATACCTGAACCACCGGATGTGTTGGTGAACCCAAAGGTTGAAGACCTCTTAATGCATTGTATGCAAGAACACCCCACGATTTGGGAGGACCTCCGTCATAAGAGAGATCTTGAGGCATTAGCACCGCCACCCTCGTGACTCTCCTTTCACATTTCATATCCCTACACTAGTACGTTTTACGCATATTACTATCTTATGTCCATTAGAATCTTGATAATTTCATGCTATGCGCATCATAAAATGTCAGCCATATCATGCATACACGTTGAGCTGTCTCAGCCTTGATTTGAATTTTAACCGCTCATGGCATGAATCGGTTCTACAGCTCTTCATCTCACCCGTCGACTGAGTTATGTTCAACGCAAGCCATCCGACCATCGACATTATAGCCGATCGGACTGCACATGCTATTGAGGAGCCACCGGGTGCGATCCTCGTCGGCGTATTTATACAGTTTTTCTTCCAGGGTATCATCGTCATCGAAGCTGGGCAGTACTACGAGGTATGTTATGAAGATTCCTGGGGTCGTAATCTTTTCGTAGCTTTTGTTACGCTGCTTTCTCTGTGAGTGCCTGACTTGGTTTAGCGCGAGTGTTGTGCGCGCTTAGTGTTCAATTCTTTGGGAAGTGCACAGACGGCATTCGAAGGATACATAGCTTGGAAAGCAAATGTGGAAAGTAGGATGCTGGTATGTCAACATATGACTGTGCTGATCTCCGGTTTGACTTTTTGGGATTAGTTGATGATTCCGCGAGCATGGTTCGCGATTTTTCTCAACGGTTTCATCAGCGGAATAAACAAGCTCTTCCTCCTCCGACGTTGCTGGCGAGTACGTATTCCAAGTATCAACTCTAGCACAAACTCTCAAAGTTTTGTTTTGGTTTTACTAGGTTACAAAAGGAAGCTGGTGGATATTCGTGTTGTTCGCGTTCACGATAACCACATACGTCGCGAATATCTTGATCGTGCGTGATTTACCTTTTGCTGTTTGAATTTGACGTTAACTTGGCATGTTTAGGCGGTGGCTTTTTCACGTCTGGGCGTCGTCAGTCCCAAGCCTAGCGATGTCGTTGTACGTGGACGCTTGCTTGGGTTTGCATGTGTGCCCAACTGCATTTCTAGCTGAGCGTCATCTCATTTTCGTATTGGACTACGGCGGTACTCGGTAGGTCGCTATGAAAGATCTTATGTACAGGACTGATGTTATGTTCTTGAAGTGCTCGATGTCATTCTCTCTGTTATTCGTGAGCCTTTTTTGCGCTAGGCAAGATCTAGACCTTATTTGATCCATCAGTCGCTTTTTTCTTATGGAAAAACAAAACCGGCGTACACCATCTCGACAGAGCACTCTTGCGGTTTTGCGCTGTCGCCACAGAATCTGCAGTCTGGCCATCGTTATGTGTTGCCTGTTTCCGCAGGACTGTTCTTCTCGCATAACGTAGGTGCAAATTCTTCACATACCCACACAATTGAGGATGCTACAACCCACCCTAGGCAAACGCCAACCGCCTCGTTTTCGTATTCCTGCTTCAAACCGGAAAACTCTACACCTTGTCAATCCTCCGCACATTAAACGCAAAAGTTCGACTACGGGAAAGAATGAAATCAGACGATTTTGCGCGAGGGTCGTTAGGAAACTGGTCTTGGCGACAGGCTGACTCGGGAGTGGATCATGAGATGTCTGTGTCTGCAGTAGTGAGTGAGCCGTGACTTGGGGCATGCGTGTGTATATGAATGTCTGCGTTAAGCACGAGCGATCGTCGTTCCGGGCGGCAACGAGTGGACGCCCGTTGTCGATCTCGATTGGGCCGTCGGAGAGAAGTGTTGTGGGTAGACATGTGCCTGTGCTTGGGTCGCCGATGCCAATTCATTCGAACTCGCTTGGCTCACGTTCGACGCAATGATTCAGAAAGGCTGCTGGCAAAAGCCTGTTTTGCGAAAGTCGTCGCTCTTTGTATTTATTTTTGATGTAGATGAAAGGACGTGAAGTGCTACATAGGTAGATACACGAGTCGCTCTTAATGATATCCATTATACCTGGCCCTCAAAGTCAGTGATCATATCGTCAGCTTCCTCGCTGCACAGGTCTAGATCCGTGTGGGTTATAGCTATCTTACATGTCACGAATACAAGGAGGGAAGTAATCCGAGGGTTGTACTAAAGGCCACATATTGAGAAGTCGATATTGTGCGATGATCTAGAAGCAACCACAGAACCGGCCGCTTCCATGTGATCCGGTGTTGGTGAGCACTGCGGGCGATGGCTGTGAATTAGGGTTCGGCGAAGGACACGGGGAAACATAATCTTCATCACGAATCAAGTCGTCGTCGTCATGCGTGGGAGCACCAGCTGTAGCAGTGCGCTGGAAACGAATGTGTGAGGCGTGGACTACAGTAGGAAAAATGAACCGTGCATACCAATTTACCTGGGGCATGAGGAACATCGACGATAGGCGGAGATGCATGGCCCATACGAATGGGCCACCAGCTTGATATGTGATGGAGGCGGGACTGTATGATGGGTGATGGTGCTGGTTGGGACCGAGACTGAAAAATGTAAGTCGAAGATATGACTGTGGCAGTTGACACTCACGTTCTCGTAGGGATTCATGCGCGAATGAGTTTCCTGCACCGAGTGTGAGTAGTTGCGGGGCAATGGAGATGTAGCAGGGAACTGCAAAGATTCGCCAAGTCAAATGCGAAGCAAATAAGTGAACGAGACGTACATCCAGGGGATCACGTGGATAATCATTCCGACGTGCGCTCGTACGAGAAGGAAGGACTGTGCGGATGTAGCGAAAGAAATCACGTCGTTGTGTGGTAGGAGAAGGTCCTTGCAGCCGAGGAGTAAAAGATGTGACAGGCAATATCACTGGTTTACGAGGCACAGCACGACGTGTTGCGCTAGACTGCAAAAATAATATTTATGGGATGATGTAGATGAATATATAGAGATGATCACGCACATTGAGGAATTTGGGGTTTTTAGGATGACTGGTCTGCAAGATAATGTTTAGCGCAAGAATAGATATGTATGGGCGTAAATGCATACGTTAGGCCAGATAGTGGCAATGATCTCGGGCGGAATGTCGCATATACAAATGTTGGCGTTCGAATCAGTCGAGTAAGCCAGCTGAAGTGAGTTGGGTGAAAGGAGTAGGGAGTAGGCAAACTGGACGTTGAATGAGGCGAGGAGCTGGCGGGACTCGAAGGCCCAGAGCTTGATGGCATAGTCACAAGCGCTGGCAAGAAGAGCACAATCGAATGAAAGTGCTAGACCATAGATGTTGTCGGTGTGCCCCTCAAATGGAGCTCCAACAGTCTTCAGCGTCAACGCGTCGTACTCATAGATAGTCTTATGATCTGGGAGGCTATCATCGTCATCGTTGAAGTTCGATGCGGCCACAATTGTTTTGTCTTTGGTTGTCCAGAACACCGGCGTATAAGGCACTAACCCGTCCATGCCATCCTTCCCCGCTCTAACATCCAATTTCTGTGTTTTGACATCCCACACCTCAAGCAACGTTGCTACATTTGACTTGACTGCGAGTTTTTTCGAGTCTTGTGAGAATCGAACTGCGCTCACACCGGTGTCATCACTTTGGAATGGGCCAGCTATCAGTTTTCCAGTGTCCAAGCTCCATATCCGCGCTGTACCACCGTTCGACCCGCTCGCCATCAACGTGCTGTTCGCAGATATATCAATGCAGGTGATTTCCGTTGAATGACCTTCAAACGTTCTCACAATCCCCATCTCAAGATCACAAACTTTGAGCTCTCCCCTTGGGTACTCGTTGAAATCTCCACGTGCACCTGCGTCGAAAACTCCACCACCCGTCACAACCCATCGACCATCCCTTGATACCCCCACCGCATGTACTCCCTGCTCGCAAACTTCTCGCGCCTTCTCAATCTCCTTACCAGCCCGCAGGTCCCATCGTCGAACGGTCTTATCCCCTGATCCGCTGATCATTTGTTTGCCATCCGGAAAGTAGCAGATGGATGAAACTTCGTGCCAATTCTGTTGCTCGTCATTCGAAAGGTAGACAGTGAAAGGTTTATGACCCTTCAAGGTCATGATCGGTGTTAAAATCGATTTGTTCGATGCTGCACCGGGCTGCATCGAACTTGAAGCCATGGCTGATGTCTTCACCTAGTGCGTGGATGTGTTCGAAGGACCGTTGGTGAGCTCTCCTTGTGTGCTGATGGCTTGATGTTGACAATGAACTTGAAGATGCCCAACTCGTTCAAGCAGTGTGGTACTTTCCCTACTGAAGCTAATTATCAGTTCATCCGTACTGGAGATTTAGATAGGACCTGTCATCCTACTAAGATACTACCTGAAAATGATGGGCATATGGCTATATCTACCACCTCTTAAGAATTTCCCCATGTGCGTTTTTAAAAACCTTTCCTTTTCAGCTCTCAGCTTCTCACGTTCCAGCCCAATCGTACCATTCCCGTGTTCGAGCGCCCAAACCCACACAGCCTGTTGCAGTACTTGCTATAGGACACTGAATCCCAGTTCGAGCTCCGCATGTGTTCTCTCCTGCACTCGAGAGGTCCTCTGATACTTGAGCCACACGTGGGCGTCCAATCTCATCAGCCAAGTCCTACAAACCGACTCTTGGGCAGATGCATTCTGCTACATCTTTGCTACTTGTGCTGACATGTCGAATTTCACTGCACTCGCATCCTCACTTCGTTTTACCGCCTGACTATTAACTCCTAGCAGGGCAATATTGAATGGCTTGGGGTGCATCCGGGGACTTCGTCGGTGTAAGTTTGTTGTGAACGTTCCTCTGTGTCTCGTAGCTGTAGCTGATCTCTATGCATTCCAGATTCGCCTGCAGGACGTTATTGCACATACTGCATCACTGCTTTGAGCTCGTGGCACCTCAGACCTCATGATGGCGACACTGTCAAACGGGTCGGTGCTGAAAGCTATAATCTTGTGCTACCAGTCAGGTTCGGAGATCTGGCCATATCTTTCCGACCTTCCATCATTCGATATGGCACGCTGACTTGCATTCGCAAGTCTCGATGTTATATTCCTCCAAGAATCATATAATATTGACGACTACCAAAGTATCTCGTCCATTCCCGACAGGGAAGAACAAGAGAAAACGTGCGAAGAGAGGTGAAAGTCGCGCCCTAGAAGCTCGGTTTTGCCCCACCGTCAGCGAGCACAGCGTTGCAGCCGGTACGCGTGCAGGGCACGCATTTCTGTGAATTTTATGTTCCTACATGATACATAGTGTTGCTGTGTAAAGAGCACACTTTGTAGAATCTGCAATGATCGACTGTTATAGACTTCAGATAGACATCCGAATCCCATGCCAGAACTTGAAAGCGGTGGTGATATTGGTGATATTAATCAGGGACTGACCCTGGCCTGCGCACGCACCGTACACCTACTAGGGCACTTTTATTCACCAAGGTCCTTGCGTGCTGGGACATCTACAGATGGGAAATATCAATGACCGTGGTCGCATCTAACAGAAGACGCGAGGCTTGTATTACAAGGACGGAGAGTAATCCGAGGGGTGTAATGGCCACAAATTCAGAAGTCGGCTTTCTAGCACATGAGGAGCAATACAATGAAATGAAAAATATCCATGAGAATATGCATGGCATAGATTTAGAAGCAACCACATAACCGGCTGCGTCCATGCTCTCCAGTATTGATCTGCACTATGAATGGTGGATGTGGTTGTGAATCGGGGTTCGGTGAAGGAGGACGAGAAGGAACGTAGTCCTCATAAGGTATCCAGTCCCTGTTGTTTTTGGGAGGAGCATCCGCTGCAGCATTGCGCTATGAACGGATGCATAAACTATAAAATATATCGAAAACAAATCCACCAAACGTACCTCTTTACCCTGCGCGGGAGGAACATCGACAATATGCGGCAATGCATGACCCATCCATAGGTCGTATAAGCGGGCTTTGAAGGTCGTAGGAGCAGTAGCTGATGATTGGGCGGTATGTCGAAGCTGAAAAATGTGAGTCGAAGATCTGATTATTATAGTTGATACTCACATTTTCGTGGAGATCCATACGTGAACGGGTCTCAGCCGTTTCCTGCGCTGACAGAGAGGAGTTGCGAGGCAGTGGAGATGTAGCAGGGAACTGCAAGCAATCATCAAGTCAACTACGAAGCAAATAGGTAAACAAGACGTACGTCCAGGAGATCACGGGAATGATCTTTCCAATGTGCGTTCGTGCGAGAAGGAAGGACCATGCGGAGGTAGCGAAAGAAATCACGTTGCTGTGTGGTATGGGAAGGTCTTTGCGGCCGAGGAGTAAAAGATGTGACAGGTGAAATCACTGGTTTACGAGGCACAGCACGACGTGTTGCGTCAGACCGCAAAAAAATGCATTGATGGGATGGCGTAGATGAATAGGGATCACGTACATCGAGGATATTGTGATGTTTAGATTCACTGGTCTGTAAGAAAATGTTATAAGTACATGAATGAATATATATACGTGCGTAGATGCACACATTAGGCCAGATAATGGCAATGATCTTGGGTGGAATGTCGCATATGTGGATCTCGGACTCGGCGTAAGTCGAGTAAACCAGCTGGTGTGAGTTGGGAGGGATGATAAGGATGAAGGGATCCTGAACGTCAAATGAGGCAAGGAGCTGGCGAGACTGGAAGGCCCATAGCTTGATGGTATTATCCCAAGAAGCACTAGCGAGAAGAGCACAATCGAATGAAAGTGCTAGATCAGAGATGCCAATGGTGTGCCCTTCGAAGGGAGCTCCGACAGTCTGTAGCGTTAATGCATCCAACTCATGAATCGCCTTGTGCCATTCCGATGAGGGGCTGGCATTCAAATCCTGCCCGATGTTCAATGCGGCCACGATTGTTTTGTCTTTGGTTGTCCAGAACACCGGTGCATGAGTCGTTAACCCGTGACGAGGATCTTTCCCCATTCTGACGTCCAATTTCTGTGCTTCGACATCCCACACTTCAAGCCACGTTGCTACTCTTGACTTGACTGCGAGCTTCTTCAAGTCTTGTGAGAACCGAACCGCGCCCACCCCAGTCAAAATGTTATCAATTTTGAATGGGCCAGCCACCAGTTTGCCGGTATCCAATTCCCATATTCGCACTGTGCAATCTATCGACCCGCTCGCCAGCAACGAGCTGTTCGCAGACATGTCAATGCAGGTGATTTCCATTGAATGGTCTTCAAATCTTCTCATAATCCCCGTCCGAACATCACAGATTTTGAGCTCCCCCGGGCACTTGTTGAAATATCCACCACCCGTCACAACCCATCGACCATCCCTTGATACCCCCACCGCATGTACTCCCTGCTCGCAAACTTCTCGCGCCTTCTCAATCTCCTTGCCAGCCCGCAAGTCCCATCGTCTAGCGGTCTTATCCCCTGATCCGCTGATCATTTGCTTGCCATCCGGAAAGTAGCAGATGGATGAAATATTGTGGCAATTTGGCCGGACTGGCACGTCATTCGGATAGTACAGAGTGAAAGATTCATGACCCTTCAAGCTCATGATTGGTGTCAAAATTGATCTGTTTGATGCTGCATCGGGCTGCGTCGAGCTGGATGCCATGGCCAGTGTCTTCACAGAATATGTCACTTTGAAGGACTGTCGGTGAGTTCTCCTCGTGTGCTGCTGGCTTGATGCTAATAGTGATATTAAAGATGCTCACCTTGTTCGAGTGCTGCTGCGCTTCCCTGCTCAAGTTAATTGTCAGTTCATCTGCGCTGGAGATTCAGATCTGAGGCTTGTCATCTTACCAAGATACTAACTGCGATCGCCTGGAAATGATGGGCATATGGCCATATCTACCGCCGCTTAAGAACCTTTTCCTGTGTATAGCTTCTTACGCCTTCTTTCTCAGATCTGCTTCTCATGCTTTGGCGCATCATCATACCATTTTCGTGTTCGAGCGCCCAAACCCACACAGCCTGTAGGGCTGTCTGTGTACTACTGAGCTCCAGTTCGAACCCCGCATGCATTCTTTCCTACAGCGAGAGCTCATTTGCTATTTGAGTTATGTATGGGCGCTCACCAACGACCTAGGCTAACAAGCGTCCGACTTTTTGGCAGATACATATTCACTACTTATGGCTCGAGGTGCACCCAAGGACTCCGTCGGGGTAGGTTTGTTGTGAAAGCTCCTCTCTGAGTCTCGTAGTCTTGCTGATGCCTGCATATTCCAAATTCACCTGCAGGACTTTATGCACATGCTGCACAGCTGCTTTGAGCTCGTAGCCCTCAGGCCCTGACGATGACAAACCCATCAGCGCTGCGCATAATCCTGTGCCACCAGTCAGGTTCGGTATCATGTCGCGATGGCGACACTGTTTCCCATTTCATGTAACAAAGACCTGGCGATAACCTCGACCTTCCATCACACCTGGACCTCAAAGCCGTTGTCGACGATAGTCAGGTTTCTCGCATTCGAAATGGTACGCTCGCAGGCCTCGATATCAAGATATCTATTCAAGAACCATGTTGTCCACTACCCAAGCACTTTTCCATTTCTGGCAGGGAAATACGTCAGGAGAGTACCGCTGCCTACGATCTCGATTTTGCACCGCCAGTAGTGAGCACAGCGCCTTGTAACTGGTGCACATACAGGATTCGTATTTCTGCGGACCATATTCCTGTATGACACATGATTTTGCTGTGTAAAGGGCACGCCTTGTGGAATTTGCAATAATCGACTTGTGATTGACTGCCTATTGACTTCAGACAGACATGTCATCCGGAGTAGATTCCTCTTCATCCCACGCGAAAACTTGTAAACGGGGTGATATTAGGTCAAGGGCCGTGCTTGCATTAGACAGGAGATGCGAGATTCATAATTATCTTGCATCCCATTCATATAAGGACGGCGAGTAATATGATGGATGTACTAGTGGCTGCACATTGGGAAGCCAACGTTATTACAGCAAAGCAACGCAATTGGCAAAGAAAAATATCAGAAGATATCTGCTTGGCCAACTTAGAAGTAGCCACACAGCCAGTCGTGTCCATGCTCTCGGGCGTTAATCTGCACTGCAGGGGGTTGTTGGATAGTTGTGTCTGTGCTTGACCAGCACCTTCGAACGCCAATGCCGATTCAACAGAACTGCGTTCGAGCTGAGCAGGCCAATGGCGGAAACATGCCTCGTCAAGACGTGAATGGAAACATCAGTAATGGTTAGATACATGAGTCGCTTGTAATGACAAGCATCACACCTGGACCTCAGAGCCAGAGACCATATCATCAGGTTCCTCACCGCACAGGTCTTTGACAATATGTGATGTCTATAGTTATCTTACATGACATTGATACAAGGAGAAGTAATTCAAGGGCTATACTGGTGGCCACATATTGAGAAGTCAATATCATGCAACGATCTAGAAGCAGCCGCAGAAGCGGCCGCTTCCATGTGATCCGGTGTTGGTGAGCACTGCGGGCGATGGCTGTGAATTAGGGTTCGGCGAAGGACACGGGGAAACATAATCTTCATCACGAATCAAGTCGTCGTCGTCATGCGTGGGAGCACCAGCTGTAGCGATGCGCTGGAAACGGATGTGTGAGACCTGGACTACAGTACGAAAAATGAACCGTGCATACCAGTTTACCCGGGGCATGAGGAACATCGACGATAGGCGGGGGTGCAGGGCCTGTACGAACGGGCCACCAGTTTAATAGGTGGTGAAGGCGGGACTGTGTGATGGGTGATGGTGCTGGTTGGGACCGAGACTGAAAAATGTAAGTCGAAGATATGACTGTGGCAGTTGACACTCACGCTCTCGTAGGGATTCATACGTGAATGAGTTTCCTGCGCCAAGTGTGAGTAGTTGCGGGGGAATGGAGATGTAGCAGGGAACTGGAAGGAATCGTCAAGTCAAATGCGAAGCAAATAGGTGAACAAGACGTACATCCAGGGGATCACGATGACGATCATTCCGTACAGAATGAGCTACATTTGTGGGAGAAGAGGAGGGAATGAGTTTGCGGAGACGACGGAGGAAGGCGTGCCGCTGTGAGCGTATGACAGGGGAGGTCTTTGCGGCCGAGGAGTGAAAGTTGTGACAGGTGAGATCACTGGTTTACGACCCGCACGCGCGGCACGAGGTGTTGCATCGGACTGTTATAATGGCATTGAGTGGAGTGATGTGGGTGAATAGTTGGTCACGTACATTGAGTAAATCAGCGAGGCGAGGATTTTTAGCTGCATTTGTCTGAAAGAGAATGTTAGCGCACGAACGGATAGATATATGCGCATGGATGCATACGTTAGGCCAGACACTATCAATGACCGTTAGGCAGAATGTGGCATATGCGGATCTCGCTGCCAGTCGAGTAAGCCAGCTCCGGGGGTGAGTCGGGTGAGAAGAGAAGGTACCTGGGATCCTGAATGTCAAACGAGGCGAGGAGTTGGCGAGACTCGAAGGCCCAGAGTTTGATGGTGTTGTCCCAATGGGAAGCGCTAGCGAGAAGAGCACAATCGAATGAAAGTGCTAGACTAGTGATGACGCGGGTTGACTTGAAGGGAGCTCCGATAGTCTTAAGCGTTAACGCGTCGAACTCGTGGATTGTCTTTTGGCCCCAGAAGTTGTCATCGTGATCCTCGAAGTCCAATACGGTCACGAGTGTTTTGTCTTTGGTTGTCCAGAACACTGGCACATTAGACGCTGGCCCTCCAACAAGTTTCCCCACCCTGACATCCAATTTCTGTGTTTCGATATCCCACACTTCGAGCCACCTTGCCGCATTTGACCTGACTGCGAGCTTCTTCGAGTCCTGCGAGAACCGAACCGCGCCCACCCCGCCCTTGTCCCTTTTGAATGGGCCAGCGACGAGTTTCCCCGTGTCCAATTCCCATATGCGCACTGTGCGATCGCCCGACCCGCTCGCCAGCAGCGTGCTGTTTGCAGAGATATCAATGCAGGTGTCATACTTGAATTTGCTCGGATATTCTTGAAAATTTCTCACAATCCCCGTCGCAATCTCACAAACATTGAGATGTCCTGGGTGTTTGTAGTCAATGGTTCCACCAGCAGTAACAAGCCATCGACCATCCCTTGATACCCCCACCGCATATAGTAGTTCCTGCTCACAAACTTCTCGCGCCTCCTCATCAATCTCCTTACCAGCCTGCAGGTCCCATCGTCGAATGGTCTTATCCCATGATCCGCTGATCATTTGCTTGCCATCCGGAAAGTAGCAAGTGGATATAACCATTCGGTGAGTCCGTTCCTTACCATTTGAACGGGGAGATTCACGTCCCTTCAAGGTCATGATTGGTGTCAGAATCAATTTGTTTGATGCTGCACTAGGCCGCGTCGAGCTAGAAGCCATGGCTGATGTCTTCACCAAGTATCTCGGTGTGTTTGAAGGACCTCCTTGTATGCTGTTGGCCTGAAGTTGATAGAGACTTTGAAGATGCCCAACTTGATGGACCGCTGCGTAAATTTCCCTGCTGAACTCAATTGTTAGCTGATCCGCGCTGCAGGTTCAGATGGGATCCTCATGTTACCAAGAGGTTGGTTGCACTTGCCTGATAATAATGGGCACGCACGCAGGCTGGCAGGCGCATCTTCCCCCTCTTAAGAAGCTCTTCAATCCTGTGCATGATACAGCATGTGCTTTCGCCTTCATATCTGCTTTTCGCGTTCCATTGCACAATCATGTTCGAGCGCGAAAATCCACACAGCCTGCTGCAGTACTTGCTGTAGAGCACTGAACGCCAATTCGAGCGAGGTGTGCATTGTCTCCTACACTCGCGAGCTCCTTTAATACTTGAGTCATGTGTGGGCATTCGCTCTCATCGACGGTCAAGTATTGCGGCGGGGTCTTGCTATGTCCTCGCTACATACGGCATCATCTCACCGCGCTTGCATCCACACTTGGGTTGCCGCTTGACTATGAATTCCGGCACGGCATCGACCTGGTTTGTGTCCGAGCACTTCGTCATTAGTAGGACATGCAAGGTTAGTTTATTATGAACACTTGTATTCTTACTGATGTGGTAACGAGTAGTGATCGAGATCACGTAACTTTTGGCAGCAGGGAATTTCTCGACAAAAGTCGGGATATCAAACGGCGCTCAGCCGCGTCAGTCCCCAATAGCGACTCACAATGGTGGGGTGGTAATCTGGTCAACGTCCCACTTACAGCACCTTCTTATTTCATGACGTACTTGCGAGGTGTTGACCATGACATCAGTAGCGTACGAAGTCGGCCATTTTAAATCGTTCATAGCATTTGTTTGACCGTCCAGTCTGTATTTTTGATCCATATCGTGACTATCACGCGCTGACGAAGTTACAAATTACACTGTTGACTGGTAGCTCAAATCACCGATCTCCAATGTCCCGACCGTATTTGCCAAAACTTCATGGATGTTTGACATCTCTTTCTTCGTCAACACAGTGGTCTCATCTGAGTCACAATTGTTGCAACCATAGCCGAATTCAAGAGTGTACACATGGACGCAGTCTGAGTGCTCCTTCTGCGGCTGGTTCCACATGTTGTCGGTAGAGACATAGAGGGAGATGTGCTCGTGGTGATCTCCAAGACAGAATATGGATTTATGGAATGACGCGCTATATCGCACGAAAGCTTCAACTTCAGTGTCATTTTCATGCCGTCAAGTGGGGGATAACTCGCTCTACAATGAGGTACCTGCCGGGTTTAGACCGAAAACCAGATTCATTGTCCCAAGCGCGGACGAACTTATGCAAGATCAGTAGTTCTGCGAAAAATTTGTCCTGTGTGATTCGATGCAGATATATCACTGTCTGTCCACCGGGGAGGATTGCTGAGAGCCGTTGTGCTTTAGGGGGCATAGCACCATTGCTTTGTGAGCAAGAACGGTATTGAGCATGTTGGCGTTTAGCTACGAAGGGATGATTGGTGCTCGATGAGAAGCGGGACTCCTAACTTGAAGGTTCGAGGGAAGGTTTGATCCGGAGCATCTTATGTAATAAGACTTTATTTCCGTCGTGCGAAAAGTCAAACCAAAAATATTTTCAGAGTCCTACTGTATCCAGACGGTGACTATAGTGACAAGGTAACAGTCAGTTCTTCGGAGTTCTCAACTTCGTCCTGGCCAAAGCGGTTGCCACAACAGAATCAAAATCTGTGTCTATTGGACTGCGCAGGTTCAAAACCTGTCGACGACAAGGTCTCCTTTTATATTAGAACACCTTGACATTCGCTCATGGACGGTCTCCTCAGGTCCTTAGCTACAATTGGTCTTGGTAGCCAAGTGGAGACCCTAACAGAATCAAAATCTGTTGCTCTTCGACATGTGCAAGTTCGAAACATGCCAAATGACGTCTCTTTTTTCTATCGGAATACCTTGACATTCACTCACGGATGGTTTCCTCAGAAGTCCATCTGACTGGCCATAGTCATGTGGTTAATACAACAGAATCAAAATCTGTTTCTCTCGGAGTCGGTTCGAAACCTGCTGACTATATTTTTGCGGTGCAGAGATCTTCAGAGGTCCATCTTAACTAGGGTCCAGTCATTGCGCAAGCAATTTTGAATATGAGTTTGCCAGTGTCCAATAATTGAACACTGACACACTCATACTCAAATTCCCATATCCGCACTGTAATCAGCCCACGCACTTGGCAGAGCTAGTACGTCTGCGGAGACACCGATGGATTTCATATACCCAGAGTGGCCTTCGAATGTTCTCACAATTCCCGTCTCAACCTCACAGACTTTGAGCTCCCAAGCGCGATCATAGCGATTCGCTCCACTAGCAGTGGCAACCCAGAAACCATACTTTGAAGCCTTCATCACAATTATACCCTGCTCACAAACATCCCGCGCCTCTTCAATCTCCTTACCAGACCGCGGGTCCCATCGCCGAGCAGTCTTATCCTCTGATCCACTGATCATTTGCTTGCCATCCCGAAGTAGCAAATAGATGAATTGAAGGGCAGGCTGGTATGTTTTGTGTCCATCGAATTAAACGCAAACCAGTCTTTTTGCGTTTGCAAATGACTGCCAATCCTACGCGATTCTATAGAAATCTACTCTCTTGTGTGGTGCGGATTCAAAACCTGCTGACAATTGATTAATGATTTTCCCTCTTGACATGGACAGTTCTTCAGAGGTTCATCTCGCCTTGGGAAGCGTCCTGGCTAAAGTGGTTACTACAACAGAGTCGAAATCTGTTTCTCTTGGACTGTGCAGGTTCGAAACCTGCCACATGTCAGTTCTTTTTTCTATCGAAACACACCTTGACATTCACTCATGGATAGTTTCGTCGGAGGGTCATCTTAACTGGTCTTAGCCAAAGTGGTTACGACAACGGAGTCAAAATCTGTGTCGCTTTGACTGTGCAGATTCGAAACCTGCCAATGACGAGGTCTTTCTTTTTATCGGAATACCTTCAAGTGACATTCACTCATGGATGGTGCATCGGAGGTTCATCTCAAGTTCGTCCTGGCCAAAGCGATTACCATAACAGAATCAAAATCTGTTTCTATTGGACTGCGCAGGTTCAAAACCTGCTGACGACAAGGTTTATTTTTCTATCAGAACATCTTGACAACATTCACTCATGGGCGGTTTCCTCAGAGGTCCATCTCACTGGTCTTAGCCAGGTAGTTACCACAACAGAATCAGAACCAGTTTCTCTTGGACTGTGCAGGTTCGAAACCTGTTGAATGATGGTTCTCAGTCTTTTCTATCGGAACACACCTTGACACCGGTTCATGGATGGTTTTCTTAGAGGTCCATCTAATTGGTCTTAGCCAAGTAGTTTCCACAACGGACTCAAAATCTGTTTCTCTTGGAGTCGGTTCGAAACCTGCTGACAACATTTTTGCAGTGTATAAACCTCGGAGGTCCATCTTAACTAGGCCCGGTCATTGCGCCGAAACCATGTCGATATGTGCAATGCAATGAGTTATGTCAGTCGAAAATGGTTGGTCCGGAATGCGCGCGTGCGCATCACTGCTCTCCACCGACGTTTCGTTAGTGTGCAAATTCCACGTAGGCAAAATCCATTGTAAGATCAAGGGACAAGCCGTCCAGTTTCTACTTCACATAATTATAATGTGCAAATTTACTCAAGTAGCCACAAGTTATGGTAGTCGCTTGCCTAAAGATAGAGATAATTTAATCGATAGGCATTTGAGAACAACGATGGACTCACCACCATGTCTGCTGCGCAGAGCCGCTGATATATGACCACAATAGCGTCAAGACTGCGCTGCATTTCAAAAATTTCTTGACAGTCTTGATTCGCCTTGCCCACACCCATTTCTCGGCCCCGACTGCCATGTAATGATCCCAATTCGGTCTACGAAGAAACCACCACCAAACCGTCGAAGGCCAAGGAAACGGATAGAATACCTTGTCTGTACCGTTCGTGCGCGCCCAAGAGTAGCAGTGTACGTGCACCGAGCGAGAGAGCTCGTCCTGCAGCTTGGCGTTGTATGCATCTGTGGGTGTGGCTTTAATGGTGAAAGATGAGGCAGAACCAGTAAGGACCGGCTCTATGAGTTGAAGGATGTATGCAACCTTGCGACGAACTTGAGTAGAAAGATACAAAAACCAAGGTGTACCTACTTGCACTTCTGCAATGAATAACGCCGATGCTCGTGTTCCAGTATTTGGTCCTGTAATTATTACCTCAGGTGACAGTTGATGACGATACGCTCCCCACTGAACTCACCATTGATCAAGTAAAAGTTTGGTGTGTCTGGAATTGCAGTCCCGAGGTATGCGGTAGGGCCACCGTGCGCATCATAATAGCCTTGGACAGTGGTTCCATTCAAGCCACGCACGTGCATCGGGTACCGCTCCTGTTTCTGCAGTTGGCATCCAATGGAATATTGGATCACGTATAGCAACTCACGCCGATGAATCCGGTCGCATATACAATGACATCAAATGGCAACATTTCACCTAAACCGATGTGAGGAAAGTGATGATATCATTGACGGTGCACACACCAGTTTTTGTGATGATGCCATTCTCCACTATCTCGGCGATTCCGTCGAAGTTCAGTGTTACGTTAGAGCGACAGAGACTTTTCAGGAAACCACTGTCCGCGACTGCATGTAATGAAATGAGAATGAGAATTACGAGTCAATTTGACTACCCCCGACGAACCAGTCCGCTTGCAACCTGGAGCTGTGGAACATGTGAGCACGAACAAACCTCCATGATTGGACACGTACGATGGACAGGTATCATATGAGAATGGTATCTATCCGGTGCGTTATCGAGAATGTATTTCGTCATCGCCTAAGTAGAAACGTTAAACTGAATACCCAGTCTCGCGACCCCTACTCACGTCACGTTGTTTCTGGAGAGCTTTATCACCCATAGGTAAGTGAAGGGGAGCGACGAACTGTAACAAATGTCAGCAAGCTAAAATTCTGTAATGCAGGAGGCCTGACCCAGAACATGATCCAAGCTCGGTGCAGTCGCATCACCAGGGGGATGTTAGCAAACATCCATTTCGCAGTGTCCGAGTACGGAATATGTGGCTAAGATGCTTGGTTTAGTTGTTGAATCATCAAGGATAACATAAAGACTCTCACTCGAGTATTGAACCAGGTCGGAGTGCGAATGAAATTTACTACTTCAACAGACGAATCTTCAGATACAGATGGTACGAATTGTGCTCTTGTCGTATGTCTGAATCACTACATAATGAATGCGCAGAGGTCGTGTAACTCACCCGGAAGAGGCATTTCCAATCACTGCAACACGCTTATTCTGCAGATCTATCGAGCTTGGCCACTGTGCGGAGTGAAATGAAGCTCCCTGAAACTTCCGAATTCCAGGGATCTCGTATGGCATCTTTGGCGCCTCCAAAATACCAAGGGCAGATATCACGACGTGGGCCACACTCATCGTCCGCTTACCTGAAAAAACATCTTCCGCGACAATGGTGTACTGTTGTTTGGCATCATCCCACTCGGCAGATAACACTTTCGTGTTGAATGCGATATGTGGGTACAGATTATATTTCCTTGAGAGCTTAATCCAGTAGGCTTGAATCTCCGGTTGAAGGCCATGGGACTTGTTCCAGTATGGGTAAAGGTCTGTTGATAAGCTGTACCAATGAATGTCGACATCCGACGAGCATCCCTAAAAGAGTCTTCGAGGTGAGCGATGCATTGCAATTTCAGTCATTGATGATATATACAGGATATTTGTTAGCCTGTGGAAAATAATGTCAGGAGAACATTTGGTGCATGACAAAAACGTACCCGCCACACTCCACCGACTTCAGGCCCTTTCTCAAATATCTATCGAAATACTCAGCGACTCGGAGCATACCGCACTCATTGCATGGATGCACCCACTGTGAAATTGTGAAATTTAAGCTTGGTTTTGAGAGCAATAGCTTGGGTCAACCCGGAAACACTGTGCGCGGTCCAGTGTTCAGTTGGTGTAGAATGGAATCAAAAGCGACACTTACCCGGCGCCAATGATGGCGACTCTCCGCTGGATCTCGCTCATGTTAACAAACGATTATTCTCAAGATTCTAATCTTGCTTTAATACTCTCTCACTTGGTATATCAGGCGATAGCGGACGAGGTCATATGCCCTGTCAAGCCTTATCGTGTGAAACCCAGGAAGTTCCAACTATAACTGAGATATCTCGTAGATTTTGGTAACGCTTTGTTGGTGTATTATAATGGCCAACTAACCTTGCATCCCGGTTACAGGATGGGAAGCCTCTCGGGCGTCCAGACATGCCGCTTGTGATTCGGCTCCCTAGAGCTATCGAATAGTCAAGTCGAAGATGAGTGGGGCTTGCCCAGCGTCCATACTACAAGGTGGTTCATCATCGCTGTATGAGTCCGTGTACGACAAGCACTTCATCGAGGATAAGCCTAAATTCCAGTATCACGAGCAATGCTGCATGATGAAAGGTTTGTTTTGTTGTGGTGCCGCGTCAATTTCACCCGACCCGATGACGACGACCTTCAAGTTATCTATATAATGAGACGATGAAGCTCGTTGGCCCATTGCTAGAGCGGTGGAAGCCGTACGTAATGGAATCTAAAACCCTTTCAAGACTCTAACAGTGTACTACTTTTCTCTGGTCCTGCTTCAAGTATGCGTGCAACACCTTAACAGAACTGTAACAGTACTTTATGTAAAACGTTCGCGAATTGGGAGCTCTTTGATTTGTTTGGCTACGACTTTAGAAACAAACAAACATTCCCTTGCTATCAGGAGTGTACTATAGCTTCCAGGTTTCCTTCCGGTAGCCCGTGTCAGTGTTATGGAGCCAGATCAGAAAGCTGAGGCTTCAACGCAAGCTTCCTCAAGTGATACCGACAAACAGCTGGTGCAGCCGGTACCAGAAATCAAACCTGATCAAACCCCGCAACCGTTCATCAACCGCTCAGAACTAATAGCAAGAGCTCGCACTTTCCTATCAACCCCCCATATCCGCTCGCAAGACGACACCTCCAAACATGCATTCCTCGTCGAGAAGGGGCTTACGCAAGACGAGATCCATTCACTACTCCGGGAAATCGTAAGTGATCGAGCTGGCTCGTATTCAAGTCGCTCATGAGTGAGCACTTAGCCTCCACCAGTACCACCACGGACATATCCCCAGCCTCCTCCGTCAAATCTCCCCAACATGCTTATTGGAATTGTGCGTATATTGACATGGCTCACTAGTACCTCTGCATTCGTCCTCTTCATCTACTACGTGAGTGTACTCATTCCATACTAAACCACAGCTGACCTTCTTCGCAGCGGTTCTTGTTCCCGAGAATCTCCCAAACCTACCACGCTCGCCATGTACTCCGCGCGCACCAGTCCGGACTCATGCTCCGCCTCAACAAATCCCTCGCTACATTCAAGGAGAAGCAGGCAGAATGTTTTGCCAATCTACCAAAACCCATGCTATATAAAGAGGAGTCAGCGTATGCAGACTGCCATTCGCTGGATGATATCCTTGCATGTCGCCGCAAGGCAGACATCGACGATGAAGTTGCTGGTGACACCCCAAACGTCTCGATTTTGCGCTCTGCTATCGAGGAACTGACTCGTTCGAAGGAAAGCGCCGAGGGAATAAGTACGGGGGATCTATTCAACCATCTGGAAGCCAAGCTTCCATGGTTGAAGAGAGAACGAGGTGCTGAGTGTCAGGTCCGTACTCCATCTACCTTCAGCGTCATAAACTTATATGGTCATACAGAATGACCTCTGGCAAACACTCAATGAATCCTTTCTATTCACTTCCACCTCACCACAATCCTCCTCTTCTTCGTCTATCCCAGAACATCCCTCTCGCCTCCTATGGACATATGTTCCTCCACCAATATCACCCCCTCCTCCCATGATCGTCGCTCTCGACACTCTGCAAGCAGTGCTTCCCCGTAACGCACCAGCCCTTCCACTCTCCAAAACTGAAACAGTACCTCTTCGCCCCGCACAGCGAACTCTCCAAGCACTCGCAGATTTCACCGGGTACATCGCCACCCAAACTTATTCATACGGGGTCCACATGCGCGGCATCGGCGGCTCGCTCACGACAAATAACACCGACGTGGATGAAATACGCCGCGAGATACGCGCACTCAAAGGTCTCGTTCTCAACAGACGCTCGTTTTTACCTAGCGTGGGGATACCGCGCACTTCAAGCGAGCCATCAAAGCTTGCTGGTGTCTGAATTGTCTTATTTCTTGTACAGACAATATGCTATTTCTACTGGTATATATAAGTTTGCTACTCAGCACGAATGATGATGCAATGAGTGAGTTCTGTGAAGTCGCGTGAAGTATGGTTGTAAAGCGAATAGATGAGGAATGATAATCTAGTCATGGGGTAAAGCAGGCCACATGCATGGAGGAGAGCGGGCGAGGAACGACATGCGAACAGGCTATGGGTGATCATGGTGAGGATGGGGAAAGGGAACGTGTTAAAGTCAGGTGCAGTTGTACCGATACAGCGAAGGTAAAAGAAGTCACGTCGCAGACGTGATGATGGGTCGGCAGTTACAAGCAAAAAAAAAAAACTAGCACTGGCCTAGGAAAGAGTTCTTGGGGAAAGGTTGATTATAATCGTTCTTCCAAGTGGTAAGGTTTGGGTTGGTATATGCCTCGATGTACCTGGCAAACATAAGAATCGCCTCGTCAAGTCGAGTGAGCAGGAAACATACGTGTTAATATAATCTGCTGTCGGGAAATCTGTGGGGTCACACCCAATATTCCGTGCGTTTGATGGCTGATATACACGGATATAGTCCACACGCATATGTACAGGGAAGGGCAGGTGGGCCAGGTCGACAGTACCGAAATTAGTGGACATGCCCAAATTCATGATAATATACTGGGGAAAAAAGTGAGCTCGTAACGATGTTGAAATCGAAATGAACAAACCATTGGCTCCTGCGGTATGGGTCGAGCAGAAATGTTGACAGTAGGATCCGCTCCCATGCCAGCGACATTCAGTGTCCATGCAACCTGATTGTTGGATATCCACGTTATGTACTGTGGAGCAATTACTTAACTGATGATATTTTGAAACCCCATGGGAAATACCAACCGCGTTATCAAAGCCAGGAACATACTGGAACATGATCAGCTGATGAACAAATTAACGTCGTGTCATGAACGAACCTCGAAACCGTACACCGAAAAGCACCCTGTTTCACCCTCGTAGCAATTTTGATTTGTGGTTGTCACGCCGGAGGTAGCCTGCTGCTCCACTCCACCAATGTAGGTATTTAGAGCTGTGATTGACGGGTTTGGTATTATTTCGTTGGCGCTCGTGTTGTCCCAGATGTAACCAGCGTTGAAAGGCTGAGGAAAAACAAGATATACATGAGTTCTGTCTTAGATCATAAGATATCGCACACATACAGCCCATTGTGCTGACTGGGAAACCTGACCTGTAAGAGGCTCACCCGTGATCTGGGGCTTGTTAGATCCTTAGTTGAACTAATATATGAACCGAACCATACCTGTGCCTCGAACATGTCGATCTCAGGAGCGGCGCGTCCGACAAATGTCCCATCTGAATGCATAGGACCTGGGTGAGACTCGCCTTTGCAAGTGCACCGCGAGAGCCGCTGGCCAGGGAGGAAAGACAAGACTCCGTTTTGGCTTGGGTCCCCGCCCTGAGTGGCTGCGAGCGGAAGGCCATTCAAGGTTTGATTTGGTGCAGTGCCAACGTCACAGGCGTCATAGGTATATGGCCACTGAACCACGATCAGACCGATGAGCGAGAACAGAGAGAGGAAGGATAGACGACGAACCATTCCTTCCAAGCTTGCGCCATAGCCGGCTCGACCAAGATTTCCGAGTGTCCAGATAGCGGGCCATAATCCTGTGGTACATGTTGATTATGCATGGTTATATTCATGATACACTCTCTTACCAACTATGTTGTTCACACCAGGCAATGAAACGGATGCTTCAATGTATCCACCGGTGAAACAGAATTTGTTCCTGTATACGAATGAGACGGTTCATCAAGTGCCGGCCAGATGGACACTTGCCATGAGGATATCATGCCTATTAAGAACAGGTATAAGCGACTTAGGAATAAGACAACGAACGAGGATTTAAAAAAGAGCGCAGAAACATCATAAATCATCAAGTACTCACCGCCCTGATAGTTCAGGTTATGCGTTTCCTTTTGAGACAATGTGATTACAAGGTAGCCATCTTGCGTGGTGATCGCCTCAGGGTCATACCACTCCAGGTTGTTCGTTTGCTGGGATGACCATTAGCTTAGCATGGAGAATGCCGAAGTAAGTTACCCAGTAATGCAGATTAACCGCTTCCCAGTATGGATCGTCTCCTGGCCAGAATGTTCTTCCAGGAGTATTGAACTCGTCAGAGAAGACAAGCTGCATGTCTGGACCACCATTCCAGGAGGGCTTGGTAAATACGCTCTTGGGGGTGTCGGTGTCGATGAGGCCCAAATTTCCAGGAATTTGTGGTATCTAACGAGCGAGATGCCGTTGAATTACTGAAGTTCGAAGACAATAAAAAGACTTACTTGACCACTTGCATTTATTCCTCCTAGGTTGAATCCGCCTTGATTTGATGGCGCAGCCCGCGTGAAATATGTTATTATTGGATATCCAGCGCTGCGAGTATCCAAGTTCAGTCGAATGAAAAAACACCTGAATAATTGGGAACGCTCACAAAAGCGTGATTAGCCCGACGCACAGTACCAGCAGACACCCAAGATTTGCTAGACCGCGATCAGGGCCCCAAGTGTTGTGATCCCTGACGTTGGGATTGTGAAGGTCGTCGTCGGGTTCCTTGCAATCGCTATATAAACTCGAGCCCCAGTCACGAGGGTCCGGCGGTAAATGAAACTACAAAACACATGGTCAGTCAAGTTGGGCGCAGGAGAGCTGCACGTACACGGTCTGATATTGTAGCCAACCTTGAACCTGCTCCAGCGGTGTACGGTGACTCTGTCTGTAAACGTGCTCAAAGGGGATCATGAACCCTAGTGGGACGGAGTTTTTACCGTTATACTTGCAAAACTTTGTACTCTATCTGACTGGGAAAGAGTGTGTCTATTACGAGGCAACAAGCTCGCGTTCGACTCTGGAGAAAGGGTGAGGTCTCCGCTGCCTGCTGAATACACCATGGTTGTTGGGAGTAGAAAGAACGTAGAAGGTGGCGTAACCACGCACTGAACCTATAGTTACCTGTAGGTGAGATTAACGGAGCACCTACGAACTTTATTCATTTATCACGAAACCGAAGAGGCAAGTGGAAGGCCCAAAATTTACGAGAGACTCGTTCTATTACGGCTCAAGTTGTTATGGAAAATCTCATACTACCGACGTGTCCCGTTGAGAGTACTGAGATGGCACTTTTGAACAAGAAGCACAAAGGCAGAACCGAATAATCCATTTCTCAATAAACAAAAGGACGATAGTGAGGCAGACGAGGCAATACTTCATTTCCAAATTTGGATATACTTAATCTCCGAAAATAGCAGACTGTCTGAAACAAGTTCACACACCAGCCTCCATTGTAATTAACCTCTCCTCCATTGAGACACGCTGGATACATGGCATCAGTTTCTGAAACTGCAATTCAATCATTCCGCAGTGTCGAGTGCCGTTATGATCAACCGGCGATGGCCCGACCTCTTCTCAAGCAAATTTTCCCTCATGACATCATGTGCACGGGCCAGTATAAGCGTCAATCAGAGATATCAACGTAACTGGGACCTTCGTCGTCACATCTGTCTATGTATAGCCCGTCCCACTGACTGACCGCTAACACTCCTATATCCTCCGCCGCCGCGGGGCGACCTCAAGCCCTGTGAATGAACCACGCGTGCCAAGTCATTACGCACGATGGTGTCCCCCATCGACACAATACCTGACTGTCTTCGCACGCCATCGAAGCTGTTGTGCTCTACCATGCTTGGACGGCCATTTCCGAGCGCAGTCAAAGCATCTTTCCTCGAAGAGATGTCCAAGCCCATCGCCTGCATTACGCCCACGAGATCCAAAGACTGATTGGCGTTAGTACCGGGATTGATCGCGCCGCGCTCGTGGAACGCCTTTTCCTCAGAAGCGAGCCACGGTCCGATGGGCTGCAGCATCTGGGCCGGCTTGGGTGACGGTACAGTAAGCCCGGTGATGTTGATCGGAAGATCACGCTCTCTTGCAAGAAGTCGTTCTAAATGACGAATCCGTTCACTTCTTTCCAGCAACTCAATGGCGCGCGGAGAAAGCGGCGTGCAAGGGTTCGAATGCCTATTCAGTGAGGAACCCTGGTAGATAGGCGACTTCTGCGTAGTTATCGCGTTGTAGTTGTTTTCATCAAGGCGCTGATGAGCAGGCTTGTAGTTCTGGGGTATAGTATTATCTTCTGTCGTCCGTGCTGCTGGGGCCAAGTAACTCTGGTATGCAGTGGAATATTCTTCCGTCCATGCTGCTGCGGGCATGCGACTCTGGCGTAAAGTGTGGTATTCTTGCGTCCGCGCACCAGGGGGTTTGTAATTCTGCCGTCTAACTTCCATCCGCGCTGTTGGGGACTGGTGTGTAGGGTTAGGCGAGCTCTTCATCGGAGGCGTCGATGGGGCTGGCAGTTTGACCCGAGGGGAGTCTCCCTCCATGATCTTCTCCGCCTGATTCACTGGGTGCGCAGTCTCTGCTACGAGTGCCTTGATAGGGTCCGGCCCTTCAACCTCAGGTTTCCTAATAGGACTGGACTCGAGGGTGGCGAAACTTCGTCGCAGAGGGGCTGCTTGTCTCTATCGCCTTACGAAATAACTCCGTAAGCAACACATCCGCGTTAATAGAACGCCGCCCGATAGAGGCAGTCGCCAGATCTGTAGCCTTACCAGCACGCTCTTCGCTCTTTAAAAAAATAGCGCTGTGCTGTTCTTGGACAGGAGCTCGTCTCGGTGTTGCAAATCTCGTAGGAGGTGGAGTCGAAGCCTGAATTTCGGCTGCCGGAGCGCCCCAGTTCGTGTCACTACTTTCTCGTTGGTAGTTGAGTGTTCTCTCTCGCGGTGTCGCTGGAGCTGCATGCCGATTCGTCTGGAGCGACGGGGCACGTTCCACAGATGGATTTGGCGTAGGCGGCGCAGAATTCGATCAACCAATCCAGCTGCTGAGAACCATGTGCAGACTGAAATCCGGAGGTCCTTTTCGGATCGACAGATCCAGAAGCGAAACTCGGATCCTTGTGGCGGGATGGAGAAGCATCAGGTCCCGGGGTCCGCAAGGATCCTCGACTTTGTTGTTGAGATTCTTCTTGATTGTCCTGAGAACGTTTACTCCTGTGCCTGCGAGGACGACGAGGCCTACGCTTTCTTGGCGGGCCCTCCTCGATCAAATCCTGTTCGGGTGTCAGGGCAACTTCCTGACGTGCGGTGCGCTTCCGCAGTGGGGAAACAAGGATCTGAGAGGCTAGGTCTGGATATCGTGCAGCTAACTATAATTGTGATTTTGTTATTGTGAAACCCCGGATAAAGACAACAAGCAGCAAGATAACAGCTTACGTTTGTGGCGTCCGCATATGTAACAGCAACAGGCACTTCTGCACGTTTGGTCTTGATAGGAGTAGTTGTATAGGTCATGCCGGTATTCTCAATGCTGTATTCAGCGGCAGATTTAAGGACAGAAGAAATGATATTTGTAGATGCCACATCGGGTATCTCGAGTTCGATTGACGGTTCAGAATATCAGAAAAACCGGCAACTAGAAACACTCACGATAATGCTGTTCTTGCGAGGAGACAAGCTACTTTCTATGGATGCGGTGCGTTGGGTGATATTAGATTGAATGTTTGCGAATGGTGGTTGTTGTACGGGACCAAGAGACAATGATTCTGATGCTTCAAATGATTCGGGAATGATTGCGGATGAAATTGAGTTTAGGGAATTATTGGCCGGCTAAAGTAAAATGTTAGCGTCATAGACACCGATTAGTTCAATGTCACGGACGTATTCGACAGGCGCGGATTCCTCTTTGGGTATGACAGATAATTTTCTTTCGATTGACGGGGGTTGATTAACATTCTATACAAGATTAGACTTTGTAATATAAGATGGGCGGTCACAGTTACTTACCCCTGGTGGACCAGAGCCTGTGGCAACGGCAGCTTCATTCCCCGGTGTACACGGAAGTCCTTGTAGTACGGGGTCAGGGATACAAAAGTCTCGGTTGCATTGTGTCTGTAAGTATGTGGCGTGAAAAGCAGTTCCGCGACGACCGTGAGCAAAACTAACCTCCTGGCGGGTGACTGATGCGCAATCAAGGCCGAGTGTCTATGATATCGTTAAATGTCCAGATTTCGAAGACTTCAGATATTCTAAAAACCCATACCTCTCTGCTAGTGGCTGCGGTCTTGTCAAACTTAAGATGCGGTAGTTCGGGGTAAAATGTAGAGAAAAAGCTCACGGCATCTACTGTGCTAGATGCATCAAGCTTAACGTTGTTTGGTGTAGGCGCATTGGCAGTAGCTTTGTCTTCCTGCGTGATGGCCTTGAGAGTCATCCTGACTAAGTCATCTCAAAATCAAAGTGTCAAAATACCCGACCTTGTTCCTGGTCACATCAGCCCCCTATTGCACATTCTTAGGACCCATCATAAGTACATGCCGAAGCGGCGAGCGACTTACGGAAGTCACTTTAATATGATCCGGCGTGACCTGGCCACTGGAGGCTGCGCTCACAGCAGTCACGGTTGCGCACGGAGCATGAGCGGTATTTGCGGCATTATTCGCTGGCTTTTCTGAAGAGCCGATGGGAGCAGTAGCCGGAGGGCGACTTGCTTCAGCCCCCATCTGTTGTGCGAGTTATAAATAAAGCTAATGTCGATGAGGAAACACGACAGGATCTTGCCCTCGGAGGAGAGCGCGAACGTACTGTGTCCCTGGATGAATACGCCTTCAACGCTAGTTACCAGGTTGATATAATGGCTGGCGGGCACTTGTCTGGTGAATGATTGAAAGCGCAGGGATGGAGGTTACGAGAAGAGATGTTGAAATTGACAATGAGCTGATTGCAAAGTTGACCAAACAGATCAGTATACCAAACGTTAACATGTTTCGACTTCAACGGTTTGCAAGAGAATATGCGTGAAGAAACATGGGGATAACTTCCAAAAGCTTCTGGAGTCTGCATGGGGTACGGCAGAACCGTAGAGCCTGCATGGCGCGTCCGAAGATCAAAAACCCGTCGCGTCTTCCATCAGATCAATATTTGATATTTAATGCCGGTCCTCGGACGAACTCGTAACTGATCACCTTGGACTGTCCTCCACCCGTGTATCGTTTCAAACTTTGCAATCTACGGCTGTGGTTCACAACAGTGATACATGATGGGCTATGCAACATGCCATACTAAATCATCTCACGGTAGGATTGAAACGACGTAGCCTCTCATCGCCTATCAAACGGAGTCTCATTCAACCGTTCTCTCTCCTACTATCGGCTGTGCCGTTTACCAGCTCTTATTTCTTCATATTCTATCTTTTTACTGTATTATCGAGCTTCTCAGCTGCCCTGCACCCACTGATCGGTTGTCATCGTCAACACATATTCCGGCCGATTACAATATGGAAGCACCATCCAGTTACGACCCTGCGCCAATCTACGACAGCGTAGATGTCGACATGGTTGTCAAAGTTCTGTCGCAGACGGCTTTCAGTTCGTGCACTTGTCATCCGTATCTCCGTGAATAAGCATTACTATGCTGTCTATCCACAGGTCCCTTCTTTACGTGTTTCATACCCATATTCTACGTCTTTCAAGGTTACGAGTTCGTAGATCCAGTTGTACTCGTTCCATCCATATATTGCGCAGCTATTTCTGCCTTCTGTGCGTCCTCAAATATACGAGCGCTTCTGATACTAATATACAGGCAGGGCTCTTGAAGTGGATCTCACAGCTGTATCGCAATCAAGGGAACCTTTTCTTCAAGCCTAAACCCTTAGATTGGAGTGACCAGATTGTAGTCATCACTGGAGGTATGACCCTTGTCACTCGCACTGGGTTTCTATGACTCAAGACGAATATAGGCGCTTCGGGAGTAGGTGAACTATTAGCAAACACACTCGCTGTCCGCAATGTCACGGTTGTCGTGCTTGATATCAAACCAATTGTGACTGAAAACTGTGCGTCACCCTTTCCTATTTACTTTTTTATTCAATGTGAATTCCGTCACCAGACAACATCACTTATTACCAATGTGACGTTTCGAAGTGGGAGGAAGTCGAGGCCGTTTCAAAGAAGATCATCGAGGAGGTATATTGTCTTGCATCTTTTGTGTACATATGTTCAAGTTGGCATTATAGGTCGGTCAACCCACCATGCTTGTCAACAACGCTGGCGTTGTGCAAGGAAAACTCATCATCGATCTCAAACCAGAGGATGTGTACCAGTAGGTCATTTTGCATCTCATTTGAGTACTGGACACTTAAACATAACCTTCAGGACATTTGGTGTGAACACCCTGGCTCATTTCTGGACCTTGAAGGCGTTCTTACCAGGAATGATCAAAAATAAAACTGGTCATATTGTAAGTCTTTTCACGTGTCAGGGTGAAGCGTTATGAATTGCCACCTTAGGTGACGATGTCATCTGTTATGGGCTTCGTTGGCAGCGTCCAGATGGGCAAGCTTTAACATTCTTTATCCAATACTGCCCCTCACACAAACCTGTAGCCGATTATAGCGCGTCAAAGGCGGCTCTGGTGACCTTGAACGAGTCTCTCCGTTACGAGCTCGACAAAGTGTACGTATATGAATTACATACAATACTGTGCCATGCTAATCTCGCTCTTAGGTATGATGCACCCGGGATTCGTACCACCATCGTTTGTCCAGGATACATCTTAACCCCCCTGTTCTCTACCATCCAACTGCCATCCAACCCCTTCTTCCAGTTCTTCGCGCCATCCATTGCGCCAGTAGCAGTAGTGAAGGCGATCATCACTGCCCTTGACGCACAGCAGTCCCGAACTATCTATCTGCCGTTTTACACGAATTCGTCACCGGTGCTTAGGATGATACCCAGTTACCTTAGGGATCTTTGCCAAAAGGTTTGTTATCTTATCGTGTATGAGGATCGATTGATTAACTGATGACGAACTAGTTCTCTGGAGCTGATCATTCCATGAAGAATTTTACGAAGGTGACAGCACGCAGGCCGGATGAGGAAGATCTTCCCGTTACTGGCGGTAAAGACTGAGGGCACTGTACCAACGCTATTAATGTCCCTGTAGCAATACACTGGATAAACACAGCCAGATTGTCAGTTTCCTAGTATGATCTGTCAAAAGTTCTAGTATTGCGTTCGCAGCTTTGGCTGTGTGGTGGTAATATCACTGACATTTCCTCGATTAGTTATGTCTGGCCAGGGGTTGAAACTTCGAAGCTTGACTGAACAAGTAGTAGAAGACCACTTGTATGTGCAACTGCTGGCTGTGTGTTTTGCTCATTCGATATTAATCCCTGGATGTCATATTCTTACAGGAATATCATAAATGCCCTGTTGTGGAATAAGAGCTGGCTCGCGGCCGTCATCGAACAGACTGCTAGTGGGCACAAAAGTCCAGCTGTCAAAGCAGGCTGAGCAAAGGCAACTCCGACACACCTGTTGATATTGCTGTAGGGACGTCCAAATTCCAATAGGTTGTCAGGCACTAAGATAAGTATCCTGGACCAGGGCATGTTGTAACCTCTACGACGCGTGAGGCCACCAAGACAAGTTCCAAGTATGCGTGTCAACCGAAAAAACCCACGGGACTGAAGATCCACAGTTGTTCACAAAGGGTGCGGTGTGCTCGAGTTGAGTGGCGTGTAGAATTGTGGACTTCCACAACAAAGGGCCAAGAAACTCCGCTTGGCCACAGCAAAGCGTCCTGGGTCCCCATACTTAAACATGATGGTTTAGCTTATGGACCTCGTCTCTTTCAAAACGCGTCAGGACCCAACGAATACTCCAACACGCGTCATACCGATCTTGCTTGGTCCTTATAACGCGTCACAATGGAAATGATAGACCCACCTACACTTATGAGCAAATTTATGGTGCTCGCACTTACCATCATACAGTCGATGCTGGCTGTCCCAGAGTGTATGATAGATGCACTCCCGTACAACGCGATCAAGGAGGGAAGATGGAATGAGGCGTGGGAGCGTGTGCTACAGGCGCTCGTGAGCTTCGATGAGCCGTATTTAGATGCGGTCTACTCCAAGCCAGTCAACGATGATACTGAATGCACAAGCAAAGTGAGTCGAAGCTTCATGATCAGCTATATACTAGTCTTATCAACGCATTGCATTAGAATGCCTCTATCACACAAACCTGCATGCCAGTGTCGGACCACCGGGAATTCACAGCGATCTCGGCGCCTCATGTGAATTTGAACGCTTCTGGACTCCAGAACCAAAATGCAAGCACAGTGCCAGACGCCAGCTGCGCCTCTGCCTCGCCTTTGGACGCAGAACAGCGCCTTGCCTTTCTCTCTTCACCAGAAACCTCAACCACCTTTCAGCTACTTTCTCGCACAAATGACATGGTACGTCACACACCTTTGTCACACTGTCCTAGCTTGTTGAGAACATATTTTCCAGACTGGTGGCCCGGAAGCTAAACCCATCGAATTCGTTCCCGAGCAACCTTTTGTGGACTCCCACACCGTTTGCGAAGAAGACTGGGAAGACTCGGAGACCGTTAGTTCTCACCCTTTCGTGTGTTCTTGCTTCATCTGTGAGGAGGACAGAGAGAATGTGAGTGTTCTCCCTCTCTTTCTCTACTCATTCCAATGTTTCGCTTCCAGGACACCCTCCTCGACTTGCGCCTGGATGGCCGCAACATCGTGCTTGACTCATTGTATCCTGACATCACACCCCATATAGTTATAACTCCCCCTGTCTCTTATGCAGACGACTTTTACACACCGCACCAAAACCGGGTCGATCCCCAGTGGCCATGTTTTCTCAACGTGCCCCGTTTATCCCCTCACATGTTCTACCATCATTGTCCTCTACCATCATCCCACGATGAACCGGCTGACTGTCCTTCAGAAGAATTCCATTCACAGTCCGTAGCCTCGTCAGACGACCTTGGTGTTATTCGGCCGAGAACTCCTCCCCGCGTGTTCAGTCACAATAAAGTTCTTCTTGCTGTAAGCCGGCTTGTGTCGTTTATGGCACTCTGACACTCATCTCACCCTCTTACTCTCTATTAGGTCGAAGCTTCTTCAATTGAAAGACTTGTATTCCGCGAGATAGTCGACGGAATATTCCGACATCACCGCAAAGCTGTGGTGAGCTATCTTATAAATCCCTCACTCGAACCAATCAACTGAATGCTTGTGTTACCTTTCAGGCATTCGAAGCATCCCTCTCGGCGTCCGCGGTTTGCGCGAGATTCAACGAATCAGTGGCTGCATCACAATTGGAACAGCCCTTCGTGTGGACTGATCCTGCTCAGGTACGCACTTGCAGATTGTCGACATTAACTTCCAGCCTGACATTGAAACTTCTTCAGCCTATCCTACTTGCCTGCAGAAATTTCTCGGGCGTCTCTATCATAGAGTCTGACTGTCCCTTTAGAGCTCCCCATATCGTCATCATTGCGGCGGAGCCGCACGACCCGTGGATCTCGTGGAGTAACAGGGTCGAAGACCAAGATTATGAGTACCTCACGGTATATCCCAAGCGCAGTTCGACACCTCCGATCAATTCTACTTCCCTTGCCACCGCCGCTGTTCCTGGTCTGCACCATCAAGGCGACCCTGATGACAACGGCTTCATTCAGTCACACTCTGACCCCTCGCGGGAGTCTCATTTGACCGGCTTACCTCCGTCCCTGGACGAATCCGGGTGTCTTCTCACACCACATGAAAAGGGGCGTATGACTTATACCGATCACCCGCATTCTACCCCAGACGTCAGTGAGTTTACGGATTCAGAAACGATGTCTCTTGGTCTCTCTATCACTCGGTGTGAGACGCCCACGCCGGATTCTGATGACGAAGACGACCTCCCCCCGTTCGATGATTGGTACCTGTCTGTTATCGAACGCTCTAAAGCTATCGGCACTTGATGTGAAACGAGCTTCTTTTGTTAATCGTTATATACTTCCCGACATATGTTGGTACCTGCCCCGCATGCAGTGACGTTACATATATATACCCGCAGTACTTCCTTGTATTTTTACATTCTCATCTTCACACTCCTGCATTATCATATTGAAATTGTTGGTTGCCTTAAAGGCAACTACGTCCCAAAGCCACTCCCCTGACACGAACATGAGGTACCCTCGCCGCGGTAACAATACAAGATGCTACATACTACAGAATATTCCTGAAACGTATGTGTGGTTGGATGCATAAAAGAACATTGGGTTAGTAAATGCCCGAGATGAAATAACAAGCAGATGACGATGAGTGCGACATACGTTACAACGCGCGAAATGAGGGTTTAAAACCAAAAGGAATCGCATGGGACACCCATAATGATATAGAAAGGGGGGTATCATTCGCCATAAACGCTAAACCAAAGCGGGGCTTGCGGAAATATGAAATTTGTAAAGTAGTTCTAAACTCCTTGGGTATGACACAAGGGATTGAATGTGTGTGAAATGTAGGCGGCACCGGGCGTTGCCTGGATCATTTTGGTGGTGAAGCTGATGCCATAGATGTGATTGGTAACGGAGATGGCGATCGGAGATGTAAATTAACAAGCCTTCAGTAAGGCTCGAGCACGATTGGCATGGGCTTTAGAAACCTACACGAGGACAGGGTTCGTCACAACGAAGCACATAATTAAGGCACTGATACGCACCAGTAGATTAGCCGTCTTATAGGTCGAGCTATACATGTGGTTGATGCCATTTTGTTCCAAGACTCGCGAAAAACGGTTCACCAAGCCATGTTTATCTACGTGGGATAGAAGCACAGGTGTCAATGGGGCCTTCTGGAAGATAGTGAAAGGATGGCATACCAAGTCCGAATCTGCGCAGATCGATCTGCAAGCATTTAAGGGCACCACCTGATGAAACCGTGTCCTCGTCGTCCTCGGAGTCTGAATCTGTGCTCGAACTTTGTGCATCAAGAGCATCAAGTTCGCCAGCACAAATCATCATATGCCGCTCATTCGGAGGAAATAGCGCGGCCAGAAGAGAAACATCAGTCGTTAAAGAGGTGCCTTCTTGCGTACGAGTGAAGCTGAAAAATGGGACCATGCCACGTATGGTCTCATCTGCAGGCTTCTTGATGGTAACTGATGCGTCCATATGATGGAAGGTGGGTCTACGATGTGATGCTGGCTTTGATTCAAGAGGAGAGAGCGGTGCAAGTGGAGCAACAATGTGTTTTGCGGGACGTTTGAAAGGTCCCGTTTGTGAAGGGATAGAAATTGATAGATCTGGAAAGGACCGAGAAGCGGCGGAGGACTGGAGTGAAGTGGATGACAAGTTCCCGAGAGGAGAGTGAGAAAAGTAGCCTTCTTCATCATCATCATCGCTCGAGGAAGAAAATGAATCTGATGAATCTGGATATCGGTTTCGACTTGACGACGATAGCAGAACTCCGTGGGTAGGGTGGGCGTTGCGAGACTGAGACTTGCGTGATCGTGAGGGTTGTTCCTTGACAGGAATCAATTCGGGGAACGCCACCAGCTTTACGATCTTAAGTCCCCATGTGTCAACACTGTCATCAGAAAGGCCAACACAAGCGAGGTTAGGAGTCAATACGCGCACTTCCCCCGAGGTCGGGGAGTGTGATTTGTGACGTGATGGGGGTTTATGATGGGTCGGACTGCTTGCTGGTGAGTCATCGGGTGACGCCGTGAGGTTTATATACTGCAAAGTAATAGCAGCAGCAGAAACGGTGTCGAGACTATTCCTTGTGCGGGTCAGAATGGCACCGGATTCTACCGTAATATCTTGGGCTACGTCGGGGATGGAAGAGTCATCGGGAGAGATCGGGGAGAGCATCGGGGAAACCACTCTGGAAGTGAGTAGTTCCGGGTCGGAGGAATAGAGATCGAATCCCGTTGATCCCAACAAAGACATGACCTCCTGGAGTCTCGACTCCTTTACCTGATTATCACAATTTAGAATGCCTAGGTGTCAGATAATTCAACCCATGACGTACGAATATGAAGTCGCTCAAGTAAGAGGATTGATATAGGATAGAAATTCCAGCTGCAGCTAACGGTGCAGACAGCTCGTGTACACGGGCTCCGGAGCTGTCTAAAAATTGGTGAATTGATAAATTTGTGCATAGGGGTTATACAACCGAGTCACATACCGAGTTGATCAGAATGAGAATCAATTTGGAGAACATTCCACTTTTCGTAGGATATTTCAAGGTGGTCTTGAGGTAATACAGGCTGGGCACGCTTTGTACTGGATCCTGAGCCAGAGCGAGATCGTTGCCTTTGCCTGTCTCGCCTGGCAACGGGTTCAAAATCTGCTAGCATGTGAGATTCTGCGAAAAGACTAAGTTCAATCTCATTGCAGGTGACATTGATGAAAGTGGGGTTTGGCTGCAAGATCTGCCTTAGGACAGGATGTAATAACTGGGGCAGACGAGAGCGAGGAATGTGTACTAGTGAGAGGGATACTGGGAGAAGGGATACTGTGACATTGGAGGATGGTTCTGCCATGATGGAAGAGCAGAAGAAGGAAGGAGGATAGAAATATATGAAGAGGGAGTCACGCGAAGAAGGCGTGCGCTGTTTTTCTAGTGAAAACAAGGTTCAGAGACTTATCTAGTATTACATTTACATGCACCGATTACCCAATTCATTATCATTAGCGGACCGATCAGAGCGACCTCCCCAGTCAGTGAGTGATCAAGGAAATCTCATAAGTCTTATGTTCTCCTGGTTTTAACTTACGTGCCTTTCACCTTATCTTTACGTCCACTAGCGCAGCGTCCGTAGTTTGGCGCTAAGCTCGGTACCATATCACCAAAAATTTGGATCCAGGTGCACATTCGTCGGATGCACATGCGTCGGAGTAACAGTGGTCCCCTCATTCTTCGACACTCCACTCGCGGAACATTCTCGTTCGTCAGGAGGTTTCATTTTGATGGGCGCTCAGCATCACTGACTTGCTGTGTCTCGTGGATCCAATCGGGATCTAATTGAACTTACTCAACACGGAACATTTAGCTTTTGTCGCATCAATAAAATGGACAGACGCGTCGGTACTTCCCCTTCTCGTCATCCGTACTACTAGCGAGACCTAGTGCAACGAAAAGCTTACTCGACATTTATGCCCAGAACTTGCCACGCTTATTGTCTCTTGTCCATCTCTGGCTTCAAAGACATCGGAGATCAACGCATTTTCGATTAGCTTCCTTGCCTCGGATCGCCATCATGCAGCCGCTGCGGCAAAGATCTTCAAGGTTGAGCCGACAGCTGCATCCAGCAATGGTATCATCAGATCCATCATGAATCTGTTATTATAAGCTAAAAAGGGTCGTCCCTAACTGTAATCACCTACCTATAAACAGCATGAGTTTCCCCACACTCAGGTGACTTGCAAATTTGGGAATCGGTATTTCATTTCGGAACTACTCATCATACTACTAGTACATGTCCTTGTCAATCCATCCGGGTGTTCCCTTCAGTTGACTAGATCAATTAATCCTGCTTTCGAGATTTGCGACCTCAAGCTAAAAGAGAGAACATGTCGAGTTTGTGTCAATGCATTCACATCATTACCATATATATATACATACACCACTTCAATTGTGCTCGACGAAATGAAAATAGCAAGACGAGAAGACAGTGTGAGTCCTGAGGCCTGATTGATAGCAGTACACGTGTACATGAAATTGTCGATCAACTAGCGGGGATGTAAAACTACATGGAGCATCACTGTGGATGATATACTCCTCGAACGTATGTTGAAACAACAGCAATAAAAATAAGTTAAACCCATCCTTGTACCAAGTCGTGCAATGATCAACGGAATCTAGTCATCTCAAATTCACCTGGACAGCACAGGCCGCTGCAAGCGTCTGCAGCGAGGTTGCGGAGAAGCCTTCGGGCTTCCTTTCTTTGTGGGAGTGAGTGGATGGGGATACCGTGAACGTGTGGGAGCGTGAACAGACAGCAGGGATCGTCGACGGAGGAGGTAACGGGGGGACGTCTGGGTAGAATTTTTGGTCGTCGAAACTTTCATGCCACGCTTGGGTTCCCGACGGGAATTTGGTATTTGTGGAATAAGATGTGACGACTCGAAAGTATCAACTGCCTGACATGAAACGTGACTAGGGGTGACAGGAGACCGCATAGAAGTAGAAAGCGACGTGGCAGGTTGCGAAGACTGTGGGGAAAGCCCTAGCTGGGAATAAGATATTTCTTCTGGTACAAAAGCCAACAAGTCTGTGTCCATTTGCGAAACGGGTATTGAGCTGGTGTCTTCAATATGCCAAGATACGGGTCCAGCAGGTGTCATCACTAACTCCGACTCTTGTGATGCCCCCTGAGATGGCTCTTCTGATGGCGACCCGAACAGGGGGGATGTCAGCGGAGTTGTGGAGGATCTTCTCGGAGGGGTGCGGCGGGTTTTAGGGGCGCGACGGGGCGTACGGAACGGTAGTTGGCTTCCAAATAAAACAGGTCTGCTCAAGTCTGCGCATCCCATAGTGCGCTTTGAAACGGGCGGAGAGTTAAATTCAAGTGGCTCAGTGGCTTTTCGCGCAAGAGACTCGGGCTTGCTGCTTGCTTGTATGCCAGCATTGGTGGCTTCGCATCCAAATTGTGGGCGTGAGGAATGCGATGGCATTCTATCCTCTTCTTCCAAGTCCCCTCTGGTACGTTTCAGCGGTCTTGCACTAGGTTGAGTTTGCCGCGGAACCCGCGGAACAGGCGCGATGGGTGGCAAAGTACTTTCATACGCAAAATCTCGCACTTTAATGCCAAGAGACTGGAGCGTTTCTACGGTGGGTTGTTGAGAAGACGGTCTTAGAACTTGGGGATGCACATTGCTTGGGGCTGTGAAGTTTGGTGGCTTGAGGGATGACATAACAGGACACACTTAAGGACTGATTGCGCGCGTTATCAGACATATCTTTTCACTTACATTCGTTACTTGGGACGGAAGATCAAGCTCAGGATCATCATCGTTGATGATCACGAAATCGAATGTCTTCATCGCCGACAGAAAATCTCCCTCCTGTTCTTCCGTTCCCACAGCTATCGATGATTGCATGGCTGCATCATTGTTGCCCGAACAAGTCATCCGAAAGAGCTGTTATAAGAAAGAGATAGAAAGTTTGAATGTGACTGAATGAACTGGATACAATGGACAACAAAGGACCTTTGAAAGAAATAGCTATGTCACAGCAGCACGTCGTGGTAGCAGTACAGGTTGGTGTTGTCCAGCGCTGACAGCAGCATGGGAAGACCAACGAATTTTAATCTCCGACGCTTGCGGTCTACACACGTACACGTGACTAGGCGCGCGTTAAACCCAATTTAGCAAGTGTCGGTCAAGTGTCGGCTGACCGTTTGCTCAGCGCAACGTCGAGCAGAGAAGGTTTAAGTAATAAGTAAAACTTGTTTCATTGAATTTCACACATTCACTCTACATAACCATTGCGTACTTTCTGCAACTTTTCAGGCTCTAACAACACTCACGCCACGGTAAAGCCCTGGAGTACTAGTAACGTTGTCGGTGGACTCTCTCAGGCTGCCCTTTCAACGTGGGTGGCATTGCATATGCTGCGCATTTCGTGGATCACGCTTATTGTTTACAGTTGAGAATTACCGCATCCAGGACTCTCAGGCATGCTTCGAAGGGTTTGGAAACCACTGGCTGCCACCACCGTTCTTATTGGCACACCAAGCTACCTCTACTATACCTTCACCAAGCAGCAGACATTTGACCTTGCCGTCAAAGTTCGCGGCGCGGACGGAATACCAATTATGGCCAACCGCACATTTTCCCTGTTGTCACAGAACGCTGTTAAAGATCGTCTTGTGGAGAACGCGTCATCTGATAGCTTTTCCAGACCTGACAGCACAGTGTGGCGATACGCCACGGCATCTGTCGCCGCCAATGACCCCCTGGAAGATGCACATGCGGACGCTATAATTGCCCGTGACCCATCTGACCCATCTGCACCAGGTGACTGGTTGTTCTTCACCGTTATGGATGGCCATGGTGGTCCTCATACATCTCGCCTTCTTTCCAAGACCCTCATCAACGCCGTGGTCCTGGAATTATCCTCCCTGATTCACTCTCAGGACGTCCCGAAATCCGGACTTCTTGAAAAATTAAAGTTGATGTTTCGCACGTCTTCGCCCAGATTTCGCGAAGACCCTCAAAACCCAGAGAGAATCTCCCTTGCTATACGAAATGCTTTCACTAAGTTAGATCAGGAGCTCATCAATGCACCCCTTTCGGTTCTTGCCGCAAACTTGGATGCTGAATCAATAAAGAAGAACATCCTTCCCGATCTTAGCAAACATCCGCTGGCATTACAGACAATGCTTCCTGCTGTATCTGGTACGGCACAATCTCTGCCCGCCTTTTTCAAATCATGACGTGCTGTTCTATCTTCAGGCAGCTGTGCGCTGATGGCCGTCTTCGACACCGCCCATCGGCATTTATACGTGGCTTGCTCAGGGGATAGTCGTGCTGTTGCCGGCATTTGGGAAGAAAATGAGCAAGGCCAGGGGTCGTGGCGCGTTGAAGTTCTTAGCGAAGACCAGACCGGTCGTAACCCAAATGAATTGAAAAGGTTTGCTAATGCAATTAATTTCCGTTCAAGCTTCTTACAAATCGATTTTTAGGATTCAATCTGAACATCCTCCTGATGAGGCGGGTAGTGTTATACGCGCAGGTCGCGTACTTGGTGGGCTTGAACCCAGTCGCGCGTTTGGAGATGCCCGGTACAAATGGCCCCGCGATGTGCAAGACTGTGTACGTGATTTTAGATTTGATTGTGGCAAGATCAATACAAACCATTGTTGACTCTGGTCCGTTCAGATTAAACCGTGCCTTCCTTGTGGGCAACAATCAACCATTGCGTTCACCCCCTTCATCATTCAAGACTCCACCATACGTTACTGCCACTCCAGTCGTAACCCATCGTGACTTTGACTTCGGCAGTGTTGCACGACCATCACGATCACCTGCATCTCGTTTCGTGGTGCTGGCAACCGACGGGCTGTGGGATAAACTTAGCTCAGAGGATGTCGTAGCCCTTGTCGGCGGACATTTAAAGGGTCTCAAAGGAGTAGTTTCCAAAACAGCCCTTCCAGAACTCGTACCAACAACGTCAGGGGCACCAACTGTGGAAGGCAAGGACAAGAAACGGAATAGCAGTAGTGGCTCCTGGTCATTTGAGGATGAGAACATCAGCTCACATCTAATTCGGAACGCATTTGGCGGGGGCGACGCCGAGAATTTGAGAAAGTTGATGAGCATACCTGCTCCGACTGCCAGAAGCTATCGAGACGATACCACCGTAACTGTTGTCTGGTGGGAAGACGGACAAGAAGGTAAAGCCAAGATTGTGACGTTCTCTTCTGATAATATAAAAGCAAAGCTGTAGTAGAGCGAGCTTCGTGACCTTTAGTACAGGATCATGAACATATGTGACTTTTGCAGGGTGTACTCTAGGATCAATGCCAAAAACAAATTTTCTACATGATCATCCTTTTCTTCTTCTTGCCATACTGCTGTGGAGGTCTTTGCCAGTTATCTAATCGATGTTGGGATAATGTGTTGCTTCCTGATAGCCGGCTGTAAGGATTGACTGCGCCACCGCCAAACGATGACTTGCGACGACCGTGTGACTGTTTGGAAGATTGGGTATGCAAGGGTACGCGGGCGTAATGCTTCCGAGGTGTCTGTTCGCCGTCGTCATCGTAATCTGGTGATTTGCGCTTCTTGTCGTTATTCTTTGATGACGCATAGAAGTTGCTCGGTGAAATTCCCGATGAAGGGGTTGTGTTCAATTGTATGGAATTAAGGGATGATGTACTGGAAATAGGAGGAGGAGAGGTAGGAGGACCTGGAGGAGGCGGTGAGGCAGCATTGAGTGACTCGGTGGTGCTTGAAGGCGGCTTGAGATCGACAGGAGACGCAACTGGTGATTCACTGTCATCGTCATCATCATCATTGTATTGCGAGAGGCTCGTGAGGGCGGTGCTGGGGCTGTGAACCTTGTTAACAGCTTCAATTTTCTTCTTGATGCTCTCAGCCTGAGGGTCCCTGTCGTCCATTTTAGCCTTTTTATGTACCTCCACATCATTAGCCATCGGAGAAGGAAGGAGAGGCCCGATGAACGGTCGATCAGTTTTGACACCAAGGTCGTCACCACCATCGTCTTCAGAGTCCACAACTTTCCTCTTCTTCATTCCAGCGACAACATTCCGGGGTGTCATTGAGAGGCGAGTAATAGCAGCCTCGAGAGATTGACCTTTCTGCCTGATGTAAAACAAGATATATGCGTTCTTCAGAGGCCCAAGGGTATTACGGTGCTGCGATACGCTGTCGTCGTTCATCTCGTACCACATGCCATTGGCACCTTTGACCGTGGCATAGTAATGGCCTGAGTTCGGTCCCCCGCCTGCATGACAAATGACACCGTATAATGAGTATGTTGGGCCAAATTGACCCTCACTCATCAACGGTTTCAGCGTGATACGGTCGTCATAATGGACAAAATGCCCAATCTTCCGACCCAGGGGCGAGAAGCGCTTGAGGTGGATAGTCAACACTGCTGGCGCATCGTGAATAGTAAACCGCTTTTCGGCAACGACAGGCTTCTTGCATCTGCAAGAGGGTTGCGTATCAGAAGTGAGCATGCCTACTAATAAATATTGCTTACTTTTCGCACTTATATTTGTCTGATCCCTTGAGATAGTCGACAGCGACAAACTTCCGGAAGGCGTCTTTTACGCTGTTTGAGCCATATATGTCTAAGCTCACGTCCAGCATGCTATCAAATGTGTCACTGTTGTGGTGACACTCCTTGCATGTCACTCGTGATCGTAGTCGACCACCGAATATTTTGTGGACCCAGGTGGTCTCCGCAAGTTTCGGATCAATTTTTCTTCTCGATGCTTGTTAACGGTCACAGGTGGCAAAGTGACAAAACACTCACTGCGGGTATCCGGCTAGACATGATTTTTGTAAAGCGTCAATGGCATAGCGAAGGAACTCATGAGAATCCTCCTGCCTGCCCTTCCGCATGTGTTTTGCGATGACTAGAAAAGTATAATCGGACACAGGTTTCAATAAGGGAAGCAATACGTACCATGCAACTTCGAAACAATGACGTACGGCGTGGAAGAATGCTTCTTCTGATGGGAGTCAAGCATCACATGGCGAAGACAACATGACATGCAAAAGCCCCCCTTTACTCGACCTACATTACTAGGTAAGATCAACTGACGGTTATCAAGACTATCCTCACATGGGTCAGACTTTGAGTGCGTCATTAAAACATTGAGCAGAGGAGGCGTGTGGAGGAGACATTGCAAAGCACTGTTCAAGAAGCAAGTATTCCCCGTATTATGAAGGCCATTACCGATATTGTGGCCAGGGGGCCAAGGCCATGAAAAGTCCAAGACTCCGGTGAATAACGAGCCATGCTTTGTTGATGGAGATATCGGTTGCTTTGAGGGCGAGGCCAGGGGTGCGGGAGGTACTCGGGGGTGTTCACGGACCTGGTGGGTGTTCACCGGGTGAGCAGCTTCGCGATAGAGCTATTGCATACACCCACAATATTCTGTGATGCCTTCGGTGTGGCATTGATAGGCTCATACTTGCCTTCTGCGACTGCGAGGGCGCCAGAAGACGAGCCTTCTACAAATTCGATCGGGGGCGGAAGCAAGTTATTGAAGGCTTCGATATCTCTGGCAGGACGAAACTGGGAATGATCATCGGATGCAAGCTGAGGAGCAAAGGAGGATGTGGGGTACAGTGGTGATGCCAACATGTTCCTTTTCGCAGAGCAAATGCTACCAACGCGAATTTGGACACGAAAAAAGCTTCGCACGGGAAGCCAGCGGTGGCCCGCGCCGCAAAAATTGAGCAAGATGGACTCAGAAGATAAACACGATGGAAAGACGCCTGAGCGAGTGGGACCTTGAGAAATCCTTCGAGTACTCGTTAGCAGTTTGTGGGCGTTTTATTTACGTTTGTTGTCAGATTAGAAACAAGTCCAGGTTATCTAACAGCTAGTTCCAGCTGTCACATCGATAAATATGTATCGGCTTTACTGTCATTGGATCTTCAAAAGTACAGTATATTAAAAGCCACTTGGTATCAGGGTAATAAGGCATGAGTTCACTGAACAGACGGTGGTGAAAAGTGGTATGTAGGCTACAATGCTGCGGTATAAATTATGAATAAAAAGTGGTCCTGTGACAATCCTTGAATGCGTGAAGTATTAGTGCGGTAAATTAAATGGTGTTGAACAAAAGGTATTGGTTCGGTACAGTATGGTCCAAGAGGGCATAATCTAACTGATCATCCAGCGCAGAGTTAGAAGACGTGGCCGGTGAAGAGGACATCGATCGTATGCGAGACCCGAAACAGTCTACGAAGCCGTCGAGAAGAAGAGGTAAAGAGGGCGACCCCGATGCATATGAGGAGGGCAACCCAGAGAATGTGTCATTGGATTGTAGATATCCGTTGTATCCAGCGTCGAAAATAAAATCGTCAATATGCGTAGGAGGACACGTAGATACCGATGACGGGGGTATGGACGAAGAACTAGATAGTCCAGTGCCAATTTCAGACGGCCAACTATAGTCATACATGCCATCAGTCACGCCGGAGGCTCCACCACATTCAGGAATGGGCATCTGGTAGTTGCTCGTCGGCATCGGAGGAGGGGGAGCCCAGTGTTCTTCAGTAATGCCTGGAAGTGACGCCTCTAAAGGGGGACGGTAAGGAGCATCGGCTACTTGGGGAGGTAGAAAATGGAAGGTAGACTGTTGGGAAGTATTTTTATCTGCCGACGAGGCAATGGCATCTAAATCTAGTGTACGGGCGTCGATTCCATGCTTCTTCATGTGTGCGACAAAAGCAGATCGCCGTTTGATTCTAACAGAGCATGAGCCCGACGGAACAATACCAACGGCAATAGCCAAAACTAACCTTGTACCACATTCTGGTACAGTGCACTTGTACGCGCCCTCGCGTCTGTGAGTTTCCTTTCGATGGCGAGTACAAGACGAGGGATCACTGAACGCTTTCATACAAGTGCCAATACCACACACGTAAGGCTTGGCCTTGGTGCTATGGAACAGTCAGCATGATTCAAAATCCAAAAACGAACAAGCGTACTGTGTATTGAGGTGGGTCTTGAGACCTGAATACTGGGCAAACCCTTTTTTGCATGTGTCGCACATGTGTGGCCTAGAAGTCGAGACTGTTAGCTTGCGCAATGCTTCGATATGACGAAGAGCTCACTTGATTCCGGTATGCAGCAGCTGGTGGCGAGTAAGATCGCCCTTGCGAGTGAAGCTCTTGGGGCACGATGAACATGACCACTAGTGTCCGTATCACTCAGTAAGCCAATCTTTGAGTCCCAGCAATACATTACTTACTGTCGACATTGTAGCAGATATAAAATATTACTAACTTTAAGGAAGGTGGGCGACGTTGGCCAGCGACGTCGATTAAAAGAAATATAAAGGTAATAAAAACATGCAGGAGTTTAGTCCACAGTTTGTACCATGATTTAAAGGCAAGAGGCCACCCGTCTCCGAGGTGGAAGAACAAGCTTCGCGGACTTTGACTTTGGCCAGAAATCCATTGTTGTAAGGCCGAAGCGATGTCAGCGCCTAATGCGGACAGAAAACCGACATGTCCCTTGGTTGATCTATGACGAGGAAGGCATATGAAACCTTCGACGCCACAGCTGTGTTGAGAATGACAAAAACCGGCCTACCGTGCAGAAATTGACAATAAGAGAAATATAGCGACCGAGGTTGTTGGTGCTGCCCGGAGCCTCGGGAACAAGGCGCCATGTCTCACCTTGGTCAGCCAAAACCACAAAGATCGCGGAGTGATATAGTTTTCCAAACATCACAATGGTGTGATGAAGTTCAAGGGAGAAGATTGGTTAATCAACGACGAGACGAAGTGTTATATTCCGAGACCGGGACCATCAATAATTTTGGTCACCCTCTCTTTCATCCATGGTGCTATTGTTAGTAGGTCATGCCAGGTGAACGAGGCAAACTGATTCCAACTACCCGCAAACTCAAATTCGTCTTGCTCATACCCTATGATTGCCCTTGGTCTAATCAGCTGGACGATTACCCTGTTATGTTCATAGTAAGTATCCAGAGTAATAGCAAGGCGCTTCAACAAACATTAAACCGCCCATCCACTGCTGCCCTTCTTCATCAAGAGATCTCCATCGTCTATCTCCCCCACCGGGAGTATATAACGGATAATTTCGATGGGATTCCGCAGGTAAGGGATGTGTGAGCTTGTTGTATAGACGCGAACCTGCTAAGAAATAATGTATCACAAATGGAGCAAGAATATGGCTCAATATTACCAGCTGATGGGCCATCACACTCATCTCCATAAGGGGAGTCATGCAATGCCCGGTTATTACCTTTCAAGTTCACTCCAAGGGTATCAGTGACCTCGATACCGGGAGGATGGAGTAAAGCGTGCGCATTGCGATTTACAATCAACGGCGACCGAGGCATGTGAAGAACTCCGATCGCGATGACCCGCACATCAGTAAACGTGGCGACCACCTACCAGTACATTAACAGTAATATGGCCACGCGGAGCACAAAACACTGACTCTTATTGTAGGTGACAGATGTGAAAGGTTACTTTGATATCTATTGCTCTGTGAGCGACAAGCATGCAACGAATAACAACCGTTGATGAACAGCGTGCTATGTGCTTACCGCATCTCGGCAAATATGGCCATGGGACTAAAGCCCCGTGAGGATGATTCCAGTTCGTTGACTGAACCATTGCGATTGAGCACTATATATCTAGGCCGCATCCTGCTTAGAAATGGCTATTCGCAAGCATGCACACGATTTACTTAGTCCAAGCTTCATCCGTAGTGCAGGTCGTGTAAGTCCTGTGCCAGACACGATACAACATTCTACAATTGTGTCATTCGCGCTCCCTTGAGAATACGAGATGTACATACTTAATATAAAACTCCCTCCAAGTATTATCCTTCTTCCACTTCAACCATCCAGGAATGAATCGTTTGCGAGAGCATTCTTCCCACTCAGAAGCCTTCAAGTTCGGAAGGGATGATTCAAAAAGTATGAAACCTGGTGGTGCAAGCGTAAGGATATCGATCCAATTACTTCTGGGTACGATTGAACGAAGACTGAGGTGGTAGAAACTTCGTTCGTAGCTGCCACTAGCCAGGTTTTGGGTAATCGGGGGTTTCCAGGGGTTCAAAGTCGAGTCTGAAGCAACATGTCTTAGTCTCCGAGACAGATTCGACACTTTGACTAGCGACTCGAGGTCTAAGTTGCCAAGAATCGTAGCAATAAGCTCAACTGGGAGGGACTCAAGCGTGGTTGGCATAATGGTATTGGACATGGTGAGAACACAGTTGGCGGGAAAGCAGTCTTGCAGTGGCTGTGGATTAGTACAGCCGTAACCGGTCAACTGGCGCTGGTGAAAGTTCTGGGCAAATATACTCGCAGCAACCTCGCAGTGCAACAAATAACTTATCGCTACATCTAGAAGCCAGCGCGTTATACTCTTCAATATTTCAATCTTGAATAGAGACGATGCGATGCGAAATTACAAGACGAACTCCAGCGTCAAACCATCTGCACATAGACACTAGTAGACAACGCTCTGCCAGCTATGGTTCTTGTGTTTTGCAAGATGCGCTGTGGGCCACGACGTAACAAAAATTCTAGCCCAACGATTAGAACTTAGTGTAAACCGGCAGCTTGAATGATATACAACTGGGTTTTCAAATTTGCCGCGCATGCTAATGATGTAGTCATGTTGCTGCTGGCTGCGTCATTGGATACACTGGAAATATCATTAAATAGCGAAAGGTAAACAGATAAAGATGAACGCACATCCAAACACCAGCGACACGACATTACGCCCTGCTGATTGGACGAGCATTATAATCGCGTTTAAAAGTCTCAAATTCGCGTTCCTTCGTGGTGTATTGCTCAGAAAGATTAGCAATAACTTTTTTGATCTATTGAGATGCAGGTATCAGACAATCGGTGATATGGTAGAAAAGGGCACGTACGCCTTCGCGATTTGTTTGCAGAGCAGGAACTACATCCTTGACTGTACGCTCAACTAGCACACCACCGATCAAGCGGAAACACTTCCGACCAGGTTCCACTTGAAGTGCTTCATTCAAAGTAGAAAGGACAAGTCTAATGGAAAGTCAGTTGAATGTGGGTATCAAATATATGACAAAGGGCGTGCCCATGCTCTTCAGCCTCTTGCTCCAATTCGCCTATCTTCCCAGCAAGGCTTTGGAGCTCGTTTTGCAGGCGGGAGTAAGTTTGCTGTATTTCTATCTGATCAGAGAAGCGATTAGAAGTGAAGATGGTAGGCAGAATGGATGCGTGCCCTGATCGCTCAATGGTTGAACTTTTGATTTTGCTTTTGAGGTCGACATGATAGCCAGTGTTGACTCAATGCAGGACACACGATTGGCTAGCGTTGTCACACTAGTGACATACGTCACAGTAGAATGTTCGGTGTTAGCAACCTCGCTCGACTTTGACCGAACTTTGACCGTCATGTCTTTCGCTCGCCCACGTCTTGTACTGGGTCTCGCGCCCAGGGTAGTGGCGGCACAGCGTTCTGTTGTGCTGCGCTCGTCTCTGGTGGCATACCGCAACATTCATAGTACCCGCTGCTCGCACGCAGAGCATCTTGAAAGCCGACTCAAAGGTCCAATAAGGTCACCGCCTCTAGGTGCAGGAAGTTTGACCGCAAAGGACGAGCCCGGAAAGGATATTGACCCTTACAAGGGTGGGCAGAGTGCCATTGACAAAGCCGTCCATCTCTTTTTCTTTACCGAGATCATCCGAGGTGTGCATTTTGAAATCTAATTATTTTAAGTTTCTGCATGACTAGTTCAGGAATGTGGATTGTTCTGGAGAATTTCTTCAGGCAACCCTACACTATAATGTACCCATATGAGAAGGGTCCTCTGTCTCCCCGTTTCCGTGGAGAGCACGCTCTCCGACGGTATCCCAGTGGTGAAGAGCGGTGCATCGGTTCGTGAACACCTCCGACCGTGTCGTGCGCGTCTAAGATGCATATATCATTAGCTTGCAAACTTTGTGAGGCCATTTGTCCTGCTCAAGCAATTACCATCGAGAGTGAAGCCCGCGCGGATGGTTCGAGAAAAACAACTAAATACGGTAAGACTTGTATTATGGTATCGTGGAACTGTTGCACTACTTACACGGTCCTTCCCAAGACATCGACATGACGAAATGTATCTACTGCGGTTTCTGTCAAGAAGCTTGCCCGGTTGACGCGATCGTTGAAAGTAGGTGTTAATAAGGGGGTATTACTGACACTAGAATGTTGATGCCGTCCATTCAGCACAAAATCAGGAGTTCTCCACGGAAACTCGCGAGGAGCTCCTGTATAACAAAGAGAAGTTGCTTGCAAATGGCGACCGGGCAGAGGCCGAAATTGCTGCTAACTTGCATTGTAAGTATCCATTACATTTTTGGGGTTGCACGTGCTGAATCGCTATGCAGCGGACCACGTTTATCGGTGAAGTAGTAGTCTAGATGAGTCGTGGCAGGTTGTGTACTTATCTGATGGTCCAATTCTGAATTTCTTCACCTGATGTCATCAAGATTGAACAGTAAGCTTGAAGATAGGCATCTTCTGAACACGTTGATCCGGTTGCTTCGTTGCAGCTACGATCCGAATGACCTGCGCGATATGTGTGAATGACGAAAATGTCTTCCATTTCGTGCAAGCTGTGTCAGATATGTAGGAAGGGGCACTTCTCAGTCACAATCTTGCGTCTTTAAGGTTATCGCAGCATGTGCCACTGATTCTGAACCCTGATGTTCTCACATGTGCACCATCTTTTCTTGTGAGAACACCATTTCTTAGGATTCTTGGGTTGATTGGTTTTTCGTCAGGTTGTATTGGCCAGATGAACTGCGATCAAGGCTCGTCTGATTTCAAACCAGACCACTGGATCGCCGCTGAAAATACCCACCTCTGAGCGGTTTAGGATGAAACGGACCGAATGCCAATGGGAGGGCACGGACGAGCTCGTGCTCGATCGTTACGGAAAACCTTCTACTCTTCCCAGTCACGTCAGCGCTAAACCATGGCGTTTAACGGGGTAGCTCCGAACACATGTCTTCCAAGGAAATCACATGCCCCCATAGCAGACAATAGGCGAGCCATCTAAGAATATGGCCTTGACTCAGATACTAATCCTCGGATTCCATCGTAGAGCGCAGCAGGTGGCCCCCCTCGTTTCCCCTGACACCCCGAGTCATTGTACTTCCCACATCCAGTCAACAAACCTGGCAGTCCAGCCACACTTCCGGTCCCGTCTCTCCGTAAGATTCGTAGACAAGCAGGATGGCATGATACTGCCTCCCTCAGAAACCCGTTCCTCGTCTCCCATGTCTAACCGTACTCGGCAGCTGCTCTCGGAAGCACAGAAGCTTGCCACGTATGAATCACAGCGCACAGGTCGTAGGATCACGGTCATGGACATCATCCTGGAATCTAAGTGGCCAGTGGCAACCGTACAACCTTATCGCTGCGCCGCCAAGAGCCGCTTTCCTCATGCGCAGAAAACTTACGCGCCTCAAGCCCATCTTGGCAAAGTGGAGCTGTACCAACTTGAACAAGCTGCTATAACTGTTTTGACCGCGGCGTACGGCCGGAAGATTTCTGCAGAAAGGTCTACCAGTGTGGCTGCTGAATCTTGATGACGAGGGTGTTCTTTACTCATGATACTTGCACTTGCACTGCTAGATTTCTCGATCAGTGATAGATCCCGGGGCCCTTGTTATTCCCCTTTGTGTTAAAAGATATTTTTCGGGAACCCCCTTGCATTCCTGTGCAGGACAAAAGGGAAAGATTTACACTTTGATCCGCCGGTCAGATCCATACATACAAAGTTATGATTACTCGTATACGCTTCTCACGACAAACTTGGCGTCCACAAGTCAGACCATTACCATGAAATGTGGCAGACAATCGTCCCTTCATATTTGGAGCACATGGCGCGAGAGCAACACGACGAAAAACAGGGTATACAAAGATTACGAGCACTAGCGATGTGTACAAAAATATCAACATATACATACATGCAATAAGCCATGAAATTAAACCATGAAAATATCAAGTACTCGGGCTCAAGAAGATCTAAAAGGAAACTTACCGTGCCGCCGCAAAAAAAAATAATTAACACTTTGTCTAAGTATCTGAAGCCTCATCTTCTTCTTCTTCTTCCTCCTCGCGCTCGTGGGAACGCGCAGGTTCCTGGTGAAGTCTCTTGGGGCCACGGTCATCGGCAGGGTGGCCGCCTGCGAACCTCAACGGTGCTTCTCCTCCGCCCCCTGAGCCACCCGCAGCGGGTAAATCATCAACGTCATCGATTCCATCTATCTCCATGTCTTTACGAGAACGTTTTCTGGATGATTCCGTAGAGGGGCGATGCTGCTCTGGAAGCATGTAATGCCCGCCAGTTCGGTCACGGCTGTATGTACGGCCTTCTTCATAGATGACGTCTTGGTCTTCACTTGGATTGCGTGGCGGATTTGCCTGACGGGGTGCATAGGGTCCCCTGTCTCGGTCATAATATTGAGTGTGACCTTCAGGCCGCGATAGTACGTCCCCGCCACCATTTCCGGAGCCAGATCCGGAACCAGATCCCGATGTGTCAGAGCGAGATGATTGATTGTGCATACCGGGGCCAATGGGTTCGCGAGAGTATGAGTAGTCTCCCCTATCTACATGAGGTCTAAGCCTTAGGTGAGAGGGAGGAGACGCATGCATCACTCCCGAAGGCACGGATTCTCGAGCGGATTCGCCCTCATGACGTGCCCATGCACGTTCTCTCTCGAGATCGCGCTCATATTCTAGGTCTGGGTGGCCAATGGCCGCTCCAGGCCCGACGCGCTGATGATTGTGGAGACGTGAAGCTCGAGTATTAGGGGATGCCATCGAGGAAGAATGTGAGGAATGCTGTCGTGAATGAGTGTATAGATCACCATGGTAGCTGCCACGCTCAAGCGTCTCATGCCTTCTAGAAGATCGCTCCCTGTCACTCGGGTGTGGCGGACTGTGATGCCCATGTTGGACAGGAACCAGAGAATCCTGGGAGTACTGTTGAGGGTGTGGAATGCCCCCTGAGTGGTATCCTGGGGGAGGTGCCTGAGATGTTATCTGATGGCCGCGCGATCTGGAAGGTGAGGATTGTGAACGCGAAGAACCATTACTGTGAGGGTGAAGATGAGGACTATGAGCTTGTGAGTGTCCATGCGCCCTCGGTGGCTCCAGATGCTGTATAGGAGTCAACTGCGAGAGGGGTGGAAGCTGCCGGGAGGAGTCATGACCTGACGCGGAACCGCCCCTCGACATGTGCACTGCAGAAATTCCGTGGGAAGGCGCAACTCCAGGACCTATAGGCCCGTCGGGGGCCTGAATAGGGCGACCATCTGGGCCAGGAATAACACGGAAAGAGCTATGATTGTGCACGTATTCGATAGCATTGTGATCGTTTAAATCTACAGGTGGAAAGTCACGATGGTCGCGATGTTGGTGGTGCGCTGTTGCACCTATATCGCGCGGATGTGGGGGAGGCACACCGGGACCGGAGTGTGTAGGAGGAAGTGCATGGCTGTGAAGGTCTGGAGAAGGTGGCACAGCAGAGAGGCGTTCATACAAAACACTATCCCGGATCACCGTATCAGATACATGTTGGATGATGTACATGGAAAGTTACTCACGCTCGTTCCAGTTTCATGCGTTGGATAGATTTTTTAGCCATGAGGACCTTGTACTGAAGCTTATCATTGTCCTAAAAGCAGGTAAGTTAAGAATACACCGAGTAGGGTGGCATTTGCCAACCGTTTCGATTTCTTTGACTTTTCGCTTTAGTTCCTTGTATTTTGTTTGATACTTTTCATCTTCAACACCAGCTGCTATACCAGTAGCATAAGCCTTAGATTTCTGACGTGGCGCAGCAGCAGCAGAAACGGATTGTGTAGGCATCTGTAGATGAGGGAGAGTGACAGGGCTTGGGGAGTGGATGTGGGACATTATGGCAGTGCTCTGAGGTGGCAGCGTTGGACCTGTCAGTATTACTCATCGAAAAAGTTTTGGTTGGCGGCGTACTTACGAGTCGACTCAGTCTTCCGTATCACAAAGTCTACCTTACTGGTCACAGAATTCGAACCAGCTCGAGCAGCATGTCTTTAATTTTAACAAATATTTTTTCATGAATCCAGGGCGCGTTCCGGCAGTGGTACGTTAGGTTCAAGTTCTAGGTGCTGGACCGCATCTTACTAGGCTCTCACCCAAGGCCCCAAGACCTTCCAACTTATCAAATCTTGTCAGAGCCAATATTGAGTTTCGGAGCAAGCTCGAGGTTATCGGAATGTGCGAGGCACCAGGATGGGCGCTGCACACTCAAAAGTCCGTTATGTACCCAACCTGGGGCCTGGATTCAGTCTTACCGATCTTGCTGCGATCCATTTGTTACACATGAAACGATTATGATTCGATAGATGGCATCGATAACACCGCATGGCGGCGGGATAGATCTCACCGTCAAGCTGGGCATAGTTTCACGTTCAGGGCAGGTCTCACACTATTAGTCACGTGGTAAGCACTTTGTTGAGAATCCGAAAGCCGCCTTCACCACTATCACTCCACAACGCGTCCAACATTCAGCGAGTGAGTCATTGAGTTATTGAGTATTAATCTGGACAGCGCTAATTTACGGTTACAAAAACTTAGTGTCTATACAGTACCGACAGTGCGTGTAATATATTGTACAGGATGGCCGTGAGCTCAAGCGCAGTCTTTGCAGAGACATGCCTCCACCCGGGGGCTTCGAGGCAGTCAAGTATAAACGAAACCTTCCTTTTCGTGGTCCAAGTGGTCTAGTCATTCTAGGAGCTGTGACAGCCGTGTGTGCATATGGTTTCTATCGTGTTGGGATGGGAAACCTAGAGAGAAGGTATGTTTATCTTCCGAACGCCGATATGATGGCGCATGGGGTCAGCAGGCTATAAAACGTGTCTTTTCATGGCGCGCTCGCCATAAAACGTGTCCTTGTGAGGATCCGGCCGCTGTTCTTATCAGTACCATACTCAATTTTACGGCCCGTACAAGGGCCGTACCAGAAAAAGCCAACTAAACTGATTTGGGCTGTGTTCCCGACAGGGAACTGCAAAGAGAGCAAGTTTGGTCCCGCATCCACCTTGTCCCCTTGTTGGTGGCGGAAGGCGATCGAGATGCATATCGTCGCCAACAAGCTGCATTGGAGCGAGAGCGAGAGATTATGAAGGATGTTAAAGGATGGGAGGTAAGTTTGATGACAAAATATTGCTATATAATTCTGATCAATCATATTTCCTCGATACGCCCCCGGTATCTTATGTCCAATCGCTGAAACTCAGCCTGGTAAAAGTGTCTATAACAATGCGCGATATCGTTCCGCAGAATCCATTGTGGTTCTCTGATTGGTCTACTGTTACCTTTCTTTGTAGAATCACAATCAATTATTAGATCTTTTGGCCACAAAAGCGCGCAGTCGGAGAAGCTTCCATTGTAGCAAGTAGTACAGAGGGGCGCCACACAGCCTCGTACCAATTGAGAGTTGGAGTGTGATCTGGTCCCGCCATTGCTATATCGCGGGTTAGTTCCACCGGTGGCGGATGGCGATGTAAGTGTACAATAGTGCCCATATGTTCGGTTCCAAGATACCAAGAGCAGATTTAGATTAGGGCAGGTCGCGCTTTACTTTACGCTAAACATTTCGACTCTTGTTAGTAACATCAATTTGCAACGTTAACACATTTTTTTTCGTTGCTGGCTGACGCCGCAAGACAGCTGGCATAGCTTCAAGTTGAACATTTGATTCTTTATCTAACAAACAGGTACTGGACTTGCGATTTCGCAGGGATTGGCGTTCTTTCCCGATTCAGTGTAACAGTTATGTTCATATCAAGCAACTCTGTATCACACAGTTTGTAGGGATTTTCCTCCGAAAGTGAGTGCGACTATTATTGGTTCTCCCTCCTTTGCCATATCCTAATCAGGCACCGACCCCGAAGCACACCCCCTTTTCAGGACTACGGGCTAATTGAGCTCACAAGAATCACAATCTGCTGATTCAACCCGAGTCAGGTTGTGATAATTATGGCATTTATCCTTAAGTTTCGGATGCCGCTAAGGATAGCCCCTCTTAAGCAGGCCCGATGGCGTTCGTACATATCCTCGTATCCCGCTGACACCCCTTCCGATTCGCTTTGCCCCCAAGCGGCTCCGCCCACTATTAAAGCAAACGTCTCGCGTTTCTTTTCTCTTCCACGTATCTCTTCTACTTTCATAATGCCTATGGATTCCTATCCCCATCGTGATTCTCATTCAAGTACCCTTCCCCGCATCTCTCTCTCTAGTGACACCGGGATGAAAGACTCGATGAACTTCTTGAACAGTTCATCCTACGATATGTTGTCGCCAGATGCTGATCAGTTGATTTTCGGTCCCTTGGAGTTCGATGAGGGCCCATTGCTGAGTCCCTCGATGGCTCCTTCGTGGGATTCCCCAAATGACTTTGGCTATCATCACCCATTATCTCCTCCTACATCCGACCACACCCCTTCTCCACATCACGCCTCAGACTTCGATGTAACAGACGCATCGCCCAATAATTCATTTTATGACTCTACATTCGGACGGTTTGACGATATGCATTCCATGCTTGATCTAGATACCGCCCATTTCTCGCATTGGCTAAACGAACCCTGTGCTGGACCCTCCCACTTCTCCCATACCCATCCGTGGTGCTGGCCTAGATCCACAATCGCCGCCACTCTTCTCCTACCCTAATCACACATTTACGCCCAGCGCGTCCTTCTCGCCGTCGGAATTTGCGGCACCGCATCAGCTACCGAGATCGTTATCGCCGGCCGACGGCTCTGATGGCTATCTCAGTTCGCCAGGTCTCCGCGTGGAATCGATATCGCCTGCGGAGACTTCACTGAGACCGCCACCGTGGGCAACTCAATTGTGGGATTCGTCACATTATGAAACTTCCACGTCGTCAGCGCGTGTTCACCAGCCCCTATCAGAACACCCTTATGGAGTCAAACGCCAACGTTTTCAACCCAGACGAGACTTGTCCACCTTGGGTTTCCAGTCTTCTAGCGCTCCAATGCAAACGAGCATGCCGTCAATGATGAGGAACTATAGTTCCCGTCGTGGCGAGTCTGTCAGCGTTAGCGATGACCGTGACGCAACCGTGCGACGTAAGAAGCGGCTATCGACTGATGAACTTTCCAGGGAAGAGAAATCAGCAGACTCACGTATGCAACTATAATTTACTATTGTCATCATCTTGCTAACTTTGATTAATTCCGCTATAGCTCCTCTCAAGTCTATACTCAAGCAGCCCAAATTAGCACCGAGTGCTTGGCAGCTTTATTTCACAGACTGGATTCAGCGGCACCAAGCAACGAGTACAAGAAAACTCAATGTTGCACAGGCTGCCAAGGAGGCCGGTCAGGAGTATGCTAGTTTGACTCCCGAAGAGAAGGAGGTCTGTTCCATTCCTTTTACCGAGTCTGTATAAGCTGACGAGTCTCCCAGCCTTACAAGCGACGGTCTGCAGTTCTGAAAGAAGTGCGAGAGCGCGAGAACGCAGCCTACATGAGGAGTCTCACTCCTGATGATATCAAGAAGGAGAATGCCTTCCGCACTGCCCAACGAAAGGCGGGTCGTTCTCGGAAGAGCAACATTAAAGATCCAAACGCACCCAAGAAGCCGCTTAGCGCGTACTTCATGTTCCTGCAGCGCATCCGATCCGACCGTGCCCTTGTCAGGGAGATATTCGGTGACGAGCAAGAGACAACTAAGCAGAGCGTGTTAGCCGCTGCCAAATGGCGATCGATGACTGATGATGAGCGCAAGGTACGGAAAATTCTTTGTCACAATCGCGTAATTAGCTGATCCCGTTTTTCTAGCCTTTCCTTGCGCAAGCCGAGCAGGAGAAGCTTGAGTACGAGGCTGCACGAAGGCTGTACGAGGAAGGCACCACTGATCTTGGTACAAGTATCAATTTCAGCATCTTGCCAAGCAGCCCCAACGGTGAGAGTCCATTCCGTGCCTTGCGAGCAATCCAGGCGGAATCACTCAGTTCGGAAAGCGAGAGTGAGGGAATAGCAGCTGACGATGGCGCCGGTCGGTACACTCGCATATGATACCATTACATTCCACTTTTCATTCCTCTAGGTAACTTGCTATATGTTCTTTGGTCATAGCCCGCATTCGAGGGCATCGCGTTATGGTTATGTTTTTCTGTTCACGACCCAGGACTTGCTTGTTTACGACCTTGATCTCCCTTATGTGTATCAGTAGATTCCCCTTAGTAATGTCCTATACCTTGCTTCATCTTACTACAGGAGTACACGAACAATGTAATCAATTACTCCGCTAATGATAATCGTGCGACCATCTTCTGATGCGGTTCACCGTCTTCATCAAACAGATCGCCCTGATAAGTTTTGATTGACAAATATGATGAGTAACGTCATAGGATGTTGCGGAAATAACCATTACCTCTTCCTCGTAACCAAACCTATGAAAATAACCGCGGGTGAGTTAGATTTTCAAGTAGGTTTGATAATGACGTCGTACTTGCGGTAGAATGCTACAGCACCAGCCGAATCTGCACGAACTGCTTGGGAATGACAGACTATTTTGACAAAATCAATCACCCCTGAGTTTCTAGCGTGATCCTTAGCCCAATCGTGCAATGCAAGTACAAGATTGCGCCCGAATTTATAATGCCGGTATTCCTTCAGAACGACGAGCCGTGCAAGTTTGTAATATGAACTCCCTGCGTTCTCCACTTTGTGGGCACGAATTGTCCCTATGGGCTTCAGAGACGGTAGAAGTCTTAACAAAAAATGCGTCGCTGTCGGATCATGTCTATGTTTCACCAAAAGGATTAGAAGGATCCAAATTGAAGCAGGTGGCGGATTATCGAGAAGGAGATAACTTACTCATCTACTTCAACTTCCAAAGGAAACCCCTGTTCTGTGACGAAAACGGCGATCCTAACTTGGATGCACTGCTGAAGGAGGGCATGGCGGCCGTCGTGCTCAGGAGGAGGAACGACAATGATCTCATGGGCAGGTGGGACCCGGAGTGCAGCGTCATCTGCCATAGTGAGAAATGAAAGGTACAAAAATGATATCGAAGAGTGATGAGCTGTTCCGCGAAGGTGGTCAGATATAGGCTTGGAACCAGCTCTCTTCGCGTTGGATGAGGGATAACCCAGAATAACGTTAATAGACGCTTGTGTGTCACATGGTGTTTAAATTCGATAAACCCCAGCTCTCGGCTCGGCTCAGCGGATATCATGGCAGGGATGATCAATCAGCTCATTGTACAGCCAGCGAGATACTGAAAATTAAAACGCTGGAAATGAACTTCACGGTGCCGGTAGCAGCTCAGCGAATCATAACAACAGTTGCCAGCGCTTGGATATCTGAGAAAAGCTTTTCGGGCCGACAGTGGCTCCATGATCCCGAGTCCTATTATGCGAATGTTTGGCAAAAGAAACTCAGACCTGTGAAAATTGGGGAAAGAACAGAATGAAAGAGAGCACGCTGTTCTTGCTCCTAACTTTGATAGACCAAGTTGGTGTACTTCAGGTGAGTCAAGTACGACGTCAATATGCGACTTGCAACTTGATATAGTTTCGCACGAGTGGAAAAATCGGCCAAATAAGGCCAAACACACCTGGTCATCTGGATCCCTAATTTACATAGTGAGGAAAGCCACCAACTTATAACTGGTACTGTTACTGGCGTCGTTGGTTTTGTTACGCGTGAGTTATACAAGTTTAACTCCAAGTTGCCTGAATTTTAAGCCTTAGTTTTGTTTCAGCAGGTTTGAGTCTGAAGACTGCTTCGACGGCACTCCAGACCCAGGTGCGGGTGCCCATGATCGAGCCTTTAGCAGCAGCTGTAGTAAACAGTTTTTTGCTACGTACACCCGCCGGACGTGCCTCTGCATTTAGGCCTTCTGTGGAACACATGGGTCGGTCCATACGTCGTCCTCTACTACGCGACTTTTTTACTCCGACTGTGAGGCAGTGGAAAGGCAAGGAGAAAGCAGTGGAGCAGGATGTGGATTATGCTCAGTGTGCCGAATGTGCCGAATGGCTCTTGGGAGTAACACATGAACCGTGCTGCGTCATGAGGCACTCCGTTTGGTGTCCAAGTACGTGTCATTCCGTTAACGGTAGATTTTAAATTTAACAGTGAAGTACACCATAGGACGAAATCGTATGTTCAAAATCAATGACGTGGTTCCTCGTCGATCGCAAACATCGAACTATTCTGCAAGTCCTCCCAATGTCCGCCGCTATTCCTCATCTCTTCCGTCGTGTTCAAATTCTCCACGGTTCAATCATCTCTCGACGACTTTGTCCTCACCGGCCCCTGAAATACTGGACGTGATGACATCTTCTTTGAACTACTTCCTGTCCCTCCTGCAAGAAACCCACCCATTTAACTTGGATGATGTATGGAATGCTTACCAGATGCTTGTTGACTCTGATGATCACCAATATCTGAAACCGTTGGACGTCTTGAACTTTGCTCAAAAGCTCTCTGCTGCTGTAGAGGCAGGCGGTGAGGGCAACGGCGGCGTTTCGTACTTTCGAGAGTGGGGCACACGACTTGCCGCGCTGAATGAGCGGCTGGAGTCCATATTCGAGAAGCATTCGAGCGAACACGTTACGAAGTTAAAACTCGTAGCGAGAGCCTCGGCATTTCTAGGAGATCTGGACCGTGCAATCATTACCGCCCACGAACTATCGGATCTACTTGCTGACGGACGGAGAGAGGAGTTAATGGAAATTTATGGGACCCTCATCCGGTTAATGACGCTTCATCAAGACGGCGAGCACGTCCTGGATTTTGTTCTTGCAGAGTGGACCAATATCGGCGTGCATCTCTTACCTCTCTCTACTCGTTTGCAGTATTTGCACATTGACGTAAAAACCTCATCGTTACAAGATACGATCTACTCGACTTTGGCCAACATACCAGATGCTGCATCCCTATTGGCAAGGCGACGACACTTGGGTTTGGAGACACGGCAGCGTATGGGTGTCCTGCTGCTAGACGTATTTTGCTGGGAAGCCCTGGCAGAGGATGCATATGCATTGCTGAAAGAAATGCGAGCGCAGCGGATATCGATACAAGTTGACCTGCAATTACAAGTGGTCCGCTCGCTTGTTCGTGCTGATTCCTTCATTCGCGCCAATGAACTGTACAGGACCATATCGAAGTCGACGAACACCCGGCATAAATTTTTCATCTCTACCGGAATGTTCCTCGCGGCACACCAGGGTGACATTGACCGCGCCGAGGAGTATTATTCCCAGCTCAACACAGCGCGGTGGATTACGTTGCAGGATAAAGCCATTCTCATGCATGCATATGCAGTTGCCGGACGAGTGGGCAAAGTCGTTGAACTATTCCACGAGTTCTTTCCTAACCCAAAGAACGGACCAAAGCCTTCAATCGTGCATTACACCATTGTGGTGTATGCACACGCAGAGCGCGCGGATTACGACGGGCTCAATTTTTGGCTTCAGGCTATGTCGAAAGCTGGACTAGTTCCTGATATCTACGTCTACAGCATCATTCTCAAAAGCTTTTCTGCACGTGGGGAAGTAGAGTCTGTCTCCGCCGTTTTGGACCAGATGCGCGCTGCCAAAATTATGCCCACTCGTGTCTTGTACACAACTGTCATATCTCTTCTTGCGCATAGGAGGGACCCTGTATCTGCGGAAGCAATTTACAAACGTGCGTTACGCGAAGGGATAACTCCCGATCGCAAGATGATCACTTCTCTCATGAATGCCCACGTGGAAGCCGGTTCTTGGGCGGGAGTAGTGCGCGTTTTTGACTACCTCAAATCATCTCGAACCCCTCGCCTTCGGCTATCAATAGAAGTCTACAATACTTTGTTGAAAGCTTACGTCCTTATCGGCGCCCCTTTCCATGTCGTCTCTACAATTTTTCGCAAGCTCGAGGCTATGGGTGTGCAGCCGAATGGACGGACGTATACCCTTATCATCCAGTCGGCCTGCGATGCAGGATACATGAACATTGCCAACAAGATTTTCACCGAGATGCAGGCAGCCGCAAAAGACTGGCAGACAACTTATCGTGTTGACGCTTTCGTGTTGACGATCATCATGGCTGGTCATTTACGGCTGGGTGACAAGCGTAGGGCAAAGGTTGTTTATGACGACATGTGCGAACGAGGCATTCAACCTACATCCGCCACATTCCATCACATCCTTCGCGCTTATGGTAACGAGAGAACCGAAGAAAGCTTCCAAATTGCAGAGGGTTTCTTGAAGACCATCATGGCTGGTGAGTCTTCTGCGTCGTGGATCCCTCCTCAGACTCGCGCAGCTGCGCTTGAGCACGTCTACGGTCCCCTCATGATCGCGTATACAAAAACCGATAAACCAGAGGAGGTGGAGCGGTTGTTCCAATCCATGTTGGATGCGGGTGGAGAACCTTCGTTGGGCAGCTTGTCAGTGCTCCTCGACGCCTACCGTCGCTCTAGTGACATCGAAGCCATCCATGGGCTTTGGCCACAAATATGGCAACTCGCCTTACGTTTTTCGAAGACGGATTCGCTTTTCGATGGAGAAGATGATAACCCTTCCGACCCCACGAAACGTCAGGGAAATCTTCTCTGCGTTCCCCTATCCATCTATATCGATGCACTTTCTGCGGCCGGGGAACACTTCGTGATTGCCGAGATGTGGGGGAAAGCGAGATCTCATGGCTTCAGCTTCGATTCACATAACTGGAACCATTTGGCGGTTGCTCTGGTCCGCGCAGGCGAGCCGGAGCGGGCCTTTGAGATAGTCGAGCGAGTATTGCTACCTTATCAGCGTCAGAGCGAGGGTGTACTCCGCGACAGAGATTTATCTCCTGACTCCCCTCTCACTTTCGATGTCAGTCCCGCAGATGTTAGCAAACCAGTTTCCCAGTCACCGATGCACCGGAGTGAGCGCCGAGCTTATCAATCGAAAGTGGCTACCAAGAGATCCGGTGACGCGCTAGAAATGGATCCAACCTCGGATGATTTTGCTCATCCATTACACATACTGCACCAGATATCCCCTTCCTGGAATGTTTGGCGCCCTCATCGTGCTGTTCTTGACTTGCTGTCAGGAGTGCTGCGCCATCTGGAATCTGGGACGCCTGTCCAACCGGTGGGAGACCGTAGCTCAGCGCCACAGGCACTGGAACCTAACTCCGGCGGTGGTTTCACTCGTGGATATCTCGCGCGAGAAATGCTTGACCGCATTTATCTTAACTATCCTGATACAATTCAAGCTATTCGCTTACACGAGCGTTGGACTGCACGGAAATCCTCGTTGACGAGACAGGACGATGGGTGGTAGATGATGAGTTCAGTATATATGACACCAGGTACGGAGTACATTGCGAAGTAGAGGCATTAGTGATGCAGTGGTGATTACATTCTCTGAACACGAAAATCATCATAAAGCCAAAGGCAGTACTATGTTACGTGACTCCCATCAACTAACCATCTTCCGACTCATCAGATGGGTCAGAATCACCATCTCGTCGTCGTCGCCCATGTTTATTGGTTCCGTGGCGATTTCGCTGCAATGATGGCGAGTTCCTTAGTCCCCGGCCCAGACGGAGCATGGAAGGATCTTACCAACGGTAGCTTCTGGCCTTGATTACCAAAAGCAATCGACAGCGCGGTCGTATCTGCGCGGCGCGCCATAGGAGGTTATAATCTTTTTCTGTACTGAGACCGGCAATTTAGAACATACCGGGCACTCCTGGGAAGCGCTTAGCTGAGAAAACGACGAAGGGTTCGGTGAATGTTTGCGCAAGGACCGGAGAAACATGATTATGAACTCGGATTGCACCCGCTTCCGGTGCTGGCAGTCTGGAAATGGAATGTCAACTGTTGTTGTTATCTCCCAGGCATAACATCACATTCTTACTCGCCAACGTTCATTAGACGTAAACGCAGCCGGAAGGTTCCTAAGATGCCCCAGGGCGTCAGATAGAAGAATGGCCTTCGCGGTAATGAAGACATACCTTCCGTCCGAACAGATAGATCTTGGAAGAGGAAGAAAATTCCAGATTGCCGATGCTCATCGAGCAGCCGGCATGCATTGGATGAAAGAGGTCCCACCAAAGTCCGTGTGTATGAATGTCGGGGTAACGGAGCATGTGAGGCTGACGGGGAAGATGAGGAACTCTGAGCATATGTGCCCTGGTAATACGGTGGCTGTGATGGTGCACCATAAGCCTGGGGATGATCGTAGCTATTCCCTGCGCCTTGAAAAGGTTCCTGGACAAATCGTGGCGACGGGTCACCTGCGACTTGTTGGGGCCAACTACTTGCCTCAGATTGCTGAGTTGCATGTTCGGGATGTCTCATCGATGGGTCCACTTCTTGAGCATACACGCCCGTCTGTGGATTGACTACTACTGGATAAGATGGTTCCGCAGCTGGCCAATTGCGATAGTTGGCCGACTGATCGGAATCCGTACGATACGATGGCTGGGCTTGCCACGTTTCTCCCGGTGCAGCCGCGGGTATGCCGTTGCGTATGCCGTTGCGGTTGTACGACGACAAAGATGGATGAGGGTGGTTGAAATTGTGTGAGCGATCGAGGGGAGTTCCTGATGGAGCATATCCCCATGTGCTGTTAGATTCGGATGGCGAGCTGTAGGAATCTTGGTCATCATATGTTATGTTATCTGGCATCTGTGCTTGCTGGGGATAAGGGTAGGTTTGATTTACGAATCCTGACGGCGGAGCGGGAACCATCGGGGTCATAGTGGACTGTATTGATGTTCAAAGTCAGTGGAAAATGATGATAATGAGATATGAGGTAACATGCCACTGGTAGGCGTGGATGTTGGTGAGCAGAATTCGGCGTGGAATGAGACGACGTGGGGCTATGTTGTTCATCGTGGGGAGATGATGGAGGATTGGCACTCCGAGGCTTTCTGGATTTTTGAGCGTTCGTTGCGACGTACCGGTCCGCAGATGACGAGGGATGCAACACAAGATTCATCTCCCGTTTACCGTCAGCCGACCAAAGGTCGACCGTTACAAGAAAAAAAGAACAGTCAATGTCCCTGAGTAGTAGGTAATGAGCGGCGCAAAAAGCAAAAGAAGATTTCCGCTTACTCTACATCTACGATAGAGTTATCTTCTCTTCGGACAACCATCTTTGCGACTGCTGCAGGTGCGAGTGGTCTGCGATCCTGATAATAAATGTTATAAGGTTGTTAGACAAAGGCGCGACGGCTCGCGCACTTTATCACCAAAACCGCACATACGGGCACGCATAGGGTGTTGTACTACTTCAAGAGAATAATGCCTGATAACCGCTGAAGGTTAGGAAGGGCAAGAGACGACTTGGGACGTAATTGACTGACTTTCGGCCCCACCATTGTCCCCATTGCTCGATGCCTGCATCAGAATCTTGACGAGGTTGTTGATCGATGTTGGAACGGTTACTTGACTTTTGAACCATGAAAGTTTGCAAGACGTGAGAGCAAGAGGGTGGTGCGGTATAGGGGAAGGGGAAGGGCACTTGTCTGAAATCGGGTTACCTGCGGACAATTTAGACTCAGGTCGCGCTGCAGGATATACGGCCAGCAGTTGGGAATCAGATAAGATAAGTTCTCACGTCGCGAAGGTTGCGGGTGATGTTGGAGAAACGAGCCTGCGAGGTTCAGTAACAAGGTAGTCATTTTTGTCGGTACCCAGTGTGTACGATATTAATAGGATGAAAGCGCACCTGTTTGTTGTGGACTGGCTCTACAAGCTTGTAGGGCGTATTAAAGATGTTAAGAATTGTCTGATACTATAGGGATGCAGTTATAGTATACTGCCAGTGACGGCTTGAAGGTATGAGGATAACGTTGCTGCCTTGATTAGTCTAGCTCGAGGCACGCGTTTGCACAGGTCGGACGTGCAGATCTTCCAAAATTTAGCTAAACACTACACTCCTCCCATCAAATAAGTACTTGATCCAAGGCTATGCAAAGACGTAATATTTACTTCAGAACTTCATTCCTTCTCAAGATCAACGCACTCCGAAAACTCGCTCGGTCGCAACCCGCAGGCAAACTCAAAACTCACCCTCAATTAGTTATCAGATTACTATCAGATTTACTGTGACAGATAACCTGTTACCCTGGGAATGCCGGAATTCCGTGGGTAAGGAATTAATATTAATTAACGGTGGTCAATCAAAAAAAAAACATTTAAGCAAGGCGTCATGATCTGTGAAAACAATACAAGACCTTCATTTAATGCTAGCGGCTTCTTAATCATGCGCGTGAGCACTGAAGAATTACTGTCTTGAACATGTGAGACCAATTGTAACAGCAACATTGGTTTATTACTTCCAAGGTTCGACGGAAATGACCACCTAAACTTGGAAATCCTTCTCACGCAGCTCAACGAGCAACGTCGACATCGACATGGATCAGGTCGCAGCGAAAAAGATTCTTCAAGAGCTCATCAAGCGTGAGGATCTGAAGAACAAGACATGTGTAGACTGTGGTAATCCAAATCCACAATGGGCTTCAGGTGAATACATGTGTTCCCTTTCCTTGCGTCCCTCGGTCATTCCCCGAAAGTTAGTTTCGCGATATTTCTGTGCTTGCAATGCGCTGGTGTACACAGAGGGTTCGGAGTGCACATCAGGTGAATTTGCGAACCTGTGTGCACATTCTTCAACAACCAAATCTCACGCGACGATAGCTTCGTGAGATCAGTTTCAATGGATACTTGGCAGGCGGATCAGATCAAGCGTATGCAGGTGGGTAATTGTTTGCTGAGTTTACAGCCCTCGCTCACTTGTCCCAAGCTCGGCGGGAATGCTCCTTTCAGACAATTCATCGAGTCATACACGCCAGCAGATCAAGGCGGATATAAGCAAGGTACAAGTGCCTATGACACCTACCATTGTTGGGCAGCTTCGCAATATCGCGAAAAGGTATGCCGACCATCTTATCTTCAATTTCGGACTCAACTTTCTCCAGTTGGACGCGGCCCTAGCCGAAAAATCCTGGTCTCCATCTCCCCCACCAACATCCAGCTCTGGGAGCGGAGCGAACTCTCCAGGCCGTCCATCTTCTGCGCAAGGTTTACGCAAGTCGCGTACCTCGGCACGTAACCTTACATCTCCGGTGTCCTCCGCGAATTCGTCGCAACCCTCCCTGGATCCAACCACTATGGATCAAAAATCTGCCAACGAGGCCTTTTTCTCATCCCTCGGTCAAGCAAATGCCACTCGCCCTGCAGATTTACCCCCCTCCCAAGGCGGTCGTTATCAAGGATTTGGAAACACGCCCTCACCTCCGACTTCCCAACACCCGTCGTTAGGCCTTTCATCCACCTCAGCTCCCACGCTTCAAGACTTCCAGGATAATCCCGGAGCCGCCTTAAGCAAGGGCTGGTCACTCTTTTCTGCAGTTGTTTCCGGTGCATCGCGTGTCGTCAATGAAAATGTGATTCAGCCTGGAATGGAGCGTGCTCTGGATCCAAACCTGCATGCTACCGTTCGGGGGTACATGTCAGAGGCGCAACGCCGCGCACAGGATGCAGGTCGTTCGGCAAATGAATGGTCCAAAACTCAGTTGGGTGTTGATGTTGCTGATCAAGTCGGAGGTGTTGTGGGGACGGTGAGAGACAGGTTAGGGTCGGGGCCACAGGGTTCTGGGTATGGAGCTCTACCGATGCATAATGATGGGGAGACATCGGCTTTATATCACGATGACGCAGAGGATTTCTTTGGCGAGTATTCTGACGGTCGCACAAGCCTAGGTCAGTCATCTGTTCACCCCGCTTCAGCTACGTCGAAGACGCCTGGACCTGCTTCGAAATCTAAGGACGATTGGGATGAGTGGAAAGATTTCTAATAGGTGTTGTGGGATTTGATGGGTGCACAGTAATATAGATTTAGACATTGAAGGATACCCTGTGCCATTTGTAGTGACCGTCTGTAATGCTGGTGTGTAGTGAACACTGCTAGTGGTCAATGTAGCCAAGTGCTATAGGACATGTTTACATGAAAGTGTGGGTCCTCAAATAACGTGAATGGCGCCCTAGTTCCGGCCGCGCTGAACATCCATGAAACAGCCGACGAGCGTTCTTATTCTCCTGTGAACCGTTTGCTATCGTTTGTTTCTCACAGGCTGAATCGTTCATTGATCATGCAGTCTGTCCTTAAGCGTGCAACTCGGTCATCGATCGTGTCTGCACGACGCTCCCGGAGGTATCATGCTTCGGTACTCCCTTCGCTGATATCACCTGCCTCGCCCGAGTTTCGGGAGAAAGCAGATGCCATGGACTTACTGGTTGCGGATTTGGAGGCCAAGTTGGAACATGCGAGACAGGGCGGAGGTCCGAAGGCTGCAGAGCGAATGCAGAGCAGGGGAAAGAAACTACCGAGGGAACGGTCAGTGAGCTCACTTTACAATTTCCTGGACTCTGAAGCTCTCGGGCAATCATCGCTGAAGTACTCCATTAGTTTGTCGTTGCTACTGGACCCACATAGCCCGTTCTTGGAGCTGTCACCACTAGCAGCCCATGAAGTTTACCCGGAGCATATTCCTGGTGCTGGGATGATCACAGGAATTGGTGGAATATCAGGGCGGGAGTGTATGGTCGTCGTGAATGATGCGACAGTTAAAGGAGGGTCGTACTATCCTCTGACTGTGAGCGGATACTGGCACAAGTTGCACGCAGATTTAAATGTTGATAATTCTTCAGGTCAAGAAACATTTACGGGCTCAGGAGATCGCACGGGAGCATGGTCTTCCGTGTGTCTACGTTGGTATGTCGTTCATTTTTCTGCCACGTTGTTTACCAAACGCAATATTTTCGATTCAGTCGAATCAGGGGGTGCGGCACTACCTCATCAAGCCAACGTAAGTCCATGAAACAGGGACAGACAGAGTTGTGACCAGCGCTCCAGGTGTTCCCCGATAAAGAGCACTTTGGCCGCATATTCTACAACATGGTAACATAGATCCGAAGCATATGCGTGCCGAATGTCATGTGATGCTCACTCGCTTCTTAGGCGCAAATGTCTGCTCTTGGCATTCCACAGATTGCACTAGTACATGGCATATCTGTCGCAGGTGCGTAAGTACCCCAGAACACTGTTTTTGTCTCACTTCCGGTCCAGGTGGAGCATATGTTCCCGCAATGGCGGACGAGAATATTATTGTTGCGGAGCAAGGGCGTATTTTCCTCGCAGGGCCACCCCTGGTTAAGGCTGCTACAGGCGAAGAAGTTGATGAGGAAACTCTCGGCGGTGGATTAATGCACTCAAGCGAAAGCGGTGTGACCGATCATCTCGCGCGAGACGATGAACATGCTATCGCAATAGCAAGGGGCATGGTCGGCGACCTCGGGATTGCTGGGTGGAAACCAACTGGTGTACGTGATGACGCAGGGTTAACTTTTCCTCTCATTGATGCAGAAAATTAGCCATCAGCAGTGCCAGAGGACCCTGTGTACCCCGCTTCGGAACTACATGGTATTGTTGGCACTGATTCGCGCCAGGCTTTCGATATGAGAGATGTGATTGCCCGGATAGTAGATGGTAGCCGTTTCAGAGAATTCAAGAAGGAATATGGTCCGACCATGATTACGGTAAGACTTTTTTGTTATCCTCAGCCTATATTCCCTTACAGAGTGGTCCAGGGCTTTGCTCATGTGCATGGGTACGAAGTAGGTATTGTTGCGAACAATGGAATTCTATTCTCGCCATCGGCTCTAAAAGCCACACACTTCATCCAATTATGTTCACAACGTCAAATTCCACTTTTGTTCTTGGTGAACGTCACTGGCGAGTGGTTGTTATAGTTCCAGCTGCTAGATCACCTGACCTATCCCATCTAGGCTACATGGTAGGTTCGAAGGCTGAGAGAGGAGGGATTGCGAAAGATGGTGCCAAGATGGTTCGAGCAGTTGCATGTGCCGATGTTCCGAAGTTAACCGTCATTGTCGGAGGAAGTTTTGGAGCTGGCAATTATGGTAATGCGTGTTCCATTGAGGATCTTCTCTTGGATTAACGAATATGTTCTTCTTTAGGAATGGCTGGGCGCGCTGTAAGTAACCTCCGTTTAGATATATTCATTGGTGGCTTCACGTTCGTGCCTTGTAATCCAGTACTCCCCGCGGTTCCTATGGATGTGGCCCGTAAGTCCCGAACTCTTTGAAATGCAGTTCCTTGCGATAACAGTCATATCAGAATGCGAAGGTATCTGTAATGGGCTCTGGTCAGCTATCGCAAGTCATGGCTACGGTCTCTAAGTCAGTTCCCTAACACAAATATTCCCTTCTACGGACTAAGCATCACTTGCAGAGATCCAAGCCAGCACTCATCGCTGAAAGCAGATATCGAAGCGCAGTCAACGGCGCTCTACTCTACTGCTCGTTTATGGGATGATGGTATTATCAAGCCTGCGGACACACGGGATGTGGTTGGTCTTGGGCTCGCGCTGGCAGCAAGAGAGCGTTCTACGTCACGCGGGAGGGGATCGGTTGGCTCGACTACGTGGGACGGGAATGGAAAAGGATTTGGCGTGTTTAGGATGTAAAGATATTTATTTTATCCGGATGGTCGGACGGTTGAACATTGAACCTCAACCTTCCTGCGAGCAATGGATGTTTGGCCGATTACTTCCCTGAAGCCGAGCAATATTAAACTTGCCATATTCGTTTATTTGTTTTCAAGGCTTTTGCCAAACAACGCCCTGGCAGTGCAAGATGTATCGTCATGTAATTATATTATTTGGATACTGCTCCTCGATACACCAATGCGTCATTGATAGACAAAACCTTCTTTGTTATCGTCATGTCGTGTGAAACGTCTTTGAACCAGCTCTCTGCGGAGACACGTGCAAAACTACGTTCCGCACAACTCCTTACTTCCCTGCCACAAGTGGTTTCAGAGCTGCTGCAGAACTCCTTGGATGCCAGAGCATCTCAGGTGGATATTGGTGTAGACTGCGAAGAATGGAGCTGTTGGGTGCGAGATAATGGTGCTGGGATTAGCAAAATTGGATTGACTATGATTGGCAAGGGGTCGGAGGAAGGAAGATACAGTGAGTCGCATTTTATGGTATTCAGATGTGTCACTCAACCAGTAACTGCAGATACATCCAAAGCATATACACCAGCATCCCTAGAGTCTGTTTCGACATTTGGCTTTCGTGGAGAAGGTCTTGTGCTATTCCATCCGTTATCCCAAATTGAATGGTCGCTGAGACTTTCCATAGCTCTATCATCAATGGCTGAATTATGCTGTTTGGAAGTTTCGTCACGCACATCTCAGTCTCGGGAAAGCTGGTCTATCATTCTCAAGGTTCGTGAGTGCGCCTGTTGTGTGAACACGACTCAACTAGTATTGCAGGGTGGGAAGTCTTTGTACTCAGGTCCATCGATCCGGTGGCGAAGAGAAACTGCGGGAACTGTCGTATGCGTCAGGGATGCATTCTTTAGCGTGGGCCAAGTGATCTACTATCATGCATCGCATTTCTTCTTATGACGCGCACATATAGCTTCCTATTCGTCGTCAATCTCATCCCTCTGCAGCTAAGACAATAGATGCGATCAAGCAAGAGCTTGAGGCGTACGCTCTCATGTTTCCCGGAGTGTCATTCACTCTTCAAGATGACAGCAAATCCAGAGAAAATGCCTCAAGCAAAGGGCACGTTCTCCGGGTTCCAAAGGTACGTAAATATTTTAAAACAGATGACATCTTGTTTCACACTTGACACGACAGACCCGTTCAATATTGGCTGCATTTCGACACATGTATGGTCGGGCACTGACCGAGGTGAGAAAATAGATTCGAACCCAGCGTCATTTACTCATGATTGACTGGTACAGCATGTGGAAGAGATGGATGCTACATTCGAAGATCTGAAGGTGGAGGGATTTATGTCCCTTGTTGGAGCACGTTCGAAGGTGAGAAAACCAGCTTGCGTGACACCTGTTGACTCACGATGCAATAGGCTTATCAGTATCTGTGTGAGTATTGAAGTAAGCATATTTGCAGCGTTTGCTGAGTCGTTTCTCAGACATAAACAAGCATCCGATATCATTCTGTGATCTTCATCGCCTAATTGACAGTAAATTCTCGAGTAGTACGTTCATAAAGCATGTAAGTCGCATATCTGTGGTATCGTCACGTTTCTTATGTACTGTAGGCGTATGACGAAGGGGGGGAAACAAATCTGCGATCATGTAAGTTGGTCTGCTTCAACGAAGAATGTTATTCTAAATTTAGTTCTAGCGGTGCGCCGGTCGCCCCGAAAAGGCGAGAAGAAACCTGTCTACGTTCTAAATTTGGTCATACCAACGCGACTCATTGATAACTGCCTGGAACCAGCAAAATCCGCAGTTCAGATTGAGGTGTGTAAACTTTTGTCCATGACAGGCCCCCGGGAGATTTGAATTTGGCAAATACAGCATAAGAACGTTGTGACAACATTCCTCTCTTCTGTGATAGATTTGTTTTTGATTCGACATGGTTTCGCATCCGGTAAACGCGGTGCTGAAGAAGGTTGTGATCCCCCGCCCAAGAAGCGCAAAGTCTCAATAGTTTCAAATAGTGGGGCCCAAAATAATGTCCCTCAGCCGCCAACCAGTAGGAAGGCAGAGCCGAAGGAAGCACGGGCGGTGTTCATTCACCCAGTGAGCAGTTGGGAGCCTACTGTTAAGCTTTGATACTCAGCTGATCGTGAATGAAAGGGGAACATCTCCGAGGAAATTCCGCAAACGACAATTTGGGAAGATCCTGCCGCGGGTGAAATGTTCATCGTGGATACTCGCACTGGAAATTCATATTCTCAGAATTCGCGGCACAAGATCGACGGAACGGACACGGCTAACGTGAACCGTGTTTCGCGAATTTCACGTCTTCTGAGGAAAAGTCAGGATCCTGGACAGGGCGCATGTTCCGGCCCTACTCATGATAAAATGCCCGATTGGCTACAGGAAGCTTTGATTGTAGGTTCAGAATGTTTGAGATAGATATTAATTTGATCTTTCGGTATCTAAGGCGAACGATGCGTATGCTACCACGGAGCCAAGGATTCCATCGCTGCCGCTCTTTGCTAATCAAGCTTCCGACGATCAGGGATGTGCTTTTGTTCACTCTAATCATCTTCGTGTTGCGCCCGCGCTTTTGGGACACCATATCTCCAGTCAGGATCATCAAGCTCCGAGCACGCACGAACCAGATTTCACAAAGGAGACTTGTTGAAGGCACAGGTCATCAACCAGGTTGACCGCAAGTTCATAGCCTGTTTAGTTGATTTAGATCATTCTACGCATCGGGAACATGGGAAACCCCCAAAGAAGCTTGCGGCAGGTGGCTCAACTCTGATCCTAATTGACCAACACGCTGCGGATGAACGAGTCCGAGTCGAACGCTTTCTAACAGAAATTTGCTCTGGTTTCCTGCGACATTGCGAGGGAACCGGGAGCGTCGAAGTTTTGGAACTGTCTCCCGCTGTACCTATTTTACTCACACGTCATGAAGCTTCGCGCTTGGCGACCACCGAAGTACGATCAGCATTCGACCGGTGGGGTATACGCTTTGAAGGATTGGCTAAGTTGACCTCGTTGGAATCGGAATGTGCGGGAGATGAAGCAAGTGGCGGGTATGTGCAGGTCTTCGTCAGAGCAATACCTGCGATTGTGGGCGACAAGGTGCGTGTAGACATTTGCATGATGTTGCAGGCTCATTATCCTGTGGTATAGTTACTCATGAACGATGAGTTGCGAGACCTTGTTAAAGGCTACCTGGGAACTCTCGAAAGCGAAGAAGCGTCTCCCCCTAACCTATCGCAGCACAAAGACGCTGATAACATCAAGGACGACGAGTCGCGGTGGCTCAAGGCTCTTCGCTGGTGTCCACGGGAGCTTCTGGATTTGATCAATTCAAAAGCATGTCGTGGTATTAACATTAAAGTGCTCTCGATACACTTTTACTCACTACTTGATCACTCAGGCGCGGTCATGTTCAACGATCCACTATCACTGGAACAGTGTGAACGCCTTGTGAGACATCTTGCTGCGACTGCATTTCCCTTCCAATGCGCCCACGGAAGGCTAGTTTCTTTGATTGTCTTTGTTTTACGTTTATTCATTTCTGCACTTCTCCTAGACCCTCCCTCGTTCCTTTGACCCATGTAAGTATCAAGAGCGGCAGGCGATCCGCGCCGGCATTGGATTGGACAAGGCTGAGCTGACTCAGGGCGGGCTAAACTATCATTATTGTGTTCGCCTTGGAGACCTTTATGAGAGCCGCCCAATCTAGTCGGTATCCTGGACACCGTTACATACATTGATGATCTCATTGTGGTCTAATGGACCTCGCACGATTCCGGAAGGCGCACGTTCGCCGAAGGAATAACGAAAAATCGGCTCCTCAACAACTGAGGAGCCTGGCTGATATTTGAACTACAATTACAACCCGACAAATAAGCTGATCGCGGCAAGCCCAAAAGAAAGAAATCTGAGAGAAAAACGATCTGCGGATGATAGACACTTATCTGTGACCATGTAGTGGTGTAGGGAGCAAAACTACTGTGGTTAGTTCTGCCGATTATTTGGGTTTTATTTTATTTTCACTAAGCTAATGGACCGCGTGATACCTAGCGTCGTGCGGGCGACGTGCTTTGTTTGAGTCGGACTCAAATATCCTCCACTCCTAGTGGGCGTGTTCGATGTTGACTGTCTGTGACAGTTTGTTGTCACATCTTTCACGTGCCTGTTTTTTCAAGCTCCGTCCTCCTATGGTGGAGTAGGACTTACCTAGCAGATGTTCCAGGCAGGTTTAGGGTTGCTGCCCTCTTTCTAACCTGCCTCGTTGTCTCGCTAGCTAGTATTTTGATTCAATAATATCACTTCATTCACATCAAAAGTCCTTTCTTCATGACTGATAATGGAGAGACCTCTATGTCACAAACGATTCCGTTGTTGTTTGAAGAACAGTCCCAGCCATCAACTGACCTCTCCTGCATCAAAAGATGCAGTGAACTTATCAATCAGTATCGTCTCAGAAACAGCAGGAAGTCTAACACCATTCTTGCCCTCTGAGAAATCCTTCTTGACTCACCAGCAGTTAAGGGAGGTAGAAACCTCGATGACTCCCTTGAAGTGTTTATCGGATTGCTCAATGACATTGATGCATCAAAATCTCAAGCTTCTGAGCATGGACAACTCTCTGGTGAGCAGGACCAGGAAGAGGAAACTCAGCGAGAGAATAGGGGGTCCAGCGAATTCAAAGAAGATGAGGTTGGAGGAAAGAGATCCAGAGATGAGTCTGAGTCCAGTGAAGATGAGCAGATCTTGTCCAAGAGAGTTAGGACTGTTGACACCTCAAAATTCCCTTGGGCCCAGTCACGCTCATCAGCACTTGCCTCTCTTCCACTGGATATCAGACAAACCTATAAGCAGCTCAACAACTTCACCAGAGATCCAAAGAGCGTCATCAGTAACATCTTATCCACACCAGGATGTCCTCCTTTCCCACCTAGTGAACAGCTCAATATCATCTGATGGAAGTATGTTGACCTTGGAAAAGTCCTTGATTCAGCACACACCACCAAGTTGGATCCAAAACAAACCCACATCATTGATGACGAGGTTGAACTTGCCCTTAGAGTTGCCAAGTTGTCTGGTGGAATTAAGTCATCCTCTGACCATAATATCACCTTCACAATGTACATCAACGCTATCGGATTTGTCTTCCTGCAAAGGCGACATGAATTCATCCAATATAACACCTATCTCAGCCAGCTCTTCCATGCCATGGAAGTCCGACTCCACTCTTGCATCATTGAATTTGATCATTCAGTCAGAAACCAAATGGCCATGCAAAGAAACTTACACCTCACTGATTATTCCCAATTTGAACATCTCTGCACAACCTTCCTCACCTCTTTTGGCGTTGGTGCCAATTCCTCCTCATCCATGTCTGGTACCAGGGGAAGATCGAATCAGAGAGACAGAAATGGAGGAAGGGATGATCCCTGTCATAAATGGAATAGAGGAATCTGTCAAAAGGCAGACAGTGAGTGTAGGTTTGTGCACTGCTGCAATTGAAGGGGGTGTTGAGGAGTGCATCTGTCATATCCCACAATCCGGACCCACATTCCATCATATTCCCACGCCTTCCGAGCCTATGTCCGGACCACACCCCATATCTGACTCATTTCTAGATCCCCTTCTGCTGTGCTCCACACCTCAGCAGGATCAACTATGCTCTGGATTTACCCCTGAGCTCCGGACCATTGGATCTCCACTGCTAGCCTGATCCATACCCCCCTGTCCCATCCACCCTATGCACACTCCATCCAGCAAGACATCCAGACTTCACCTCGTCTCGGATTCTGGACTATATCCACCTTCTTGTATTCTGGTCCTGTATCCACCTTGTCTTCCGGATCCCCAGATCTCTGGACCTCCGGATATTAATGCTGGACCTATTCCCACCCTCTGTCCGAGATCCTGCGCTTATCCCCATTTAGGCATCTCTACCTTTCCAGCTTTCGGTTACCTCTTCTTCTGTCTTGCTTATTGATCCTTGTATGAGTCTTCATCTCTGAGTTCATTTACTTATGTTCTGTCTTACTTACTAATGTGTTTCCACATGCTTGTACATAGCCCTGCTCCTTTGCTTATTGATCCCCTCAGATATTCTCCAGTATATAACCCCTGTAGATACTCCTGTAGTTCCTCAGTTTGAATATCAACTTAGACTTGCCCAATCCTCTCTTGGACTTTGGTCCACCTAAGTTTGTCCTACCCATCAGGCCTAGGGATTGATTCCCTAGGCTGGAGCTCTGCCTTTCCAGCACTTACCCTCTTTCTGGACTTAAGTCCAATCCCTGTCTCTCCAACTCTACCTCTGTTTGTTTCTACATCGGACTTTGTCCGATGTAGCCCCTATTCCTTCCAGACCTCCGGACCTCCTGTCCCTCATACCTCCAGGCATCCTGTCCTTCGGACGTTCCGCCCTCCTAACCCTCAGACATCCTATCCTCCTGCCCTCCTGCCCTCCTGTCCTCCTGTCCTCCTGTCCTCCTGTCCTCCAGTCCTCCGGACCTTTGGACCTCCTATCCTTCCATCCTGTTTCCTGTAGAAGTATTACCTTGCAGTGGGAACTCTCCTGAGCACTTCCTGTGTTCCTCCGGAACTCTCCCACGCTCCTCCGGAAGTCCTCTAGCGCTCTCCAGCAGAGTAGCCAGCCTCCAGAAGTCCTCTGGACTTCGTTGGACCATCATCGGACCTCATATGAAATGAAGGGCACATACTCGGGTGAGGGGCACAGCGTACAAGCTGAGGCCAAGCCCCTCTGAGTCAGTCTCTCTCCTCCTTTGAGCAACATGGTTCTTAACAGCATCGTAAATCTGAGTGTCCCAACAAAGGAGGAACTTAATTGGACCATTGCTCATGGTCAGCGTTTTTGGCATAAGGGAGTTTGGAGTTCGAGTATGTCTGCTTGCAGTTGTACTGCCCTATGGACTGGATCTGTGTTACCTATGCCTTGCCCACCTTCTCACAAGTTTTCTAATCAAAGTGCTATGAACACCATTCAATCCCATCCATCACTATTCAAAGTCTCAACACCTATCAAAATTGATGTCTTTGAAGCTCTTTTAGTGGATCATCCTAATCCTGAATTTGTGTGTTCCATGTGCATTGGTCTTTGGGAGGGTTTTTGGCCTTTTGCTGATATGCACCCTGAGGAATGGCCACTCACTCATGATAACTCTGATCGTCCACCTAAAACTGAGGCAGAGCGGAATTTTCTGAAGGAGCAGATTGATAAAGAAGTAGAAGTGGAGCACTACTCTCAGGATTTCAGACCAGATCTGCTTCCTGGTATGTATAGCATGCCAATTCATGCTGTACCTAAACCAGGAACAAACAAGCATCGGCTGGTTACCAATCACAGTGCTGGGAAGTATGTGCTCAACAACATGATTCCTCATGATGCTATTGCTGGTGTCACCCTTGATAACATTCACAATCTAGCTAATGGACTGCGGGTCTACTGGCATTCATGGCCCTTTGCTTGTCTCAATCTTTGGAAGGCAGATGTTTCAGAGGCTTACCGGCACATGCCTATGCACCCACTATGGCAAGTTAAGCAGATCGTGAGTTTTCAAGGATGTTGGTATGTTGATTGGTGCAATGTTTTTGGAGGAAGAGCATCCCAGAGGATATATCATGCCTTTATGTCCCTGGTCATATGGATAGCGATCTTCAAAATTTTGATTCACTTTCTTTATATCTACATTGACGATTCCTTCTCTTTCAAGACAAGCAGGACCTGGAGATCTACACACCTTATAAGAAGCTTTTGCTGCATAATCTGGACAAGCTCCTCTGCCTATGGGATGCTATCAGGCTTCCTCATGAGGAATGGAAGCAAATATTCAGTCTTGAGCTTCCTATCATCAGTTTCAATGTCAATCCTAACCTTATGCGGTGACACGCACGAAACTTGTTTTGTACATGGTCATGACCATATTATGATTTATGCTACTATGATTTATGTTACTCTTCATTTCAAACTATGAAGTCACTTGAATTTTTCTCACAACATTAATTTTATTTGGACATTTCAAAGCATGTTTCACCAAGAAATGGCTTAGCTGTCCATGTAAATACTTATTATGCCACTTATCTTTTCTTGTATATGAAATAAACATGTGTCAACATTTTATTTGTATCTATGTATCCAAAGCTGTGGAACCTGACAAACTGATACTATGATTAGAAAGATGATGATTGGTAAAGCACAACAACAAGGCAGTGCTAACACAGCCCTTACCAAGCATTATTACAAAGCATGGCAGTGTTATGGTCTTAACACAGCCTTTGCCAAGCATTCTTACCAAGTATTCTGTAAAATTCCAGAGCATTCTATAGTCCTTTCTCATAATGATTCATACTGACTCAGCATGACTCAATATGACTCCAATTTAATTTAAGTACATTAGTAATCAATAGCATAGCCACTAGTATAGTAGTATATAAGGGGCTCATTTTCCCCTCTTGTGAAGTAATCAAATTTCATTCCCAAGTATCAATCATCCAATCAGAGTGAGACAAAGTTTAGGGGAATCAAAGGGGGATCAGTGCATACACCCCTAAGTTTCTTTACCCCTATTATCTAAGTGAACAAATAAGTGACAAGTAGGAGAAATATTAGCTTATTTACTCCATTCTTTTACCACATTCTTCACGCATTATTCAGAAGTATTTGAGGCCACACACTTGAGCCATATTTGATTACACAAGTAGTATTCATTCTAGTTCTCTTTTAGACACAGGAAAAGTTCTGTGGGGAGAATCACACATATTATTCATCAATTAGGGAAGACAAATAAGACCTACAATCTGTCAATGAATATCAAGAGCTTGGCCACTTAAGACTACATCAAAGGGTATACTCTGTTCTGGACTGCGTCATACTCATAGTGAGTGCCTGAGCAGCAGAGAGTTGGTTTCAAGGCCACATATTGGGATGATTTCGCTAGTGAATTTGATCTCCATTGCTGAAGATAAGTAAGAAATATCCACAGGGATATATTATAGCTCTAGTCATTGCATACAGCTGCAACATATTATTCTGAAGGTCATAGCACTGCATCATGCCAGTTACTGACTTTACTTGAGATCATAGCACTGCCTCAAGCCAGTTATTTATTTCCACACTTCTTTGCCCATTTTACGTCACTAGCATTCACTTGAAAAGTTCAACAGAAAACCTTGTCCCCCACGAACGGCTATGTTATCAACCATTGGTATTTGTCTGAACCATTGACCATAGAAGGATAGTGAATTTGGTGACTTTTCTGCCTTTCACATCCTAGCAAGACAGCAGGCACAGATGTCTGATGATTCCTGTACCCAACTCATTCAAGCCCTTTTGGACTTTGCACAGCAAGGAGCCAGATGCTCTCTTTGTGATTTTCAGCATTTGGCAGGGTGGTTGAACTGGGCACTCAATGTCTATCCTCTGTTGCCACCTGGTTTGTCAGCCCTTTATGCCAAAACCACTGGAAAGTTGGAGTCCAAAGCTTTGATTTGGGTCAATCATGATATTGTTTGCAAACTCTCTTGGATCATATGTCATTTGCGGTCCGCAGAGGGTATCTTTTTCCTCAAATCCATGTCCTGGAATTTCAAGCATCTTCTGGAGAATGTCCTACAGGTTTACACTGACGCTTCAAGGGACAGAATCACGTTTTGGTTCCCATCCTTGAATATTGGCTTTCAAGCAGAACTTCCTGGGTCTGCGCCGGTGGGAGTGATTTTTTATTTCAAGGCTCTGGCAGTCACTTCAGCTCTTCTTGATGCCATCAAGCATGTTCAGCTGGAGGGGCACATTGCTATTTTTTGCGACAATCTCAATACAGTCAGCATGTTCAACTCTCTGGCAGCTCTGCCTCCTTATAATGGGCTGTTAATGGTGTCAGTTGATGCTATCATAGAGTCTCACATTGACTTCAGAGTGTTTTTTGTTCCCAGAGTTGACAATGTTGTAGCTGATCATTTATCTCGCTGGCGAAATCTCGAGGTCATTCAAGCTTCTCCTGGGCTTTTGATCTTTCCTTTTGAACCCCCTCAGAATATGCTGGGGGCAGTCAAAAAATGATCCATATTTCACCAAATGCCAGGCAACCTCTCCGGGAAGCCTGGTCTCTTGAGTGTCTCATCCATGAATGCTCGGTTCTTCTGGGTATGGCTCTTGATAACTCAACTTGCAGGACTTATTCATCACATTTAAATTCCTATCTCACCTTTTGCGAGTGACACAATCTACCTGTCGATCCAACACCCAGCACTTTGTCTTTTTATATCACCTACATGTCTCACCACATTCAGCCTCATTCAGTCGAAGCCTACTTGTCTGGTATTATCAATCAATTGGAGCCCCATTTTCCTCATGTTCGCCAATCACAAAATTCACTACTGGTAAAGTGGACACTGCAAGGTGCTCTTTGCTTGCTTGGGCATCTGGTGTCTCAGAAGGAACCTCTCAGATGGGATGACTTGTTGCATGTGTTGAATGGATTGCCACAGCCTATGACTCATGATGATTTATTATGGGTAACTCAACTCCATTGCGTGTTTTATGGTCTCCTACATCTGGGAGAATTGGTGGCTCCAGATGAGATTGCTTTGCAGGACTTCACGAAGTTTTCCATGTGGGCTTCGGTTCATGTCTCTGATGGCGATTTCACATTCCTCCTACAGTGTGAGAAAGCAGATACCCAGTATGAAGGTAACAGGGTTATAATTCAGCACTCTGCTGCAAGTTCTGATCCTTGGCCTCTCTTTACGCAGTATCTGGCCTCACATGATCAAAAATATCCACTACATTCCTTTTTGTGGATACACAAAGATGGGCATCATCCTACACACTCATGGTTTATTCGGAAACTCAAGTCTTTCTTCAGTAACGATATATCAGGACATTCGATGAGAGCGGGGGGAGCCACTTCACTGGCTGCTGCTGGAGTGTCGCCTGATCATATTTGCACTATTGGTTGGTGGCACTCAGAAACTTGGGAGTGCTATGTGTGCAAGAATCCAATGCTGCTTCAGGTGTTACTATTTCATGGTCAGAGTGTACACGACCCACCTTTTGGGGATGTGTAATGTGTATTTGTACGTAGTGTGCTATTTAGCTTGATTGATTTCTTTTTCTTGTTTTTCTAAAACCCACCCTTAATCCCATCTCTTTAAAATATAGTCTTTTAGTGCTTGTTTTCCCCTCAGATCATTTTTCTCTCAGATTTCTTTCTTTTGGGCTTGCCACGATCAGCTTATTTGTCAGGTTGTAATTGTAGTTCAAATATCAGCCAGGCTCCTCAGTTGTTGAGGAGCTGATTTTTCATTATTCCTTCAGTGAATGTGCACCTTCTGGAATCATGCGAGGTCCAGGTTAGAAAGAGGGCAGCATAGATACTAACCACTAACTTACCTAGCGAGACGACGAGGCAGGTTAGAAAGAGGGCAGCAACCCTAAACCTGCCTGGAACATCTGCTAGGTAAGTCCTACTCTGCCATAGGAGGACGGAGCTTGAAAAAACAGGCACGTGAAAGATGTGACAACAAACTGTCACAGACAGTCAACATCGAACACGCCCACTAGGAGTGGAGGATATTTGAGTCCGACTCAAACAAAGCACGTCGCCCACACGACGCTAGGTATCACGCGGTCCATTAGCTTAGTGAAAATAAAATTAAACCCAATTCATTGTGTTCAAAGGACGCTGGCGCGTGGTGCGCCAATGGTCGTGTGACATGGGAATGCTCGTTAATTCAGTGACGTCAAAGTGGCGTGTGGGGTATAAAGGTCACCTGCAAGATCCCTTTGACCTTTCAACCAACGACTACATCATTATCATTGCATTTTACTGAATCACTGTCAGAGATTACTCTAATACCCTCCAACTACTACGTACCACACCCGATCTCTATCCATCATGACAAAGTCCCTCACCAAGGTTGTGTACAAGCCCGACACTCAGTCGACAGACGAGTTTATTGTCATTGTTAATCCAACAGAGGTAAGCTGATCTTGACTTAACCTCAACTCGTAGACAACCGATCTCACGTTGTCGTAGTACAAGAAATGGAAAGCAGGAGGTAAGCATCTTGGCTTTTGACTATCGGATGATCTGTAACCTGATTCACATTTTACAGACAGGTAAAGTGCACGAGTACCACCCGGTGATTCATCACTAACGTCGTCGATTCATAGAACGATCCCTCTAGCTGATGTAGTTGATTGTGAGCACTGATTCGATCGTGTGATCGCGATCTAATCACATCACTTCCTAGCTTTCAAAGTGTTTTACTCCAATCAAGGGGCGCAGGGCATTCTGGGTACGCCGTCAAAGCAACAACTGGATACCATCTTTGGTACGACGAAAGACGTCGATGTCATGACACAGATCCTGGAGAAGGGGAAAGATCAGGCTGGGAACGGCTTCACTTCTGGAATGACGGCTACGAATATTGCACGTGGAAGCTTCTCCATCGACAGCAAGGGAAAGGGGCTGACAGGCATATAATTAACATGGTCATGATTGTGTAGATGTTCGTAATAAGGTCACGATGTATCACTAGAGCAATCGCTCGCGCCCTTTTCTGATTCGTCATTCTTATGCATCTTGTGCCTGAACGTAGAAGACGGTTGACGTCTCTACTCCCTCGACATAAGGAGCCGTTGTTACCCTAGCAGGTTCCGTCTGCATAAACGCGACGTGATGCTGAGAGTTATCGACATGTGATGGGCATCGGTTCACGCTTTGTAGATTACGCGTACTCACCTCTGGACTTTCCCATCCTACCAACAACACTATTTCATTTGGGCCTTCTGCATTGACGACGTATCCCCACGCAGTTCCGTAGCATCCCTTAAAGTCATGGCACACTTCCAACGATTTGTCAACGATCTTGTTGAATTTATTCAGGTTGGTTTCAGGCTTTACAGTGCTGATAATGAGTTCTGTGAACGGCGCGGCAAAACATTTGGTAGGTGGGAACGGATTGAAAGCGACGAGCCTGCGCGTCACCGGGGAGTCGATAACAGCGTTGAGCTTTTCTTTGATTTGCGCCATTGTTGCGGCCGTCGACTCTGACCTCTGAGGGCGGTAATCCCAATCTGTGCGCGCGATTAGTTCAATACGGAGTCACTAGAGTCGAAATAGCTGACTGATGAACCACTGCCTAATTCCAGGCTCCTGGACGCGATCGCCCCAATACATCTGTTTGAGGCCTTCAAAATTGGACTGACGTAGGAGCTTGACGGCCTCCTGGAAGTTGGAAGTCGTCTTCATCGCATCATTGCTAGTGAGCGTGACGATTTCGGTAACAGGGGTGTTTGACATGGTGTTGTAGCGGAATTCGATGGAGCACCTTCGAGCGTTCTCCCCGCCTTTATACGTAGCACGTCGAAGATGTTCCCAGGGTAGGCGCATGACAAATCCCGATCATGGGCTTCATGAGGTTCGGGAGTACGCGTCGATGCGAAGGGTCTTTAAGTATTTTCGCGACATGCTCGCGAATTGTAAGCAGACGTGTAAGGCAGGATGACTGGATAGGAGTGCTTCGGGAAATACGTTGATCAGTGACTAGTTCGGGACCTTATTTCTGCTGATCAACACATTTCCCATCAGAAGCGAGAGCACCCACCGAGTCATAGTACGTCACATGGGAGAGATAAGGTGATTCGTACGAGATTGAACAATAACAAGACGTAAGTTACCAACTGCCGAGGAAGATAATGTGGAAAACCCTGGTCTGCGAACTTAACTTGTATAGATATATATCGGTGTCAAAGAAGTCTGCAAATAATCGTAAATGGGTCAGCATATCGCGGTCACGTCATAAGAAATGCTTACAGTGACGATGTAAACATGTGGATTTGCAGATGAAGACATTAGAATGAGTTTGCATATAGAGGAAAGATCAGCAATATATATATAATACTTATGTACCAGGGAGCCCATAGGTATGTCCTTGTCCTTGTTACTGAGAAGCTGTCTCTGCCCATTCTCTGCTGCCCATCTGCACCAGCCGCGAGCAAGCCCGCGCAAACGCAAATATCTCCTCATCGCCTGAGAACATCGAGCTCGAGCCCACAGCTTCTGGGGACAGGCCCTTCACAAAAATTGAGATGTCGTGAAAGAGGAATTGAAGAAAGAAACGCACCAGATCATCCATCACACTCCGCATGTGATCTGAGATGCCCTTCCCTGAACCCGCCGACTCATTCGAAAAGATCTGGTATATGGGTACTTCTGACGATACAAAAATCCTTGTCTGCACCAGTCATTAGATTATTGATTATGGGCGCGAAACACGCGAACTTGCCTTCGATTCGTAGCATGCGTCTATGAATGTGATAAATCGCCTTGCCTGGAGAATGATGGTGAATGCCGAAAAAATCTACGAATGGGAGAAACATACCATATCCTTCTGGTCCATCCCCATTTTCGGTACGTCTGTGATAAACAGAGTACTAAACTGCTTCGTCACCTCCAAATAATCGGTGGCACTCAACGGACGGCCGCAGATTTCCTCGAATGAGAATCGCGCAATCTTTGAGGTGGAAAGCGGAACGCGAAGTGTACGGCCCCACGTCGTTATTGGGCGGTTCTCAATAACAGGATCTTGAAGTGCAGCAGCAGGAGTTGGACATGTCAATGAATTAAAGATTTTGTCTATCTCGGCTTTATTCTCCGGTGTTAACGGGTAATAGTAAACGTGTGAGAGGACGCGTGGTATCCGTCTGTAATCTGTACATGATAATTGTGAGATCATACGCTGGAAGAATATTGACTAGATACACACCAGTTCCTGAGTCCAAGTCTGTCACTTCAAAACGCGACTTGAGAAGTTCTATGGCGGGTATAAAGCTTGAGCGCTGAATTCCATTCTTGTAAAGATCGTCTGGGTGTCGACTGTGTGACAGTCAGTCCTAAAATACCACCATTCAAAGCGGGACGCGCACTTGGATGTGATTACACAGACTACACCATAATTCATCAAACCCTCCAATAAACGCCTTAGAATCATTGCGTCCGCAATATCCGTAACCTGGAACTCGTCAAAGCATAGTACATATGCCTCCTTCGCTAGGTCCCGTGCAACAGGAGCGATGGGGTCGCCACCAGAATGTCCTATAGTCATTTTAGCAGCGTGTATGCGTTTATGTGCATCGATCATGAAAGCGTGGAAGTGCACACGACGCTTGCGTGTGATGGAAGGGGGCAGTGTTTGGTAAAAGAGGTCCATAAGCATCGTCTTGCCTGTGCCAACGTCACCATACAGGTAAAGACCTTTTGGCGCCGAGGCAGGCGCAGTTTCCAGTACTGGAGGTGCACGAGAAAACAGACGAGATATCTAACAGTGAATGGGTCAGCGGTCCTCAGTGAGAATGAAAGAAAATCACCAATGAATCACTTGTCTTTGCTTCGGGTATAGGTGGAGGGTCGTACTGGAGTACCTGCTCCCAGAAACGCTGAAGTTTGCCAACGATACGAACCTGATGATCGTCACTTCGAAGTACCCCAGACTGCACGAGTTTTTCATGTTGCTTTATCGGGGAGATCGGTTTCGGGAACATTTGTGAGGTCTCGAACTGATGAATTGTAGCGAATTCGGCAGGATCGCTGCGTGCAATTGTGCTTTCTACGGCAAGCGAAGAATTGAACGCTTTCCCGTGTCCATGTCCATGACCGGAAGACGGCAAAGAACTGGAAGGTGAGGCAACTGGTATTGAAGTAGTCAACACCCGCCTACTTTGTGCTGCCGTCCTCAAAGGAGCTGCCTGCAATAGAGTCGGTTCCGCTGGTTAAGCGCAGTAGACCGCGCTGCATTCATATTTACGACGCTCCGTCCGCAAAAAAAAATCAAAAAATGAAGTAGAAGGAGTAGTGTGCAGTGCGAGGAAGTGGTCGGAAAGTAGACACGGTTCACTGCGCAGGAGAGAATTGGACGCCGCACGATAACGGCCGACGGGGTGCGGAATGACAGAACGGGGAGCTTGCGGGGAGCCACTGCCCCCCAATTGCTTTCGGCATTACTCGGCGCTTAAATAACCGGTTCCACACTCATCTACTCTCTTCTAGCCTATGTATGCAGAGTATACTAGTAGGAGTAGGAGTACTAGTAGTAACATCGAAGTGAAGATATACAGCTACATGATGTCCATGTTAGTGCGGAGGAGACTGGACAAGGGTATTATTTGAAATTCCAGAAAGCTTCTCTGATATCCTTGCAATGGTTCCGTTGACAATCAGACTCTCATTGGTTGCCTACAAGAAGTTGTTGCAGGTGTACAAATATTGCTGGCCTGCAGCATTCAATCTGACATTGGGCTCTCTACCCACGGCGTCCTCAAACCGCCTGCAAAAGTTTGTGAGCATGCGAGTTCACTGGTTCCATCTTATGTCGGTGCCTTTATACCTGCATAATACAAGTATCTTATACAAAGTTTCAGCTCTCAACACAAGAGTAGGATATGCTTACAGCTGATCATACTCCTACGACCGAGGACAGCGCCCCGACATACGACACAGGATCCACGATCGTGAAAGATACAAAGTGCAAAGAGGGGAAGAATAAAGTTCAGGAGCACCGAATGTCAACTCTATGAGCCGCATTTCACGACAGTTCAAGGGTTCACGTTACATACCTGAAGTTTCACTTGACTCTGGAGAAAGACTGGGGGAATGCAAGTATTCTTGATTGAGCTAATATCACATGCTCTTCTCTTGCTTCGACGGTAACATGGACCTTTTTTGCCCTCGAGATTGAATACATGTCCTTTGGAAACTCGCAACTTTTCTTTTGGGGAGCACTCGAGTATCCGTTCCTCCAGCGGCATAGTACGGTCATTTTCATTAAAACGCCTCTCGATGATATTCTTTCAATAGTCTTCTCGTGCTATCATAGAAATCAATAGACCTCGGATATGATGTGCGCACCTGTTGAATACCTGCTGCGTTGCTAATAATATCATCGTCGCTTCGAGATCCAGGTGTAGCGGATAGATCAGCACTTGGGCAGGTGTTAGCCACCCCATGAACCTCAAGCATGCAGGGAAAATGTATCCGGCTAATAGTGGGATACCGGTAAGACTCAGGTGAGGGGAGAAGACGCATGTGACGCTCGAGTTGGCGTTCGATGGTCTATAACAGTTAATCCGGGTTGGCTAAGCTGGGACGCTAGAACATGGGAATGATTGTGAGCTGGAAAGTGAGAAACAGGATTGAGAGGGAAGGGGTAAAAAAAGTACATGCTGTACTATGCACAGGACAGAGCTTCTTAAAGAGGTAGCATCATTTATCAGGCAATTGGAGCCAGCCTCTTGAATGACCCCATCTGAACCTCCAGCACAGAACTGACCATTAGCTTCAATAGGGAACAAGTTGGGCAACCTCAACATAACCACCAACTTCACAACAATACACGAGAACTCACTGGTGGTCTTTCGGACCCATCGACATAACTGAGACACCTGCCAGCCTCCCAAGCGAATAAACCGTTATGGCTTCCAGTTCGACACAGCCCGGCGCAGCATCCAATAAGTCGATTCTGAAACCGGTCATGACTTTGGATGGCCATGAATCTAGTAGCAAATCTCCAGGGAGTGCCTACCATAATATATGCATATCCTACTTTCCGGACGGTAAGCAAATGATCAGCGGATCTGTGGATAAGACCGTTCGGCGGTGGGACCTTCAGGCGGGAAAGGAGATGGAAGGGGCGCGGTATATTTGTGAGCAGGAAGTTTGGGCTGTGGGGGTATCAAGGGATGGAAGATGGATTGTCACTGCAGGTGGAGATCACAATGATCGCGCTGGGGAGCTCAAAGTCTGGGAGGTTGAGACGAGGATCGTGAGAACATTTAAAGGTCACTCAGGGGAGATCAACTGCATTGATATTTCCGCGGACAGCACCTTTCTGGCGAGTGCCAGGGTATGGAATGATACAGTGCGGGTATGGAACTTGGATACTGGCGAACTCGTATTCGAGATAGGTGCTGGGGGAGTGGGTGCTGTTCGATTCTCGCAAGACTCGAAGAAACTCGCAGTCAATTCAAGCGTGGCGAAGTGCCTCCAGGTGTGGGATATTAAAACGCAGAAATTGGACATCAGTGTGGGGAAACTTGCTAGCGGGGTCACCACACATGCGTCAGTGTTTTGGACAACCAAAGACAAAACAATAGTGGCCGCACATAACTTCAAGTATGACGAATACGATATCCTCACGACCGACCGTCAGCGCGACTACGACGAGCCCAAGACAATCTATGAGTTCGATGCGTCCACACTGCAGACAGTCGGAGCTCCCTTCGAAGGGCACACTCGCGGCATCGATGATCTAGCACTTTCATTTGATGGTGCCATTCTTGCTAGTGCTTGCCTGTTTACCATCAAGCTCTGGGCCTTTGAGTCCCGCCAGCTCCTAGCCTCGTTCGATGTTCATATTCCTGACCACCTCGTCTTCTCACCTAACTCGCACCAACTGGCATACACCTCCATTCTTTCCGACACCAAGATCTACATATGTCACATTCCACCCCACATCCTTGCCACTATCCAGTCGACACAAAAACCCCAGCCTAATGTATGTATTCACCCATATATATATATCTATTCATAGACTAACATTGTGTTACAGATAAGTGCAGCTACAAATCCACGACTTCTCAATGTACGTAATCTCTACTCGTCTACACCGCCCCATTAATTCCTCATAGTCCAACGCAACACGTCGTGCCGTGCACCGTAACCCAATACAAATACCTATCGTCCCCCGCCCACAAAGAGATTTCCCCACCATATACCCACAGGAACATGCTTTCCTTCGTTACCTCCGCAAAATGCTTCCCTCTCGCATGACTCCTGTTCGGACTGATCAGCCTCGTGATCCTCTGGATGTATGTTTCCTCTTCCTGATACACTCACAGTCGACTTGACAGTCCCCTTACAGTTCCCTGCTACCTTACCCCTACCTCACAGCCCCCCTCACACTGCGCAAGCCACGAGTCAGGCGCATTCGGATATGGATCCCTACGAGAACGTAAGTGTCGGTTATGATCTCGTTCTCAACTTACACCCTTTCAGGCTCGACCCATATCAACACCCCACACAACCCAATCTTCTGCCACCGCTCCCACCACCTTCAAGACACGACTAGATCGCCTATCAACCTGGTGGCCCCCTCGTGCAAGTCATCCATTACCGCCTATTGTCGACGTTCCTCTTGCTCCGGGTAAATTGGTATGCTCAATTCATTTGTCTCTACCTCAGGTCTCATCAATCTATTTGCAGCGCTACGCTACAGCAGGTGCTCCCACATTTGACGATGATTTGATTCGTGATGAAGACTATGTTCCTCCTACTCCTACACCTCATCCAAATTCGCAACGACCTTCCACAGTAGTGCAGGTCACCACCGGACAGCATGGAAGCAGCCGGTTCTGTGGCTGCTTCTAAACCAGTCTCGTGAACATTTTGATTGTCATCATTCGTCGTGTGTGTTATATCACATTAACCTGTCCCATAGTTGACCGACATGTAAACTAACTATGAAACTCGCATCTTTTGTCAGATGCAAGTACAGCCCTCTATTACATGCTGTATTGTTGTATCTCCAGGACGGATATATAAAGCAGCATCGCATGATTTAGTTCTGCATGAGTGCCAAAGCCTTTACATAGCTTTTTTTTTGACATGGATGAAAAGGCACTGCATCTTGGGAGCAAACTGGCGCTTGTTGGCTTACATGAAGTCTGGATCGCGGAGCTCCTATACAGGAATGGCGTGGAGTGAAAAGCACGCCTGTCACGAGGAATGATTGCCAGTCAGATATATAGAGATGTGGCAGACGCTCATGTATACTCATTATTCAGGCAATCGCCCTTCCTCCCTGTTAGCCTCTTGGTAAGATGAAAATCCCATCCGGGAGTTCCACACAGATGAACTGACGATAGGCATCAGCAGGGAGAGTGCTGAAGCGCTCGACCAAGTTAGACATACTTGCAAACCTCTCGCGAATAAACCGTTATGGGTTCCAGCTCGATGCGGTGCAGCATCAAATAAATCGATCCTGACACCGGTCACAACCTTGGGAGGTCATGGACCTTTCATTCTCAATCTTCTGAATGGGGAATAACGGATCTGCCACTAAATATATCGACTCCATTTGCTTTTTCTCCAGGCGGCGAGTAAATGAATAGCAGATCAGCGATAAGACCGCTCGACGATGGGTCCTGAGGGCTGGCGAGGAAGGAACGGAGGCAGGTCAGGGGTGGATATGGAGCGTGGACACCAGAAAAACTGTGGTCCGTTGAACTCCTTTCAAAAGTGCCCATTTTGTTGCCACAGTTTGATCGATTATCGCGAAACTCGAAGAAGCCCGCAATCAAATCAGAAACAATGAATTGCCTTGAAGTGTTATAGGCTCGTAACCAGCCTAACCTATACAGCACAAACAAGTCGACTCAGTAGCAAGTCGCCATCTTGCGAAGGAGTAATATTATGATTATAATTGGTTTTGTATTGAGACGGACCTTTTGCCCCCTGGCGATGCCGGACGTCTCATAGGAGTCCCACCTGTCCATGTCAAGGATCTGTAACCAAGATTTTGGTTGAGTTACTTATGGTCAACGTTCGTAATCCTCACTAATATTAAAATCTTGAAAAGTTCAATAATCGGTGCGAGGTATATCCAATAGTCAATCGTATCATAACACTGCTCCCCCTTCAGCCTACAATCCGCATGCCCAAACTTTCTCCCACTCTTGATGAAATACACTAAAGTGCACCAAAGAGTCAGATACCACAAGACGAACGTCGTTCAAAGAAATATGCCAGTTTCCAGTCTTCGCAGACGCTTTTATCTCCATGGGCACACGGCGGCCCTTCACCAGGGAAGCGGGGAACGTCAACAGTTCCGTCCGCAAATTCATTCCGGTGATGAAGTCATATAGATTGAGCGAGCGGTTAATATGCGGGAAAGCTAAAGAGACGCTTTCAAGCCCCTTAAATAAAGCCCACGGAGCATGCCTCATCCACCGAGGGAGAACGTAATCTTGAGGTCCAATAACGCCTGTGGTTCGACGAATGATATGTAAATTTGAATCTATCTGTGTGTGAGGGAGTGTGATGAGATGGGCGACGGAAGCAAGGAAGGCTGATCCCGAGGGACGCTTAATGATGTGCCATGGGGCAATGCCCATCCCCGATAGCGTTAATGTTTTTGTGCGCCACGGAGGCGGCGAACATTGGCGGTCAATGTTCTTGTCCACGTGGGTCCATGTATGTTCCACGCAGCGTTTCACAAGGTCCATGCTTGAGAAGTCGATTGCAAGCGATGGAGCGCCAAGAAGTACCGGAGCCAAGAGGTCAAGGTCTGACTCAGGTACAGATATGGGATGTCCGATCCAAATGTTGCGTATATGACGGGTGTACGCAAGATAGAGACAAGAATCCGTCTGAGCGTATTCTGCCTGCATACGTAGAGCATGCACGAAAGCTCTCACATTGCGAAAGCTCAGTAATACTGTATGCAGCATTTCGGGCAATGCAACGCGCCTGACAACTCGGGAGACCAGACAAAGTGTGCGAGCAGTTGAATATGGATTCTTGGTCACATATTGCTCAGGTTGGGTAAAAGTAGGTTCTGCTGCATATTGTAGGATGAGGAGAACGAGCTCTGTGGGAAGGTTGTCAAATGAAGCTCGGGGAATAGTCTCCATGATGGGTGAGTGATATGGAGAACTGGTTCGAAGGAGCCCTCTTTTTAAGACCTTGTGAACAACAGCGAAACAAGTTCCACAGAAATGGCCGAAGGTGCATCAAAGTATGTATAGGACCACAAGCTACGACCCGATGGTCCGCCGCAGAACTATTATTCCTTCAATGGGTCGCATAATGAGTTTTGGCCTTCGTGAGGTATGTCATTCCACAGTGCGAATGTAGGAATTGGACACTGACAAATGGCAAACTCGTATTCGAAACTGATAACGGGGTAGGTGCAGCTCGATTCTCGCACGACTCGAAGAAGCTTGCAGATCTACCTGTGTTCAAAAGTTAGACAGTTCGTCGCCTTCATCCTTCACCCATGGGCAAGCCAACGTTGTCGAAGTCATCCAACTTTGAGGGATTTAGCTTTAGCTATAGCGCGGGAGCTCCTCTTCGCCCTCGAGAGTCGAGACTGAATACGTCTCCTTTGGAAGCTCGCAACCTTTCTTTCATGAACCGCTCCAGCATACCATTCCTCCGTCGACCTAGAAAGGTAATGTTCATTAAAATACCCGACTCATCTATAACACCCCTTCAAATAAAGTATTTCCGCGCAATGCAAGACACCTGCCGATAATCAATCGCTATCGCATATGAAATGCGGGCACCTGTTAAATGGGCACCTGCTCGCCGATGATATCCTTGCAGAACTTGTTGGTGTAGAATACTCGCGTCATATTGCTGGATTTTTGGCATTGAGGTTGTGGACTCTGGCCAATAAACAGATGAGCTGGCCTGACTATAGCACTGCGCAAACCTCCGGATCGCCTCTATGTGCTGACGAAGCCTGGCTAAACCCTTGCGAACCTTCTCGTAAACCCTGGCATTCCTCCCAAGGGGGTACCCCACTCCAGCGTGAGCGTGAACGCCCACACACGATGTCATCAGAGTAGCTCTTGTTTCTACGTAGAAGACACCTGCGGCGCACGCGCTGAGCGGGTTCTAGTGCTCGAATACGAGAATATTTGGCACGACAGTGGAGATATGGCTGCTTTGAGAAGGCTAGGAAGAGGTAAACAAAGTTCATATGATTATGATGTGCCACATACAGCTATCACGAGGAAAGGGTTCATTAGGTATTCCCATTATCATTGGATGATTGCAGTCAGCTTCTTCATAATATATAACCCCCCCAATCTGAACCCTCCAGTACGAACGAGCCGACAAGTGGCTTTCACAGGAAAACGCTGCAGCGCTCGAACGAGTTTGGCATCTTCGAAATCACTGTCAACTTCACAAGGAAAACTCACCAGCAGTCCTTCTACACATCTAAACTCATGGCTTCCGGCTCGACGCAACCTGGTACAGCATCAAGAAAATCGATTCTGACACCAGTCATGACCTTGGAGGGTCATAAACCAGTCACACCCTTGTTTCCGGGTGGAAAATTGAAACACACTAAGATGAACCACGTTTCATCCATTTGCTACTTTCCGGACGGCAAGCAGTTGATCAGTGGATCAGATGATAAGACGGCTCGGCAATGGGACCTGCAGGCGCGGAAGGAGATGAATGAGGCGCAAGATGTCCGTGAGCAGGAAGTATGTGTGGTGGGGGTATCAAGGGATGGTCGATGGGTTGTCACCGCAGAAGGGACTTTCGGTTTCCACCGTGGGGAGCTCAGAATCTGTGAGGTTGAGACGGGGATCATAAAATCATTCAGTGACGGCCACATTGGCACGGTCAGCATCGATATTTCCTTGGACAGTACACTGCTGGCGAGCGCATCATCGGATGGTACCGTGTGGATAAAGAGCTTGAAAACTGTTCTCAAACCCTTCACCGTACAGCACTCATTCCGTGGGCGCAATTCGATTATCGCAAGACTCGAAGAAGCTGGCAATCAAGTCAGCTGCTGCACAGTCCCTTGAGGTGTGGGACATCGAAGTCGAGACATGTGTCAGAATGGGTCCCTTGCGGGATAATGACAAATACAGGATCGTGAGAATAAGGCAAGAGAATATCATTTGAAATCAGAGCCCACTCAGATATTACAGTACTATCACCTGCATCGATATCTCCTGGACAGCATGTTGCTGAGGAACGGGACACGAAAATTTACAGTGCGGATATCATGAACCTGGAAACTGGAAGATCCGTATTCGAAACTAGTCCTATTGACCAGGTGGGCGTGGTTCGATTCTCGCATGACTCGACGAAGCTTGCAGTCATGTCGATTACAACACAGTGGCTTGAGTATGGGATATTGCGACGCAGAAGTTGTTAGTACGGGGGCACATGATGCTCGAGGGAGCGTAATCACCTATGCGCCAGTGTTTTGGACAATCAAAGACAAATCGGTAATCTTAGGCGTGTTTAACTTCAAGGATGACGAGCTCAAGACGATGTATGAGTTCGACGCATCGACACTGCAGACTGTCAGAGCTCCCTTCAAAGGGCACACCAACATCATCCATGGTCTAGCACTTCCATATGATAGTGCTTAATAGTGCTTCCTACGACCCCGCCATCAAGCTCTAGGCCTTCGAGTCTCACCAGCTCCTTGCCTCATTTGACGTTCAGCATCCCCACTTTGCTAGTATCCTCTCACCCAACTCACACTAACTGGCGTATACCACCTGGCTTGAGTCCAAGGTATACATATGCGACACATCCTGTCTAGGGTCCGGCCTGGACGATAAGAAAAGCTCATTGTATGCATCTATGCCCAACTACCCCGGGCCAACCCCTCATGCACTAACATCAATTATTGCAGATGAAAGTCCATACCTCACTAATTTACTCAATGTACGCTGATCCCTAGTCATCTACACTGCTTCATCAAATGACGTTTTTGCAGTCTGATGCAACACGCCCAATATGATCACCTACCGTCACCCACTCATCAAGGGATTTCTCCACGATATACCCACAGGGACGTACTTTCCTTCGCTACCCTCCGTAAACTCTTGGCACGAACGCAGTGACTCCTGTTCGGACTGGCCAGCTTCGTGATGGTCTGGATGTAGGCATCCTCTTCCTGTTACATCAGCAGTCGATTTGACGACCCCTTGCAGTTCCCTACCACATCTCCCCTACCTCATAATTGCCCTCCCTCAGCGCAGGTTACAACTCACGGACGTTCACATACAGATATCCGCCAGAGCGTGAGTGTCAACTGCCCCCATCACATCTTCAGCTACTACCCATAGGTCAGCGCATGACCGGAGAATCGGCAGGTTGTGCGGCAGCATCCAAATAGTCTTCGGTATTCTAATTTCGAGTATTGTGGCAACTCGCTTGTCACGTGTGTTCTTACACTACACGTTCTGCGCAGTCATTTTTCGTTCTTGGTTCCAATCCTTTTCTTCATTTCTAACCCCTTGTGACGGAGTCGAACACTAAGGTCAGTATATTCCAACCTACATTATTTCCTTCTGACGACCGACCGGATTTTTCTCCTCGTCTGCAGTCCGAGGTTCTCTCCTAAACACATCCGCTGACGTTGAGCGATCAAGCTTTTGACCCACATCATCCTCAAGAATATCATTGTTACAAAGGCTTGTGAGCACGCGAGTTCAGTTATTATACAGTATTAGTGCCTCCATGCTTGCTTAACAAGCGTTTCTACACAATGTTAACTTGAGCTCTCGATGCAGGATCAAAATGTGTATACACTTGATTCAACCGAAGGCACCATCCCGACATACGACATGTACAAGGTTTATACTGCAGTTAGGTCCCAAGACCAGCTGTGTAAAGGGGTGAGAGAATAACATAATAACATTAACAGCCACAGCCTTGCCTCTTAAAGATTCAGGCGCCACAGAATCTTGACGGTCAGCCACGCAACGCGGCTGTTCTGTTCGATTCACACGTTAATCTTATTGCCGCTGTGGTTACAGTTCGAGACCGACACTCTCGGTTGATCTCTTCGACCATCGGTCACTTTCTCAGATGCTCTTGTACCATGTCCTTCCCAGGCCAGTCCGCAAAACACAGTACAAGTATAGTCCATACATAGCTCACTCCGTATTTTTTATCTGACCCGACGAAATGACCAGAGCAGTGGAGGCGCCCGTAGACCTCACTGGTCATATTCTCCGGTTAGATGACCATCCTGTGGCTGGAGGGTCTTTCGGAAATGTCTACAGAGGCATCTACCAAACCACATCAAGTCAAATTCAGGTATGAGCGCCTTGATTCTGCATGTTGAACCGTCAAGATGTAGTGATTCAGGTTGCTGTGAAGGCTTTGCGTTTTCTGCCTAGCGCAGATGATATCAGGGTCAGTGGGACCTGTTCTCCGCCGTATATACTGAAGACTGAATTTCTCGTTCACGTTGCAGAGAATCCGTCGAGAGATTAAAATATGGATGAAGTTAAAACATCAGAATATCGTGCCATTCATAGGCGTAACAGCGGGATTTGGACCCCCTGAGACCTTCTCTCTCGTTTCGCCCTGGATACCCAATGGAACACTGACAAATTTCTTGGAAACCTATGGTGGAAAGTTACCACTGATGTCGAAGTTATGGCTGGTGAGAACTATCCGTCATGTTAGGTGTGGGCTGAATCATCAAATTATAACAGCTTCATGATATTGCAGCTGGTTTAAATTATTGTGGGTCATTCTCCACCGAGTTCACTTGCACAATCTTAGACCAGTATTTTTTCGAGTGCACTCATTCCCTTTGATCCACGGAGATCTCACCGGCGTAAGAGAATCGTTTTTGTACCCATTTGTATCTGAATAAGATGGTCTGTAGAGTAATGTCTTGATAAACACAGAAGGCATGGCATGTCTTGTGGACTTTGGACTTTCTACAGTCATAGGAGGGCTTGAAGGTGGATCTTCGATTGCCCCGTTATCCCACCGCCCCGGTGCAATACGGTGGACCGCTCCCGAACTTCTTGAAGATCCAGAGATTTCCTATTCACCCACACCAAAAAGTGATATCTATTCTTTCGGCAGTGTGATGCTACAGGCAAGTTGCCTTTTTTCACTGAGTTGTCTTTGAGTCAACCATGTTCTCCCGATCCTCTCTAACAGATTTCCATGGTATACAAATAGAGGCACCACGGCCGAATTTCGCATCATAGCCAAGCTAATTGTAGGAGAAACTCCACCTCGGCCGGATGATCCACCCATTTCAGAGAAGCACTGGGCTCTTATCTCAGAATGCTGGCGCCCGATCTCAAGCACGGAAAATCGTCCAACAGCTGTGCAATTGATCGACACTATCGGTCAAGAGATCGCCGATTATTCAGGTGAAACGAACGATGCATCTCGTTTATTCCGATCCGGGCAGTTACCCCTGATTGTGTACAAAGACTCCCGTCCCCCCTCCAAACCGTTACCTGGACCCACAAGATACAGGCAGCCGCCGAAGCCACCACGCCCGACTGAAGGTGACTCTGTAGATTCAGTCTTCGCGTTTTCTCCTCCAGGTCGCGAAGACGAGACAGTCGTGCCTCATGTCCCTGGAGCATCATTGCAACAAGAGCACACCAAACTTCATCACAGAAATCCTCCGATTAACACGCTTTTCGTTGGCAATCTCCCGAGGAGCACAGGGGATTTTGGTGACTATCTTGAAACTCGATTAAGAGCCTTATTTTCTCCACGCCCGGGATATAGAAGTTTGTTATTCACCCGCAAGAGTGACGGGCGGATGATGTGTTTTGTCGACGTAAGATATTTTAATTCCACCCACGGTATTCTGATTTATTGCGATGGCAGTTTCAGGATGTACATTATGCCACAATATCTCTCAACGACCTCACTGGTTCCACTCTCGGCGGGCTCATAAAAAACGGTGGTATCCGTCTGTCCTATAGTAAAACATCCATGGGTTCCCGCAGGCCATATAGTGCGGGTACGGGCGCACATGCAACTCCTCCAAGCTTCGGACCCTAAGCATAATACTTCTTATTAATTAGCATGTATTGTATTCAATGTATTTCACCGTGATGGTACAGCGTAAACCGTATATCTTGGTCTTCTTCTTCAATCAGTCAGCTGTACTAGTTTGTATATGACTTGCGGCTCGACGTCTGTCACCTGACGAGAAGGAACTAAAAGGTCACGTGTCTCAGATCCGATCGGGTCAATGTCTTCAAGCTCTAGTGATTGGCTACATCCAACTTGCTTGCATGCAATCCATCCGTAAAAAACCCGCATCAGCTTCACTGACATCACTGAATAATGTGGACGCGTTCACTGGAATATTGAGCACTAAAATGTCATTGCAAATGGGGCTTCCAAGATCAGTGAAGTTCGTGATTCCATTTTGTTCAATGTTCTAATAGTATATTGAACGAGCGCACCCAGAGGCAAGAAAAGAGCGAGAGATTCGTCCCCGAGCTCTTCTTCGCTCTCTTCGACGCATTCAGAAGCTCCTATCATCCCCCCTCCAGTGAAAAAACGTGCGTATGTGACTTTCTTTAATTTGTGGCCTCACCTGAATGAGGATATACATAGCTAAGAGAGCAGAGACGAGGCAATGCCCGGCATGTGCAGAATTGATCCCTGTGCGTCTGCTTGCTACTCATGCGGCTCTTGAAATGCAAAGGGTGGAAGACATTATTCGGCATATTGGTGAGGCCGAGGTCTTGGCAGAAGTTGATGACTTGGAAGAAGGGTGTGTCTAACTGTCTGCTACTACATTGCACTAGCAATTGACATCACCCATTTCAGCCCGAGCAATCGCGCCCGCCGCTCTGCACTCAAAGCTCGCAAATCCCTTACCACCTCTATCCCATCATCCACATCTCTTTCTGCCGTTGACAAGACTATTCAAATCATTACGCGTCGACGGAAAGCACGACATCTACGCCTCAAAGAGCTTGCTAAGGAGCATGAAACAGAGTCTTGGATTTTGGAAGTTGAGGGAGGGACGTCATGTCCTGTGTGTGCACAGGTAGTCAGAGGCGATCGGGATGTCGTCGAGGCACATGTGGATGCATGTCTAGCACATGAAAGCGCTAGGTTGGAACAAGAGCGGTTACAGGATGAGGAAGAGGATCTCCATATAGGTGGTGGCGGGGGTAGCATTAGGACAAGGATCATTACAAGTGCAAGTCTACGAGGTCAGGACAGAGGCTACAACACAACACAAATCATCACTAACTCTATGGACAGGAACTGGTATCCATATTCGAACATCTAATTCACTGGACATCGAGGATGAAGTGGACATAGATGGCGAGGATGAAGCAGTATTCGGAGAAGCACAGTTTGGCGAAGCTGATGTACTAGCTTTGCCCTCAAGCAACCGGGATGTGCACCCTGAGAATGAAGATATCGACGTCGACATAGATGGTCATCCAGGGACTGCCCAAGAACAGCAGACGCTCAGACATCTGGTAGTTGAGGGCAAGGTCTTAATGAAGCGGGCAGGTAGTATAGAGAACATTATCCAACCGGTCGAGATAGACCAGCTCGATCTCGACATTATCACTGCCCGCTCGCGAAATGACCCTAGCACACTTATTCTGGCTCTGGAGAACAAGCTGAAGGCTCTGGTAAGTTCAAGGCATGTTTAATACACACTCTCGACTAACAGTCAATCATAGGAATCTAATGCTGGCTCAACATCTTCACATAACTTGTGTCGTATCTGTCTTTCACAGTATACCGAGCCAACAGTGTCAACAGGATGCTGGCACACGTGTTGTCGTGAATGTTGGCTTCGCTGTCTGGGGGCAACTAAGCTCTGCCCCATGTGCCAACGAATTACCAGCGCCGCAGAGCTGAGAAGGGTGTATATGTGACATTGCGGACTTAATCTTTCTTTCGATACCTTAAATATAGTATGTCACACATTGTATTTTGCATCACACTATCTTGTTTATTCCTGTAAGTAAGCATCGTGGTCAGCCTTCGACTCTTCAAAACAGAGTCACACGCAAAGTAGTGCTCATATCTGGCCTAATACCATCGACATGTACCAGAGAATAAACCAATTCAAGTTAAATCGGTTACAAACAGTGGAAATTCAGGGCCCTCACATGGAGAGCCACCACGGAATATAATCCCGGCAAGTGAGAGGGAGGAAGGGAAAAACTTACCTGAGTCAACAAACACGTTCCATCGGCATCACATAATAGACTCAATGAAACCTCAAACTCCCAGCAGCACCTGATCGAGCGAAGGACTGAGCAGGGAATTGGCTTTTTTTCTAAGTAGACTGAATTATAAAATACAGCTGGAGGTGCGTATGCAAGGAGTAATTCCTCATGCGAGTGGACTTATGAGCCTAGTTCAACGTGTTAAAATTTGCGAGGTCAACTAGAGGCACTGAGACAACGCACTTAATAAGGGTGGGTTGAGGAGTGCTCCGAGTATAGCCAATATAGATAATGAGCGGTATCCAGCCATAGTGCACCACAGTCTGCAGAAAGTTAATAATCTTGTTCAGGGTAGAGTGTGAACCGACGTACGCGGCCAATCTCCACAAGTTTCGTGATACGTTCCTGCGTAGAACAATAAGTATTGGACACAGCAATCATATGAGCATTAATCGAACCTTGGTCTCTTCAGAAGGCATTTTATGCAAATGTTTGATGACGGCGCAAATTAAGGGATTTGAGAGAAAGGCAAGTCCCTTTATTTACAACTCCGACGGTTTTCTGGCTTGATCACTGCAGCAAGATTAGCTGCTTATTATCTCTGAAAATGCCTGTACGCTCATCCTCATCAGCGGCGTACATACAGAGCACTTCACCAAGTTCAAATGGTGTACCTTCGTGAGTTCACCCAAACCCACCATAGCTGGTCTGATAATCTGCCAGGACACGCCCAACTTCACTAACGATTCATCCGTCCGCACTCTTCTCGATCCTTGACCACTACCTTCGGCGAACAGATGCTCAGCATCGTGTGATTGGTACCCTTCTTGGTACACGCACAGATTCTACTGTTGACGTCAAATCTGCATTTGCTGTTCTCCACTCGGAGACCGATGAGCAGGTTGCAGTGGACATGGACTACCACCGTGCCATGTACGACCTCTGCACTCGTGTTAGGCCTAATGAAACCATCGTAGGATGGTACTCGACTGGCTCAGACCTAAACACATACTCTGCCTTGATTCAAAATTTCTACTCCCAAGAGACCGCACCAAATCAAGCGGTACATGTTGCCCTTGATACTGGAACGGAGGAGGGCAAGGGTGCTGGAGTGAAGGCATATGTAAGGTACGCGCTATACCTTCCATGTCATACAGTTCCCTGATTTTATTTTAACCGATCCAGCTCACCGGTTGGGATCTTCCCCAAACCGGAAAATTGTGTATTTGTTCCAATCCCTTGCGAACTTCGCTTCCATGAAGCAGAGCGCAGCGGCCGTGAGTTCAAGTCTATAGGTGTACCAATACGCCATCGGTTGAATTTCTTGCTTTAGTTGACCTACTGTTGTCTCCGAACTCGTCATCCAACCAAACCGACCTCGATGTTCTTGCATCCTCATTGACAGACGTGCAAAACATGCTCAACAGAGTACTTGCTTATGTACAGTCTGTCTTGCGTGGTGAGGTTGTTGGGGACAAGGCAGTCGGGAGGTATCTTATGGACGTATTGGGTACCGGTGTGGAGGAAGATGGCGGTTGGACCGCAGGACTACAGGACACTCTAATGGTAACATACCTCGCGAACTTGGTCCGAAGCCAAGCCGAAGTTTCTGCAAGATTAGCGTTGACCACCGCAGCATAAGCAACGGTGCGTATTCCTATTTTCGATTGCGATTGAAGCCATTCATGTGATCACCTAGCTCAAATTGCTTTCTGCCGATATTCCAAGCTTCCATCTGCGAAAAATAGGTGGCTTGTATCAGTGCACTGTAGTCTGCTGTACCGGTCATCCTCATAATCTTCTGTGTAGAACAGCCATTTTCGGTGACTCCAGTTGATGTCTGTAGTTGCTTCAGATAACATTGCACATTGCAGTCGTCATCTTATTTTTGGCGCGAAGGGGGGAGATTACGGCTAGGTTTGATCTTTATTGAGGTGGACCTTCGCCCCAGCGATGCCAGACGCACGTCTCCAGTGCTCACTGAACCATGAAGACAGACAATCCAATTGGCGATGTCGCCCCAGTTTTCTGCGTATCTCTTACATAATTAAGTTGACTGCAACTTTGACTTGACTAACTTCAGTTCGACCTGTCAAAGGATCCGGAACCGAGATTACTGTTATCGTAACGGCGCCGGTGCCAGCCCCCGATTCGCTTATTCCTGGCTTGTTTTGTGGGTGGTGCGAATTCAAAATCTGCCAACAAATAATTTTACCTCTTGACATTCACTGATCATGGACAGTTCTTCGGAGGTTCGCCTCAGCTGGGCAAGTGTCCTGGCCGAAGCGGTTACCATAACAGAATCGAATTCTGTTTCTCTTGGACTGCGCAGGTTCGAAACCTGCCGACGTCAAGGTTTTTTTAATTGGAACACACCTTGACATTCTCTCATGAATGGTTTCGTCAGAAGTTCATCTAACTGGTCTCAGCTAAGTGCTCACCACAACAGGATTGAATTCTGTTTCTCTTGGACTGTGCAGGTTCGAAACTTGCCGATCAACTTTTTTTCTTCTATCGGAACATGCCTTGAAGGGATGGTTTCCTCGGAGGTTCCTCTCAACCTGGACGTCCTGGTCAAAGTGGTTACCACGACAGAATCTAAGTCTGTCTCTTGGACTGTACTAGTGCAGGATCAAAACCTGCTGATGACCAGGTGTTTTTTTTGCTATTGGAACATGCCTTGAATATTCACTCGTGGATGGTTTCCTTGCAGGTTCATCTTAACTGCTCTTATAGCCAAGTGGTTTCCACAACAGATTCAAAATCTTCCAATAACAAGTTTTTTCCCCCTATTGGAACACACTTCAACATTACTCATGGATGGTTTCATTGGATGATCATCTTGACTGGTCTTAGCCAAGTGGTTACTGCAAACAGAATCAAAATCTGTTTCTCTTTGACTGTGTAGGTTTGAAACCTGCTGAATGATGGGTCTTTTTCTATCTGAACACACCTTGACATTGACTTATTGATGGGTTCCTCAGAGGTCCATCTAACTGGTCTTAGCCAAGTGGATATTACCACTGAGTCAAAATCTGTTTCCCTTGGAGTCAGTTTGAAACCTGCTGACAACCTTTTTGTGATGTATGGATCCTCAGAGGTCCATCTTAACTAGACCCAGTCATTGCGCTGAAACCTCCTTTTTATGTGTAGTCTATCTATGGAAAGGAATTCACCTTCATGCCCCACAAGGGTCATCTGAAAAATGTGAGATATATCCCTCAGGTGCATACATGCCAAGCTAGATTCTCAACAAACTGCATCAGTAAAACACTTTTTTTCCCACCACCAAAAAATGGCTGGCCACAGCTTGGTCCCTTCTGTACAGAGCTGTACAGAGCCCACAGAAGCAAAGTGATTTGCTGATGTGACTGAAACTGTTGGAATTCACCACTGAATGAAAAATGTTAATAGGGCTGGGGGCCAGAAGAATGTACACATGCTAAGGATGGAGTGAGTCTGACAGTCAGGAAAATGATGTAACTTCCCAGCCTCACTAAAGCTTCATCAGCAGACACTCCTTTGGTTGTTGGTTCTTCCAATGCGACCAAGAATGGCTTGAAAGCTAAAGGTGGAAGAATTGAAAGTGGCAGACCAAGGCATACAGTGGCTCAAAAAACTGTCTGCATGTTTTGACATTTTTCACTATCTATGATATTGTGTGAGAAGGAACAAATGCCTCAAGGACATGCTTATAGCACATTGTAGTATGGCTTCAGGGCTTTCATTTGAGCCCTACACCGTGGGAATCAGTGGAGATATGGTGGAGATACAAGGCTCACAAAATGGTGACTCATGCGGACAGTTTTTTGAGCACATATTAAAACTATATAAATCATCATTTATGACACCATAACAATCATGCCACCATTAAATAAATTATAAAGTGGTGTCATTATGTCATTTTAAAACCATATCTAACTATACAAACCAAAAATTTCCATATGTCATGGTTATATTCACCATGAAAGCCACCCCCCCTGCTCAAAGGGATAATATCCTCTCTCTTTCCTATTCTGGCCTCTCTGCTTGTCAAATTTCCTCTAGAACTGGAGTATCCAAGTCCACTGTGGCCAAGTTCATCAAAGAAAGTCACACAGACAAGGAAAACTTCTGTGAAGGGCATCCATCCAAGCTCACCTCTACTGATAGGAGGGCTATTATTCAACATATCACTACAGGAAAGGCTGATAATGCTGTCCAGGTCACCTATTACATCAATTCCACCATCACATTCCCTGTCTCTTCACACACTGTGAGAAACATTCTCAAGACAGCTCATCTCAGGTCAGTAACAAGGAAGAAAAGGCTCTCCTCTCTATCACACATAAACAGAGATGACTAACCTTTGCCTTAGCCCATCAGAATTGGATTACATGGACTGGAAGCATGTTATATGATCATATAAGACCACAATAAATAGGATTGGGTCAGATGGCAAGGTATATATGTGAAACAAGAAGGGTGCTAGTCCTCTCTGCATATGTGTGATAGAGAGGAGAGCCTTTTCTTCCTTGTTACTGACCTGAGATGAGCTGTCTTGAGAATGTTTCTCACAGTGTGTGAAGAGACAGGGAATGTGATGGTGGAATTGATGTAATAGGTGACCTGGACAGCATTATCAGCCTTTCCTGTAGTGATATGTTGAATAATAGCCCTCCTATCAGTAGAGGTGAGCTTGGATGGATGCCCTTCACAGAAGTTTTCCTTGTCTGTGTGACTTTCTTTGATGAACTTGGCCACAGTGGACTTGGATACTCCAGTTCTAGAGGAAATTTGACAAGCAGAGAGGCCAGAATAGGAAAGAGAGAGGATATTATCCCTTTGAGCAGGGGGGGTGGCTTTCATGGTGAATATAACCATGACATATGGAAATTTTTGGTTTGTATAGTTAGATATGGTTTTAAAATGACATAATGACACCACTTTATAATTTATTTAATGGTGGCATGATTGTTATGGTGTCATAAATGATGATTTATATAGTTTTAATATGTGCTCAAAAAACTGTCCGCATGAGTCACCATTTTGTGAGCCTTGTATCTCCACCATATCTCCACTGATTCCCACGGTGTAGGGCTCAAATGAAAGCCCTGAAGCCATACTACAATGTGCTATAAGCATGTCCTTGAGGCATTTGTTCCTTCTCACACAATATCATAGATAGTGAAAAATGTCAAAACATGCAGACAGTTTTTTGAGCCACTGTATCATTCTGATGGGTGTAGTTTGCATCGGACAGGGAGGTCAACGCAAAACTCTAGAACACCCCATAACAGAAAGCTCAAGACACCATGCAGTATGCAAGTATGTGTGGGACCACAAGCTTTGACCTAATAACCTGCAACAAAGCTGCTGTTCCTTCTAGGTCGCATGATGTGCTTTAGCTCTATGGAAATCACTAGTTATAATCCACACACACAAAGTCATTCACTGAGTTCTATTGTGCATGGCACAACTCTTACATAGTCGACTGCTGAGTTGGGTTACTCTAGGACAATTTTATTACTGCTTGAGTAATGAAGCGACTGCGAAATCCTAGTGATAAAAGGACATCAACAACCATCGCTGGAAAGATGGATCCACCTTCCCTGAATTACGCATGGCTTGTATGTATCGTCAACTGAGGGCGGTTTCACAGCGCGAGAGAGTTTAAGGGCAGCATAGTGCTTTGTTTTCAACGTGCGCCGAGCCAGAGCCTCAGTATTTCCGACATACTATTCATGATCCATTAACAGAGTAAAAAATCGTAGTCTTTGCACCCCCCTTTCTCTTTGCTCCGCCCAGTTATGCCCAGTTACGCGGGATAGCTATGTAGAGGAAATTCATCTCCCATCAAGGTATTAAAAGGCAACGTACTATAGTTCTGATCAGCTATTGAATATTCTCGAGTGCTGCAAATCATGTCGAACAGCGAGTATTTCGCCAAGGGGCCATGTCGTAGCAGGCCGATTATCTGCATCGTTGTGGTGCATGTCCACGAAAATCCCAGTTCGTATATCCTTATTCTGCGACACCTCCGCCTCGACCAGGGGTCTCACTGAGTGAAGCAAAAGTTGCTGTGAACTGTAGGGTCCTATTGTATTTAAGCGAACAGCTGAGGACAGAAGTGAACGTGCATGAAGAAACAGAAAAAGGTGCTGAGCTCGCACTATAGAACAATTATAATTCATATCGAGGATTCGATCATCAAACATACGAAGTGATATCCCAAGAGCACCGGTCAGTACGCCCCAGCACACGGGCAGATGGCCATGCGTCTCTTCTCCGCGAACCATCAGTTTCAGACGATCGATAAGGATGGCCAAGCTCTTTGAGAGGTGGTCTTCATCGCCGAGGCCTGAAGGGCAAGCAAACCCTTTTGCGTACAGTGTGAGGAGTGCTACCCCCTGTGCTTTCGAGGCGCGCTTAGCTACATGATTGAGCGTCATAGTTTCGTAAAGCTCGTCCAGCTCGAGCAACTTCTTGATTGTAGTGTCATGTTCGATCTCTGGCTTGCCCTTGAGATCTTTAAATGCATCTACTATGCGATAGGCGTCCGAAACAAAAGGAAGCGCGCTTCGGGCGTAGGTATGCAGGCTGTCTTGAATGAAGTCAACTGTGCCCGTTATAGTTGCTCTTCCCTTCCCCGCGCTTGACGCGGATGAGATAGAAAGGAATCCGTGCGTTCCGTAGGACTCGAACCCAGAGGACGCGACGAATGAGCCCGTAGGTAGATTAGAGTCTGCGAGGAGAAGTAGAATATATGTTTCGTCGAAATCGGTATCCATGATGGAGTGCTAGATGAACGTTCTTTGTAACATAGCCATGGTCCAGGCGTAACACACTCACTCTCAGACTGGGACCCTGATCCAGTCTATTGTGCAGTGGTCCTGCAAGTATGTGGTATGTAAAATGTAGTCGTAGTCACCGGGTTTCGGTCAGATATTCATTCTCAAGTAGTTGGTCCGAACCAGAGCACAAATCGCATGGGTCACTTTAGACGAATTATATTTCATTGACGATCCAGCAGCATCAAACCATTCACAGTAGAGTAGTATACATAACGTGCGTATGGAACGCGTGTAGATGGGAATGTCGAGAAAATGCTGGGTGGTAACCCGAAGTTCAGAAAACAGGTGGTATGCAGAACCGAAATATATGAGATGAACACAGAAATGCAAGCCACCGAGTCAACGCGGGGACAAGAACTCGAAGGTACCTAAAACAACAAGTGGTAAACTAGTATAGTAGAGATATCAGCAGGTTGACGTGCGAGCAATAGGATAGTTGAATCTGTGGGAGCGAATGATACGAACGCAGAGACGAAGAAGAAAACAGCCCGATTGTGAGTATGTAGGATGGAGGATTGCGATTAATGGTTGCGAAACAGGGAAAAATAAAAATTGGAGGCGACGATGAAGTTGACAGTCCAAAAAAGTGGGTTCTGGGGAAAACCATGCGATCAATGAGAAATGGAGGGATGTCAATCATGTCGTGGAGTGGTAAGTACAGATATATATAACTTGCAGATTTGTGCTGTAGATGCTTGCATGCGGACTGTGAGAATACGAGGGAATTTAAGTTCGTCCCTTTAACCGGCCCTAGCGGCCTCTAGTGTGGTCGATGAAGGCGACAAAGCGCGATGCGGGAAATGCTGCGGGTGATCATGAGCCAGAGAACCTTCTGAGCTCTGATCGGGTATCAAGGCATGCGATGGAGGGAGACCATTCGCGCGCGAACGAGGTGACGAAGCGGGTAGGCCGAATGGCGAAAAGGTTGAAGGTGCACCATTAGGTGAAGGCAGCCCAAAGGCTTGCGAGCCACGAGGGAAGGCGTTCGCATTGCTAACGGACGGCGCGGGCGCCATGCCAAAATTCGTGGATGACGGAGGTGGAGAGAAGAACCGTGGAGGGGGCGGTGATCTTGAGTAGCCATACGCCCCGGATAGAGATGCCGTGTTCGAGCTATCGCGCCTTATCCCTATAGACGCATCGACATCGAATGGGTGGCGAACTTGGAATGACTCAGGGGGGAAGGGTGATGCAACACCAGAGTGAACATTGCCTTGCTGCTGTTGAACCAAGGGTGCGCCGGTACCGCCGCTAGTTGGTGTGCGTACGCCTAATGGGTTCTTACTGTATGACAAGCGGATACCGCCATTCTTGACGATGCCACCGAGGGTATTACCATACAGTTCATTGAGAGCTTTCGTGGCAAAATGCACATCGTCGAACTGCGCAGGTCTTGAATGAGCTATTGTACCGTGATCACAAGTACAATCACTTACCTCAACGAAGCACATTGGACCGTTGCTTTTTTGCCTAAAGCATAACTTCCTATACCCCGGGCGCCGAGAAAAAAGTTCCCTCAGGCTATCCTCCAGAAATCCAGCGGGATAACCACTGCCAACGGACCCTGTCGGAAGGTTGCCCACGTACAATGTATTGATAGGTGGGTTCTGGTCGACAACGACATTCCTAGGGCCTGCACCGACAGCGTTCCCCGCACTGGTTGCACTACCTCCTCCATTCATTCCAGCAGACGAACTTGCAGATCCCGACTGGGAAGCAGGCGATGGAAGCTGGGGTGAGTCGATACTAGCACTGCCCGAACTCGGTTGTGCACTGGTGCTGACTGCAAGGAGGACCGGCCTGTCACCCTCAAAACCTCCAGCGGAGCTTGACGTAGCGCTGCCAGGTGCCATCGATTGAGACTGGCTCTGCAGGTGTAAAGAATCTTCCAACTGGGAAGATAAGGGATAAAGCGAGCGCAGCACGCCAGAACGGTGCGGTGGAAGCATCATATCGTCCTCGTCGCTTGGTGAGAAGGCTGCGTGAGAAAGGGGGGGAGACTCGTCCTGAGGGGATGAAGGTCGAACTGGCATCATAGAGGACTTCCGAGCTGCATACAGTGACGAAAGGGTTTGCGGAATGCCGGATGCTTCCCTCTCACGCGGAGAAGGTGCATCCCAAGGTCCGATACTTCGGGACTCGCGAAGACCATTGTGGTCAGGAGTTATATTGCTGGAGCCATCCCGACCAGTCTGAGCGATGATATTACCATATCCATCTCCCATAAGCGGGCTGTGACCGCTGCTTCCACCTTCTGTAAGTCCAGAAATGGACATCGACCCAGCTGTAGGAGAAAGGAGACCTCCCTGCGAATGACGTGATAAAGCGGGGGCGGAAACCGAATGGAAAGCTTCAAAAGCGGGAGTATTTCCAGGCAACATTCGAGAAGCGTCAGTCTGGAACTGCTTGAGGTCCTTGCTGCGCCTGACCCTCTCTTCTTCATCGGCCTGAGCGCGTTCGCGAGCACCGCGCATCAAACCGAGTCCGAGGCCAAGCGCCTCCCTGCGCCTGTCACGGATGCTGTTCTCCCGCTCATCCTCACTGCTGTCCCCGAGCCTCCCTTCGCGCCAGCTAGACCCACCCAAACCCACTGGGTTTAACTCCCTCTCGCGCGGGGAGAGGATATCAGAATTGTTGCCAGTAAGCGCAGCCAGATTGTTCAAATTGAGATTGTTGTTGAGGCTCAGGCCGGCGAGATTAGCGATGATATCAGCATTGCTTCCAAGACCGCTAAGCGAGCCTATGCTTCCACCTCCATTCAAGGCTCCGATGTTCCCCATACCACTACCAAGAGAAACACTTCCGCCACCTCCAGACGTCGTAGCACCCATGCCAACTCCTCGCTTGGTATGCAAGTTCTTCTTCGCCATTTCGGCCTTCAAGATTGCGCCTTTCTCGATGTCGACGCGGCGGCCCTGAAGCAGGTCTCTTGCCTCAAGCGCCTCCTGACGAGTGCGAAACTTGGCAAAACCTATGATCTGCTTTCGGGGTGGCTGGCCACCTAGTCCTTGGCCCACTTGGAAGTGCGAAGGCTCATCCAACGGCATGGCGAGGGGTGGCCAGGAGGTCGTTGGGCCATCTCGTCCATTGTCGATCACAACTCCTCCTTGATTGACAGTGACGATATTGTAAGGATCATTAGAACCGGCGCCTAAATAACTGGCATAGGCACCTCCACGAAGAGGGAGACCAGATGGAGTAGTCGAAGTCGTTCCACCGACCGACCCGTACGCTGTATACTCCTTGTTTGGAATCTTGAGGGTCGCAGCTTCGAAGCCGGAGGAGAACGTAAACATATTCTGAAACTCACGCTCCTGCACAACCTGTCAGAAGTTGCGGGACCTCACAAATGGCTCAGCACATACCTGCATGTCATCAGGAAATCCAACCACGAAAATAGTCGAGATCTCTTCTGGCAGTCCACTATTAACACTCTGCGACTCGATGTTTAAATTTATCTGCCCAACGCTACCCATAGGCCTTACATTGCTTGCTGATACTCCTGCAGCGCCACCGTTAGACTGTAAGTGGGGACCATAAGGCGTCTGACTTTGGAGGTGCATGCCATTCAGGTAAGGCATCTGAGAACCAGAGTTACTGTGCGACAATGGATGATAAGCATCGTGGACCTGTGATTGTTGTTGGCCTTTGGAGGAATGCGCCTGGAGGAACGGGTCCAACGAAGAAAATTGTTGAGAAACCTTAACGCCTCCTAGAGGAGAACTGGTTCCGAATTCATATCCGCTACGTGACTCGAATGCGGCAGACCTGGAAGCGCTCTGCTGAGATTGCTGAGAGAGTTGGTGCTGCAAATTTAAGGGCTGATGAGACCCAAATATCTCGTTCGTGTTTGAATAAGGTTGTGAGGGGATGCTGTCCGGTTGACGCAGGCGATATGAGCCGGTGGCACCAGTACTGGAAGCGTTGCCACCACTGATTCCGTTATAAGCGCTCAAAGACGACCTTAACGACCCAGCGCCAAAGTCGTTTGGAGACTTACTCCCTGCAAGACTCTGCTTAAGGGAGATGTCGTCTGAAAGGTACTCCGGAAGGAGATGGAAATTATTGGATGTGTTATACATGGATTGGACTCCGCCATGAGAGAACAATGACTCCGAATTTCGATGATGATTATCATCAATGTGTTGCTGAAGAAGGGAAGTGCGGAGTATACGGTCATTCTCGTGGTTGGGATTGAAATCGATATTGCTAGGGGAATCAGGCCTATTCATAGGTGGGATATGGAACTGCGCTTCAGGAGATGGTGCTCCTGAACCAGAGTTAGAGTTTGAGTGAGACATGGCAGGTTGCGGAGATCGATGGATGGGTTCTGCGTCTCCTTGGGCTTCGAGAGAATCGAGCAACGAACGATTAATGAGGTCCTCTTCGAGCCTTTGGATGGGCGGAGGAGTGGAAGCTATGGACGCCAGATTGATAGAATGGTATGCGGGGTGATTACAGACAAGTATGGGGATGGCTAAGACTAGAAATTGGACATCAACAGCCGTATAATGTTATGAATGTGGTACGGACGATCGTGGGAGGTAGCGCGAGACGGAGTTTGCTGATATGGCTACAATCGAAAAACAAACTGGCAAAGAGGTGTGTATATGGGCTATGAGTGATTGCGAATGATAGAGAGAGGGTGAATAGCGTTGGCGATGAACGTGACAGCGATGAGCAACAGCGGTCGACGTGCGCGACGCGTGGGAGTAGATAAATAAGAGAGGTCAACACTGAGCGAGCAACGAAGCGACAGCAAATGAAGCGCACGAAAAGGTGACAGACGACGAGCGGTGTGATTAGGTCGTCGCCGTGGACGGTGAGGAAGGGTGTCTTGTCGCTGTGGTTATCGACGTGGAAGGTGCGATCGAGGTTGTCAAAGTGTGAAGGAACAAAAGGAAGCGCGCGGGGCCGACCCAGAATTCAAACCAAAAAAAAATTAACACCACCAATTATTTGGGTCACGAAAGTCACGCTTTTCCCCACGCACAGACCCTAACCTTAATTCTTTCGCACGCACATACCCTCCGTTCAACAAACGCACAGACCATCTCCTTCAACGTAGTTGCTAGAGGAGTGGCAGAAAAGGCAAAGGAGAATGAAGGACAGTCAACAATGTATTGGCTCTGCTAATGATTGTGTAAACATTGTTGAGCAGCAGAACTCCCAAGTTGTTGTTGTTGTTGAGGCAAGTCGTGGACAAGAGGTAATTCCCTTGATTAGGTCGTTGTCGGGTTGACTCGGAAAGGTGGGTGTCGTTTAGCAACACCACCCCACGAAGTCCTCAACGAAAGGGTCGAAACTTGAATCTAGCTGCATGCGGATGTAGTCAACTGTGACGATTTATTTCCTCGTAAACTATTATTATAAAATTCGGATATTCTGTTCATCGTCGAGCCATGCGCTCGGCGGAGCGATTGCGCACTCTATACGGCCGTACAGTGCTTGTTTCTGTATATGCCCGCGAAATATTAGGGATATATACAGCAACTGCAACATTTAAACAAGAGCATCAGAGTCGTACATTCATGCACCTCATAAAGCGTCGATCTTCTGGATTCGAGACATTCGCATGTCCATATCTATTAATATATTCATTTCGTGAAGGTGTCTCGCATGCACTTGCTGCCCTAAATAACGAAGTGTCGTCCCCCTAGGGCGGCTCGCTGGCATTGTGATCTAGACCATCCTGTCCCGAGTCTGGTCTTGTCCTTGTCCTCGTAGGCTCGCAATCCTTTTGGCCGAATTAAACCAACACCGTACGCGCCGAGATGACACTCACTGTAAAATTGAAATTCAACTTTGCACAACAATATTTGCGTACAGGTTAAGCGCCAAACTCGAGCACTCTTCACCGACATACGGAATCAGGAATCTGCATTGCTCCGGGGAACCGAGTGAGCGCTATCGATTTTGTTTTGAAAAGGGTGATATGCATATTGATATGCATACGATCGAGAGTATGTTTGTGGAATATCATGGGTGGGTTTAGTCTCTCGTATGCAAACCTATATGAAGAAAGATGTCTTTCCTTCTGGGTAGTGGGTTAGGTGCACGTCACTCTATCAACACTCCGATTTATCGAGGTTGTCAAACCAGCCACATAGATTTCCATAGAATTAGTGTGGATCACGCGGATAGGGTGCGTCATGTTAGGTATGAAAGCTATGAGTCCGTGTTCGGGGGCAAACGTCGCCGAAGAGAAGAAATACATTAGACAGTGTGCAGTGAAACTGCCATGGGTATCGTACAAGATATATTATGTTTACATGGAGCATCTATAAACAACGAAGATGATGATCAGCCTTTGTATAAAGAGGCTAGTAAAACATAGACAGAACCGCAAGTCGTACATGAAAAAACATATGCATGTTGCCCAAGATAAGCTTCGTACATATTGTTCATATGGAAAAACTAGATTTCCCGCGACTTAGCAGACAACAGTTAAGATGGTGACACACTTACTACAGTAGCTCGCAGTAGGCGGCTATATATCTCGCAGTCCTCTGTATGCACCAGCTGCAGCTAACCACATGACAATACCGATCGCCCACATAGAAGCACAAATAAAACGCCATCGTGCGCGCGACGCCGCTTCTGCAATGGCGTACGGAGAGCGCGGGTCATAATATGGCAGCAGCCCTAGGGTAGGGTCAGAGTGTAACAGAGGAGTGGGCCCAAAATGTGGTGGTGGTGGTAGTGTAAACGAGGGTGTAGTATTTGCGCCGAAAAATGATGAGATGCGGTGGGGGTAAGCTCCGGGTATCCGTTCTTGAGGAGAACCTGGTCGTTGCACTTGCCCTGAAGGTCCCGAGTTATCTGGATGGGTAGAATATGCTGGAGGAGGCACTTCAGGATTGAGTTCACCCGACTGCTCTGGCAGTTTGTGGGACATGGTCGGTTCCAGTCTATAAACCGAGATGGAAGTAAGGTGCTTGCTAATAAGTGGCTAGAAGTCAGGTATGCTGAATTTGAAATTTCCACGCAGGTCTGCTGCAGACGCCGGGCTGGGCAGCTGCAGGTGTGTGGCGTGACCTGTCAAGGTACCTCGGATGTCAATAATATGCAAGGATATCAACTTCCGCCATGCATGCCAAATTAATCGAAAGTAACGACAATATTTGATTAATTCATATAACAATTATGCTAATAAAACATATGGGTATCATGTCCTTGTATTAAACGAATATACACCTCCGCGCTTTCTGGCGATACCACCGTTCTCAGCAGTAGGGTCGTTTTGTTTTGCCTGTGTTCATGAACTGGCGTGCGGCATGGCAAGCCATGCACGTTGAACAAATGTACACGCAACATGGCGCAGCACCATGAGGGCGCATCATGTTTGCCAGGTTCTTGGGAATAGCGGAAACAGAAACAGAAACATGAATGCATCAAGCCTGTTTGAGCAACTGTCAGCAAGCGAAGGCACCATGAAAGACGCTGGAGAAGAGAAAGGTGTCGGAAAGATTGTACGTAGTGTCCTCTCCTTCACCGGTGCCTGGCAGCTGATCTACACTCATATCGATAGGAGATAGCCCTCTCGACTGATGCATCGGCGAAGAACACGGGAGAATGTGATGCAGCTGCCAGTACTCGTCCGGCATTCCTGCCTCCAACTGCTCGTTGGATTGTGGGGAATTTTCCAAGCCCATTCTCATTAATTCCGACATTGGAATTACAACCCCCGGACCATGATGTTGTTCTAACTCTCCAATCAAACTGGAGTCAGCGCTGAACGACGTTGAACATGTCATTGGGGTGGCCGACGCAGGAGAGAAATCGAGGTTGTTCCATGAATCTAGCAAAGTCGCTTGTAGGGTTTGCATGGCAGGAGTCGTGACATGAACCTGTGGTATAGAATGGGCATTGATGCTGTCCGGGGGAAGATAGCGTGCCTGCGCATCTCCTAGATCTGAGACCAAGCGCTCTAAAGAGCTGTTATTCTCCGGCGCTACACCATACAGCAGGGCGGCTGGATTTTGCGATACAGCAGGCATAATTCGGGGACTTAAATAATGTAATTGTAGGGGTGTCCCAACACTTTGGGCACCACAGCTCTGCGATGAGTGCGGCGAATGTCCCGGAAGCAGCGCATACGAGAGCTCTGACGTATAGGGCTCTGAGAGGGGCTGGACCGACGACAACATGGTTCCTGATCCAGGGGTGTGTATGGGCAGCGTTCCCTCCATCCTTCCGGGCGCAATCAGAGGTGCTGAAGAATCTGCGGGAGTGACATGAGAACACATAAAATCAGTTTGATCCTGTGTTCTCTCGTGCACGGTATGGACTGGAGACGCAGGCACGCTGATGCGCCAGGATGGTGAAGAGGGAGGTTCGCGTCTCCTTAATCCTAGCTGACCATCAGCATCGTGGAAGGTGCTAGGCAGCCGTAGAGACGGTTTCAAATTCGCAATGCTATCCTGAGCTCCACGCTCCATAGCCAGGGGGCCACCGATCTTTAGGGAGTTGTATTTTCCATCCGGTGTTAAAACCCCAATGTCGAATTCGCTTGGCCCTCGAGCATAAAATTTTGGGCTCCATTTCAGTCCCCAGCATGATTTGAGCTGTGGAGATGAACTATTAGACTTGACGAGAAAAAATTCAAGTCTAAAATGACTTGCGAATCTGGGCGGTATACACCGGAGTTCACAACCTATGACACGACCCAGACCAATTTCACGGACGTCCATGAGGTATCGCGAGATATGAAAGGGAAGAAATGTGAACCAAGGGTATGCGAACCATTTGATCTGGCAAGGTTTTATAGCGAAGTTCGTCCACCAAACACTTAGTGCAGGAATACGTTATTGCTGGGTGCGCGTGCAGGAAAAAACGTGTTTACCAGCGTCAGTAAACATGTTCGCACATCTAGTAGGACCGTTTTAGAGACCTAAGCGGCAAGATGCTTCCACCGCGGCGCTGTGCAACCTTACTAACGTAGAAGACCGCTTGTGCTGTGCTAGTGAACCAATTAATGTTTTGCGGCTGGGAAATACTTACTTTACACCAACAAGTTTGTGGGCGCATGTAGGCGCCGGCGTCAGATATTCCACCGACGGGATCGGTTTCGAACAATGCAATGACTCTTGCCTCGAGGCTACTGCGAGTTCAAGGCAGTTCGTATATCTTGAATTATCGCTGCAGCTCAATAAACTCAACAGGGCGAGAAATCAGAAGTTTCGATTCTGGCTCGACCGTGGTGCACGGCAGCAATCGTCGGGTGGACATCATGATCGAGTCAGGGGGCTGGAGCGAGTCAGTTGATGATAGATATTAGATGCACCACATAGTATATATGGCGACTGCCCGCGAGCAAGTTTCAGAGAGACTTTACCAGTAGACATGTACGGTCTATACTTTGAGTGTTTGACGGCGGGGGTCGCAAAAGAGGAGACGCCGGCCGGCAAAAACTTTGTTGTTTGGGTGGCGAGTTAGCTTGTTGGAGAACGCTGCCAAGCGATGGTATGTACACATTTATTTCCCTTGAATGTGCTGCAAGGAATGTGGGAAACAGATACTGAGGGTTCAAGTCAACAGAGGCCATATTGGCAGGGATAAGCCAAGCTCTTCAACAATGCAAACGCTACTCCAAGACCTCTGATACTCAAACGATGATTTGAATGCAATGGAATGTGTATGTACTGTGATGGCAACATGGTCTTGTGTACAGTGAATGATAATCGTTCTCATGTATGGATGAAAGGAAGGCTCAGAAAGAGATTGGATTAAATTCGAAAAGTCATGAAACCGACATCAAGTCTTGTTTCGTGCGGTCACCGTGCGAGCATAGGTCCCAGCCTCTTGCGACGGCAATTTCAATGTGTTTCTTCGTGTCTGCCCACGCAAGGTACCTCCACGGGAAGCTACTCCTACCGTCTGGGGTGCGGGGCGTGAACTACCGCGAGTACCAGATTTTGGCGCAGGAGCAGTAATTTTCCCGCGAGCGGATACTGGCAGGTTTCTGGCAGTCAATGTAGGCTTCCGGATGTTTGTAGTGGGCTTGGTAGTAGGACGTAGGTACGTGGTTCGCCGCGTAGGCTCGAGAACTTTTCTCCTCTTGGCTCCACTATCTTCACCATCACTATCCTCACTGTCATCGTCAGTTTCGCTGGGGTCAGAGTCGAGGACGTTTTCATAAGATGGGGCAGTAGTAGTGACCTTGCCGCGCATGGTGGTATTCCTGGGTATAGCGCCGACAACCGTAGTTCGACTTGTCATGGTAACAGTCGGGTATGGACGTTTTTGTCCTGCATAATGCGATGAATCAGATGTATGAAAGGAACGAGTGGACTCTGATGAGCTGCTGGTACGCAGAGACGAGGCGTTATCGGTAGTGGTCAAAGCACTGGGCAGGCTCGCCACCGAGGAAGACGCGTTGGATGCCGCTGACGACGGAAATGAGCGATAAGGAGTCCGTAAGGTGACATCAAAGTCATCGTCGTCATCCATGTATGCATCCTCGTTCTCATCCTGGCTACCTACACCGCCGGATAATGGGAACCCATCTATACTACGATGAACCCGTAAGCTGATGTTTGCGTCGCTCGAGCAGCTGCTAGAGCCGGGGCTCGCGGGCTCATGCGCTTGCTGGAGCGACACATCAAAATCCTGGCTGTGGTCCATCAATGTATCCTCCGGAATGGGCGAAATTACGGTGACCTGGGCAGAAGGTGAGTCGATGAAATTATCCTGTCCGAATGGCGTGGCTCCAAGAGAGTGAGATGCAGTCAAGGGGGTCGGTGGGTATGCCGAAGGGAAGGGTGGGTACCCTCTCCAGTCTTCGTCAGCGGGTTCGCTGACGACAACTGCTGGTGGAGGGGTCAACAAATTGGGAGTGGATGCATTGAACATCTCCGATCGTCCGATAGACGAACGGCTTCGTCTGTGTTCCTCTTCGTATGCAGGCGGCGGGGGATACCAAATCTGATGGGCAGCTGTTCTAGTATTGCTTACCGCGGGACGCGCATGAATACGACCAACTGTGTTGGGATAATGTGGGAGGGTTGTCACCGAAGACGACTTGGAATGTCGCACGCGGAGCGACATGCTCTCGTAGGCATCAACAGGAGGTTGACGGGACTTAAGTCGCACCCTATTATCGGAGACGCCGCGGACAGCGACTGAGCGCCTTTCCGTAACCCGGGGATTTGAATCCACGGTGGCATATATTTTAGCCGCGATGGGTATGCTAGAGTCACTGCTGGAGCGTGTCGTGCTCAATTCTGAAGTATTTCTGGAAAGGTCGGCGGCCAGCTCATTTTCTTCTGTGTGCCAAGGCAGACCCGAGCACAGGGAGAGTACATAATTGAGCGGAACTTGTGAGAGAGCAAACAGAAAATCTCCAATGTCCCTTGCTAGGTCAAGCAATGGGTCCAGGGTATCCACATATGGTTTGATAAGTGGGCGTAGAATATGCAAGTAGAGAGGTTCAGCCCCCTGCGTGAATGAGGCGTTAGCTTTGCTTGTATGGAGAAGCCATCGGTGTCCTACCTTGGCGCGAGTCAGCAGGAGAAACAGTAGCATAACTGACTTGATTTCGCTGTAAAACGGTACGATGAAACTGACAAAACGGTCAAACGTTCTCTCATATGCTGCAAGACAGCACTACAGCACGATAGCATAAGCATGCTACGTAGACTACGAACAACATAATTGTGATGCCTTACCCAAACAACCCAAACTGCAAGACACCCCTTGAGGTCCCTCTTTCTCTGAGTCATTGCCCTGATGCTAGGGAGGCCACCCTTGCGTCCAGGTGGTATTTTGAGAGTCTTGTACGTGTCATACACATTCACAAAAACCATGAACAGACGGAGTGCAGGAACGACGAGTGGCATGTTGAGAATAGAGCCGAAGAAGTGCTCAACAAATGTGTCGAAAATGCCAAGCCCGTCAGAGAATAGAGTAGAAAACTCCTAAAACGTGGTCGGGGTGAACTTGTTGTACTGCCTGATGGATGTAGTGGTCGACGTCGTTGAAGTAACCTTAAGCTTGTGTATTCATGGACGCGCCTCCCACACCCATCATGTCTGGCACCGCCTTACATAACAAACAGTGTAACGCGAGTAACAGTACTTCATAAACGAGGCAGATTACCATCTCCGTGCGGTACTAATTTTCTTTTGTGCATTTGACGAAGTCCAGAAGCCATCCAAAACAGATGCATTCGTCAGATGATACAATATATATCGCATGTTCCGTGGCCTTGCAGCTACCCATAATAAGAGAACTAGTACGAAAGTGTACAAACGTCCCGTAGAGTCGTGAGGAACGTGAGCGTTACAGACTGCGCGACCAGAATATCGAGCGATATACCCGTACAGGCCCTGGGGCATGCCCAAGACAGCCAATGTGGAGTATAATTGATGAAAGGCAGTCCACTAGCGAGCCCTGATTTTCACCGTCCGGTCTTCAATCGTAATATATCCTGTTCGCAGCCAAGCAAAGAACGAGAAGACTGAGACCAAACCGGAGCATCTGTGCTCCGAAAGAAATGTGGATATGTTCTTAAGACGTTCTCCACCGAAGCAGCTGTAGTGCACAATGTGGGTCACCGGCATCCCAACCAACTGAAGAGACCAAGCTCAGTGTACAGAGCACCGCTTCGAGTACTTTCAAGGGTAGACTTCTTGCCAGTCTAGTGATTGTGTTCCATATAGAAACGACGGACAGCGGGTCAGAAGGGTAGACGGAGAAACAATGCAGTGGTTTCGGTGAAACTCGGACTATAATTACTTGTTTGCAGAAGGTTCAGATACAACAACCTTGATGTTCGCTTGATATCGGACGTTATTTGTGAGCCCATGGGCTAGACATGCGTAATAACACTGGCAATAAGCCTAACCAATGGATAGAGTCTGTGCTCACTGCATTCGTAATCGCCGTGTTTTCAGGACATGAGCACATGCGAAACTCGGCTATTGGAAGAGTCCCATGTCTACAACAAGAATAATTTAAGATTCATCATGACGAGTGACGGGAAGGGTACCCATGCGGCATTGCCGACCTGAAGTCCGACCGATGAGACTCCATTCGTCGGTCAGAGATAAGCTGTTCCATGGAACGTAAGCACTCACTCTGCATGTCCAATAAGCAACACATAATTGGCCAATTCATAATACAAGGAGACACAAGCAGCTGGCCTTTGATAAGTCTTTACGCCATGAATAGACTTAGACCACGGAAGAATGATTGAAAGAGGAGACTTTTTTTGACGCGATATACGCGATATTGTAGCTTCGTAGGGGCTTCCGACGCCAGAAAAATAACAAGACACAGCCAGAGAAGGTACAACGTTGACTCGAAGCTTGGGGACAACCAGAAACAAAAGACCCTAAAATGGTAAGTGGGCTTTGTCAGACATTGGTGTCGAAGAAAAGTTCTCACGGGTCTGTCCTCACCTCTTCGTCGTGATTAACAATGCCCAGAATACGCACAACGAGGACGAAGAAACCCCCAGAAGGCTATGAAGATATTGAGAGCGTAGGTATTGATCATCAGCAGGCTGTTATAGTTTTGATATTATTGTAGATTCTCGATGATTATGCGAAGAAGATGAGAGACGCTGAGAACGAGTCTCATGAGGGCAAGCGCAAGGCCGAGTCCCTCTGGCCCATCATGCGTATCTCACACACCCGGTCGCGTTACATCTATGAGCTCTATTACAAGCGTGAAGCTATCACAAAGGAACTTTATGACTGGCTTTTGAAGGAAGGATACGCAGATGCGAAGTCAGTTGTTTGTCTCTAAAGCCCTATCATATACTGAATGTCAATTGCTTCAGCTTGATAGCCAAATGGAAGAAGACAGGTTATGAGAAGTTGTGCTGTCTCAGATGTATCCAGACCAAGGTATTGCTCACCTCTCAATTCGCTGAGACATTGCTCACTCGCTTTTCCAGGATATGAACTATCAAGGCTCTACATGTATCTGTCGCGTGCCGAAAGCACAGGTACGGTCAGGTACGGTTGTCGAATGCGTACATTGTGGTAAGCGTTTGAATTTCTGTTTCTCGTTTGCGACTGACCTATATTCGTTAGGATGCCGCGGCTGCAGCTCAGACTCCTAGGCGGGGGAGGTCCATATCATGTCATCACCAAAGAAACTGAATCTCATAGCCAGACATCCACCTTGGAGGCGTCCATACGAGTTTTGTCAGTCGAGGTACATCGGGAGGACAGATGAGGAAAGTGTAGTCGCAATATCTGCGCCCTGAGGTTCATTACGTCCATTTGCATAGAGCAACGGTTTTGCTCAGCATGTTTGTTATTTAGATACGATTCGTATTTTGTATTCTTGCAATCACTATTGAGTTGTTTTCCCGATCAACAACCAACAATACAACATTCGAACATTGTATCGTTGTCGACATGGTGAGGTTGGTACCAAACGTCTTGTATTTTCTGGGCATGGCGTACATGAAAAGTACAAGGACTTCTTGTACACCTGAACAAATATTCAACGAAGGTATGCGACGCCTTCTGCAGGTTGCCATCCGCCAGTGAGCTTCTACTCTTGTCTCCAGCGCGACCTTCATGTTGAATTCAAGGACTTGTTCTGCGAGCCACCAGCAAAACGTCATATTATGCAGGGCTTGCTACTAGGCGAACTTTTTATAAGCTCAGGAGTGGGACTGTAGTACCCCGCTGCCAACAAAACAATCACACAGCAGCCGGTGAGTCATGTACCCTCTTGATATCTATTCAACTTTCTCATCATGGTCGGACCTGCCTGCCTACATTTAATGCAACCGCCTTCTGTTCTATTTTTTACTCGACATGATGAACAGAAGAACAATCTTCACTCAAAAACACGCTGCACAGCAATGGTTTTTGCCCAGAATACATCGCGAAGAAAGCGTCCCATGTGTCACAGGTGCGGATCGACTATGGCAGGCCATACACGGAAGAACAATATGTTCATCTGTCCTGGGCCTGCTGAGAGTAAATCACACCTTCTTTTGTCCCCCGACTCCCCCCCACCTACATACGAGTTCCACGGCTTCCAGGTTCCACCTGGCGACCGCTGGCACTGGCGAAACCCTAATTGGGTCTCGCCACCGCGCGAGAGACCACATGAGAAGGCTCATCGCGATGTGTCCCTCACACCTACAGAGCCTCTGTCCGATGAAGGGCCAGGAAAAGAAAACATTTCGCCCTTCCCTATGGAGCATTCTCCTAGTCCTGACTATACAAGCGACGACTGGGCCGGTAGTTCGGACTCTTTGGACTACTATCCCAACTTTTCCATCAAGGAGGAATCCCCCGAACCGCAGTTTGATACCTACATATCGGGCTGCTCCCACTCCCCGCCTCCCTGCGAATGGTCCCCGCTCTCGCAGTCGCCTATCACCGACATAAGCCTTAACACGGCCCTCCGTGGAGGCACGCCATTGTACAGCGTGTACCGCGTCCCGCGTCAAGACGTTCCAAAAGTCCAACGGACTGCACAACGCGAGGGGAAACTCTTTAGCGTGATGACAGCCCCTCCTGCGCACCTCGCCAAAATCCCGCGTGAGAAATCGCGAGAGACGGTGTGGGTCATTCTCAGTGATCGTGAGGAAGACCTCCAGTATGCAGTACATTCCCAACACATGCCAGGGCGCCTTCGCCCAGGGCACGACGACGGACTTGAGCGATTCCAAAAGTAACGAAGCAGCTCCGGTCACGCAGAACGTACCGTTCTACGATACTGTGGATCGGCGCCATGTGACCTTTGACCAGTCAATGTATAGTATTCCTGGTGGGCTGGCGGTTCAAGAGAACTTGCGATCAGCCGGTCATGGATTTCTTCAGATGGCATTTGCGGGGATTATCGGTGGCCTTGTCGTCACCTACGGACGGGCCCTCTTGTAGCGATTCGGGGCATCCATCCATCAGTGGTGTTGGGTTGGAATTGACTGTGGGCATTGTACGTTACTTTTCTCGTTGAACTGCTGATACGGACGATCTATGCCAATTTCTGCTACTATATGCCTTATGTACTCTTTTTGTTACGCTCTATGTCAAGCTTCTCTTATGATCGATCACTTCAGTCAGCGTGTGATATTGAGACAATTCAAAGATACAATGCTCGGTTACTCGAAATACATGAACTAGACGATGTGGACACTGTCAGTGTGCGATATATAAGTAAGATCAGTGGACGTGTCATAAATACACGTGCAAAAGTCACGACAGAAAGCGTTGGCGTTGGCGTAAAAAGTAAAGCATTGATATACACTCCCATAACTTATCCTCCCGATTCCAACCAATATCAAATCTATACCGCCCAATCATCTAACGTCCCACCTCCAGGTCGACTCCCCCACCCTCGTGACATGCGTTCCTCCATACGATCATCCATCCGTGCAGAGCTCGTGCTCGTAGGACCCGCAACGAACAGCCTCTCAAACCACCTAAGTGGCTCCCCCTCTTCTTCGTCTTTCCCCTTGCGCTTTCTACTCCGGTTCTTCCGCCTTTCCGAGATTTTGGAAGATCCTGGACGTGAGCTTGCATACGATTCTGGGAGCTCCGCAAAGCTGATGCGCTTGGGCGTCGACACGCCTGAAGGGGGATGACTCCCGAGGGCTTTGGCCACGCCGTTTCCAAACTTATCCGAGAGGCTGCCTGTACTCGGCGACGAACGAGGTGTCGAGGGTACAGAGGGCACCTTCAATGAGGAATGTGTAGGTGGGGAAGGGGGACGCGTAGAGGATGAATGTCTGCCCTTCGTGAAAAGACGGGATATCGAGGCAGTGGCGGTGGATGTACCAGCAACTGGCGCGGGAGCAGGAGTGACAGGCATGAGATTGGGCGATCGACTTTGTTTACGATCTTTTCGAGGAAAGTTGACGGAGGTGGAGGATGATTGTTCATCAAGGATTTTGCGGAGGCACTGGACGGTGCGGTAACCAGTAGGGTGATCTGATGAATCTGATGAAGCAGTAGAGAGCTCCTCGATAGGTGGGGTCATTACGCGAGGAAGGGGGGCTACGGGTGGTCTAGGCGTCGTGGAGCTAGGTCGGGGTGCAGACTCTGGCTTGCGATTGCAATTGCGATCAAGGGATAATGGTACTGAGCAAGGGGACATAGACAACTTCGATCCTCGTTCAGTGCTGCATGTGCCCGTTGAACCACGCCGTGATATGAAGGTACGAGAGGACGGCGTATCAGTTAGTGGAGGTGTGGCTGACTCTGAACGCTTCACTATATTGGAGAGGAGACTGTACGCTGGAGTGGGAACATCCAGAGGCTGTCCCGATAACACAGGTAAAGACTGTGAGGACTGAAGCTCCGGCTGCCTGACAACGGTGTGATCCTGCCAATCAGCCGAATGTGATGAAGCACAGGCTCGTAACCCCAAGGTGGAGGGCAAGATTATCATGCCTGGATCAGCTGTTGATTCGACATACTGGGTGAGTGCCCTAGGGGCAGGCGCAACGAGGAAATCACGTTTCGGGAACGAGAATTGAAGCTGTGAAGCGCTCGAACACGAGCCATTGAGCTCCAGTAGTGAGGGTCTCCTCCTATTCCGCAAATCCTTGATATTTGATGTGGGAAGACTCTGGCTAATCGCGGATTCGTCCGGCTTGACTGGACTGATGTCTCTAAGCTCCTCATCAAACAGCCCATCCACACCTTTCGATATCTCTTCCAGATGTGCCATCCATGTGCCATGCACCCCGCTGTTCAATCTGATTCGTGTTGAAAGGTTCCTCGCACGAACCTCGAGAGAACGGTCCGGTCCGACCTCGGATGAAAGCAACGCGGAAAGACTGCATTGAGTGGAGATTGAGCTCTGCATGAGCACATTTGACATCTCAAGTGCATGAACACTGCGTTCGAGCAGCGCGTCGAGGAATGGATCGGCTGCTGGCACAGGGACTGAGTGACGTTTGCGTCTACGTGTGTAAGGTGCTGTGCGTCGTGGTGAATTGAGCTGAAAACGTTGTGGAGCGTAGGCTACAGCTTGCTCCTCAGTGTCTGCATCTGCCTCCTCACTATCAGGGTAGTCAGGCGGTCTATCTGACTCGTTTCCTGTATAGAACGCCAAACTGGATGTTTTACTCCAATTGAGCGGAGCCGAGTACTCAGGGAGAGTCTGTACTGTGTCGGAGGACATTTTTGAAACTGAGGAACGCTTTCTGTGCGTTCTGCGAGATTGATGGGGGTAGTTTGATGAGTTCATGACCACGGGTAACTAGAATGATAAATAGGATAGGGACGGGTGAGAAGTAGAATCAGAACAGAGGGGCAAGTTTAGCAATCAGTCAGGCGCAAACGGTTTGCCGGTTACCCTCGGCCACACGTTCTTTCGCCATTTACGGCCCGTCGAGTCACAATTATTTAATACTATGTACTCAATAACAGTTAAGCGTACGAGACGAAACTTTAGAATAAACATCAAGTAAGGTTTTAATTTACTTGCCGAGAGACTGCTACGAAGGAAAAACCAGTATACTCATGGTGCGAGATAACTCGGTGTGTCGAAAGAGAGAATCCCCCAATGGACCAGAATCTTGGCGAGCTCGAGTGAAAGCTTCTACTTCGATATATGATACGGTATGATTTTTTTGTAATCTTTGCACTTCTATACAATCACCTCCGACATGATCTTGCACCGACATATGGCGACTCAATAACTCTGACAGCCTGCAGATAAACTGGCGAAATACACTGTTATTGAGTATTATTAACTCAGTAACAATATGTAAGCATACTACGATCTTACGCTACTTGATCCAATCGATGGCAGCTATCTTCATATCGATAAACCAGAATTTGAAAAATTCACTTACGTAGCCGCTTTTATTTGTCATTGGAGCGACACGAAACTGTTGGAGGCGCTCATGCTAGCTGGGAAGTCGTTAAGGTTACCTTGTGGGGCTCATCACGAAGAGATCGTAATCGATAACGAGTAACGTATAGGCCCCCAGTGGGGCACATGGTTGTCTCCGCAGCATCTCCCGAGTCAAACCTGCCCACTGGGCCTCTCCGAAATTTTCGTGACTCTAGGTGACTCCCCAAATTTTCATTTGCCTGATCTCCATTTTCTAGGCTATCTTCGGCTACCTGGCAACTCGGTGGGCTCAGATCCTAGCACACATCCGCAATGCGCATGCAATGAAGACAAGCAGGGCGCGGAAGCTAGCCGTGAGTAGAAGGCATCCGAAAATACTTTCGCGTCGCCCTCTCAGGTTTACTACTCTTGCAAGAAGTTTGTCATTGCAAACTCTCGTCAAGTTTCTCGCCCATCTGGGCAGGAGGGAGCTATCTGAGAGCCTTGAATGCGCCATGATGACTGATATCTAGTAATAGTGTCCAGGATGTCGTCTTTATCAGCCAGCAGGCGTAATGCCCGATCAATACAGAAGTTCAATCGGAGCCTGTTACCAGAGTAGAAACCCTGCCGCCAGACCGCTCACTCGGAGTCTCGCAAGTCTACGACGTTTCCACTCAGATGTGGAGTAGGTCACTCTGTATATTGGTTCTTAACCCTATCCCTCTGGAGACTTGCCTACATCTTTGCTCACGCAGAGGCCCACATTTGTTGCTCATGTGGATACATGCACTTTTGATCAGGCGGACGGCCGCAACATTGCTCACGTGAGTGCCTTCAAGTTGCCACCTCTTATTTCCAATCCTGCTTTCCTCGTCGCTCTGCGGCTCCCACAATTTGGGATCCAATGATCATCTCGCTGCGTCGCTCTTACCCATGGGAATCGCAGATCACCTCGGCTCTCTTGCAAAGGTTGGGGCCGCTATCAGAGCCGGATCGCCCCTTTGGGGCTTCTACTTACCCAAATTTTATTTACTTCGATAAACCAAACATTTCCATTTGTTCTCCCTACTACTACTAAGACTGCTGCACGACAGTAGACAAAAAGTCGATGGAACAATGCATCACCAGATATCTACTTCTATACCCTCCAGCTCAAGTAACCAGTAATAGACATGTAACCGAAACATTAAGGCCCGTCAAACGCGGACTCATCTAGAAAAATCGTCAAAGGTAAATCATAATGCAATCTCTCTTCAGGAATCTGTCATGTTACTACAGTCGCAGACGCCTCGGGTGGCGCAAAATTGTCAAATGAACCTGCAGCACCTTCGAGGTACATTCTTGCGACTCTATTCACCAAGATAGGGGGCAAATAGAACTTCCAGGTTGTCCAGAGGAACCATCGGCTGTACTGGGACAGGATAGAGTCGTAATCGACTAATAGCACACTGAATAAATTGTCCATGCCAGGTGGATGAGTCCCTCACCTTGAAGAGCGGCACGCAGCTCGAGCCACTTCTTCGTCACGTCCGTGAGAATGACATCAATACCCCATCGTACAGCCTAGATCGAAAATTGAGACTAGAAATGGCAGTACAAGAATAGAGCCACCCACCTCCATCATATGCTCTGGCTCATTCACTGTCCATACCATAATCTTCTTGCCCGCAGCTTTGCACTCATTTCGGAACCTTGACATGCCGTCATGGCACCGCCACTCGGATACCAAATAACAAAACTTACTTCTGGCCATCATAGGTGGTCAAAGAGGCAAACGCCATTGAAAACACCTCCACGCCATCCCAGAAATATTTCCGCGCAATCGAAATGCTTCCACCAATGTGTGAGCGCCTGCAATACGGTAATCTCGCTTTCGCAAAAGCCACGAAACGCGGATGCCAAAGGCCCAGCAAAATACGGGGAGCCAACTTCGTCTGCCAATCAGGCTGCGCTGAAATAACATCATGCATGAGTGAGAAGAGTCGGTCAGGGTCATTCTGAACCTTGACGTCAACGTTAAACTTGACGTGCTGGTTCTCGGGCTACAAAGAACGTGGGCGAAATGATTAGATAAACGCATCGGCGCTGTAGATATGATGGGACTTACTTTCATCAAAAGATCAATGGTCTGCACGAACGTGGGGATACATTGTTGAGGTTGCTTGACAGTACGGAGGTTTTCCATTCCATCTTTGCCGTACCAATGCCGTTCCCTAATTAAGCCTAAATTTATTGGTCAAACCACGAACGTGCCTTCGAATGAAAGCTAACCACCTTTTGATCCTGTGGTCCTCTCCAAGTCTGTAAAACGCACGCAGCATCAGATGAGCGAATCAGAAAAAGAGGCAAATATTCAACACACCTGGGTCATGGAACATGATAACGACACCGTCCAACGACACATGAACGTCTGGGATACAGGTTATGGAGACCAATACAGGCCAGGGTGGTTAAATACCGGTCTCGATGCCGTCTGCCCCATCATTGATGGCAGCTTCAAAGCTAGCGAGGGTGTTCTCTGGAAAAGCTACTGAAGCCTATGGGCAGTGGCTTAGTGTCGAGTGGTATTGCCCATGACTCAATCTAGTTCGACTTACCCCTCGGTGACCCCAGCATTCTGAAACATCATTGTCAGTTCAGCTCCGTTATAGCCAACATGGTGAATGCCATTACCTGGAAGAGCTTTAGTAGCGGTCATGTCTGAGCTGCACGCAAGCACTACTAAGATGGGGTATAAGATGAGAGTCCAGTAGGGAAACGAGAGCGGTCTTAAAGGCAACTGTTTTGGATTATATAGCAAACCCCAAAACACTCTTCTTATGAGTGGCAGCTGGGAAACAAGCTGTTACCCGAGCGAAAGTCGGGCAGCTGTCGGAATCGTGGACGAATGAGAGAAGCAGCTCCGATGACCTGAACATCATTTCAAAATTTCGCACCGCAGCTCAAGCTGACGTTATAGAATTCGAATTAACCAAACCAAGCCAAGCCAAGAATGTATGTTGAATCATTTTTGAGCTAGTAATTGTCCGTTCACAATAGCAGTCCTGCAGGCAAAATGTATATGTCAGTTATCAAATATGGGGAACTTCTGGGAAGGATGAGAGAGTAACGCGACGCGAAATCTTTTCTTGAACTTTTAGGTAATCGGCGCTTGTTCGAAGGCAGGCCTGCGCGGCAAACACTATAACTGAAATGCGGGGAAACCCATGGTCTTTGTGGGGTTAAATCTTAGTTTAATCAACAAACAAACATCCAATGGTATATCAGAGTCGGTCCGAAATCCCAACATATTATGTACGAGTATATAATGGTGTCAAGAATGGTATCATGCACTGGAAATGTTCCAGAAGCCAGCCATATTACCTATCTATTCAGCAGCCAATGCCATTTAACTAGTGGTGCTGTCTGCCGACAACTACCATCCCCTCATCGTCCGTCTCCGTTCCATATTCGCTGATGCTTCCTTCCTGCCTCAACGACTGAGACAATGAAGTGTCAACGCTCGGAGTCTCACTGCCATCTTCGTCGCTTGGCATGTCCGGAACTTCATCGGACACAACCTGAACAGGGGTAGCCGGTACGGGATCCGATTCTTCGACAGATGTTGAATCAGCTTTCATTCCTGGTTGTTCGGCTGGTTTCACGTCTTCTTCTGAGGTGACTTTGACGGAAATTTCACGTAAAGTCGACAACATCTGATCTCGGACTAACGTGGTCAATTCAGGGACGTCTGATACAGAGAGTCCCGTGGTTGAAATCGGTGGGAGAACTGTGACACGAGTGTTCAAATCAGTGAAATTGAGCGGACATAGATTGAAACGAATCAAGTGCCGTAGAATTGGCTACTGACCTCGGACCCTGATGGTGCCTGACCCGAACACGCCCTTTCGATAAATTCTCCAGTAATTCTCACAAACGACAGGTATAACGGGTATCCCAGCTTGGACAGCGAGGTGGAAAGCGCCCTTCTTGAAAGGTAGTAACGATGGTACTTCCTGGCAGTGCCGTGTGCCCTCAGGATACATCATCAAGGAGATGCCCTTCCTTTTCATCTCATCTCCAGCAGCTGCGAGCGATCCGTGTGCTTTTTCACTGTTTCCACGGTCTACGAACACGGCACCCGACATGAACATCCAAGGACCCAGAGGCGACCATTGGAGTTCCTTCTTAGCCATAATGGACGCTTTCCTAGGGAACATCCTACAAGCGCCATGCGGAGCAGAATATGAATCAAGTCAGTTACACATCACTCAACGTAAGCTTCTTCAGCAAACGACACATACCTTCCCAAATACAAAATATCAAGCATGCTCTGATGATTGCCTACCATGACCACAGGGCATGTCTGCAGATGCTCCTCGCCCTCGACCTCTACTTGGATATCCAAAACATGACTAGCAATAGCATAGAACGACCGGGCAACGACATAGTTGACGTCATGCCTGCGACCCATCAGCGTCATTCCGACTGCAACAAAGACTCCCCATGTCGAGACTACTGCCAGCGTCCCAAGGTAAATAGTGAGTTGAGCATAATAACGCCCATCGGGAGAAGTGGAAGCGATTGTTCGAAGAATGACGACAGGAACAGAGATATAAGCCAAAGGTTTGATGAAGAGAGCAAGAAAAGACATGAAGAATCGCAGTTTAGACTCTAGATGATTAATCGCTTGGAGATCAATAAAGACGCGACGCAACGCACGCTGTATCCAGCGGACGTGCACGCGGAGAGTGACAGCTTAGATGGGATGGGAAAACTAGCCATATAATTTATTTTGGTCCTTTTTGACCCAAACTCAAGTACTTATTCACCTAACGGAGTGTGAAATTTGAAATAAACTTCATTTCCCTACCAAAATCAACGATTCTATGATTATTATTTTTGCTTGTGAGAATGACTCACTATCAAATAGATCATGTTCAACAAAAGTCCCTCGCCGTGTGCTGTGCTTCAGCTTCATGAACTGAGGTTTAGGCGAGTCCGTACCCGCCGTGTGCTGTGCTTCAGCTTCATGAACTGAGGCTTAGGCGAGTCCGTACCCGCCGTGTGCTGCGCTTCAGCTTCATGAACTGAGGCTTAGGTGAGTCCGCAAATAATCTTAATCAAGGCCGTAGCTATGACGTTTGAAAATTTGAATCCTTTGTACAAGTTCAATGTCGGAATTTAGTCAATTCCACTAATAACGGTGTATCAATGACGTGTAAGTACTTATAATTCTTCCACATCGAATAGACATACACATAAGGTGTTGGCATGCACGCAACAACTGGAACCAGCAGCCAAGGGATCTATGTAACTACATAGTTCAAGGGGAAAGCAGGATAAGGTAGGCTCGTGACTACCACTGGAGTCGGACCAGTCTAACATACATCCTCACCCTTGAGAGAGAAGGGTGTTGGCTACTAGAACGCCACTCCATTATCGTATACTTTGTCGAGCAAGGCTGCGTACCGACGATCGTTCCATCTAAATGTTTATAAGGATTGTAGCATACGTTGTTTGATCCTAAATCAACTACTCCCTCTCATGGTGCACGCCTACTTAATCATTCCAGAGATTCTACACCATATTTTCTCTGACATTTACCATGTCTCCATAAACTCTAGTTTACATCATTGGGATCGCTTCTCTCAACCTAACCGAGTCGCGAAGTTCTCTAGCTGCTCTCTCTCAAGTCTGCCGCATATTCAAAGATATAGCTTTGGATGTGCTCTGGGCTGAGCTGGAGAATCTGGAACCGCTTTTCACTTGTTTCCACCAGATTTATGGACCAAGACTTCTGATCAGATTGTACGTCCAAGTCCTACTGCTGTTTCGAGTGCGATTACAACCCATTTTGCTGAGTGTTTTTATTGTATCATTGTCAGATCACGTAGAGGCCTGTAACCACAAAAGATTGGTTAGTCTTTGAGCAATACATATTCCAGGTGCGCGTTCTTAGGTCGTTGGAGCTGTAGTTCTGGAAACCTGAACCTGCGCTTGTCGTCGGATGTACCCTACGCAAGTTGGACAATCTTCTACTTTGGGATGGTCTGGAGTGTATCAGCCTGAACAGACCCAAGATGTCAGACGATGTCGCTTAAGCGTTCAGCCTCGATACATTCGATACGCACATTTCCGGTCTCCAAGAGCTTCGTCTTGCATCGTTTTGCATGTCATGGATTGACGCGCTTGGTTGCATCATCAAGTACTAGCTACACCTCCAGTGCCCTGATCTTGGAACCCAACATTTCTGGTAGACGCGACCCAAGGTCACGTTTCGTAGCCTTGTGGCCTTATTATCATCATGTCCCGATCTTACGAAGCTTGGTTTGGTATTCGACGTTACGAATGTAAATCCACCTTCGACTGAGAAGCCGGCAGGTAGGGTTTGCAACACAAATATCACCAACTTTTGTGTCGGATGCTCTCTGATCGAACAACCATGGCAAGGCTCGGGATATCCTGGCGTCTCAACACGACAGTCCGAGTGGAACAAGGTGTTGGGGTGCATTAACGAGATACCTTGATCAAGAAACAGGAGGGCCTAAGCGGAATAGTTGCCACAGGCTTGGAGTTCGGTGTCATGATACAGATACAACAGCTTGTCAAGCCTTGTCAATTGTAATCTTTGAGCAACACGCACTCTGCTCGGCCGTGTCCTTCCCTGAACAACAATTGATGTTCTCAAAATAACGCGCATGTCAGATCCAGCGCCGCCGGGGTCTCCTTCGCATTCCACTATGTAAAGTCATGCAGCTCCGTTTGAGCATCTAGTACGTTCTACTATGTAGGCGTTTGTAAGTTAATTCTTCCTACTCTCTGGCGTATTGTGATTTAGAAAATGTAATTACTCGTCCTTATACATGACATTGAGAATAGCGCTTTTTGGATATTGTGCATGTGTATCCTCAACGCCACGACATCGCTCGCAGTAAATACGGCGGATCACGGCAAAGCTATGACCTCAGCGTTCCCATTCAAATTCCTGGATCTGGTCACGAGTTGCGGTTCTGTGACACTCATCCTATTCCAGCAGTGGACAGGGAATAGTCATGCAAATCACCGAAATGAATGGCATAAATCGCGCCTCTGGCATGATAGCGCGCCAACAAGACGATCAATAGAATTGACAGAGGGCTGTACCTCGCTGTGCCCGCAGCTGATCGATCGATGATCTACTGGATGTGAGTGTAAACTAGAGTGACAAGTACAGCATAATCGTGACATCTGTCAATCCTCCTTCTTGGTCCGAACGGAGCGTCGGTGAGGCTCCTGGGTTCCAGTATCAACATCAGATGCCTTCCTTTTCCTGCCTTTCTTTAGTTTTACGTCGGGTTCTTCACTCGCATCAATCTTTGCCTCGACTTCGCCACCACCGTTGTCGTTCGTTGGATTTGTTTTTGCCCTAGAATTCTTTGTGGCAGCTTGTCTCGGGCGTTTTGAGGTACTTGGTTTTTTCTTCCCGAATGTCATTTCCTCCCAACCACCTTTTTCTGACATCATCTGGATGGCCCCCCAACATTCCTGACTGACTCGCTGAACGCTCAAACGTCCACGTGTGACCAGGGGCATCGCTATAGAGAAACACATCGTGAGTCATTCTTGGGCAGTTCAGTGAAATCAGAAGCCTCGGTACCTTTCACAGCTTTCATTCCATTTGTGCCTATATACGCAAATTCATCTGGTGGGTCCGATTCCGCCGATTCTGCAATGTAACGGAGAAGAGACAGCGGGACAAAATGTTCAACGCGAGATAGGAATGTGGCATCTATCATAAACCACTTCGGATCATCTTGTTTAGTTTTCTTAATAAAGGTATGGTTCAATGCTGCGCACGAAAATAATTTGTATCAAATTTACCGGATCGAAGTAGGGGTGAGAACTGAAGGACGGTATTACACGTCAGTATGGCAAATGCTTGGTGAAATTCATGTTAAATCGAACCTATCCCATGCCGTGTCTATAAGATAAGTACGAGCCTATCAGAAAAACGATTTGGATATTTTATCTCCAGGACATACAGTCGGGGTACGCTTCCTTCGACACCTATGAGGAGGAATAAGTATGGGAGGCAAGAAAATATTGGACAGCAAACCTCAGCAAACCCAGCGATGCCTGCATAACACGTTAAGGTAAAGTTCGCAAGGATGATCACTCACTGACCAGGACTTTTACAGTTCGAATGATAGAATAATATCTTTCTGACGAGCCTGATGAAAGATCAAATTAGGGTCAGAGGATGCATACCTTGTCTCCAATGGACATTTCTTTCATCAAGTTACGCGCTTCGAAGTTCCGCACTCCTTCCCACGGCGTTGTCCTTGCAGCTTCAAAATCATCCACGCTGAACTATAGCACGCGCGGAAGATAGTGGGCTATATTGAGCGCTCGCGTTTCTGTAACACCTCTTGGAACAAAACACACACCTTGACATCTTTGCCCTTCACTACACGAGAATCTGGCTCGGCTTTCATAAGCCAATATTTCTGTCTGTACTTGTCATAGACTAGAAACTGCTAGAAATCTATGTTCTTCAAAAGTATGTTAGCCTCTAGTCGTCGTTGTCGGTACTCGGAGTCTCGGACCTCAAGCCGCTCGATAAATTCAAACTCAGTCGTTTCTTACCAGTTCCCAACAGAACCAGTCGCCTAGAGAGTGGGTGGTAATATACCGGTAATGGTTGAGCTGTGCTCATTTAACGTTCAGCATTCAGTACTCAGTACTCAGCCCCCAAGGGCGACAAGTTCCGATGGAACAGGCGGAATCTCTCATGGACCGTTGCTGCGGAGATATCCATATATACTATGTGTGTGTCTGTCCAGCAAGTCATGCGACTTGAACTGCGCACCTTATGCGCAAAGACCTAGGATATCGTTGTCCCTTTTTGCCCATACTCATAGTACTATGGAGGAGTGTATTGTGACGTCTGCCGTACTTGAGCCTGAGTTAGTAACTGCGCAACGGGTCTTATAATACGCATCTAAGTTCCTGTGAACCACGCTTGTCTTACTCCTCTGAGTCGCGCCTATCGAAGGCCCTTATAATCTCACTCAACAGTTTGTCACCTTCACCTGTAACATAATGTCGAGCGACGAAGATCGCAAGGACCGTGTGCCATCTCCTACTAGCAGCTCTTCCCGTGGGAACGTAGTCGACCATAACGCCCCTCATGGTAAGTCGAGAGTCTGTTTCAGCCCAATATTGTGCTGAACGCATTCCCACCATGTCTGAAGTTACAGAAGAGCTTGCGTCGAGGAGGAATGGACCAGAATCTGCTGGAAAGAATCATATGATCAACGTCCAGCCTTTGAAACGCAGCGAGATGCAGGTTGGTAACACCATATCTTTGGCAATCTAGGTCATGATATCTGACAGGTCTTGTTTAGCCCTCGTATGCACAAGACCTCGGTACTGGAGAGGTACGTCTGCTCGTTTATGTGGTACATGTATCTTCTCACGTCAGCATAGGTCACTCATGGTTTCTATGGGTCATTCCTGCAAAGTCTTGGCACCTGTGTCGGGTTCTGTGGTGCTATTCCTTGCTGCCCTTTCCCAAACCCATTCAGAAACGTCCAGCAAGGTACGTACTGCACACTTCAATGTTCAAATCGTGTTCTGACTAGGATTCAAGGTTCGGTTGGTCTGGTCACACGGTTCGGCCACTTCTACAAGTCGGTCGACCCTGGTCTTGTACAAGTCAATGTCTGCACGGAAGACTTGCGCATTGTCGATGTCAAAATTCAAATTAGCGCCATTGGCAGGCAAACCGTCATCACTCGCGATAATGTTAATGTAGAAATGTGCGCTAATTTGATATTTATATTTCACCTCCATTAATCGATTATTATGGCATCATCTAGTGACTCCGTCATCTACTTCCAGATTGTTAATCCTTATCGTGCTGCCTTTGGCATCACTGACCTACGCCAGGCGCTCATCGAACGTGCTCAGACCACCTTGAGGCACGTTGTCGGTGCCCGCGCAGTTCAAAGTGTTGTAACTGAGCGCGAGGCCATTGCCTTCGAGATTGCTGAGATTGTCGGTGACGTTGCCGACAAATGGGGCGTTGCCATTGAAGGTATCCTGATCAAGGATATCATTTTCAGCCCCGAAGTCTCCGCTTCCCTGTCTTCTGCTGCGCAGCAGAAGCGTATTGGAGAGTCCAAGGTCATTGCAGCCCGTGCAGAAGTTGATTCTGCTCGCCTCATGCGTCAAGCAGCCGATATTCTCGCATCACCAGCTGCTATGCAAATCCGTCAGCTGGAGGCTCTACAGCAGATGGCCAAGTCTGGTAACACCAAGGTCGTTTTCGTTCCTATGCAACTCCAAAGCGATGTTGTTGGTAGACTCGGCTCCAGCAGTAATGCTGAGGCATCTGGCTCTGGACTGCGTGACGAAGTAGGCGAGTCTCTTACCGGTACAGGTCGTGCAGGTCTTCTAGCCAGCATTGCGGATGTATGATCTTCGATTTATCTTGATTCTAATGGATAGTACCCGATCTGGTTACTCATCCATACATGTATTTTCACGGATATCTTATTAGCCATGTTTGTTCATGACTTTAACGCCTTTTGTCTTCCTTAGCTCTCTGTTTTGTAGGACCTTTGATGTGCCTTAATGTTATTCGATGATTTAACGTACGCGTGCGGGATCCTATTGGAACAATTACTTCCAAGTGCATAGCAGTATAAGACAAACAGGTAAAGGTAGTAACTGAAGTGGGTACTACTGTAAAATTTGTTGGCTGGTACTACTTTAGACAGGATGTATGTAGACTTCATTCTTTCATTCTTTCACAAACTCAAGCGTAATAAAGACAGATCAAAAACAAATGGAGACGGGAGAGGAGAGGGTAGCAGAGGGAATTGAAACAAATCGTAGTAGGGGCACATCTCGAGAGCGAATAACGGGTAACCGACAATAGGAGCATAACCCAGCTCATGATCCAATGTGATAGTGTGTCGTGGTCCAGGGCAAACGGACAAACAAAACGAAACAAGGAGATGAAATTGAGCAGCGAAATCAAAAAGAAGGGATTTGAATCGAGACGCGTGGTGGAGGCGAGGAACATTCTTAGCAGCGTTGCTCAGGACGACGACGGATGCGTGTGGTGCTGGTCCAGATCCAGGCTTGCAAGCGTGCCATTGAGATCGTGGATGGGATCGTGTTCCTGCACATCGTATTGACTCGAGCGTCCTTGTGATGATGTCTGACTGGAGTTTGGCCGAGAAATTGGCTCTTGGCGCGTCATGCAACGCCCACCCTCAAACGCCTTGGCAGAGCCATCCAGGAACGGAATATATCGCTGGGAGCCACTTGGCGTGCGTACAGGGGGAACGGGTCTCTCATTGGAATTGGCAGTCGCAGCCTTGAACTCCATGATGCTATCATAGCGCGACGCGTGGTTCATGGAATGGGGCAGCAGATCGTAGCTGTCTGAACCTCTCCGTGTGTACATATTCGGGTCCGGGGAGAAGGGAGAGAACGAGGACGTGAGATGTGATCTATGATGTTCCACAGAACTCGTGTTTGATGGTGGGCATGGTACGGACCCCCCTGGATACACATCATACGACAGTTGACTATCAGAGAGTGGCTGGTTCATGATGAGCGACCTTAGTTTTTCCTCAGAGTATCCACTTCCTTTTGCAGCCTCGACGTAATTGCGATTCGATGCATCGCTTCCACTGCCCGATTGACCATGGCCTGACAGGCCAAGCCTTTGCAAGAGTTGAATCGCCTGTTCTGGCGTCATCTGGCTCTGAGGAGCCTGCGCAGACGCCATCTGAGCTTGGAACTGAGCCTGAAGTGCAGCGGCCTGGGCTGCCTGCGCAGCAGCTTGCGCGGCTTTATCTACGATGTCACTATTAGTCAGTTGGGCGTATCACAACACACGACGACGTACATTGACTTCTACCCCAGCTCAACCGAATTCTACTCCCACCGATAGGAAAGCCCTGCATCTTCTCGATAGCACGCTCTGCATCAGCCTTTCGAACGAACTGAACAAATCCACAATGTTTGCCGACGGGCACCTTCACCTGTACAGATACCGCTACATTAGCGTCCCACCAATAGCGCGAAAGTAAAGCTCTCACGTAGTGAATCTCGCCGAACGGAGTAAAGAACGTCCGCAAGGTCTCTTCAGAAATCAAAGGCGACAACCCACCAACGAAAACAGTGGTGTTATAGGGATCGGTGGAAGTGAGCTGCTCGCCATTCGGTCCGATGAGGTTGCCAAGGATAGCACGCGCTTGAGCGTGGTGTTTCCACGACTCTTCGGAGACAATATACCGCGGTGCCACAGAATGATCTTGTGAGTCATGCGCCGAACCAGAGGGAACGATGCCTTTGGCATTATTGCTGGAGCCACCGTTGGCATACTGGTGGGCGAGGGCAAGGACATTGGCAGAGAGACCAAGCATCTCATCCGACGACATCGAAGACAAGGCTCCTGAAGACGCGGTCGTGCTGGTCTCAGATCCAAGGGAAGGTATAGAACTCGAGCCGCTCAACGTTGAGCCCGAAAGGGATGGACCAACGGGCACGCTGGCCAACGAAGACGAAGATCCGGCACTCGTCGAAGCTGCCATAGGTGCAGAAACGCTTCTTGGCTGGCCACCAAGCGGGAGGGCTACAGTCACCGGGTTTGGCCGCTGATCAGAAGTAGGGGAACCAGGAAACTGAATTTGGGGAAAATCTGTCGGCATAGGAGGCGGCTTGAATTTGGCTGTGGCAGGAGATATTCGCACTGGAAAAAGAATCGCATTGTTAACTTGACCCGAAGTAGGATACGAAGATGACTAACTTGGGCGTGAAAGGCAGTACAGGCCATGCATCTCTATTAGTGCACGCTGTTGGTCCGTTTCCTCAGTAAATCTGTGTGCGAGGGGGACTATGAGTTTGTTCGTCTCGTTTCACGACAGACTCACCGTACAAAGCCATACCCTCGCGATATGCCGGTTACAGGATCGAGCATTATCTTGGCACTCTTGCAACTCAAGAAGGGTCGAATGAACTTGGGCTCACGATCATTCCGTAGGCCAAGAACAGGGTTCCGAAACACGGCCACGAGGTCCGAATTGGATGTTTCTGGCGCAAGATCACCAACAAATATGCTGTACTCTTTCGGGAACTGTGGTTGTGCCGTAGGGACAATTACACCAGCTGTTTGGAAAGAAGGCGTAATTGGACCGGTAGGAGCAGAAGAAGCCCAGTTAAGGACAAAGGGCTTGTTTGAGTTTGGCATCGTGACTGGCTGCGCACTCCCGCCGCCGTTCACTTGATTAAGAACAGAAGAAGCGATAGCCGGTGAGGGGAACGTGAGATAGCAGTAACCAGAATTGTTGGTTGGTTGAGGGGCGGCGGCAGCGTCTGGGCCGGCATTTGGAACTTTGACGGTGACTGGGTCCCAACCCATCAAAGCACAAACTTGTTTTGCGTATTCTTCGTCCATCCAAGGTTCGAGTTCGCCCCACCAGAGAGTAGAGCGTAGTACGTTTGGGCCGGAGTTAGAGTTGGCGGGCAGAGCAAGATCGCCGGACGGTGCAAACGATTGAAGCGGGCGATGGAGGTACCCTTCACGCTCAGCGTCGGAGGGGGGGTTGTAGTAATTGGTGTTTATAGAGAGAGCGGCGGGCGAGCTGCTGTGGGGGACGGGAAGAGGACGGTGGTGGTTAGAAGATGAGAGGTGTTGGGTAGATGTATGTCTATTTGGGGCGACTTGGAATGCTTCTGGGATTATTCCAATACTGTTATATTCCTTGTCTGGGTGAATACCAATAGAGCGGGGTATTAATGCCGAACTGCTCGTGTTGGGAAGATAGACACCTAATCCGTTGGATATTCGTCGATCTCCTGACACAGGATGAGCAGGAGAATTGGAAGGGTAGTGACTGGACATGTGGTGGTCGATTTCTGCGGCCGAACGAGAGCATGCCACACCAGGAGGATAGCTAAAGTCGTGAAAGTCAAGACGAGACATATCTAAACGTTAATCGGGAGGTAAGTTAAGTCTGAAACAACTAACAGGAAATCGCGCACAATTACGACAAGAGGGAGATCAAAGGACGAATGGAAGTAGGAAACTGTGAATTGTGGGCGAAAAGTGGATAGCAGACAGAAGGCAGATGTGCTCTGAAAAAATATGAAAGAAAAAGCGAGTAAAAAACGACTGCAAGAGAGCAATAGAAATAGAAAATAAGACTGATTGATAGCGATGCAATGCAAGACGAAATGCAACGAAGATTGTTTTAGTGTCTTGTAAGATAGATGGCAATTGGGGGTGCGTCGAGCACGTCGATGAGAATAGAGAAATTGGACGTACTAGAAGTCTCGTGGCAGAGTAAGGATTGTACTAGTAGTCGTAGCTGTCTGATCAACTTGGGCCAGTATAATGGTAGAGCGGAGTACAATTTAGCGTTTGAGACTCATTTTCGCTGATGATCGTGGACCTTGGACCGATATCTTGGTCAACTCTGTCGAGCACACCAAATGCCCATCCGTGCATGGAGGATCGCACGTACCTGCAGCCTACTCTCTTAAGTTGTTTTACATCTCATCAAGTCGTCAGTAGTCACAGTGATGGCATCTTGCTAGGCACAGCATACGTTGCACTCACCTTATCCAGGCAACAATGGCTACCTCGAACAATCAAAATGTTTAAGAAAACGTTAGTCCGGCCCCTCCTTACCTTTTCGTGAAGCTGATTCAGTCTGTGTCTTCCCGAAGTTATTGTGGGTCCATATTTATGCTTTCGTGGCGGTGTCCGTGATAGGCGCCCAAGGTCCTTCGATTAGTAGATCAACAAGCTTAAGCGTGTTCTCCTGATATGTACCCTCGGATTCTCTGAACTCATGATGTTACCTTGCAGTGCGTTTCCTGTTTACCTCAATGGGATCGTGTTCTGCATCTGATCCCACAACTGCTTTAGCTTCGGACTCTTTGTCTCCGGCGAATCATAGCCTTTCGTTGGCTTCCTTGAATCGCTACTAGGCCACCACTTGTGGAGAGTCTAGTTGGAAACTGCGGTGGCATCATATCTACACCCGTGCAGATGGCTACTTTTGCACCATATCACTTGCAACTTAGGTTTCGCAACTCACAATTATAGGACATTGCTGTGTCACCAAGATTTGGGGCCATCAGCTTCGGCGCCAGATCATACCTAGATGAGTCTCGGGTACTTCTTGCACCGTATCACTGCGGTGCTACCTCGTATCTCGTTTAGTGACCTGTCTCACCGAGGAAATTTATCCTACCGCTGCAGCCTAGACTATGTTCTGAATATTCATATACTTAGTACTAAACTCTGCGCATGATAAGTTGCCTGTGAATACATGCGGCACTATGGCATACAATGTAATGATACATGATTTTCATCCCTGAGCCTTACGTAAGAACACCGGAACTTTTGGTCGCACTGCAACGAGTGGGTAGCAATTTCAAAACACAGCTCACACCAAACAAAAACTGCTTTAACTTAGTACTGGCGGTGGGCATATCCAAGCCATGCCTATCCGCCGTCTATCTGTCTCAGCAGAGCATGGAAATCCAACTCAGAGCTCAAATAGAGCCCATAGAAGCAATGACTCTCACCATATTCTCACAGGAAACGGCGGGCCAATCCACCCGCCTTCCA